AAAAATATAAATATATAATATATTTATATTAATAATTTCCAAATTTATTAATATAAATAATATTTAAATTACTTATTATTTAAAAATAACTATTTAAAAATTAATTAATTTTTATTTTATAACTATATAATTAAAATATTAAATAAAAATTATTTATTTAAATATATAATTTATTAAAGGTTATAATTTATTTATATTTTCTATTTTAATTAAATTAATTATTATAATATAAATTTATATTTATATTAAATTTTTTAATTAAAATATTATAAAATATTTATAATATATAGTAAATATTAATATATTTAATAATATTAATAATAAATTAATATTATAATAAATAATAAAAAGTTTAAAAAAATTAAATAATAAAATAAATTAATAATTTATTATAAATTATATATATATTTATAAATAAAAGAAAATATATTAATATTATATATATTATTATAATAAAATCTTTTAAATTATTATAATAATAATTCTTTTTAATTTTATTAATTTATATTATTAAATCTTTAATAATATTAATTAATATTAATAAATATATATATATAATATAAAGTAATAAATAAATAAATTAAATAATAATAAAGGTAAAATTAATATATTAATAATATTTAAAGAAAAAAATTTTTATTTAAGGTTAATTAATAATGTAATATCTTTTTATATAATAATAATGGATATATTATTCCTCCTTTTAATATTAGCAATAAAGCAACTTATCCCTAATAAAGTGCTTACGCGCCGATGTTACATAACCACCATATAAAAAATTTAAACCTTTTAAAATTGAAAAAGTTATTTTAAATATTAATTATAAATTATTATTATTAATAAAAATAAAATTATATTTAGTTTTTTATATCTTTTTATTAAAATTAACCTTAAAAATATATTAATATAAATTACTTTAAGTATTAAAGTTAATTAAAAATATAAAATCGAAAATATATTAAACTTTAAATTATTTAACAGTTAAGTTAAGTACTTAATTAAATAAAAGGATTACTTATTAAAAGAAAATATATAAGAATTTATTAAATACTTTAAAAATGTTTAGGAATTTATTAAGAAATTTTATTATAAAAACCTTAACTGTTTATAAATAAGGAAAAATTTAAACTTAAGTTAAAATCCTTTTAAAAGAATAAAGGATTATCCTTAGAAGAAATATTAATAAAAGGATTATTAATATTATTATTTTTACTTTAAAACGTAACCTCCTGTTCCTTTTTTAAATTAAGCTTTTTTTTATAACGTATTATTTTAAGAATTCTTTTACTAAATTCCTTTAACGTTATAAATATTAAATACAGTTTATTTGTTTAGAAATTCTTTATTAAAATTTAACTGTTTTTTTCAAATAAGCTTTTATTTTTACTTAAAAGGAAAAAAGCTTATCTTCTACTTTAATATATTTTTTTAAACAATTAAATTTAAAATTAAAACAGTTAAAAATATTTATTATAATTACGTTATAACCAAATTGCTATTTTTTAATATAATAATTATAAATTTAATTATTAATAAAAAACAGTATAAAAATTTGCCGAAATACATATATAAAAAATAAGGAATGTTTTTAAAACCTAATAAATTAATAATATTAACCTAATTATTATAAACTTTATATTAATATATACATTTTTATTAAAATTTAATTACTTTATTTAATATTTTAATAAATTAACAAATAAAATAAGATAAAACATTTTAAGGATAAAAAGGTTAAAAAGAAAAGAATAATGTTACAAATTAATAATAAATGTAAAAAAGGAATAATCCGATAATGCTTAAAAGCAAGGTTTAAAAATATAAAATACTAATAAAATCTTAAAAGGTATTATTAATATTATTAAATTTGTTAAATTTATAAAATATTATATAAAATATATATAGATAAAAAGGTTTATAAGTATATTTAAATTATTATATATTTAATTATTAATTTAAATTTTATATTTAATTTATATAAAAAGAAAAACTTTAAGCTTTTTTAATAAACACTTTAAATATTTTATTAACATTTAACTTATATTATTTACTATTTACTTAAAATTAAAACCTTAATTATTACACTTTATTAAACTTAAATATAAATTCATTATAATTTTATTAATTTATATTATTAAATTTTTAATAATATTAATTAATATTAATAAATATATATATAATAAAAAAGTAAATAATAATAAAGTAAAATTAATATATTATTAATATTTAAGGAAAAAAAGTAAATTAATAAAAAATGAAAGAAAACTCGTTTTTATATAATTTAAAGTATATAAATACTTTTTTCCATTAAGTACGTACCGTAATAAAGTACGTACTTATGTCACGCAATTATTAATTATAATATTAATTATAAATGTAAATTATATTTAATATATTATAAAATTTTTATAAAAAATTTATTAATAATTTATATAATAATTAAATTAAAATTTTAATTTATATTATTATTTAATAAAATTTAATTTATAATTTAATTAATTTTAATATATTTATTATTATATTTTTATAATAAAATATTAAATATTTTTTTAGTATAAAAAACTTAAATAAAAAATATTTACGCATTTAATTTAATAATATATTTAATAATAATATTTTTATTAAAAAATTAATTTTTTATATAATAATATTATAAATTTACGTTATTAATAATTATTAATATAATTATATAATATATTAAAAATATTATATAATTTTATAATATATTTAATATTAAAAAACTAATTTTATTAAAAAATATAAAACGTAAAATTAAATTTAATTTTTTTATTATAATATATTATTAAAATATATATATTATTTTAAATATATATGTAAATTATTAACTTATAATTTATATTATATTATTAAATTTTTAACGAATTTAATTATATCATTTAATTTTTAATAATTTAATAATTTAATAATTTAATAATATATGGTTTACCATTAAATACTATAAATTCTAATAATAAAAAGTAAATATCTTTTCAAGGGTTTTAAACTGTTAGATCACATAAAATCAAAAGGGGCACGTAAAAAAAAAAAGCAAATGAAGGTAATCAACGAGATAATAAACCTAACGATAGGCTTGAATAGCTTTAATAAACTCGACGATTAACAAACTGCTATGTGTTAACATCTGATAACGCTTGACCTATCTCTCTTTCGATCAACCTGCTGGATCCAGTCTCCTTATAGATCAAGATATCGGATACTCGGCTTGTATCTGATCCGTATAATAGACTTCAACTCTAATATCTCGTATCCACGTAATCAACCTTATAATCAACCTTACTAGGTTCTAGATCACTGCCTCATCCCTGATACGTACGTATCCTAGTCCTTTGACTGTCAGGATGGTCCCTGACATTAACTTACATTTCATACACTTTCGCAATGCACGGACACTACTTATCTCAGCAGGGTATTAAGGCAAATGAAAAGCATTATCGACGTAGCTATTTATTCAATTAATACCTCCTACTAGATTTGGGTTCGCTTATCTAAGGCATTCTTACCTTGTCTATGCTAATGAATTTTCAGTCTTGCTTTTTTTGTTTTTTTTTTGGTCGGCCAATACGGCGTTCGACATCATGCAAGGCAAATTGTGAGGGTGCCACTCATGAGCCACGGACGTGGCTCCTCCTGCTCTTCTTCAGTGTTGAGTGATTGTTTGTATATATAAAAAAAAAAAAAAAAAAATCTTTTCTTTTACATAGACAATACACACACACTTGTCACAAATCATGCAAGTTGCCTTGCTTAAGTTTAAAGAGACCGATGGTAGCTAGGTCCCTAACGGACATCTACCCATACGAATATATAATGAGTGCACATAGCCCTGGAACGTATAGCCATATCTCGCTAGAAGTAGTCGATCGATTTTTTTTATATCTTGCCAACAGCTCTTGAAGGGGCAATTCTCACATGGTCTATCTTCTCATTTTACCTCTTAGGAACCGTAAGTTCAAATCCTAGATCAACTTTCTCAAGTGCGAGTTTATTGCAATGAATAATACGAAGCCTCCAGTTCTCATATTTTATTCTAGTCTTTGATGATAAAAATCTTACTTATCTGAGTTTTAGGTACTTTAGGTATTATATCATCTATTTACACATAGTCGGTACGGACTTACGGAGTTAACCTACTCTAGGCTTATGGGCGTTACAAAGTCCTAGGTTAGGCCTTGATTTGAAAGAAATACCTCGTTTCAGGGCCAGAGCTGGCAATGTCTCAGACTCTGATCCCTCGCGAGAGGCGCAATCAGCCTTAAACCCAGTAAGGATTGTATCCCATTTGCTAACTTCCAAACACATGGCAGACTGCATATATGCAAGTCTCATCCTGTGTGTTGACCAAGAAAGCTTGAGGTAACAGCACGCTAGGTATCACACTCCCACATATAGCGCCACGGAGTCATGATGACTTTAGCGGTGGATGATGTTTGAAAAGAGGATTTACCCGAAAGTGTGCTTAAATCCAGTTTATAACTACCAATGTCATCTGAACTCGTATGCAAATACGTACCTACCTAGGTAGGTACTGACAAGTAGGTCCAAGTATAATAAGACTCAAAGCATAAGAAAGTTAAGCATTAGTGTGGACCAAAGATGCAAACTATCATTTCATCACTTCTTAGAAGATACCTAGTATCGCTACCCGTTTTACTTGCTTAACGCCGACTTTCGTCACACTTCCATTAAAGCCTCTAATCTAGGTAATTAATTATATGCAATATCGACTTACCTGCCTCGATATTAGGTATTAGTGATTAGAACTCAAACCGTGCTGAGCTTGGCGCGGGCCTACGGGGCCATTAACATTATTGCTTTTAATGTCTGTAGTCTATATCTCTATCCCTCAAAGTCCTTTTTATCAGTCTATATCCGGTGTTGTGTCCTGTTTCCCGTGCCTCGAAATCAAATCTTTGAAATCAAAATGCGTGTGTGGTACTGTTTTGCCGTAAACCTGATAATCGCCAATCCCAAGGTATCAATTATTCCTCAACATCGTGAAACCAAACATGATCGAGGGCTTCCCGCGCCGTGATTCTCCTCCTGGGATCAAAGTTGGTCATCTTCTTGATTAAGTCTTTGAAGTCCGGGTCGAGTGAATCGCTTTTCCAGAGCGAAAACGGCCTTCGGGGGTTCTTCGAACCAAACGAGTCTTGCAAGCGATATAGCTCGCCGACCCAGGGGTGTCTTCGACCAAGATAGTCGACGAAAGCTTCGTAGTCATCCCACTCGGCAAAAGTGGAGATTTGCCGTTCTAGGATGGCGTTGGTAAGATCGACGTTTGGCGCGCTGTCGATCCGGAAGATGACCATTTTCAGACGCATGAATACGAACTGTACCGGCATTAGTAACCTGCAACACAGAAAAGCGAAGTCCGTCAAACTCACCACTAGCGCCAAGGAGAAGATGTCCGACGGCTTTCCGACTGCGCCCTGCACGTGCGCCTCCGGGCTGCGCCAAAACTGATTACCAACTTTAAGCCCACGCAGAGCCTGCCCAGGTGGGATGTGAGTTGAGTCTTCAAGGTCAGACAGTTGCACACGGTCTACGACGATTCCATCTGGGGTATCCCGATAGTCGACCATGATGTTGTTTGCCTTGATGTCTAAGACATCACATTAGATTAAAGTCCGAAGCTTAAGTCCGAGTGGGGGAATTACACACCTAAATGAGCGATGTTCTGGTCGTGCAAAGCAGCCAGTCCTCGTAAGCTATCTCGAAGGATGCGCTTTTGCGCGGCCAGAGAAAGATCCTTAAAGGCAAAGTTGAGAAGATGGTCCGTCATGTACTCATTGACAAACATCTTCTGGTCAGGAACGGTGTCCCGCAGCGCCCGCAAGTAAGGCGAGTGGTTAAACCTTAACTGCAGAGGAAGCGCATAATTGTATTCGTTCTCAAATAGACTCTTCAGAACGAACATCTTCTCATTTGCCCTAGAAACCTTGTTAGTCGGGTTGAAATGTGACCCACAAACGCAAGCGTCGGATAGGGCGAAACAAAGAGCCAAAAAATAGCAATGAAAAATAAACAAATAAAAATAAACTAAAATTCTGCTGGAGAAGCTGTAGCTTAGCTTACCTGGCGAGATAGACCAGGCGGTCTTGTCTGTCCTGCAGAACATTTTCGATGGTGTATTCGCGACCAGAGTATCCCTTGAGGATGACTCCGGGCTCAAATTGCTGAGAACCGGAGAAAGAGGTGACGCTGTGCGGAACGGTGCTCGCTTTGCGAATGCTACCGCCGAAGCGAGCTCCGGAGTTGTAGTGGGAGGCTACAGTGGATAAATGAGCACGGCCAAATCTGGAAAGGGGTTGTTTGAACGCGGTCAAAGCTGCCGAAGTAACGGCGCTGCCGCGCATCGTATCTCAATAAAAAGGTACGGGAGAAAAAAAAAAGGAAAGGAAAGGAAACAAATCAATCAAGTAAAATCTAATCGCAAAAGAAGACTTTTTTCTAAAATGAAAAAAACAAAAGAGTGAAAAGAGAGTGGTCGTATTGATAAGAAAAACGGATTGTGTGTGAGTCTCTTTGGATTTATGTTGAAAAGGTAAAAAAAAAAAAAACGCCTAAAGGGTGGCCAAAGGGAAAATGTCGCAGGGCTGCTAACAGAGTTTTGTTAGTTCCTCTCGAAACGCCGCATTCAAAGAGAAGTAGCGGTATCCACTCAGTACGTTCACGTGGCGAAACTACAAACGGTAAGTTGCTTAGCGTTGTCAGTAGTTGGTTCACCGTACCATCCGTGCCCTACGTACCGTATCCTGTACCATATCCTGTACTGTATGGTCAGTTGATGCTTACTGTAGAATTTTACTCACATTTTACTGGGTTTAGGCCGGGATCGCACCTTGTCTGCTAGGTACCTTAGGTAGTCTGGACCTGCTTGTACCTACTGAATGTAGTTGTCGCTTGATTTTTCTTGTGCGGATTGTTGTACCGAAATGAGAAGCCTGGACCCCTTGGGGATGAGAAGGGGGAGAAAGGAATAGATATGTTTTTATATCGTATTTTTGGATAGGGGTACCGAATTCGATCTTACTAAATCGAACTGATTGGAATGTATAGATTATACATCCAGCTCTTGGCCATTCACCGAGAACTATCGTGGCGTTTCCGTTAGACACCAGAATCGGAAATCCAATTTATCAATATTTATCTAAGGCAAGGGGAAATTTTATTAATGAGTTGCCGAGCTACGCCACATAGGTGTTCAACTTTCAACTCTTATGTTTTAACAGGTAGTTAACTCATAAAGATAACTAACACACAATTGATATACAATTGAATGAAATTGTTAAATATTTTAAGGTACCAGAATTACTTCGTGTGACTCGAATGAGGCATTTGTCTTACGTCTTGGTTGTTGACGTTGGCGTGGCGTGGGGGGTACAACCCAGGTGACCGACCTGGAACCGAGCTATCCGCATTGATGTTCTGTTTGAATAAGGTCGCTGAGGTTGCGTCGAATAACTCACCACCACGTTGTTTCAGAAGTGAAGTGAAAAGCTTCAATCAGGCATTGTCTTTTTTTGTTTGGCTAGAAATTGTATATTTATAGCGTATCACAACAATGAAGCTTTTTGGGCAAGGCTTTGTTAAAGCCCAAAAGGGGCTATTCGAACCAATAAAACGTTAGCCTTATCAAATAGTCTTTGCATTTCACGCGGCTATCATGCCATGATACCCTCATGCCTTAGCGTTAGCCTTACAAGAATATTCAATTATATGATACGGAAACTCATAAAAATGAATCGCAAAGGTCGTTTCGCAGTGGTTCTATATCGTTTTTCTCATTTAGGCTTATATACCTATCTCCTATGGAAATATGACCACTGTCACAATTCTATATGACAACTCATTTCGACTCGTCGGACTTGTCTCTAGACCTAGCGCTTCATAGAGCTCCAACTGTCTAATGTTAAAAGTTAGGATATGGCTTGAAATGAATACTAACAAAGAATAGTTACATATTTGACACTATGAAGGGAGTAACTCCAAGCCCAATTACCGGAACCCATAATAAAGTCGTTGTTTCTAAACGAGTGCAGAAGGGGCCTAGGTCGTAACCACATTCTCTTTCATTGATAGTAATATCCAATACTTCGGTATGATAAATATGTTCGATAAGAGACACGGTTGGCTTTGCTGAAGATGTTTACTCACTCTTCTCTGCCGTCATTATAGAATTGGCTATGAAGCTATAGTATAAAACTCAAACCACCACCACTAAGCGGGTGCCGTAAAGAAGAATTTAAGCCTATAGTCAACATGGATGAACGCTAAGAAACAACACGTGGAAATTGGTCGATATTGTACACTAGCAGTCGTAGTGTCAATTGGCGCAGTCCTTATTAATCATGAAATAAGTAAAAGATCTTATAGACGCTAATCCCGATGCTATAATTTATATCATAGGTATTGCATGATGTAAAGTACAGTCCTTATAGGTGAAGATGGCAATGTCAACCCCTTAAGGTTAACATCGTTCCGTGTACCTTTTGGTAACTATCTTTCGAACCCTTGCAAATCACAAACAGCCGCAAGTCGATGCACATGTATGCAATTTGAGCAAGCTGTCAATACTGATGTAAAACTCTCTTTGAAGTATTAATAACGCTATCTAATTAATTGCATGCTACCTCGCTCATCCATGCCTCATTCATAAGTTCTTGACCTACCCACCAAAGGTTAGAGTATCAACCCAGTACCGAACGGACTATTAAAAATCCAATAATTCCAAGCCCTTTCATTCCTTCATCCAATTAATTCTCAGGTACTAGTGTCATCGCATCATACACGCTCCCAGTAGTCGTATCCATTATGCTCTGATAACAGGTACCTAGCTGGGTACCTGAATAGCGTTTCTCCACCTTCCTTAAATAGCGTCCTGAACCACGCGCGGCACCTCCTGCAGCACCGCACGCTCGCGCTTCGGTTCGCCGTCGGGATGCTGGCCGGCGGCAACAGTATTAGCAGGGCGGTGCTGCTCGAGGACGCTGGGGATTCCGCTGGGTCCAGCCACGCCAGTCGGCCTGTGGTGCTTCTCATCCCGCTTCTCCTGGTTGCCGCGGCCGTGGTCCTTGTCGTCGCCTGGAGGGGGTGGACGGTGGTGATGTCCGGAACCACCGGTCGGGTGCGGGTGGTGGCTGCTCGGGTGTGTGCGGTCAGCGTCCCGTCCCCACAGGCCGTTGCCGCTTCCTGGGTGCTCGGTTGGGCGAGGGAAGCCGCCGCTCGGGTGAGGGAAATGGTGGCTAGTTGGGTGAGTAAAACCCCAATGGTCGCCTCCTTGCCAATCGCCAGAGGAAGGAGTAGGCCGGTGGTGCTCTGCATCTTTCGCCCACGAACCGGGGCTTTCGGGGTGGCGCAGGCCCCCAGTAGGGTGTGGGAAACCGCCAGTGGGATGCGGGAGACCACCGGTGGGTTGCGGGAGACCACCGGTGGGTTGCGGGAATCCGCTATGAGATACGGTGGCCTGGGATTGCTCCAGGTTTCCGAATGGAGCTGCCGAGCTGCCTTGCAACGAGGCTGCTGCTGCTAAGAAAGTAACGAATGATCGCATGGTCGATATGTTGTTGATATGTAACTTGTTTTGTAATGTGGAGAATGATGGGTCAGGTACGTATACCAATTTTCAGGTATGGCCTTGATGAACGAGCGAGAGCTGCTACAAGTAAGAAGAATGAAGGTAATTGCTGGTTTGAGGTTGAAACTGATGGAAATAATTCTGGACCGAAATAGAGGTTGAGCCAACTCCCTTATATGCTCGACATGTTCTTACTTAGCATCATACACGGCAGTGTAGACAACTGCCACAATGCCGCTATTTCTCTTTTTCGACCCTGTTTTTGACGATCATGGCTTCCGCACTTACTTCATGGTCGTGTTGATCACTTTGAATAGTGTATGAACACGCCAGATGGTTGTGCATACACAGCATAGTATCGTGGGTCAGGTACGACCTAAACACCATAGTTGGCCACCCAGCCACTATAATTGACGTTGGTATCCATTATACCTTGATCCATTTCTACACACAGGTGACGAGTCCTAAGTCGTTCTAAGTAGCCGGTCAGAACATAGATTTCGTGATTGCTTGTACATGTTAGCAATTTTCAAGGTGTCGCCATAACCATACTGACAGATAACCTATTGGATGGTCAGGTCATTGTAGATAGGATTTTGTAGAGCCTCTTGACGTAGTGATTTGATCCGGCAGGATTATGTGGCCCAGATCCAACCTCGTTCCAGCCATCCAGCCATCTCACTTACACACATCGGCAGGTTTTTTTTAGTACCCCTGACTTGCCCTAAATCAATTTTTCGGGGCGATGGGGCGCTACCTTAGGTACTATTTAGTCGCAGCATCAAGTACCTTGATGGCCTGGAAACAGAGACATACTGTGTATAACGTTTCTTCATATGTTCAAAAGGCTGTAAACGCCGGTAAACGCTGAAACATTGGAGCGTAACTTGCCAATGTATGCACTGTGTACATACTTTCACATGGCGACGTGGGATGTGGGGTGCTATTTAAAGCTTTTAGTGCTTAAGATCAATCCCTGTATCATGTCTACTAAGAGACAGATCAGGCCTTATTCGGATAGCTATGCGCCAATCGTGGATAACTTTGATGGACCGATACCGTCACCGCTGCAGTAAACAACGAAAGTCAACCAAGGAATATGACATGAAAGCTGGGTAGGCCGGTAGACCGGTAGGTTGGGATTGATACCCGAAATCCTCAAAGCAGTTTTCTCATATCACGCTTCTAGAACGCTCCAAAATATTTCAGGTTTGAAGGATCGTGAGGGGGGTTTGGGGGTTTGGGGAGACAAAATGAGTGAAATGGAGGGGTCGTACTATGGAATGCGCTATGGAATGCACTACGGAATACATATTGCGCCAGTTCTAGACTGGCTGACTGGACGTATGCAGGCAGTTGAGAAAAATAAGCTTTTCTGGACCTCAGTCAAATGCTTGGCATTCAATTTAGAAGGACCCTTAATACATTAGTTTAGGAGGTAACCAGTTACACGTTATCTACCGTTTTCTTTACCATAGTAATAATTTAGGTACCTGTATCTATCAGCCTGTAACATCAAAACGTGCGCTTGATCTGGGACGTTGGTGGCAATACACCTGAATACTTGCACCATTTACACATTACACCACCAGAACATGAAGAACGTGGGATCCGAAATAGGACAAGCCGAGTAACCAGCTGGAAGTTTACGCGGCAGGATTAACGTCATACCGCTGTAAGAATAGTAACGTCGGCCGCTTACGACAATCGCAACCCGTTGAAGACGGGACTCTACTACAAACAACAATGATTGTTCGCATTGTTATTCTAATTTTAGCCCGGCTGTTGATTCAGAAATGTGCCTGCATGAAACTGATATCTTAAAGGTGATTCCAATTTTACCATTCAGGTTTGTACATTCATGTTTGGTGTTCTTTGAAGATGTTTGATGCGCCAAACAACATCATTTGATAGTTCGACATTCGAATACGGCCGAGAGGAGACTTACACAGTCACACTTTGCCGTTGTATCAATTCCAATCCTCCATCGGCTCCTACAAATGCGAATCAAGGGAATCAAGGTGAGACACTCCAAGAAAATAATCTAGTAGCATCTCCCACGGCTAATATCGACCTAAATCTTTGGGGGATTGGATTATACGCACGCATTGAGTATATAAAACGGTCAACTACTAGGAATTATCAACTACACTTTGCGTAACTTTAAGCTACACCGACTTGTTAACCTAATATAATAGTAAACCACGTTGATCCTAGGATTATTCGAGATGTGAGCGTCCGACGCCTGGGATGATGTGGAGATTGAAAAGATGGCATCACCATAACACCATATCTACCTTGCTCGATATATTTATTCGATCGTTGCTACTTGTCGGTGAAGTCTACAGTCCCGGATATCCCATCTTGCGTGATTCAAAAGGAATATGGCCAATTCGGTCTGTCCGTATCATTACGCAATCATTGAGACCGTCGTCTATCTTTAAAGACACGACTGATCCTACTAACAGCCTGGAGTAAAAAGGTGGTTAATCCAGAAAAGGGGCTCCCAATAGGTATCTGACCTAATGTTTTAGGACCAGCCATAATATTCAGCCTCGAGCCATAATCGCTCGCCAAGATGAATATCGACGATGAGCTACATCTACATGTCCCAGCGAATATTCCAATTTACAGTATGTATATCTGAGTGTAAGTACAACAGTAATGGGGACCAGACCTTTGAATTCCCAAACCAAGCATCGTGTCTATATACTATTGACGAGCCCAGTCGACCGCTATCAGATGGACGGCTCGTGGTTCCGTAGTCTTACATGCACTGGCATGCCATCCTTCGGATGGACTGGCCCATCCCCGACACCGTAAAGGCGTCTACCATTTACAATGTGAGTAGGAGTCGCATTAGGTCCTCTGTTGTAAGAAGTTAGCTCAGCTTTCAGCAACATAACTTGCGTTCAGGAGGGACATGAGGGTTGGGCTCAGGTACTCACTGCTTCTTGTCCCACTCTTCCCATGCCTCCTCAATGTCAAACGTACGTGCTATTAATATAGCGACCAGTCTCAGTTCAACCATTGCCAGCTCCATTCCCACGCAGTTTCTGGGCCCTAGAGAGAACGGTATCCAGGCTTCCTTAGTAGCAACGTACAGCGGATCACCCTCAGCAGCCATCCAGCGCTCCGGTAAACATTCGTTCGGTCGCGGCCAGTAGTCGGGATTGCGCTGCACTCCGGGCGCTCCCACCCAGGGTCCGAAGCCTTCCATAGGATACTTGGTCGGCGATCCCGGGACGGTAATGAAGAACCCTGGGATGTGATCGCTATCGCGGACAGTTGCCGCCAGGGGGAACAACCTTAGTGTCTCCTTAATTACACCCAAGGTATACGGGAGCGAGTACAAGAGGTGAGGCGATGCGATCAGAGTGTCCATGGCTTTTTCCGGGTCAGTCCCTAGAACGGAATCATGCTCGGCCCGGAGCCTCGCCAAGCACTCCGAATTGTCTTGCAGTAACTTTAACATGAAGCAGATCGTCGACGAGGTCGTGTCGTGGCCGGCAAACATAAACGCTTTCAGATTCGCTATGAGTTTCTCGACGAAATCATCGTCGAGCTTTTCTTTAAAGGCACCGTCATCCTCCTTATCGACGTGCTTCATCGCAAGATCGACAATCGTTTTCTTCTGGCTCGCGTTGACGTCTGAATGTAACCGTTTTTCTATCTGCGGAAGTAGGAATTCGCGCATAGTCCGATTGTTCCGTTTGAGAGCTGTCCGGTGCCAGAGAGCCAGAAGAGAATACAATGCGCTTGACTTTGACAGCTTCCCCATCAATCGAAGTTGTTCCACCAAGGCAGCCTTGAAAGGGCTGGTCGATGGATTCGACTGCTCATGCAATCGCAAATCTCTACTTTGTGTCAGTGCACTGAAGCGTATAATAGCCAGGCTTGCCACGTTTATACTAACACAGATGCTCTGACAATGATGTCAAAAGTCAGGTTGATCGTTCTCTTCTCGAGCTGAAAAACGGGCCCCCACTCTCCACCCTTACCGGCCATATCTTTAAGCCCATTTGCGAATATCTGGGCCTCTTCGATGAGTTCCGGGAGAAGAGCCGTCAGGTTCCGCTGGCTGAATCCGGGGTTGAACATCGAGCGCCACTTCTTCCACTGCTCTCCTTCCGTAGACACGATGTCCAGGTTCTGCGTCAGCGGGTGCATGTAAGCAGTGGTGACATAGTCCTTCGGAAGACTCTTGGCCTGCGTGAACTGGGCCGCGGCCACGGGGTCAAATACGAGCACGAGAGACCTCGACATAGGCCAAAGGTCTAAGTAAATAACCGGCGGTAATTTATCATGGCCCGGAAAGTACTTGCCGACATTCGTGGCGAGCCAGTAATGGAATTCATAGATATTGACATCCGGAGGGCAAACTCCGCGAAAGGCTGCAAAGATGGGAAGATGGCCGAATAATAGCGAATGCGGTAGTATGGGCTTGGATCAATTAGTTTGGCATTATACTCTTTGGTTTTGAATAGTTGGTTAGTTGGCTGGGCTAACTTACGATTCCCTGGGCTTTCAAACGTCTTACTCGACTTCGTTCAACATATGTTTTGTACAGGAACCGTAATACAACGACAGCGAGCAGGACGTACAAGCCCCGCATGAGCGCGAACACCGCATCAGCCTTCGCCATGTTGTGCGCCCTAAAGCTGTCGCGAAGCAGGTTAGAAAATTACGATGCGCGAGGTGAAGAAAAACCCATGGGTGGTATATCTACGGTTTAAGATGTTCAAATATTCACGAAGTTATTTGATACTCCATCTGCAGAGATTACAAATGATAATTTGGAGATTTATAGAAAGGGGTAAGGATCTGCGGATTTCTCGGCTGGATTTATTTATTTTTATTTCTGCTAATCCCTGAGTATACGGGGTTCTTCGTTATATCAGGTAAAGGTACCTAAACCAAGCTAACCTAAGGCTACTTTAGGTAAACAATCATTCCCTTTGCTTTAACCCACCGCTACGTGTTGGGCAAAGCTTGGTTAGTCGTGCGTCTATGCTTACAGGTTAGGTACCTGTAAATACACCGGCATGGGTTCAGACTTTTCTATTGACGAGCGAAAGCCGAACTCACGCAGCAGATTTAGCCCCCCAAATGACCCCTAGAACAGGGTCCAATACGAAGCACCTAGTCAGCTATTATAACCAGCGAGTCGGAAACTCCAGATTATATAATTCTCCATTTTATTCACCCCCAGATGCTTTAGATAAAGCACACATATGGAATAGCGGGTTAGGCGAAGGAATTTGTCAATTTAAACCACGGCGTTATCGAAAGCTGAGCTAGAACTTGGCTTCAAACTAAGAAACCCATGCGCCGGCGGTTCTATCATTCGACATATTCTTTCTCGTCTCGGTTTTTAGTATTTCTTCGATATTTGGGGGCTCCCAGGGATTTCCGATAACCCTGGACAAGTTGTCAGCTTCTTTTCCGAATCATTCCGGACTCCAAGTCTTTTCGACGAATTCAGGGAGAGACGGGTAGGGAGGTAGGTATCTCACAAGAATCAATGTCTTCTTTGACGGTCCTGTCAATCTTGCACTTGTTCTGGTTGGCGATTGGCTGCGTGGTCAGTGTAGGGCAAGTGACATAGCACGGGGTGTCCATCGTCCTTTGGAGAGCATCGCCCTTCCAGCCGAACAGATAGTCACCATGACTACCATAACCAGTGCTACATAGAAGTCGGTGTCAGCAAAGTGCCTTTTAAGCGTTGCCTTATCGTGAGGCGCGGGGCTGCTTGCTTACTGGTCACCCATGCTCCATACAAAGGGTTGGGATCCGTCCTCAGGCCATTCTTTAGGGTCGTTAAATCTTCAGCAGTTAGAATTCAAGACGAACAGACGAAACGCAACGGGGGTAAAAGGTGAAACCTACTGGCGCGTATCCCAGATCGTCTCATACATGAGCTGGGGAACAGGGACGGGATGACTCTCGGGGCACGGGCCTTGTGAATCGAAGGTGCCGCTAGCTGGGTATGCCATGTGGCTCATGTGGTCCACGGTGTCGAGATTCTTCCCGTCCCAGCAACTAGGTTACTATATATCAGCGGGCTATTCCAACAAGCTCAGTATGCCTTATGCGTTCCTCCACTCACGTTGGGAAGCGAATGTTCGCCATTATACCTGCAGGGCAAGGCTTGTTGGGGAGGTTCTTCGTCTCGGGGAAACGAGTGGTCATGTCCTGCAGACAGGTGTAGGTGACCTGCTTATATTTGTTGGCCTTCTCCGCGGTTCGTGCCATCGCGTCGCCGACGAGCATACGAAATCCCTAAACATATTAGCTTGCTATACTCAGGACGCGACCGAGGATAATAAGAGTTTTACTGGCTTGAAGGCCGTGACCTTCGATCGTTGCTGGTAGTCGGACAAGCCGTTCTGCATGTAATAGACGGTCATGCCGCCCTCCGCGCCGTCGAACCCGACGTTCGGTCGAATAGGTACACGCTTGAAAGTGCCGTTGCGGGCTCTGAAGAAAAGCACAGCGGTCCAATAGTTCGAAGTGTCCTCGGTGAACTGGCAGGTCGTGCAAGTAGACTCGCCGGGCATATCTTTAGCGGGGTCCATGGTCACGTTAAGTGAGTTCTACGTTGATCATTAGCTCCATATCTACTTTCCCCTCTAGCCGTACAGCTGCAACTTACGCCGCCGATGATCTGGTGTAGATGCGGCGAGGGCGCCATGCCCGGATTCACTAACGGGTCGATACGGTCAACTACCAGCTGGGAGCATGAAAATCGAATCAGCGCGCTTGCTGGCGCAGCTAATGCTAGCGCGGCGAGCGAAGTCAACTGCATTCTGTTCACCTGGCTTCAAGTCGATGATGCGGCGATCATCGTATGAGTAAGAGCAGCAACTACAGATATAGACCGCAAGATGAAAGGGTCGCGGCAGGCTTAATGTTTTTATTCATTCTCGGCACTGTATTTTTATATGGTAGCCCGGCTAGTCACCCTAGTAGGGTGAATAATAATGGGATTATAGGACTACGAAGGCTACATAAATTAGACTTTGGTGGTAGGTACTCAATTCTGTTAGATTGGCCACAACACAATTGGCCATTCTCTGGTTGATTACTGCTTTTCGAAAGAGGAAAAACGAGTATTGGCGACTCGAGGGTAACTTAGCGATGTTCCCAACTGCCGTAAATAGGTTGACTATATTCTTCCCTAGGCACCTAGGTACGTTTCCGAATATGTCAAGATCGATATTAGCCGGAATGGGGTAGTTCCAGTTAGTTATAGCCTCCAAAACCCCATGGACTATGGAAATGGCCGGTCCAATCAAGACGGACAGAATGGAAGATATCCTAGGGTGTAAGCCAAACACTGAAGTAGCCAGTGACTCCTGCACCAAACTGACTGTCTTCTTAAGGGGTACGCACACTCAAGTATTTAGTGCCAACACGGATAGAGGTTTGGGTTCAATATAAATAAAGGACTGCTCATTTGTGACCGACAAGCATTGTCGATGTCATTGGCTTCTTTGAACTTTTAGTATCTCACTTGATAGGACGAAGGGGAATACAGTATCGAGTTATCAGATGAGTTCGGTCCTTCACTTATTATCAAATATAGATTGATGCAACCATCTGACAGAGACACAAACCGCTGAGCCAAAAGTGTATTTCTTAATAGCACAATTGCTATTACAGTCTATCTGACCATGAGTGGTATTGCCACTCACACCATCCTTTACCTATACTCGCCCCATGACTAAGAATTAGCCGCCTAGAAGCGCGTTTAAATTTACCATTATATAGTATTAGGTGGATTGTCTGGACGCGAGGACATAACATGGAACTCTATGCGCTTGAGTTCCCAAAACAGACACCAAGACATACTGGATAATGCGGACATTTCCCCGGCGCATTCGATCAATAACAAGTAGATATAAGCCTGTGTTGCTATAGAACTTTTCTCAATAGCGTAACATAAGATCCAAGGAGAAGTAAACTTCTTAGGAAGAGCCACGTCTCTTCCACTCCGCGTAGAAGGAAGTGACAAGTAAAGCACACCTAAATACACAACGCCCAACCAGAGTAACCAAGCTACCAAAAAGGAGACTAAAAAATCTCTAGAAATCTCTAGCAATCAGCCCATATTTCTATCCATCCATTCCTCTTATTTCTGTCCTGGAATGATGCACGAGCAGAATCTGATTGGGAGCGGTTAGTTTCTATATATCGACCACGGAAACAGTAACTCGTTGAGTCTTACTTTCCAACCCGGCTTTGAACACAAGTCGGTTCCCTTCGGGGAATATGCTGCGTGCACGAGAGGCGCACGCAATCATCAGCAGTCTTGCAGGGATAGTGAGGACTGGCTGTCCCGGTTGGTTGAGGATAACTAGTAGGGTGTGGTCTGTGATGACTACCTCGACCTAGAGGTAGATAAACACTGGTTGGATGAGGATGATGGGGTTCACCCGTGCCCGTGGGTTTGTGGTGATGGTATTGCCATGTCGAATGCTCCGATGGGACTATAGGAGGGCTAGCTTCTCTCCCTACTCATTCATTGTTAGTTTCTGTTCGTGATCTCTTGTCGGCGACTCGGGGCTACGTACGCCATTCTGGAATGTTGTAGGGCAGTTCAGCCTGGACACCTGCTAGGCAGATGCTAATGAAGACGGAGAACAAGGACGTGGAGGTCTTCATTTTAAGTGTCGTAGTCGATAATCTATAAGTGCCTAGGAAGCTATGGTGTTGATTATATGACGCTCGTCCGACGTGGTTATGATGTGATAACTCAAGGAAATACCGGAATTTCGACGAAGGTGGACGGTCTTTAAATAATAGAATTTTATACCGAGCTTCCAAAAGCTGGCTATGCTAACTTATCCTCATCATTCCGTTATAGTGAACGTACAGAAAACAAGACCATAAACTCCTGCAATGAAGTATCCAAGTACCTGGTCCTGGCCGGATTGCATGTGCAGATGGCTTCTGCATCATCCTTCTGGGATGATATTCCCTGCTACGATCGGCACGTTCCCGCTGCTGTAAGCGCATCCCGTCAAGTTAGCCTAGTGCTGAATAAAGCCGCTCCGTGTTCAGAAACGCCTAAGCTCGAATGAGGCGCTATGTTAGAAGACACAGAATTATCGATATCCAACTCGGCGGACCCTGACCGAACTCCTATAACTACCTCCTAATGTACGTCAACGAATCCACAACGATCAAGCAAACGCCGGACGGCCATTAAAGTGGCTAGGCTGATTTGGCGTCGTGGTCATGCCGCGTTATGATGCAGAAGCTTAACTGAGCCACATTCGATATAAGGCGGAGAAGGGGGAGAGTTGAGATGAGATACTCGACAAACAGAGAATAGGTAACTTACCTGTAGCAGACGCCTCAGTTGACAACCATAGGCTCAGAGCTTGGTTCCATGCTTCTTCTCCGTATATATTCTATACCTCAAGGAATTGTTTTGTTAACATTAATTGTTCTTTATTAAATTCGTCTCATTGACCGACATAGCGTCAAAAGGTATCATTAGGATTGAGCCACACATCCTGACATCCCACCTCGTCGGGACCCCCGCGCTTTTAGAAACATGGGTTTTGCCCCCACCCCCTAAAGAAAAGAAGATCTGTTTCTATCTTTAAAGATTTTGCTAAATAAAACTCAGCAATGATATCACTCTCGCTACATGCTGCCTTGCTAAGGCATCCTTGAAATAAGGCATCTCTCAACTCTTCGATACAGCTTTTAGGCGAGTTGTACAGAATACCAAGTAGATTCAAAGATTCCCTGTTTTCGGTGTTCTTGTAACTAACCATGTTTGTAGAAGATATCTTCGCAGTCTCAATAAGCCACGTTACGACGCTCGGCGGCTTGTAATTGTCAGCCATCAGCTTAGTTAAGAGAGACCGGCCGAAAATATTCAGCCTCACTAATAGGTAAGACGTCGGACCAGTTATCTTGTTGTTATTGGCAACTCACGCTACATTTCACAAGCCCCGACGCCTTTTCCTCTGCCACCAATACGCTACGGACACCGAAATGCCACATTTCGTCGAGGCTTATTCCGTATCCGCCGTTGAGATCGACATCAGCGATCGGCGCAAGGCTGCTGACAGGGAAAGTGTTCAGAACTACATTTTCACCAGGCACAACCGGCGATCATGAAATCATAGAAGAATATATTTAACACGTTTCAATCCTTCTATAGAAGTGTATAATAAAACTAGTGCATTCTTTCTCTCAGCTCCATGTCCATTCCATGGAAGCCAGTTACCTACCTACCTACCTGAGGTACCTACCTAACCTATGTAGGGTACCTGATCCCTTTCTGCTCAATCTTTAAGACGTCGGCGCGTTCAACACATACTCGCTGACCCAGCGGTTGACGACGTCATCATCCTCATCAGGATACCGCCGCGAGATCCCTTCTTGCGCTTGCAGCAGCAGCTCCTCGACTGTCGGGCGGTAGTTCGGTTGGTGGTACATGCATTGATATATGGCCGTCCTAAGGTCCTCGTCGATGTATTCAAAGTCTCCGTCCATTAGCAAGGCGCAGTACGATACCGGCATGCCCGGCTGGATGTGCCAAAGCAATTCATCAATACGGTCGGCATTTTTAGGTATATTGATTCCCGGCGGTATTTGAGCTTGAGGCGGCATAGGCGGGATTCTTTGGGTTATCAAAACCCACATCGTCTTGGGAACAGTTAGTTACTATAACAGGCACCTAAGGTACGGGACACGTATAAGGGGGATGGATTAGTTACTTACCAGTGCGATACCCCATACGTTCGTTGCCGAGCAGTATCTTCCTGCTATTTGATTTTCTCCCGCCTCTTGCCCGTCAGGATCGGCAGGAATTCGCTCCCATTCGGCTCCGAATTGTTCCTGCAAGTGGTCATTAGTTTGAGCTCGCGAACCGCGAATGACGGGGTTGGGAGAGTAGAAGATGAGGAATAGGTCAACTTACAGGTGCATAGAACCAATACTTCCCTGTAGCTCGCCTCCTCACGTAGTAGTCGCTATATCCTCTGTTAGCAGGATCACCAATGAAATGCAATGGATGAGTGTTACCAACTTTCGTTTATAGGACTTGATTTCTTGTGCCAGACCAAAGTCTCCGAGCTATTAATTGTCAGGCTTTAGTATCCACGCTATTATGTGTCCCTTGATATGGCCCACGTACCTTCAATTTGGGAATGAATATATGCTCTCCCCATGTCCTATCGTCATGATATACATCGTACTTTCGCTTCCGCGGTTGGGATTGAGCAGGCTCGTCTTGTTTTTTTTTGTCAGACGGTTCGCCGGTCCATCCTCCTACAAGCCTCGTGAAGTAGCTCATCATTGCTTGGAAATGCGAAGGCGTTTCCCGTTCTCCCTCGTTAGAGCTACCTTCGATAGGGTCATAGATTACAGTGTCTTGAGAAGAGCTAGAATTTTGCGAGCCTTCGTTGGAATTCTCGTCGACGAAGTCTTCCGGCCGCTCAATGTTTCCAATAAGGACTAAAAAAGATACTATAAGTTAACCGCTCGGGAACTCTACACAGGGAGGGGAAATACTTACTGTTACTCGGGTCGATATCAAAATGAACCATGTTTTTTCCTCTCCATCTCTTACGAGCAGGAGGGGCATCTTCAATCAGGTCACTTCTCGCGAACCGCTCCGGGTGGAATTTGCGGGGAGGGTATTTCATGCCTACGCAGGCTCGTACCACTACATTACATGTTAGATATCGAAGAGGATCCCACGGAGTATCTCAACTTACAACAAAGCCACATTGCCCACTACCGTAAAGAGAGTTAGTGATTACTTCAAACAAATTCTGAGGGTATGATTCAAAAAGGGAGCGGAGAAGAGAGCGGGGATTCGATGATACATACGAGTACTCTATTCGGGATCCGTGCAACTTGTCCGGGGCCGGTTGTGCTCCCTATTTTATTGATTAGCATGCGGAGGTCGCCACCCTCGATATACTCGAGAAGTATAAAATCCTTCCTAGGACCCATCGCATCGTTTCGCTCGATCCACTGGGCGCGTCGCCGTTCGTAATCCCTGGCTCGTTGATGCTGATCCGCTGGGGTATCGCGACCTCGGATAAGTCTGGGAGGACGTCTTGGATAATCGATGCTTTCGTCACCGCTGGAATCTTCGGAGCTAGAAGAATCGTCTCCAGTCGGCATCGGGTGGTATCGCGCTTGTCGAGGTACGCCGACTTCTTCTGGGTCTACCAGCTGAACCGCATGCACCGCTCCCGTCAATTTCTAGATACATCGTGAGCAATCTCTATCTCTATCTGAAGCGGGCTATATGCTGAACTTACTGCCATGGCCTGTTCCTCCTTTCGTAAATCGTCGGCTACCCATGATTTGAGGGAGAGCTTCATGGCGACATCTGTGGGTGTCTGATCACCGTCGTGTCGAAAATGAAGGGCCAGTCCCACTAGAATTATAATTTTAGTTAGTAAATCGCTCAGCTTAAAGTCGTGTTACAAGACAGACTTATATCTGGGTCGTCAAGGGTTCTACTCACAACCTCCGTAGCCTAAGACTTTCTGGAAACGAAACATGTTATTATTAAAGTACTCTTTGGCGTTTGCTAGCCTGGTCTTCACCGAATTGACCCACGGGTCATTGCCAAGGGTCGGGTCCTCTATATCCGGCATTCCAGCTGCCACTGCCGAAGGGTTCCGATATCGATGCATGACCCAGGGTGCCTGGTTTCGAGTGAATATGGCAGGCCGAATAGGCCTAGGCACGGCCATTTGTATCCAATTCGACCTTGATAACCTCACCTCTTCCGCGGTCCATGATGAAGGTGCCTTTCCAAGCCTCCGGAAGGCATAGAACTTATAATTCCGTAATTGAGCTCGTTCGTAAGAGTCTCTTGGTTGCCAATTGGCAACCAGATTTGCAGCCATGATGGCCGCCTAGAAAGTTAATATCCGATTATCCAAGGGAATTAACATTCAAGGTATTTTAAGAACTGACAAGAATGGTAACTAATTCGCGGTGAGTAGTAAAACAACTTGAAGCATCTGAATGTTAGGTTACCTACGAATCGTTTTAAGGTACGGTAGGATGAATAGCTCTGCTAACAACATGTCACAATAAAGGGCAGACAATAGGTTTCATAGTCAGGATGGGAAACTATTTTTTTGAAAGATGCGATACACGCTCCTTACTTGGCCTTTCAGCTTTTTTTGACATTATGCCATTGCAATTAAAGCACATGTTCTCAGACAATACATTTTGAGCATGTTGTCGCTTTATGAAACTATGAAACTACGAAAGAGCATCAACCCCGTCCCCTGTCCCCTGTCCCCTGTCAGAAACTCTGTGAAGCTCCTTGATATTCTAATTATTGTCATAAAGTGAAAAGGTAATAATAAGTTAAGTTGTTTATTGAGTCTATTTCCTAGCCGTGATAATTGTAGAGTGATAACCCCTTTATGTACTTAGGTACCTAACCTAGAGAGGTATAATCCTTCCCAATACCTTAGGCACCCCTATACTTTAGGTAAACAATCGACTTCATTGGCCCAAATATCAACCAGCAGCGAAGTAAAGTTCAAGGTAGGTACCCATCATAAAAATCTATGTTGATGAGTTCGAAAGCTTCAGTTGTAGAGGGTCTTGTCCATAGAGAATAAAGCAATTGTTAGTTAATTTTGAAAGTAATTAAGAGACCATCATCATAGCCAAGTTGGCACATTCTCTACGCCCCTTACTATTAGTAAGACATAATAAGATGTACCTAATATTTTATTACTTCAATTCCATTAACTGAGTGTTTGATCTATCTCTTCGCCGATACATCTTAAACCTTTGCAGATTTATGATAAGTTTGTTGTTGGTATAAGTGAAGTGTGCACTTAGGCACCTAGGAGGTACCTAATGACCAAAATGACTTGTGGTTGAAAGTGCATTATTATTACCTATCACTTATAAGAGGTAGGTACATTCACTTACAAGCAGAGTTCATCATATATGAGGTACCTTGCTCCCTTGACGTAGGGATAGTCGAAAATCGGCAAAGAGCCTCAATGCGCCACGACGTCATTTTCCAAAAAAAAAAAAAAAAAAAAGGTTTAATAAGATATCTGGATATAAGGAAAACAATGTCATACAAGACGTCACTCCCCCACTAAATTTTACCTCGGAGTGCGAAGATATATGCATTACGATACTTTTGCACGACGCCTTAGATCCCCGCGCTATTTCCCCTTCTGGAAGTCTGTTTGGACCTCGGACATAATTATGACATCACCAATCATCATCTTTATCAATACAGGTATTACCTATATCTATCACTGACATCTTTTTTCAATTCTTGCCTTACCTACTTTCTGTCTGTGGATTTATTAAGTTTCATTACCTTAGATATCTACAGCTTTTATAAACATAACCACTTCTATTTATAACGTATAATAATCATACAAGCATCAACCCAACCCAAAACCACCATCATGTCTTTTCTAGAAGTCACCGCTCGCCGTCTGGCCACCACCTCCAGAGTCGCCGTGGTTCCTGCACCCCGACACTTCAGCACAAGCATCGCAGCACAAAAGTCAGTCACAGAAGCTGCCAAGGACACATTAAAAACAGTAGATCGAAAGGTCTCGGATAAATTAGTCGATGGTATCAACGTAGGAGGTAAGTTTTTTTTTTCGGTTTTTTTTTTTTTTTTAAATTATTATAACAATCTGCCATTGAAGCTGCCAGCTCCATTCTAGTACCTCTTCGCAAAATCATATCATCAGCATAGAGCTATGTTTACTAACTAGCAGTCCTCAAATAGCAAAGCTCGCATCGAAAGTCAAGGGCGATGCCGACACGGGCAAGGTAAAAGGCACAGCCGAAGAGATCCGCAGCCAAGTGAAAGGGGCAGCTGAAGAAGCTGAGGGCAAGGCAAAAGGGGCAGCTCAAGAAGCCGAGGGCAAGGCAAAGGGGGTAGTTCAAGAGGCCGAGGGCAAGATCAATGGAAGTTCATAAGAGTTTGTATGAATTGAAGAAAGCTTTAATGTTGCACTTTGGATAGGGGATGTCCATTGTGCGCCTGTATGATAATGAGACCATTCAAAGGACGTCTTTAATTGCACAAACTGCCCGAAATGCTAAGCTATCAACTCATGGAGCATAGTTGAACGAACTGAAAAGTGCACCTTATCATTGTTAGATTACACTTCTTTGGATACCCTTGATGTCAGAAAACTAACACGGGGGCACCCAGGAGCTGATGTGTCCGCCACGGCTCCAACCGCTACATGTTTCTACTTATAGCGTCCGGAGTGCTACTACAAGCACGCCGAAGAGGTACGAACAACCCTGTGAGCTGGAAAACTCATGGCGTACTTGGAGCTGAGCTTGGCTCTTGCTAAGACACTGGTGTCTATGACTTCGAAGTGGCACCTGAAGTGCTTGGTCAGGTTGGGGTAGGCGAACAAGGTGAATCTTGCCTAGGTACCTATGACATTTTACTTCGACTTACGATGGGTCATACCTGGTATTTAGACCCCCACGACACGTTGAGGACTTTGTGAGGATACTTCGACATATCAGTAAAAGCGTAGAAAGGGGGCCAAGCTAGAAAATCATCGTCGCTGACTCTAGAGCCGAAGTAGAATGATACAATATAATACATACAGGCTACTCAAGACTCTTTGAACAATTTGGGCCGGTGCGTCACCCTTCTGCTTATGTCCCACCGAATCAATACCATATTCATGTATGAATCATCTTGGCTCGTCAGTTCATATAGGCCCCAAACGAATCAGACCCAACTAACGAATTGACACAGTTGCGAAGTCGAGACGGTCCATTCTAAAAGCCTCCCTGCCTAGGTATCTATCTACCTCCTATATAGCGGCTGCTGCTTTCGCTTTCTCTACTCCTCTCCCCATATTCCTCAACCACTACTACTTACAGTCTCCTAACACCCTCGGGCCACCACCACCATTCCGATCTACAAATAATTCCTTGAAGCACCAGTATCTACATTTCAGCATGCCGTCCAAGCCTAGAACAGCCAAGAATTACTTCGAGGCAAATTATAGCAAAATCAAAGAGCATCTTTGCCAAGTAAAATTCGTCAAAGATGTTCAATTTTTCATTTCCAACGACAACGAGCCATACCTCTGCGTTGTGCTCACCAGGCGATACGATCCAAACCGCTTCGATGATACCGTTGGGGACATTGAAGCATCACTACTGAACTACGACGTTCGCGATCACGGAACGGATATTCTTTGCTTGGACGACATGTTTAACTTTGTCATAGTGGCGAGGACATATAGCACACCTTGGAAATACACCAGGTTACGATGGTTTGAGGGACTTGAAAATCCTTCCAATGAATACGGCGGGGATCTGCCCTATCGAGTCACTATAGGGTAGCTTGATGAATTGTTTAAGCCATAAAGCTGGACATATGGGAGGATATAATAGGAGACCACGGAAATGGGTTCTTGGAGCATATCTTAGTGTTTTCTTTCACGACATATCAGGTAACTTAGCCACTGCAATGTCATTATACACATCATAATCTTATACCAGGTACCTAATATATCTATCAGGAGAGGTGTGTAATTGCTAGACAATCTGTCTCTTCCAGCTGGCTCCAATTCAAACTACTTTTTCTTTCTCTAGCCTATTCTGCCTATTCTACATTGCATTCTTAGTCAGGGAGTTATACATACCGGTTAACTTAGCAGGCATAAAAGGCGAGAAAATACTCGAGTAAACACTTTGTAGACCGTAAATATCACTTCCCCGCCGTCTTCATCTCCTCTCCTTTCTTCGCGTTTGCGAGGATCGCGTCGGCCACGGGCTTCAGCGCTCGGTGGGGCAACTCGTGTCCGCAATCATCAATAATCACCAACGTAGCTCCCTCCACGCCGTCCCTCAGGGCCTTCGGGTGTTCCACCGAGAATAGCTGGTCCTTAGCCCCGTGGATGACGACAGTCGGGCACTTGACGAGCTTGAGCGCCTCCCTGGGCCATCTTACTCCCGACGCGTCCGAGTGGTTCGTCTTAGTCCACATCGTCCCGCTCTCCCGCTCCCGGCGGTACGTAACCTCCGCTATGCGTCTCGCGTCCGCCCTCTCCTCTTCCGTAGGCGGCTTGGTCGCCATGGCGAGAGACATCGTCGCGTAGTGCTTAATCCAGCCCTCGTGGTCGTCGCGATCTGTGGGCGGATCAAACGCGTCGGTGAGTATATAATGCCCCTCCATCTGCATCGACGGCAGATTGTCCGTTTCGTTCTGTATGCGCCCCACCGGGCTCGTGAAGATGAGAGCTAGACTCTCGACGATGTCGGGAAGTCGACCCGCTGTTAACCAGGATACCGGTCCGCCCATGCTCGTGCCCATCAAGTGCACACGCTTGAGCTTGAGGTGGTTTATGAGCCCCACAATATCATCCACCATATCATCGAACGTGTAGGCGCGCTCTCCGTAAGGCGGCTCTGGGAAAGAGGTCGAAAGGCCGGTGTCCCGGTAATCGAACTGGACAATGAAGTGAGGATGGTCTGGTGGGCTAAGCAACCGGACAAACGCTTCGGGGGTCTGGGTCATGGACATTCCATATCCCGAAATTATAAGGATAGCTGGGTCTGAGGGGTTGCCAGAAGTCTGGTAGCAGATCTTGCAACCGTTCGGCAAAGTAACAAAGAGTTCCCCTGATGTCTCCATTGTGTTAGATAATAGAGAAAATGCACTCCTTGATATGTATGTTTAGGTATGTCGTAGTAGTGAAATTATTCAAGAGTTCATCATTAAATACCTTGTTTGGTCAAGTAAACCATAAACAACATCACATCGTAGCGTGTAATACCTGTTAACAATCACCAATAAGAGAGCTAGACAGAGCGCAGGCAGTGGGGCTTTCAAGGTATAGTATACCAATCATATTGATTCTCTCCTCTCTACACAATTCCTACGAGTCTGGAACACGATTTCAAGATCTAACACGTAAAACTGAGCCTCACTATCACAACTTCTTTGAGACCGAGTTATAATGACAGCGTCGCTGAATAATTTTGTAAGGACCAAGCAAACCTAACAAAGGATTAGTTTACTGTTGCTTCCCAACAGTTCAAAGCCATGAAGCTGAAGAGTTTCCTTTTTTTAATCTTGAATAAATTGGGTTTAGTAGTCTTCGCCTTTATAAAGCCTGGGCGAACGTTGAAAGCCGAAGGTATAAGAAATTCTCAGCAGTCACAACCGCCAAACCCTATTCTACGCACTTACATACAAGTTACAGGTTTAGTTATAAATACCAGTTTTATAGAAATTGCCTTATCTACTCCAAGTACTTGGCGAAAGTTTAACAACACAGTTATAAACGATACCATCGAGCGTAGGAAGTGAACCTTGGGTATCAAGGCGTAGTTTCTATCTATTATCACATAACTAAGTGACTACTGGATAGCGCCTATAAAACTTCTAACCCGATATTCACTTGGCGATCGAGGATATTACTACACTGTCCCGAATTTAGATGCTGTGAATCCAGCGCTCTAACTAGTACTAAGCTCGACATATTAATCACCCACTCACAGCTCAAACCATATTACGAAATACGGCATTCGGTCTGCCTATTCTTATAAATCATACTGCCCAGTTAACTTTCTATCCCAGAAAAACCTCAGCCAGTATCAACCGCCTTTGCATCGGACTTGAAGCTTTTCAAATAGCACCTAGATACCTGCCTACCTGTTCTTACGCGCTATCGAAAACCCCAACGCACCGAGTATCTACCTTAGGTACCCACCTATCCTATCCGCCGAGACGAGATGTTAGAACTCGAATTCCTCGACGGCGACGACGTCGAAGTCTACTACCGAACGAACCGAAGCCTCGTCACCGAGTACCTGAAGAGCAAAGTGGCGCACGTCGATGGGATCGGATACTTCCAGGGGAAAGTCGGTCCCGCGTCGGTCCTGTACCTCGTGGTGATCGTCGACGAGGAATGCCCCAACGACCCGGAGAACGAGCTCGTAGCCGAGGGTATCAGCAACGAGATCTTTGACGCCTTGGACGCCTTCTACCCGCTGCCGGGGCTGCATCCCAACCATACGCTTTACACCCTGATCCAGAATTACGTAGTTGTCAAGAGAGATGGCGCCGCGCCGTCGGGGTATACGAAGGTGTGGTGGCCAGAAGGGATCCACGCGCCTCGCGGCGAGTATGGAGGCTAAGAACAAGACCGGGTGGATGGACTGGATCGGGTTGGATATTCGGCTGGCTAATCGGGCCACTTTTGTTATGTGGTTCTCATGGTTCTTAGTGGAGGGTCTAGGTAGGACTCCTCCTTATCGAGAAGCCATATCGGTTTCCCCCTAACTCTTAAGTAGTTCTGAAGACTACTGCATGTTATCTAATACGTTAGGTAATCAATGACCTATCTCATAAAGTCTAGGCAGCTCTATTGATATGATCTTACGTGAAATGTTGCCCACGGCATGTTGTGTGTGCCTTATATCTACCGTGCTCGAGGATCGCAAGTCTCATTAGCCAAGACTTGTCGAAACTAAGGAGTACCTACCTCCTAGTTAACTAAACCTTTACGCGCGAAGCAAACCCAATATCTGTAGATGTCTCATATCTACCTAATAATATGGCTTATTTCATAGATATAACTTGCCTTAGGTATATATATAGCAGAGTAAACAACCAATAGGCTTAACCCTCAGAACAGGTAGTGAACCAAGACGAGGACTTTACTCGTATTAGGTGTGTATTCGCTGCAGTTATGCAGTTATGCATTTATAACAGCGCACGGGATATAAATGTTGCATACTGTCTTATGAAGAATTCTGCCTACCAGGCCTGACTTGTCGTAAAGTATCTAGTCTAGTCGTATGGATATCTAGACGTCATACCTGTTCTATACTCGGCAGCTCTTAGTAACCTGTATTTAGGAGGCGTATTCCAAATGTATGAGATTAGCGGCGATTAGGTAATATCTTACGGAAAAGCTGAGAATAGTCATATCTACTTGGAATAATACGGAGGTTATTCTGTGCTTCAGGGAGTTCGAATAATACCTAACTCGAGCCTATCCTCGAAATGGTATTTGATAGACGTTGAAGCGAACTGTTGTTGACTCGGCATGTATGTAGGGGTCCTAGATAGGAATAGCCACGAGACAAAAAAGAATGGTAGAAAATTATTAAGTAGATAGGTACGGAAGGGGTTCTTCGATTCATGAATATCAGTTTATGCACCCCCTATTCGTGCTAAAATGAGCAGTCAAGGGCTCGCTTCCAGGTATGGTACAATAGACTCTTGGCAGGAACGCATATAATCAAGGCCCCTCCTCCACTCTCGTAAACTTGTCATATCAAGTTGGTTTATGGTATCAGAACATGCATCGTCGTTTAACTAAAATCTTATCTTCTAAGACCACTGAAGGACTAATTTTGGCGTCGTCCAGTGGGGCAAAGAGATACGATCATTGGTCAACGTGAAGGCAAAAGACTCAGTTGGTAAATCGCAACGCAGTCGAGCCACACACCACATGTCGTATATTTGTCGACGTTCCTCGCCTAGATTGGTAATCAGTCCGACGCTTACGGCAACCATCCAGTCGGTACAGAGCATAAGCGAAGGTGGCCACGTCTTTAGATGTTCTTAAGTAGCCCAACATGCACATTTTCTATTATACTGGGTATAATCAGCAATAATATGACGCCGTGAGATGTTTCTCGGTTAGGAATAACATATTTGTGCCTAAGGATCCTCTATACTGGGCAGCTTCGTGCCTTTGGTGAGTGGTATTTTGTAAGGGGGTAAGAAATTTGCTGGTAAACAATTATCTACAGAGCGAATTCCGCAATTCCTTAGCTGTTCAAAATACAGAGCTTGTTATTTTGAGTACTTTGATAGTAAGTTTAGCTCTGTAAAGTATATGGTCTACGAAGTCCACCCACCTACTAACTCGGGAGTAATATAGCACCCAGATGAACTGGTTAGCTTCCGACGAGGTAATTAGTCCACATATTTGCATACCGCCTGCGCAAACGCCCGAGTGGAATATATGTAATCACGCCGTTATGGTTAAAGTGACTGCAGCGATGGGTCCACTACGTCGCTAGAGCTGGAATGTGACACCTACACAAGGTAGAGTGTGCCACGGAAAAGGACTATACCGGTAAGGATAGGAATGTAAAGCCCTTGAGACGTATTCTTCAAACGAATATGGAGACGGAAACTGGTGACGAAACCTAACCCCAAGTAAAGAAACAAGCCAGAAATACCAGAGGATTATTTGGGTCCCAATGATCATCAGAAGAAGTGTTACTCGTAGGATGATATTACATGGTGCCGATTACGTTGCCATTTAAGAGTCGTGGCCTGCATATTCGGGTACATGTTCGCCGGTCCAAACGAAGTCGTCGCAAGCATTATCTAACCTCAATCGCATCGGGTTAACTATTTGGTTTAATCCGGTATATAGTGCTGGCCTCATTCGCATTCTGATATGGGTGATTACCCCAGGTCTTGTCAGGAGAAACGGGGCCTAGGGCATTGCACCCTATTACAGCATAGCTGCCGCGTCATCCTAGGTGCTTGATGTCACGTCTCTCAAACCAGGATAAAATCAGCGGCCATACAGGGGAAGAACTGACAATTGCATTTGTCTACTCCTTCTTCCGAATCCAACCAGCGAGGCCGACTACCAGGTAGGTTATGCGGCTCTGCATCGTATTCATCAACAAGTAGCCGCCAATCAGGAAAACATCGGTGGATGAATAGAGTTGAGCCAGCTTTCGTTTAATAGATGTTTCAACGACAGTAATCGGCGCCCGGACTACATCTGGAGATGTTTCAAGTTTCAGAAAATACCCGCTTACGGAGATAATGTATGATTGCCAGTATCTTGTGGTCCTCGTTTCTCGTAACCATGTTGTTCACTCGACATTCTGATTCAGTTCAAGCTCGGCCGCAAGCTAAATCGACAAAAATACCAACGTGGGGAATTGTTACCATTCCGTAGATTCTACTGCAAGGTAGGTATGTAAACCGTAATCCGACGGGAAGATTATTTCTGATACAGTTATTTAACTGAAGGGCTAGCAGCTGACTTGTTTAATATTAGTGCTGATCTCTAAATAGGGGGCATCATTATTTTTATTTATATGCTACTTCCTACTGCATCGTAGGGTGTCTAGAGTGTCCAGGGGAAATTGAAGCCGCGTCACCCTCCGAACCGGCGTATTGGGCTAGCAATTAAACAATGCCATTTAGGGAATGGTATTCGTTTCAATCAGCAAAGGTTCTTACATCAACTTTTCAGTATCAGGCCTCGTAGAGTATAGCGTATATAGTTATCTTAGGCTCGACTATTGCAACTATTGTTTTCCTTGGTACTATTGCTATGTACCTCGGTGGTTTGCGGAGTTGTCACACGTGGAAGTTAGCGGTAAACCGCAATGGTGATGACCCGCCTGAATTTTGGTTGGCGCCCGCATTGTTGTATCGACGCCTTGGCAGACGACGCCAAGGCCGCTAGCAGGGTCGGTGAAGACTTGTGTTTTCCAAGGAACAAGTCTTGCGCTGGTTTTTTTTTTTTTGGATGTATTCCTTTATTTTCTATTCTCTCCAAGTAAGAATGCCGGAGGGTGTACTGTACATAGTACCGTAGTGATAACAACCTGCATATGTCAAAACATAGATAGGTACCTCCTATGTAAGTGCAAAACTGTGGGCTTCAAGAGTGAAACAATTAATCTTCAGAAGAAAAGAAGATCTTAAGTAAAATAAGCTTGAATCAACAACAAGTTCTGTCGAATAGAGAAGAAGTCAATATTATAGATATGCCTACCTATATTGTATGGCATGACGATCAGAGAAAGATATTAGCGTTGTTTGAAGCCTCATTGGCCGCAGGGTTGGTGCTAGTAATCTTTAATCTGTCTGTTTGTACGGCAGGTGGTAAAAAGTAAAATCGTGATCTTCTTAGACCCCTCCAACCACGGCAAGACGGCTAGGAGACGGGATCGCAGCCTGATACCGGATGCGCTGCTCTCTTGTTTTCTTAGAAAGACTTGGCTATGACACGAAACGGATCGGATTCGATGGAGTGGATGGAGGCTGATACGACGGCACTGAAAAACCCGAACGAAAAGGGTGACACAAACGCAGCTTATGTTAAAATGCTACCTAACGGTAGTGTAGTCTGAGAATAGCATAGGGAATGAGATGATACATCAGTTTCCATTATAATCGATTGCATTTTTCAGTGCGTAGGCTGGTAGGACACGTATAAAACAGAAGACGCCAAGAGTTTGGGAGGTTACAATGCCAAGTCTCTTGGAAGAGGCGTTTGACAAAACTGGACAAGTAACATAAAAAGCCAAGACTCTTACCGATGCCGATTATCCGGGGCAATGGGCATGACGAAAGAAGCTTTTTCTTCTTTTTGTAGTCTCAAGGTGAAGGAAAAGTCATAGCATCGATATTCATAAGTTTGAGCGTATGCGGGGGGATATAAAGAAAAAAAAATAATGAACAAGGTTAAAGTAAAACAAAAATTGTTGTAACAGGAAATTAATTACCTTGCAGTTCCTTCCATATAAATTCCATTATATTATACTATTTGCAACGTAGTACATAGAATTAGGTACCTCGGTAAGTAAGGAAGTAGTTTGGGTTATTATTAGGTTAGGTTAGGTTGGTCAGTTTGTTTCGAGAACTCAGCTTCCTTCTCAATAGGAAAGCCGAGGATTCCCAGCGTCGGATACAGCCAAAACCCCCACCACGTCAGAGCCAATTTATCTTAAATATTACCACATTCAGTTTAGCTAGGGATATATTTCCGTCGCGTACCCACATACATATAGTAGTTGACTAATCTTATAATGTGCCTACGAACAACTAGGTAATTATAGTGGTTTACATTAGGTTCTATTAGGCAGTTAATTAGATACCAGTTCTAACGTGGAATAAAGAGAAATAAATAGAAAAAAGAAAAAGGTGTTGGCAGCACGCGACCAATTCGCCAAGAGATCACAATACCTAGTAGGCACGCTAAGGTAGGTTACCTAAGGTAGAAACCACAAAACTTCGAAACTCCCACATACACCAGTACCTTAGGTATTGGAACTGCACAAGGTTATACGTAACCAAACCCACCTCGCCGTAACTTCCAAAACAGCTTTGACTTCATTAACCCCATTAACTCCATTACATAACACCATTTCGTCACTGCCCCTGCCAATATTTCAATGTATTGTACCTGATGAGAAAGAGGCTGAATTGGTGGAGTCGCTGAACCCTGGTCATAACCATATTTTTTTGTATCTTTCGTATCTTTCGTACTTTTTTTTTCTTGTTAAACTACCTATTCCTCCCTCTCCAATTCTCGCCAAGCCGCCGTCAACCTTGACTATATGGGGGGGTTCCATACATCGATCAAATCACATCGACCCTGCTCGCCAAGTCTTTAATCGTCCACCCCTTATTATATCTTTTTTTCCTCTTAAAAATCCTCCAGCTTCCCTTTTCTCCCTCTTCCTTCTTTGCGCCTCATGCCGTATTCTTTTTTTAAGTGTGTGGGAACTGACCTCTAATCCTGTCCTTACTCTTTCTTACTGCCACCCATTTAATCCGTCCGCCCTACTCGACCTGCCTAGCCTTTTTTTCAAAAGGCAAATTAAGTGTTATTAAGCGTTGTATATGCGTATATCATCTATATCTTTGCGCATGGGCAAATAATATCTTGATAAATATTATTTTCTACTCGAGACGGTTACCGTTACTCAACTAGTTTACCTTAATCAGCATCAGCCTCCGAGACAACATATCAGTAAATTCTGTTCCGCTTTTTCCTTGTGCTGCGCGCGTCTAGAAAACACAAACAGACCCGAATCGTAACATTCCAGCTTCTCTACTCGCTTTCCCCCCCTCCATCGTTCGGTCGCCTACTTAATCACGTAGCGCATTCGGCGTAGCGGTACCTTGAAAACAGGACTCGCAAAACCCGATAAGTTGTTGGTTACTTCCGACATAGGTTCTCCGGCTACCCCAACTTCAACCCGAATTCACCACTTCCTCCCCCCTTGTTATCAAGGCATGACAGCGCAGTAATCATCGTGTAATAACCTCGCGATCCCTTGACAATCTGTCATTATGGCTATTGGCAAGGAAGGAAATGTCAAATGGGTCGATGTAAGTCAATTATTTCATTTACGTTAAACAAGAAGGATGAAGGGGTATCTGGTTATGCATATATATGCCTAGGTAACTCTCATGATCGAACCCTACAAGGACACGATTGAGTTTGGAGCTTACTCCGTGGGAGAGGTAATCAGTCCACATGGGATGATGGCTTCGGATGGTGCTGCACACCTTGCGTCGAATTTCGAGATCAGAGTTTAAACCAGACAGGGAATGGGACGAGAAAGGCCAACTTTAACTTCAGCCGTTCACCTAACTAACAGTATTTCTTCTCCGTTTTATAGGGTCTTCGAGGCTTCGCATCCACTTTGGTCGTTTTAACTCATATTGCACGAGCTTTTGATGGCGACCTTTTCCTACCAGCTAGCCACAATGGTGATGCGCCTCGGCCTATGCAACTACCTTTCCTACGAATTCTAGCTCAGGGCCGTATCGGTGTTACCATTTTCTCTTTTGTTACTGGCTATGTCTGTGCTCTGAAGCCCATCAAACTGTACCGACAGAATAACCAAGATGCCGCTTTTACCTCTATCGCTAAATCCGCTCTCCGCCGTGTTCCCCGATTGGTTATACCCTGTGCTTTCGCTACTTTCCTCATCTGGATAATGGCAAATTTGGGAATGTTCTTGGTCGCAAAGCAGAGCGACTGTTGGTGGTGTGGTAAGACTGCACCTGATCGCCAACCAACTGTCTTTTTATCGGTTAAACACTTGATTGAAAACATTATCTCGACTTGGACGAAAGGTCGGAACGCATACGATGGCAACCAATGGACATTGTTACCATTGCTAAAGGGTAGTATGGAAGTTTATACCTTTATTGTCGCCACGGCCTACATTCGACCTGAATTCAGGATGGTTCTCAGCTTGTTCATGTATGCCTATTTCTGGATGGCATCTGACTGTACGTCCCTGATTTCCCTGCTATTTTCGCATCTGAGACTAACCATTCCGCAGCGGCTTTTGGCATGCAGTTCTTCTGGGGTGTCTTCTTGTGCGACTTGCAAAACCACCCTCCAGCTTCCGAATGGCTTACCCGCCGACCAAGATTTTCTCAAGCCTTGGCTGGAATTTTCTTGTTCCTAGGTCTTTACATTGCTTCGTTCCCCGAGGGACATCCTGAATGGGCAACCTGGTCGCGCTACCAATTCGAGGTTTTGAAGCGCATTACCCCTAAGGACCCCGACTTGCCTCGATTTGCTTCTGGAATTGGTCTAGAGTTGATCACTCTGGGATTGCACTTTAGCCCGGCCCTCCGTGATCTCATGTCGAGCAAATATCTTCTCTGGTTTGGAAAGCAGTCATTCGCTGTTTATCTTTTGCACGGTCCTCTGCTCCGCAGTGTTCTCTGCTGGATGGTTTACGGCATTCACGTTCCTCCGCCAATTGTTAACGACAAGGGTGAAACGATTCATGGTACGCTCATGTTCCCCAGTGGATGGCGTCTCATAATCTCCCTACCATTCTGGATTCCCCTGAACTACGGTGCTGCAATGCTTTGGACAGGTTACGTCGACCCCTGGTGTGCCAATCTGACGGAGAAGATCGTTGGAAAGGTTATGCTAGCTCGCGATGAGAAGGGTGCTCTCTTACCACAATAGAAACGCGGTACCGATCGTCCTAAGAAGTGCAATGGCGGTAGCAGCTCTAGGCGATGAGAGCATGAAAATTGGATAGGCATTCCTATGAGTTATACTGCTTCGCTATTCGCTCGTTTCGCAGATCAGCATCACGTATGAGATGACGCATCTGCTGTACCATCGATATTCGACACTTTCCGCCGGACCCTTGTCGACAAAGCTTCCGTGTGTATATGATAGCTCTTTTTTTCATCAAAGGTGTTGGGGTTTCTGGAGTACAATGGGATTGGTGATGGGCTTGCATTCATCTTTGGTCAAGGGGCATAAAGGGGCATTTAACGGCTGAAGAACATCGTACATACGCCCGGGGCGTCGTTTTTAATTTCCACAGAGACGGCCGCAATATTAGCATGCATCGGGAAGCAGATAGTCAGCAATGATTTTGGCTGACTCGCGACGGTTGATACCCATGATGATGAGAACAGCCGAACTTAGATAAAGATGTCAAGACGGTGCCACATGCGCACCGTCCAGTATACAGACTATAATTCGGAAAAGATTCTACTATCTATGTTCTGATATAGTGATGGTGATTTTATGCAATGCTAAGTTAATTCAGTTCTTGATAAAGATTATATCAGAAATTTTGATTTTACAGATTTCATACTCTATACAAGAGCAAGGTAGCCAATGTAATTCCGTAGGAGCTTTCATAGATTATTTCACTTAGTTAGGTAACTAACACCAATGAAGTATAAGTTTATAAGCCAAACGTTTCAACATATTGGAGGTAGTTATATCTCGATCCTTTGGAAGTTTTAGTTTGTTCAATATAAGTGGAATATGTACTTGTGCTTAGTTCGCACTTGAAGACAGACAGACATACATACCTACATCCCCGAAATTACCAATTTTAATCTCGCCCGTCGAGCGAAAGAAGGATGAATCTTGAAGGATTCAGGTATACCGCATGTATACATGTATATTTTTGAGCGCGGGTCGTAAAGCTTGTCGAGTAGATGAGGTAGAGTTGGAATAGGTAATAAAGCGGGAAGATACTACGTTAGGTACTAGAGGTATTTAATAGAAGCAAGATCGGCGCGCGGCAACACCAATCCGGTGCCCGTTGGTCGTATTTCTCGCATGTGACCCCCTATCCAATGTTGGCCGTATCCAGGTCATCGGGCCATGCAGGTGAGAATTTAGGGACCTGCCTAAATGGGAAAGTGTGGATGCGGCTTTCTTTTGGTTTTCACCATCGCGGGAAGAACCTTATGGTAGGTAGTTAGATGAACTGGGAAAGGGTTGTAGGAAGTAATTGAAAGATGGCTGCATTTTGCATGAAAGATGTTGGTTTTATATGAGGTATGTGGATAATTGTGAGGTAGGTGTATGAAGTGTAACTAACTGGGCAGGGAATTGAGTTAGAAAAAAACGTAAAGAGTAGTTCGAAAGCTTTTTGTTTGCTTGTTGGAGATAGTCGATAGTAACAACCTTACCTACCTAGGTAGGTAGGAGGTACCTAACCTTTAAGATCACAATGCACAGTAATTCTCTTCTTCAAAAATATACATTCAATAACACGAAGATTCATGATTACATTGGAGATCTTCAACCCAGTATAATTATGTTGCTATTTAGACACGTTCCTAAGGTGAACTTATAAATGAAAGACTTGCTCTTAAGCGGACTCTACGCGACACTTCCAATCCCCTTTTTCTTTTGTAAAGGGTTGTTTTTTCGACTTTACTTACCTTATTAACTTAAATTACTATTATAATATCTTTCATTTACTATATACTTCAAAGGATAGGACGTTCTCGGTTAAAGATAAAATAATGGAATTGTAAGCGTTCGGGAGATGGCTATTAAACCGCTATATTCGTACTAATTACCAAAAGTAGAACCATGTCAACTTGAGGGGTTGACGTTGCTATTTCCACCTATAAGGACTACCTCATAGACGGTACCGTGAAAGGAACTAATAGCTTCAACAATAGGAAGTTACAGCATGAAAGCAGTCAAAACGCCATAGGCCAAGTATAAGCCATTTTATATCATAAGTAAAAAGAAATAGTAGCATTAATTGTTTCATGAAATTTAGCTGGTTTGATTCTTGGAGTATTATATATTACTCTAACAGTTAAGAAGCCTATACAGATAATTCTAATTTTAGGCGGTTTGTGCTGAGGTTGCCCTATGTCTCGACTCTGTTCTCTATACCTTATTAACTCATTTCAGTTGCTATAACCTCCCGCCCCAAATCTACGCCGACCACTCAAACATATGCCTAACTTACACGAAGTTTTACATCTCGTATAGCAAATCCTTGGCCTGTATAGAATGCTAGAAGCGTAGTTATAACTAGAGGTGTATACGTTAGTGATGTTTATAGGCAATGATGTTGAGTGATACTCATCGTTAGAAAGAATGTCGAGCACCAATCACGAAAATAAAAGGTATATCGATAGAAGATGGTGCTAAAGGGAATTTAGAATGCCAGAAGCATTGCAGCAAGCTGTAATGCCTTATTTATATATATGGGAAGGTCTTGGCCACGACGAAAAGATCCTACCTAAGACAAGAAACTTGAAGCAAAGGACAAATTCGGTACAAATAAACATACGCTCCCCTAATTAAAGTAACTAGAGTTTCTAGCAGAACAGCCCAGCTGTTTCTCTACTTTCCAGCCCGGGCGACTTATAATGGAAGCGGACTTCTCAAAGTTCGCGTTCATCTTTTAGAACGAAACTACAAGCAATGGCCAAAAACGAAAATAAGTTGAAGCACTGTTGGGAAGCTTGAACACTTCTTTTCCCCTAGTGTTTCCGTACTCTACCTTAGGTAAGTTAGGTAGGAGGCACTTAAAGACAAATAGACGCAATTACTTATGGGAAAAGCAGTTACCTTCTTATCATTGCTGTCCCACCTCCGTTTTATAAGAACCAAGAGTCTTTTGCATGCCTGTCTAAATACCATTTTACCTAAGGGTATAAAGGGATAAATGGCTGCATTGGCTAGAATAGGGGTCTGCTGGCTATATAAAGGATAGACAGCTCCTTCGTGAGAGGATACCTAGAAGGCTAGACGTTACTAGCTCAACCCAATACATTGAATGTACGACCCTGTAGAACCCAAACACTTTCTACGTACCTACAAAATATCCACTGCCGCGTAGTGGAGCAAGAGGCATGGGAAAAGTTCGTCTTCAAGTCCAGACTGTGAGACTCTTAGGTCATTATTATCTATTATATTCAAACGACGGACCCAAATACTTGTAGGATCGGTCCCCGGTCAACTAGGCATGAAAATCTTTTGCGGTCGTAAGGCATGATTCTTGGAGTCTACCCGCCGGTCATGTCAGTATGTCATCATCTGATCCTCTAAACTAGGAAATACTCAACTGTGATTGGAAAGAGGCATTCGGCAGCCGAGCTGAAACCAAAAAAGCAAGGGAAAAGGGTGACATTCGTCCTATGTAGGCTAATAATATTTGTCATCCGAATAAGCGTCACCAAGGTCTTGTCTCTGCACCTAAAATGACAAGTGCTTTGAATAAGGCTAGATTCGTGATATATGAGATACATAATATATGAACAATATACACCTATATAACTTTCTCCCAGCGAGTATACAGTTAGAATGTGGAACGGCTAAGTTTAATAACAGGCTAGGACCGCTTCTTGGATACAAATGTGCTCAATCTGTCCCCATCCGCCGTTCTCGCATTGAGGCAATATATGTTGGTGGAAATATGGCTGAGGTTGTGGGCTGTTGGCACTGTATATGACAGAAAGCGATACTGGACGGGCAGATCAGATGAACTTGAGGAGGTGGCGGCAATACGGATGTGTGCTCGTACAAAAAGTCGGCATAAGAAAAATGATAAGAAACAATATTGAAGGACTATTGACGACCTTGGAGAGCTATTCGCTTAAACTTGACTATCATGAACTCAATGATTGGACAACCGCGATACCCCAACCTAAGTCATGGAACTGATGGATAAGAATTTCGGAAGTCTATCCCGTGTGCCACCGCATATTGCAGCATTCGTCACTATTTTCGCCAATGGGGAGTTCATTCTGGTTACAGGCTACCAAGAAGAGACCGTGGTCGTATGCAAGCCGTTACTGCACACCCGAGAATTCATAGTTCAGATTTGCTGTTTTTACTTTTTACTTCTTCGCGTCACTAAACTTTGACACCTTATTAGCGCAACGTTATTGAGGCGTGTGAACTAGGTGTTGTTCGTGTTTTACCGGCCATTTAAGGCGGCAAATTAATAAGCGGCATGGCATGCTGACACGCCAATGCTTGACATGTCAATGGTTCACATCAGCTATAGCCTCAATTAGGGGAAGAACATTTCCCATCCGGTGTATCGTGCATAGAAAGTCCTTGTGCAATATTGATAGGGAGGCCTCTGATATTTCTCCCATTCCGGGCAAACGAAATAGTAGCTAGATGTCGACCGTGAGATTTTAAGAAGATGACCCGCTACCTGGAAGCTATTCCCCGATGCACGAAGAATTATGTTTCGGTGTCACACAGAACCGCATTGACTGTCGCCTGTTCATATTAAGCCTGCGCATATTAAGAGGCGTCAGACTTGATTCCTCGAACCAAAGTAGAGGTCAACAGTGGCCTTATAATTGGACCACGGCCTCATGATGTTGCGGGCCTCACGTCAGCATTCGTGGAAGAATCAAGGAATATGCGTGACGTGAGACGAACCTTTTCGGGGAGTTTAGTTTGGGGGACTTTTCCTTTTACGCCCGCCACACGTATACTACCTACCTACATAGTATGTAATCCTACGATACTAGGATCGTCAGATCATGTTGTGCTCGCTTGTCCCCGGACGGACCGTCAGCCCCAGTCCCAACAGGATGGGTCCCGCGTCCCGACTCCAGAGATATGACGGCGCTATATGCACAACAGCGACGTTATCGTCGTCGAAGTAACCCACCAACCGGAGTTTGTGCCCAAACAGATATCTTATCTCAGTGGGGAACGATCCGAAAGAAAAGATGAAAAAAAGAGGTAATTAGAGAAAATCAAATCAAATCAAAGTAACTTAAATGTTAGGTATCTACCTGGTAAGCATCTAACTTCCATAGGTATAATGTCATTCTTATGAGTATAGTTGAATGTAATGCATGCACACTGCAATATAATGACTGCGTGAAGAGGCTTTGGGTTAGGTAGTTGTAAATGAGAGAGTGGGAAAACGACTAAGGAAAAAAAGAAAAGGGAACAAACACGAAGTACGACACACGAAATAGGCATTGGAGTAAAGACGAAAATGAACCTTGGAAATCATTGGAGGTATAGAACCTAGGTACAGCACAATGCACTTACCACAGTATAGTAAATGTACAATAGATACCTAACCTTCTTATGTATTTGCTTGGAATTTATTACATATATAAGGTACCTAATAACTAATAATTGCTTATTAAAAGAAGCCTGTAGAAATGTATAATAACAGGTACAGGTATGTACCTACTTACTTGTAGTGTACCTAGGTAACTACCTGTAGTGTAACTATAACAGGTACCTGATTAAGTGGTACAATACCTTAAAGAGTCAGCTCGTGTAATTCGTGCAATTTTGTGTAACAAGGTAACCTGGTAAAGCAGGTAAGCACTTGGGGCAGCCGGTTCGGGTCGGGTCTAGAAGGAAGTAAAATAGGGCAGTGACTCGTGAGGCAGGGGATGATAAGGAACGGAAGTAGCGGATGACTTCCAATCCACTCGATCTGGAACAATGACCTTACTTTGTACCTACCTGTAATTATTAGTCCCGCCCCCACCGAAGATTTAGAACTATTCTTTCACCTTACCACAAAATGTCAACAACTACATGACAAGAAACATGATAAGAGACATGACTGGATTAACACGGATATGAACATGGATAGGGACATGGACAATGGACTTATCCCATCTTACACACGTACACACGTATAACACTTACACAGTTACTACGTACGAATGCTTCGTACATACCTAAAAAGTGACGGTGAAATGTTATCACCTCCGGCCTCGTTGGCGCCCTATTCTCCAAAACCGGCGTTTTTCTCTCATTTATGACAGAAAAAACAGGATGCATACAACTTATATATTCGCTGTGCATTTCATATGTCGATCCCCTCTTTCTAGTCAGCCAACGCATCATCGGCTCCTATCTCGCGACCAACCATGGCCCGCTTCTCGTCCTTGCCTACCGAGATTCGGATCATGGTCTGGCTCAATGCGGCCTGCCTGATCTATGAACCACGCCCTCGGTGTATCTAGCCATTGACCTATCATGCTCCTTATCTGAGCATCCGGCTACATAACTTCCCGTTGCCAAAATATGCCAATGCCGTCTTCCAGCTTAACCGAAAATCACGCCACGAAGCTGCTAACCGATGCTTCATGCTCGAGGCCGGCCAAGATCCCGAGGGGTGATGCGTGGTAGCTGACGTCGATGGCTTCGTCCTTCATAATGTTACGCCGGTCGAGATGGCTTATATGCCCAAACAAGCAGCCAATTTGACAAAAAGAAAAAAGAAAAAAGAAAAAAAGAAAAACTAAAAGCAGGGGAAAAAGGGTACCTTTTTTTTTTATAAAGCAGAACCCGGTTTTCCTAAGGAAGATATTCCTCCCTAGAGTAAGTAGGTTAGGTACCTATGCTTCACTCATTCGTATCGTGACGGGCTCTGCTTTTCTGCTCAGGCTCCTTGTTTGCATACCGTCTACCTGGATTTCGGGTATTCCCCTGCTCAGCGCCGAGCGTGAGTCCGACTTGATAATGTTCCGAATCAAGGTTCTCTCACAGGGATTAAGCTAGTACGCGCCGTGATGAATTCAACGCCTGCTGTTACCAGGAACACTCTGACCTCCTAACCAGCGAGCACCGAATTGCAGCAATGGTACCGACCAGATCAGTATACGTACAAAAGAAGCGTTTTCCTGAAACGGACACGCAATGCCCTAGGATGATGTTTTAGAAGGGTGGGAACCGTTCGCGCGGAAAGAGGTGTGCTTGCTATCCTAGCTTCTACGGCCTACAAACGGAAATCTAGTCCGGCGCCCAGACCAGATGACCATGTCCGTACCCTTGGGTGAACGCATGGATGAGGACCCCAAAGCCCTGCAGGCAATAGCGCACCGCGGCTCTGACCAAAAAGCCAACATCATATCTGACGGCTTTTATGGGCTCCCTAGCGCCATCGGCTCCCATTTAAGCAGGGGATTTTCGACGGTACTCATACGCGGTCGACGTGGAGTTACGAGGGGTAGCATCTGCAGCCAGCCTTTTCTGGAATAATCAGCCCAACATTGACGTCTTTGGAAACAGTGGAAACAACTTATGGATTTCTCACAAGGGTGGTCCAGCCTTCTTCTGGGTATTATTACCTGACCTGCAATTTGATCTCAGCTAGCAAGGGTCTAAGAGATCTTCATCTCTCGTAACCTTAGCTCTGCCTCTCGCTAATCGCCCCTCCTGGGTTTTTCGTCAGCTCGCAGTAACAGATATCATGTCTCGGGACTCCCAGAGCTACACTATCGCGATGAGAGTGTTCATCGACGTGTGCGTGAATACTTTGCAAGCTTCTGGCGGTGTCACGGTCAGGAATCACTCAGATATCTAACTCCGCTAGATATCATCGTGACTCCCTCCCTGACTTAGCACTTGAGTCAGGCCTTTCTTCTTGTATATAAAGCCGTCTTGCTGCTTCGCTGCAAGGCTTTCGATTTTTTTCTCTTTTTGTTCTCCAGAATATCGTCCTTAGGAACATAACCAAACATATCAAACATATCAAACATAAACCGCACGTACCACCTGAATACTTTCCCCGTCATCTTCAAGAGGCTAGCGCCTCATACCTGGTCACACTGATGCCTTCTCAAGCAAGCAATCTGTTCACGATGCGTAAAAGGCGGTCACCGACTGGCGAGGACATAATAACCACACGGCCTCGAGGTCGCAACTTACAAACCCGGACAACCAAGCCACTTGCTAATGCCTCTACGAAACGCACACGTTCGCTTCCTGCAGTAAGCCAACCATCGCCAATGCTGGATAAGGAAGACCACCTCGGTTGGCAAGAACCACTTTCGGTATGGAACCAGAACGCACCTCGCGTTTACATATGCGTGGTACTATGCTTCCCGTGCGATAACCAACGGCGGACAGATGCAATCCGTCATATCGAATCTGCTCTCAAACGTCTAGCGAGAGAACGACCAGTCTTCGCCGGGAGGCTTCAGGCTAGCAGTAACAGCGGGAACGTCTCGCTTCACCGGTCACCCTCACAGGATATTCCTTTCCAAGTGCTCCCCGCAAGCGAAACGAGTCGGCAAGAATATTCGCGGATGAAAGAGGCCGAATTCCCACCTGGTACATTCGTCGGCCCTCGATTTGGCGCCTCGGGCATTGTAAGCTCCAACCTTGAATCGGTACCAGTATCAAAAGTGCAGGCAGAGTTCCCTCCCGGAGGCCTACTGCTTTCCATCTTCCTACACCACGGGTTGGTGGATGGAGGATCATTGCGCGTGTTTCTGGAATGCTTTGCCGCTCAGACTCGGAACACACTAGTTAACTTACCTTCAGAACAGACGTTTCCTATGTTACATAACCGGAATCAGAAAGGTCCAATTACCATACACAATAATAGTTCTACTTTCAAGAGCCTGCTATCACAATGTCCAGAATATACGATGCTAAAGGATCTTAGCGGCCCAACGCAGCCGCGGATTCTAAAGATTGGGCCACCTATGGCCAATATCGAGAAGACAGGCAAGATCTTCGTTTTCAGGAACGAGCGACTGCAGGAACTTCGAGAGCTGATTCGGTCTCGAAATGGCGGAGTAGAGTCGCCGTCGGCCTACACAAGCTTAGCCGCCCTTGCCTTTGCGCATATCACGAAGGCTCGCGTGGCAGCCGAAAACAACTTACCCGGGGTGCAGCCACGACGGACTGCCATGTTATGGAATTCGGTGAATTGGCGAACGAGAGCGTTCAAGGATGTTACAGATAACTACTTTGGTAATGCAGCTCTACCAGTTGTCACGAAGGCGCTCATGTCTCATGTAATTGCTGCTTGCGACGACGACAACCAGCTGGCTCGTCTTGTCCCGCTTGTAAAAACGTCTATCGACGCCGTCGACCAAGAATACGTCAACCGGCGCCTCGCCATGCTATGCGAAGTGCCTGACCCTCGCCTTGTAGGAGTTAACTACGACCCACGGATACCCGGAGCGCTAGCGTTCAACACATGGCGGCATTTCGGCGCGGATGTTCAATGGAACATACCGGGGGTGCCCGTGACTAGGGCGGATGCAATAAGGAGGGCTCACGGTTCGTGGAGCCTTGGTACAGCATTGATACTCCCGGCCAAAGCGGATTCGATGAAGCAAGAGTTGTTTGTGAGCTTACCAGTTGATTCGATGAGGATGCTATGCGCCGACGCTGGGTGGATGAGATGGGTTGATAGGATCATAGGTTGAATAATGAGGCTGCAACCACTATAATGTAATTATCTAATGCCCAGATCCCTGTTCCTCGATGATCTACTTACTTCTCATTTCCGTGCCGGTTAGGTATTGGTTGTCACCCTGTCGGCTGTGATATCCGAGCTCCAACTCAACCGGTTCTCGCCAGGCTACCCCTTTATCCCTGTTTCTGAATGACATGTCACCTCAATCTACTAGCCTCGTGCGCGACAATACTTTGCTTTTTCTATTCCCGGCAGTACCAAACTTCCAGGATTAGGGGGGGCAGCAAACCGCGGAACATCCGAGCCATATCCGGGGCAAGGTTCCCCCTTCTCGCTCATTCGGCGCCAAGATCATACCGAATAAAGTATTTGCGCACCTAAACAGGAATATTTACGAATAATGAAAATCACCATGACGGATAGATGCACTAGTATTAGGCACTATTACTAAAATCGAAGGGCTATTCCGCCCGCAACGGCTCGGGCCGCTGTATTAAAAGAAAAACAAATTCGGATTTTGATGGAGGCTTTTGAAAATGTGAGAAAATACCTAACCTAATGTTCTCGAATGCACAGCAGCGGGTGCGATGATGATTTGCTTTAGTGTTTGGCTTCAAACTAAAGTGGTAACCTTGTTGCGGTGGTGGTGGTAGTAGTGATGATGATGATGACGGTGGGTAACATTTTTATCTTCGCCATGTCCACTTTCTGTCAGACTGTGAGCAATGGCGATCAATCGATCTACTTTACTGTACGTACTTCTGACAGCCCTATGGGATATCACGAGACTGGATGGGATCGCATAGTTTCAGCCGCTTTCTGAATCGTCTGTCCGGTTTCCTTTTCCATACGGCTAGAAGAAAGCAGAGTAAAAGGAAACGGCATAGTTTGGTCCACTAGATCGGTCGATCAGAAAAAAAATGATGGTTGAGTACGTACAGGCTGGGTTTCAAAACTGACAGAAAACTAAACGACTCATGCAGAAAAAGCTGCTCCCCTGCGGCACAGGAAATCTCGCTGAACCGCGCACCTCCGATGACATAAAATGGTCGGCATGGGCAGCGGTGACGGCGCATCTGCGTACCCGAGTGGAGGAATACAAGGTAGGTATTCCGGATCTCGACCTAAAAGCTTCAACCGAACCCTCTTCAGACCTAAATCAGCACAGGCCGTGGCGCCTTTTATGCTGTGTACCTCTCATAATACCGGAATCATAGTGTCACTGACATCTGCTTTTACCGGATTGCTGCAAGAAAAAAAAAGTAGCTACCGCTATATATGCTCTATGAGATGAAAAGGGCGTGTGTCAGTTGCACATTTTCATATATATCGAGGTACTCTTTTATTTTTCTTCATTTTTCCCTTTTCATTCTGGGGCATTTACACGACGGCCCTAGCTTGTGGAGTTTTTATTCGAAAACAAGTTTACACAATGGTTAGTAATCCCATTTGTTCCATTAGCGTTATAATACGATCCCTTTATTATCCATCGCATTATGATATCTCACCATACTATTACCTCTTTAGTGGCACCTTATACCCTTTTTAGAATGCCGACGTGATTACTTGACGAGTTATTTCGATCTCGTTATCTCTTTAGCTCTTTAGCCCTTAAACTACCTTTCACATCCACGTGGATTCGAAACCCGATCCGGGATCTATACCCTCTCTTCTCTTTACGAAGCTGACTAGGTCCCCCTTGTACGGACCACCTCGATTTCAATGAAAGACATGCTTTGCCACTTATCCACGTTGCACAACATGTGACATACATGAAGATATATGTTGGGGCGGGGGGGTCTATTTATCGATCACCGTGTTTAGTAGGTAGTCTATCCCCTCTACCGCAGTTAAAACCGAGACGCTCTGCTCACTGCTGCCTTCTGGTTAAGACGCATCGGCCAGCGGTATGAGAACCTGCAGGGGGGGGTCGAGCCCGGGTGTTCTCGAACGTCTATTCCCAGAGACATTCCACGTTCGGTCCATCTTCAGTTGAGCGGCTCGGAGATGACCTTTTGAACGGAACTTTCCAAGCTGAACTTGGTCGTCCAGGATCCTAATATGTGAGCCCTGACCAGTCGCATTTCGCAAGTAGAGATATATTGCAGCTTGGCCCTTATCCTACTGTGATATTATGCGGTGTGCTTCGAGGATTCCTTGTGCGACATTCTCCTCCACCCCTAGTCGTTCCGCTCTCGGTTCCGGCCCCGGGTTACACTTCCTCCGTCGCATAATGTTTCTCGTATTGTTTAACGCCGTCTCCCAAACGGTTACCATGATGGCCCCCACCCCGGCCTTTTCAAGTGTAGGGGAAGCGAACGAGCTCAAGAAATATTTAGATATTCTTATAGCATATTTCTTTTGTCTTAACGTACTAGAATTCTCTTCAGACATACTATATTTCGGCAACGGCGCTGTGTATAAGAATTATTCCTTATAAGCGACTGGTGAGATTTTTGACAGACGCTATAAGAACGAACTCATAACAAGTGCACAATACTGATTCATTCTAATTGTGCTCTCACTTATCGTCTCCCTCGCCGTCAGGGATGAATGACTATCTTAATGCCAAGTGACACGCATCTGAGGTTCATGGTGTTCTAGTCAATAAGCAGCCTGCCTTTCTGCAAAGCCAGAACAATTATCTAATAACTCTTTTACATTGCGGACTGACATTGTATCAATCCAAGCTAGCAATGGCTATAATAGTAATGCGAAGACACTATCTTCACATTCCCACATCAAACAAGGTGGACGAACAGCACAGTGTAAACCCGATAATAACTTACCCAGACTTGCATTGCATTACATTGAATTAACAGCTTTTTGTCTTGGGCAAAATCGGCATCTCCTGTGTATAGAAAAGGGATGGGAATATTGGCGTCCCTCAGAGACTGTTAGGAATTCTCATCTTGGTGTTGCATCACCTCATTAAGAACTCCGCACTTATCAGATTCGCCGTGATCGTATGGTCTTAGCACGGCGCGATCATGTCATAAAGACATATGAAGGGGGGACGGGCTTGATTGAGGCCCCACGACATTGAACGCTTAAGGTGGAAATTTCGCATTACGCGTACTACACCGCTACACCGGAGGTTTCGCTTGTTGCGCCTGACAATTACGCCTTGTTGTCGTCGCTGACCTCAGTGTTGATGTTTTCATCGTCAGCTATATCACCATCGTATCGTCGCCGCGGCTCCAGCGGGAGGACATAGCCTGCATGGCGAATAACAGGCAAAAAAGGCAGATTGCCAGATGCGGATGGGAATATATTGGGTATTGGGGAGCCGCAAGAGCCAACCAGGCTTCTCATCAGACGGCTAGACTGGTGGCGCCGCATAAATAGCAGAACATGAAACCGCAATGGCGCAACGCGGCCAGGGGCTCGGCTGGGATGAGCTACAATTTACCCGCCGGCAGAATCTGTTAGCGTTCCATCCCATCAATATCGTGATCCCGGTTCTTTCAACTTGCGCGCTGCCGGCAAAATTGCCTTCCCCACGATGATCGCCGCGAAAACATGCTAATCCTGATCCCATTCCGTCTTCTCGGGTACTAGGAACGGAACTGACGATTCTCCCCCCTTTTTTTCCATGAGGAAGCTTATTGGCTGGAGCGGCCGCGTGACCGACATATGACCAGGTTCGTCAAGTATATAAAAACGATCTTTCCCGCCGCGACGATCATGGACCCTGAAGAAGCTTCTTTGTTTCTTTCCCATCAGACAAGAACCTAGAGAGGACGAAGCTTCCTCAGTCACTCAGCCAGCCAGCCAGCCAGTCAGCCAGTTAATCATCCTCCTCCGCATACACCTACCAAAATCACGACCGTCAACATGCTTGGCTCATCCATCTTCGTCGCCCTCACGGCCGTCGCCGGGGCTATCGCTTCTCCCCTCGACCTCATCACGCGGTCGACGCCCGCGGGCACGGGCACGAACAACGGCTTCTTCTACTCGTTCTGGACGGACGGCGCGGGGCAGGTGACGTACAACAACGGGCCGGGCGGCTCGTACGACGTGACGTGGCGCAACGTGGGCAACTTCGTGGCGGGCAAGGGGTGGAACCCGGGCGCGAACCGCGTGGTCACGTACAACGGGACGTGGAACGGGGCGAACGTGAACAGCTACCTGTCGGTGTACGGGTGGACGCAGAAGCCGCTGATCGAGTACTACATCGTGGAGTCGTTCGGGACGTACAACCCGTCGAGCGGGGCGCAGAAGCTGGGCACGGTGCAGAGCGACGGCGGCGTGTACGACGTGTACCGGACGCAGCGCGTCAACCAGCCCTCCATCGAGGGCACCTCCACCTTCTACCAGTTCTGGTCCGTGCGCCAGCAGAAGCGCGTCGGCGGCTCCGTCACCCTCAAGAACCACTTCGACGCCTGGGAGAAGGCCGGCCTCAAGCTCGGCACCCACAACTACCAGATCCTCGCCACCGAGGGCTACCAGAGCAGCGGGTCCGCCGCTATCACCGTCCAGCAGTCCTAAAGCGGCTGGACAAACCAAAAAAAAAACCCTTTTAACCACCCGAGATCGGGATCGTGTACCCACGTACTGGTTGCCAAGGAATAAAAAAGGGAGTGTGTGAGCTTTGCTGGTCCGTCGCGAACGCCGGCTTCGCGGACCGTGTGGGGGCTTGCTTGCTTGGTTGCTTTCTGATGTATGCTATTAGCCAGTATCGTGTTGTGTTGTGTATCGTCGGGTTCGGATATTACACGATTAGTATATACGGGTTTTACATATGGAAGTTTTGAAATAACGACCGATATTTCCGTGTTCGTGTAGGCGTGAGTGATTCGTGCTAATGAGAGTGAGGTGTAAAACTAGGTGCCTAACCTAACCTAACGTACGTTGTAGACATACATTAGGTACTTCACACATCACTTGGGATCAATACTTGTATGTCCCTAAGCACCTAAGCTCTATAAGTCAAAGCTTATACCTGGTTCATATGGAGACAATATGGATATGTTGAGTCTTTAACCGTATTTTGCCGGGCTCTTGGTTAATCTCGATTTCTCCAGTTCTTATTTTAAGCTCCCTTCGTAGTGCAGAGTCCTTAAGTCGTTACTCAGCATTTGATTTGCACTAGGTTAAAAATAACTCATTTTTTCGGGCAAGTAATAAGAAGATATTGACTATGAGAGAGAGATTAGGGCGTAGCAACTCGCGTTGGAATTCTCTACGTTCAGGTACTTCGTCTAATCTTACTTTCACGTAAACGACTAAAAGGGGTTTAATATGAGCATCTGGTAAATGGTAAGAATGGTATTAGATTAAGTCTCCAGCGGAAAGGGACTGGTACTATTAAGGAATATGTGATGAATTTATGTTATATTGTGAGTCCGATTTAGTAACTTGTAAGTCCTTATAAGGGAGTTGTTAGATTATTATCTCTGAAATCACGGCTTGAGAGATAGACAACTAGGTACCTCACATCTAAAGAGCAATCTCGAGTCTTGTGCTTGTTAGCTCAACAGCGTGCTAACATTGGCTTGATAATTTAGAGGATTCAATAGTGTTGCCGAACCTAGCACCATTAGCTAGCTGGTCTAGTTTAACGAATCCCAAGGGACGCTTCAAGCTGAACTGCCACTGTCTTGTTGAACTCCTTATGTGGCGACTTCTACTTTTTTTTGCTTTTTTTTTTTTAAAAAAAAAAAGAGCAGTCTAGATGTACTTCGATTAGAAGAGACTAAATTATCAGAAGGTACGCAAAGGTAATAGTCTAGAAAAGGTAGGGATACAGCCAAGTTTTTTTCGTAGTCATTCCTAAGATAGGATCTCCCCCTATGGGATATCCATGAAAAGCCTTCATTTCTTATTATACATGTGGAGTTGGTTTTGTTTTGTCATAATACATCAGAAGCGGTTTCCTCTTTGATTTGATTTTTTTCGTTCATCCGCTGCACTCATCATCCGTCCATCAGCCTCTCTTCCATTATATCGTAGGTACGTAACCTGATGGGCCCCTTGTCCCTGCTGAACTGGTCTAAGCCTCAACGAAGTCCTTGACGTCCTTGAGCCAGGCCTGGTACTCGCGCTGCTCCTTGATGTCCATGTAGTCGGGGACGAAGACGGCGAGAGCCTGGGTGACGCCGCGCTCCTCGAGGTAGCGCTCCATGAGAACCTGGAGATCCTCGTCGAGGCTGCCGAAGGGCGGGCCAGGGTAGATGTCCTGGGCGGCGTGAGCGACGTCGGCGGTCTTGCCGTGCGCCATTCTCCCGTCCTTGAAGTAGTAGAAGTTCTCGACGATGATCTGGCCGTCCTGCGCCACCGCCTCGATGTTGAGCGCACCCTTGTCAGGCTTCTCTACCACGATATTTAGTCGACAGGGCACGGGGGCGTCACCACCCTCGAGCTCTTCGTCGAGGCCTTCCTCGCCCTCGGATTGCTCTGAACGTTTGCCCTCGGTCGGGTCAACGTCGTCGCCGAGCACTTCATCCTCGTTGAACATGTCATCGGGTTCAAAGTTGGCAAGATCGGAGATGGAGAAGGTGACAGTGATACTGAGGTAAGAGGTGCGTGTTAGCTAACTGGTTCCTCTAAATTTACGGCTTTTCATCTTGCGCGCCGAGTGAGACTCACGTTTCGTTTCCGAACTTGCGGACCAGGGAGACATCCTCCTTTCCGGGCTCATCCTTCAGCTTGAAAGGGCTATTCGCAAGGAAATCCAGGACACTCGCCGGTGTTTGTTCAGTAGCCTTCATCTCGTTTTCGAACTCAAGCTCGTTCTCAAGCTTAGCTATCAGTGCCTCGTCCACCTCAGCCTCGGGTGCTTGTCTGAATTGCGATGTGGAGAATGCCGATGTGAACTGAGAAGATCTGAGAGGCGCCCATGAGGACTTGAGAAGAGAGCTCGGTTGAGCTACTCTTGACGATCTGAGGGCTGTAGAACTGAGACGGGTAAAGGTGCGAGGCGCGGAGCGCGCAACGGTTCTGAGGGACATCATTTTGAGTTAAATGTGATGGTGAAAGGGAATGAATAACAGAACCAAATTGCGATTTGAAAATTTAGAGGGGAAGGAAGGGGGAAGGGGGGAAGCTTAATGTTGAATGTTAAATGTTGAATGTTGAATGTTGAAATAAATTTTTGACTTTGGAAAGTTCCAAAATTTTTACTTCATGATGGCGATTGGCCGATAACAGATAAGGATGAGAGAAGACCTGAGCTTTTTTGCCCCTCATTGATTACCTACCTTAGGTAGGTAGGAACAGGGATAAAGCTCTCATCCATAGTGGGTCCCTTTAGGTTATCGACTAATACCTTAAATTCTGTTTGATGCATTAGTTTATGTACCTAGATACCTTTCATATGTACCTATTTCCACTACGGGCATTTCCAGGGCTAGCAGCTAAGAGGTAGCTAGCCCCTGAATCCAAAAACAACGAAACGATCTAAGGTTACCTAGGTACCTAGGTAGGTACCTGGTAATTATTAGGTAGTAGATAGAAAGTAGTGTAGGAAGACGATGAAGCCATGCTCAAGTTGATGGGACATATATAGACTTGAATCATGTTTACAAATATATCTGTTCATAGAGTTAGAGTTGGAGCTGCGTGAGTTGATGAATATGTGGTATTTGGTCTTCATATGTAAAAGTCGATTCATAGACTGCCCCGACTGTCTGGGAGGTATGTACTCGATTAGCATGCAACCCCTACGCTACCATATATAGGAGGTACGTAAGGGACCAAGATGCCTTTTAGGTCGGAGAGTCATTGTTATATATCGACCTTGCTTTTCTTCTTCTACTCCGTGCGAAGCTCACGGTCCCGCTGCTCGTACAGTCTGTGTTGGTGGTGAGACCAAGTCGGATTCTTCCTTACATTTCCAACATTGATATCGAGTTCTGCTGGATTTGCCGTCGACGTCACGCCCACAGCTTCCAAATACGCCCCTCGATGTTGCAATTGCGCACGACTTTTCCGAAATCAAAACAATTTCTTCACGACCGCAAACATAGCAGGCTCTTAAATGTTTGACGTATTGGCACATCTCTAGCTTCTTGTGAGTGATGCAAGCTGATTCCGGAAAGGAGAACACATACTAGAGTAACGTGAGGAAGTTTAAAGAAAAGAAATTCGGTTGACTTGAGACTCGGTTCCGTAGAAAGCTGTCCTATGGAACAAGAATCGAAGCCATCTTCCTCTCATACTAAAGTATGCCACGCCTCAACTTATATCACCAGCGATAGCTTTCACTTTGCACTTTAAACAACGCTTGATATTCTTCTCCTCTGCTGTGGTTTTGCAACGCACGACCCACTTAAACTTATAGCTACAACCCTTCTTCCGGCCAATCGGGTAACTAAAGGAGCGAGGAAAACAGATCTTACTCATCCACGCTCGTTGCCCAGAGAGGTCAGTTGGGCCAATCCTCTCGAGGAATTCGGTCTAGGGTAGATAAGCGTTTAGCTTGAAGGAGGTACTGCAGGCCATGGAACTCGGCTTAAATAGCATGAGTTCAGAGAGGACAATGCACTGAGTAAGTAGCCGGATCGGGATGAATGTCTAGAAGATGGCAAGTTTGTGAGATGTCACACATTTACTGGTTGCGGTAGGGAGGACGATCTGATTTATTATAAAGATAGCCGAAGAGGTCGTTTGGTAGTAAGAATGCGAAGGTTTGCGGCTTCGAAACCCCTCGGATCCGGGGTGCAGCTGACGGTGACCATCAGCATCCCACGGCCGTTCGGATACCCGCTTCCTTCGCACGTGCAACAATATAGTCTAAAAACAGGTGCTGCAAATGGTTTTCCGGTTGCAAATGCATCGCGATCCCATACCTGCAGTGACGCTCGCGCTTGGCTGGGTTATGTGCGCTGGCTATGACTGAGCTATCGGATAATCTACTTTGGTCCAGAAGTGTGAAGGGTCCTTCCGATGACACCGACACTGCATTGTTATTGTCAACTTGGCATAAGTGCAGCGGGTTTGAAACTAGCCGGTGTCATCTAGCCTAGCTGCGTTATTTTCCGTCCTAAAAAAAGTCCCGGATGAGTGCCGGCATGCGTGGCTGGTTGCGGAGTTTGCAGGTTGGTACGTGTCAGAGCTGTAGGTAACCGTATGTTTGCGAATCAGCGGTAAAACCAGGCTTGGTTTCCTCTATGGTCTCGGAAACTTCCTACGCCCGTACGTAAGGCCCCGTCTAATCTACGATGAACATAGAAACATCAACCGAGGGTTGAGGGACTTGTAACACATGCATTCTCGGGCTGGGCATATCAAGCGCGTGGGAAGTGGGGCATCTCCTCAATGCTCTCCTCTTGGAGGGAAGCTAGAAGGTTGAACACTGCCGGCGGAAGATATCCTCACCCACTTGAGAGTAGTTAGGTAGGACCAGGAGCCTTCCCACTGGCTTAGTAGCGTGGCATTTTCTTCTGTATCAAGCACCGGGATTACTACCACCCAAACATCGTTAGACAAACATTTACAAATAAATTTGGTGAGATACTGACAGAAACCATTTTGGTACTCTTTCCGAAGCTTATCGACTTTAAGTTTCAGTAAATCTTCCTTGGTACTAGCAGGACGTCCAGGTCGTCGAGCTTTCTTCACTTCATTTAGTTCCTCATCATACTGATGTACAAACCTGTGATTCAAGTTAGCTTGGAAAGATATGGTATTAAATTAAATGCAACGCTTCTAAGAAAGACTGACGTTTTAATAAGCTCATGGATAACATCCATCTGCAGAGGTTGACTTCCATTTTGTCTCAGGGCCTCCTGGAAAAAAGTTGCTCGCTCAACTAGGCCACATAGCAGTTATGTTAGTTTTACAGCTGTAGGATCGAGGAATTTTAGGATATGTTATTGACATACGGTAAGGCCTGTCATTCTTTTTCCTCGATGCCGCAATCTTCTCCAACTTTTCGTCACGAACTTGGGCTCTATGTAGCCTCTTAGAATCGCGGGAGTATTGGTGAAGGGAATCTATAGCCCCCTTCTTTTTGGCAATGGCCTTGCGAGTTCTTTCGAAAGTCTTCGGCATTGTGGAGAAAATGTACTTAAGGTAGTAGGTTAGTGGTGATGAGTGAAGTTGTAGGTGATAAGGACCTGTGAAGTAATCTAAATTATAGAAAAGATGAGTAGGTACTTTTTTTTTTCTTTTTTTTTTCTCCTTCTTTTCTCCTTCTTTTCGATTTGTTCAAGACAATTGGTGGGGTAAGAACAATTTGACCAGGGGTCTTCTTAGCTGCCCCACCCATCAGGTGCATTAGTATATACGTACATCATATGCATACTCGGGGTTAGCCAGCCTCTTGTATAAAGTACCTCCTTTTTGCCACGTCTACTGTCTGATTCAAAGCATCATACTAACTGCCGCTGAGTAAATAATACTTCGTCTGCCCCTCCAGGTTAGTGCTATTGTAGTCTAGCGTATACCGCAAGTACAGGCCATTGGTTCGACCCACGTTGCCCTTTCGACCCGCACGGTGCGCTAAGTGACCTTTGAAAATCGCGGTGTAGGGCTCCGCGACGCGCTTTACTCTTTTATTGAATTACATAGTAGGTAACCTGTAATTCCTTGAGCCGCAGAGGTTGGAATTGCCTGCCCTGCTACCAGGTATTGAACCCTGCTAACCCTGCTAAATACCTACCTAGGTGCATAGTAGGTTGGTAACCTTTAGGTACCTGTTATTACTTTTTCTATTCGTACTTCGTACTTTGTCAGGGTTCCATTTTTTTACATACAATTCCCATGCGTCCAAGTCCTTCACCTTAGATAGTCTTCTTTTATCCATCTACCCAATCTACCAGGACTTCTCTTAATTATATCACTCTTACGCTCTTCTCCTGTCGTACATTCACCTTTTCTTCTTCTTTTCTTCTATTCTAACGCTAGCATCCGGTTAACTTCGTTCCAGAAGCTCAGACCTATTTCAATTGAATGTTATTCTAGGCTTGTTTACATTCGTCGTCAAGTCAATAACATAGGAGCCAAACCGTGTAATTCGCAGCGCGCAAAGTCACAATTCTGTCCCTCGGCCCGCATTGAGCTCGGATTGGCTGAGTACCCCTTGCAAATAAAAGGCTCGATTTTTTTTACTGCGCCGATATCATAACGTGGGGGGTTTCTGGATGGCCACCAAGACAATATAGATTTTATAGTCGCAGTCTGGGCGTTGGAGTACGATTCTCCATATTGCTCCTCAAGATGGGTATTCAAGGTACGTAATTCGTCATAGCATTAGCTAACTTGGAGGAGCATTAAGAGGCACGAGGCTTACTTTGATAGGTCTGCTTCCATTACTCAAATCGATACAACGACCAACAGAGCTGAAGAAGTATGATGGCGAGACGATCGGTGTTGACGCCTATGGTTGGTTGCATCGAGGTGCTGTACCATGTGCCATTGAACTTGCGCAAGGCAAGCCAACCCGAAAGTGAGTCCCCCTGTAAACATATTTTGTATTAGAGAGTGTCCTTCTCACTATCGTGTTAGATATGTCGACTTTGCTATGAACCGAGTGAAGATGCTCAAACATTTTGGCATCACGCCCTACCTAGTCTTCGACGGCGGTTTCTTACCTAGCAAAGCCGCAACTGAAGCGTCCCGTGCAAAACGTCGGGAAGAATGCAGGAAAACCGGCCTCGAACTTCTAAAGGCCGGCAAGCCTTCTCAGGCGCATGCTGAGCTCCAGAAAGCCGTCGACGTTACCCCTGAGATGGCTCGGCATCTCATTGAAGAGCTGAAAAAGGCCGACGTGCCTTATGTAGTTGCGCCTTACGAAGCTGACCCGCAATTGGTATATCTAGAGCGCGAAGGTCACATAAGCGGTATTCTCTCTGAAGATTCAGACTTACTAGTGTTTGGAGCCAAACGGCTATTGACCAAGTTAGATCAGCACGGTCAGTGTATCGAGATCAACCGCAGAGACTTCTGTGCTTGCCGGGAAGTCTCTCTGACAGGCTGGACGGACGCCCAGTTTCGACAAATGGCTATCCTTAGTGGCTGCGACTATCTGGATAGCATTAACAGCTTAGGTCTAAAAACCGCGCATAGGATGATGAGAAAGCACAAGACACCCGAGAAAGTGATCCGCATGTTGCAGTTTGACGGCAAGTATCGGGTCCCTGCTGATTATTTGAAATTGTTCCACCAAGCGGAACAGACTTTTCTTCACCAATGGGTATTCTGTCCCAAGGCGAACCAGCTTGTCAACTTCACGCAACTTAGCCCCGACGTCAAGGTTGATGAGCTTCCCTTTCTTGGACCTCCTATTGAGCCCGAAACAGCGAGAGGAATTGCTATAGGAGACATAAATCCTATCACTAAACAGACTATTCTGCTTCCAACTTTGCCCTCGCCGAGAAAACGTACGGCATCAGGAACCGCCCGCAACGTGCCTCAAACTCGCACGATACGAGAGCCTCCGGCAAAGCCGATTGATTCTTATTTCAAGGGCCATCGTCGAATTCCCCTAGGCGAAATGGAACCGAATTGTTTCTCTGTTGACCCTGCACGTCTTGCTGGTATGACTGAGAATGGCAACCGGCCAATTGTGTACCCGCTCCCAAGACCATATCTGGACGAAACTGATCCCACCACATCTAGCGGCCCACGGGCTTATATCACACGGCCAGGAAGCTCTGCCCGTACTCTTCGACGCCGAACTGAACCGGTAACTAATTTACTCGGCAATGGCGGTCACACTTTGGGTTCTGGGTCTCGACGCCAGACTACCGGGCCGGGAGTCAATGTTTTAAGTAACTCTGAGAGTGGTGGAGCTGTTAACACCGTTCGACCACCTAAGAAGGCACGTTTGTGCGATGATACGAATTCGGGTCGAAGTCCCGGAAAGGAGAAGAGCAAATTCTTCCCACGCGGCAATGTGAAAGGTGCAACTACGAAAAAGACGGAAGGCTATTTAATGTCGGACGATTCCATTGAAGAAGCTCTGAAAGATCTCCCCGATTTTGGTGGATGGGGTGCTTCACTCAAGGACGAGAAGGAAGTCCTGGTCTACCAGGAGTCGCAATCAGCTTTGGCCAATACTGAAATATCTAAGGATGACGAATCATATCATGAGAATGGGAGCAGCGAACCTAGCGAACCGACTTCCTCTGTACAGGATAATGTACTGCCAAACACCCCCAGCCTTGCCAAACGCTTTAGCTACCATGGCCAATCACGTAGGGAGAGCGTCTCTACATCTTCCTCCAGCCGGTCTTCGCTCTCCGGGCTTACCCCTGCCACTTCTGTTATGTCATCTACGTCTTTTTCGTCGGTACAGCTATCAACTGGTAAAACGACTCCAGCGACACCACTACAAACACCGCTTCAACGACTCGGCATCAAGGCGTTGGGACGCGGCAACCAACCGTCCACGCCTACTTTCGTTGCCCCGCGACCTAAGAAGCGTTCTAGCTTAGTCAGGCAGAGTATAGACTCTATGCCTATCAATCCAGCTTTCGTTCCTCTGCCTCCTGTTGACTTGGAAGAGGTAGAGGCGCTACACAGGCCTATTGGTAGCGAAGACCTGATAATACCTGAGAGCGAGAATGAAGAGGCTCTGGATGAGCAAGAGAACTTGGGCTCAGATAAGGGCAGAGCGGCAGGAAATAGACGGATAGACTTATCAAGATTTCTTTTCGCTTAGAGGGAAACTCTTCAGCATACGGTACATACTGTTTTTACAGGTCCCTTAGGGATTTCGACGGCGCAGAATGTGGTCATCAGCATAGCAGAGGAGTTTGGGGCCCGCAACGATCAAGCAAAGGCGTTCCGGCATAAATCATTCGATTAGGTCAAAAGTATCTGCCATAAGTGCTTCCCTTCCCTTCTGGAAGTTGTTAAAGTAGTAATAAGGAAACCATTGGTTATTATTATGATTCTGTAATTGGTATATATTAGCTGGTACTGAATTGTGAGACGGTGTACTCGTAAACGTAATGCATAGCGTAATGTATAGAACATTACATTATAATAGCTACCTAAGGTAATCTTTATTCATGGTGGAAGAATGAAAGAGATGGAAAGTGTAGGTTTCCGATCTCGACTATTATTTGAATCAAAATGATTGAGTTTGTTCTGTGGTTCTAAAGTATAAAGAATAACCGATTGTGCTGCTTCGTTCCCTGGCATATCTCTAGGTACAAATGTTGAATTAGGTGAGTACAATCAGATACCGAAGTATTCATAAATTTCTACTCCACTTCCATCCACTGAGGCGAAGGGCGGACCAGCTGGCAAGATAAAACAATCTAAGTGGATCTATTGTATTGTACAATGCATGGCGCAAATACTGGCAACAAGTTGCGTCAGGAACTCCCGACTGCCGGTGGTGGCAGTAACTTCCAGTTCAGCAAGGCATGGGAAAAAAGGTAGTGTGACCTTGGCCCATCAGCGGCCAGCAGCAGCTGCCAACCCAACCAACAAGCGTCCGATGTATTGTATTGTATTGTATTGTATTGTACAACGTACACGGCGTACCACAGTGCCAACACAGATTACTTCTCTACTTTAATTCCGTAATCTGATTTCATGACACTTTACATAACATCAGCTCAGAACCATCCTAACTTCTTCTGCTTTTTGTCACTTCGGAAAAAAAAGAAAAGAAAAAAAAAAAAAAAGAACACAACCAAGATATTCAGGTTGCTTCTTTTAACGACCGAGGCATCTGTACATATTCCCAACGCCGGGTCTCATATTCACTCTCTTCTTCATTACATTCCAATCATTCAATCTGAACCCCTCTTATCCAGCTGACGAGGTTACCTCCTCAATACTACCTGTTCGCCGCCTCACCCTTTTCTCTTTTTTTTTTTTCATTTATATACCTTGAATCATATGCTTACCTTAGGTACCTAGATACTACCTACTTAGGTATTTAGATTCCTGTTACTCTTTAACCGTGTCGCCCCCGTCTTACCCGCGTATTCGTAGCCTAGCGACACTAATAAGACGACATCCGACTAAGCAACCCTTCGTACTTCGACCTTCCTAAGTTTCCGAATTCTCGAAGGTAGCCCGATACCATATCAACATTTATTTACCGTTGCACGTCGTGCCTTTGGGCAAATCCCGATACGCATTCTCCGAGGCTCGTCGGCGGCGAGCATCCCCAAGCCAATATTATCAACCGACAAGATTCCTCCCATAACGAGAAAGCGGAAAGCCGCTGAGGCGAAGATTTCTGCCGACACTCCCGAGGCCCTTCCCATCAAACGAGTCCTCGCCTCAGCAGCCGCTACAAACGCAGCGCCTCCAACCCCGATTACCGGCATGGATTCAGACGAGGACTTCGTCTCGACTATTTCGAGCGGAGACGATATTATGCAAGATGACACCGACAATGATGACTTATCGGGTGCTGAGGGTATGTCTCATTCCTTATCTCTATCTCTATCCCTATCGCGCACATGATTCCGATGTACACTAATACGCTAACTGACTACTAATATTCGATACGTAAAGACTTCGACGTGTTTGACGATGAACCTGATGACGTACCTGGTATCCTTTCACAAAAGTCGGATAAGAAGAAGGGCGTGTCGTTTGATATCAGTTACAAAGTATACGCGCCGAGCGACATCGAGCACCAGCAAGAAGAAATGATCAACGAAGTTAACATGATCTTGGAAATGAGCAAAGAAGATGCCGCTATCCTATTGCGCCACTTCCGATGGAACAAGGAGCGCTTAATCGAGGATTATATGGATAACCCAACCAAGGTCCTCGAGGCAGCTGGTCTAGGTCCTAGCTCTTCCACTCCGCCTATATTAGAAGTAATACCAGGGTTTGCTTGCGACATATGCTGCGAGGATGAGGAGGGACTTCTCAGTTTCGCTATGAAATGCGGCCACCGCTACTGCGTCGATTGCTACCGACAATACCTCACACAGAAGATCCGCGAAGAGGGCGAGGCAGCCCGTATCCAATGTCCCGCCGAGGGTTGCCACCGCATTATCGATGCCCGGTCCTTGGACTTGCTAGTGACGGCTGACCTAGCGGGTCGATACCAAGAACTACTCAACCGCACGTACGTTGAGGATATAGATTCCCTCAAATGGTGTCCTGCTCCCGACTGCGAGAACGCTGTCGAGTGCCCTATCAAGAAGAAAGATCTGGATAAGGTGGTCCCGACCGTTGCTTGCGCGTGCGGCAATCGATTCTGCTTCGGCTGCATACTTAGTGATCATCAGCCAGCGCCGTGCGAGCTTGTTAAAAAGTGGTTAAAGAAATGCGCAGATGATAGCGAAACCGCTAACTGGATCTCAGCCAACACTAAGGAATGCCCTAAATGTAACTCGACGATTGAGAAAAATGGCGGCTGTAACCATATGACTTGCCGAAAATGTAAGCACGAATTCTGCTGGATGTGTATGGGCCTATGGTCGGAGCACGGGACGAGCTGGTATAACTGCAACCGATTCGAGGAGAAGAGTGGTACAGAAGCGCGCGACGCTCAGGCAAAATCACGCGTGTCTCTAGAGCGATACTTGCACTACTATAACCGATATGCCAACCACGAGCAATCAGCACGTCTGGACAAGGACATCTATCAGAAAACAGAAAAGAAGATGGTGCAGTTGCAGACGGCATCGGGCATGTCCTGGATCGAAGTGCAATACCTTAACTCGGCGTCGCAGGCATTACAGACGTGTCGGCAGACGCTCAAGTGGACGTACGCCTTCGCTTTTTACCTGGCCCGAAATAACCTAACAGAAATCTTCGAGGACAACCAGAAAGACCTGGAGCTTGCGGTTGAGGCGTTATCGGAGATGTTCGAAAAGCCCATTGCGGAGCTGTCGGCACCCAAGCTCAAGGTTGATATCATGGATAAGACAGCATACTGCAACCGACGACGGGTTATCCTGTTGGAGGACACAGCAGATAACTTGGCTAATGGTACGTTTAAGTTACACTCGGACCGCCTCTAGCAGCTGCACGAATTAGAGCTAACCGTTTCCCGTTTTTCTTGGGCGCAGGACGATGGACTTTTAACGTAGACCTCAAGAGCAACACTCCGGGAGCAAGCGGGGCCAGCTCTCGGGGGTAAACTACCTAACCTATATTATGTGTAACGGCATCGATAGATAGAGGAGATGATCACGGCCGGAGTTTGGAAGGCATCATCATTACTATATTGGCCAATTCCAATTCCAATTCACGATGAACGTATATCAGATACAAAGTTTGTGGCTACCATTCTAATTAACTAACAAAAGAACAAGCTAGTATGAACTCTCAGAAGACTTAGACATATTAGGTACGCATTGCTACGAGATTCTCTATCTTAGGTACATTTTAGCGGGAGTCTTGGGAGGAACAATAGAACGTTTTATCAAAATTATAGAAAATAGCAGACGCTGTGGGTTTCGCCGTAGATGTTTTAGTTAATGTGTTATATCTAAAGCAATGTAGTTAAATGCCCAAGCTAAGTTCCTATGGTAAGCTTGATATACTATTACTTGCTATACCATACAGTGCGAATAATTATAACATACATGATAACTTCAGGTACTAGATTAGTAAGAACTTCTAGGTTACGTTGATGCAAGGGACGCCTCTTACCGTGCGGGTCATCTGTCGGAGATAACTGTACAAAAAGTATAACGGAATGCCGTATGCAGCCTCACGTCATAGTTTCCCCGTTTCCCGCATCAAAGTACAAAGTCTAGGTACCAGTACTAGGTATGGGTTGTCTGTATACCTGGTACCTTTTTAGTTACATACCCGCCGGCATCTTCGACTTCTTACTTCATCTACCTTTTGTTTTTTTCGTCTCATAGCGAATTCTCGCATTTAGCCCCAATACACACCGGACTTGACTTGACTGACTTTCAGGCATTTTATTTAACCTTGAGTTGGTTTTTTCTTTTCTTTTCTTTTCTGACTTGACTCACTTGCTCGCTCATATACAAGTCATTTACAATAACATATAACGCACATACTTACCTGATATATATACATTAGGTATCTAAGAGGTACTTACTTGCGCATAGTCAACAGCAAAGCAAGGGTAGAAAGGAAAGAAGAAGAAGAAGAAAAGAAAAATATAATTAATTACTCGCACAATGGCATTCCGGCTCGCGCTACGCCACGCCCCGCGCGCTTTTGCCGCTCCGGCGTCGTCGTTATCGCCATCGTTATCGTCTACGCGGGCATTCCACGCGACGGCGCGAGCGTGCATCAAAGTCGGGGAGCCGATCCCGGACATCGAAGTGCTGCACGAGGGGTCGCCGGGCAACAAGGTGAACCTGGCTCGGGAGTTCGAGAAGGCGGACGGGGTGATCGTGGGCGTGCCCGCGGCCTTCTCCGGCGCGTGCTCCGAGAAGCACGTCCCGAGCTACATCCAGAGCCCGAAGCTGAGGGACGCCGGGAGCGTGTTTGTCGTTAGTGTTAATGATGCTTTCGTGTGAGTCTTTTATTTTATTTATTTATCGGTTTATTCTTGGGGTGTTAGGAATATTGGAGGAGAGGAGGGTCTCGTAAGGGATGAAAGGGACGGACTGCGAGGAGATTTTTGGTGGGGTTCTGGAGAATGGCTTGAGTACGGACGAAGAGGGCGATCTAGCTTAACCTAACCCACCTCCTATCTATTTCTACGTCCAATTTACCCGGGACAATTGCGGGAGGACACACAACACCTAGTTTAGAAAGCGGTTAACTAACTAAGCTGACGTTCAACAATAATAGCATGAAAGCATGGGGTGACCAACTCGATCCCACGCACGAGTCCGGCGTAAGTACAATTACATCTAACCACCTTTACATCTAACTACCTACCTAACCTAGGTACCTACCCACCATATCAAGACCCCGGATCGCTAATGCATATATCCCCCGCATACATAGATCCGATTCCTAGCCGATCCCGCCGGCGAATTCACCAAGGCCCTGGACCTGGGCTTCGACGCCCCGGCCATCTTCGGCGGCATGCGGGCTAAGCGCTTCGCGCTGGTCATCGAGGACGGCAAGGTCAAGTCCCTGCACGTCGAGCCGGATAACACCGGGACTAATGGTTAGTACCTCCTACCCAACTTACTTTTTATCTGCCTGCCGTGCCTTTTATGCTTCGATATTTGTAGACAAAAAAAATACTGACTTCGGCTTAGTTTCCCTCGCCGACAAGGTCCTCGGTTAGATGATGTGGATGATGTGGGTTAGGAGATGTGAACTTGTTAAGAACGATCTCGTCCCGAGGCGCGTAGGAGAGACTACGGCCGTTTGTATATTAGGTACCTACCTAAGTTGAGGTAGATACGATGAGTTGACGATTTGAAATATTAAGCCTTCTGACCACGACTTCTTCAACTGGTTAATCTTTCTTAACTTTTCTACATTAGGTACCTACATAGAACCCATATGGAATCACAAGTGAACAACCAAATTGTTAACTAGTCGATTATTCATTATTCTTCTAACTAATTCCCACAATAAACTGACTCCTCGATGTCAGTAAATAAAACCAATTACCTAACAGGCCAATCTATAGGTACCTCAAATCTGAATTCTCATCCGATCCCGGGCGCCTGTGTCTATCCGAACCGCTAAACCGTCATGCTTTTATTTCATAACAAGTTACAAGTCTAATATTATATACCACCTCTCCTATCCTCCTACTTCGTATCTTTCCTATCAAACATCACAGAGCCTTAACCGCAGCGAAGAACGGGTTCGACAGGAGCTTCTCGTCCTTCTTGACCAGGTCCCTCAGGCGACCTACCATCTCCTCCTTGTTCAAGCTGCCGCCCTTGACCTCGTCCTTCCAGCGGACCAGGATCTCCTTCAGCCTGGCGCTCCCTTCCTCCACGTCCTCCTTGCCGTAGTTCTGCGGCGTCGTGTCGTGCTTGGCCGTGAAGTCCTCCAGCTCGTCGGCCTTGCGCTTCGCCATGCGCACCACCTTGTCCGGGAACCGCACCAGCTCCGCTACGTGTATGCCGAAGGACTGGTCGCAGATGCCGGGCTCGACCTTGTACAGCAGCGTCACCTCGCGCTTGTCGACGCCCTCCCCGCCGCCGGCCAACGACATGTGCGCCGTGACGTGCAGGTTGCGGACCTGCGGGTGTTGGTCCGCAAGCGCCGTTAGCTCGTGGAAGTGCGTCGCGAACATGGCGAAGCAGCCGATCTCCATGACGATGTGCTCGCTGATAGCCCAAGCCAGTCCGAACCCGTCGTATGTCGACGTGCCGCGACCCAGTTCGTCGATGATGATGAGCGACTCGGCTGTCGCTGACTTGAGGATGTTGGCCGTCTCCAGCATCTCCGCCATGAACGTCGAGACGCCCTTGAGCTGAGAATCGCTAGCGCCAACACGCGCGAGTATGGAATCAAATATGGTGAGTTCGGCCTCAGAGCACGGAACAAAGCATCCGATCTGCGCCATGAGCGCGATGACGCCAATCTGTCTGATGTAGGTTGATTTACCGCCCATGTTGGGTCCCGTGATGATCAAGAAAGAAGATTCGCCGCGGCGGAGTTCGACGTCGTTCGTGATGAATTGGATGTCATCCTGCATCTCCATACACGGATGGCGAGCCTCTTTTAGGATCGTAGACCCCTCCCCACGAGGATGGATGGTAGGACGAACGTAGGATGTAGGGGCATGGACCGAGCAGTGCGCGAATGATACGATAACGTCTAGATGCGCCAAGACACCAGCAAGTTGCTCCAACACGGGACAGTAGGACGCGGCAACGCTTACAACCTCGTTGACAAGGCCGCTTTGGGTCCTATTGTAGGTCTGAGACAGCTGATCGAACTCCCGACGATATGATTGTAGTGCCTTCGTGGTGAAGTACACGCCGTTTTTCTGCGTCGAGCATTCTTGGTAATGGGAATTATTACGGATACAGCCAGCTTCGGTTCTCGTTAGGCGCATGCACCAACCATGAGTCTTATGGTTCTCAAGGAATATCTTCTTGTTTTCTTCTTGATTCAGATCGTCCGCCGCTTTTCGAAATTCGCTGTCCATATTCGACCTGAGTTTGTCGAGCTTCCTTCGCACAATGCGCAAGTTATCATCGAACTCGGGCTTAATAATGAACTCGTGATTATCGAGGGCATCAAGATCCACAGTTGTTTCCACCATATCAGCGAGCTTTCCGAGACTATCAGAAAGGCCCCTTAATTTGTTAGTATATGCCTCGTCTAGTGGATCTTTGTACTTCTCGTCCATCACGCCCTCTAGTGTCCCCAGAAATCCAGGTAAGCGAATAACAACCTGGTACGCTCGGACGACGTCTTCCAAGTTTGCCTTGTTTTTTTGGAAGCGCTTTGCTAGACGGTAAAGATCCGGGACCGACTTGAGATGCTCCTCTTGCATAGTTTGACGTAGCTCCGTGTCGTTAACAAAAGCCTCAACCAATTGCTGACGTTTTTCAATCTCGTCCTTGTTCATTAGGGGCTGCTTCAGCCATTGTGATAGTAACCGGCTACCGACCGGTGTTTTGCAGTGATTAAGCAACCCGTACAGACTCATCGTCTTGGAGCCATCTCGTGCGCCTGGCATTAGATTAAGAGCCTTGAGGGCAGCAGCATCGAGCTTCATAAAGTGAGATAGGTCGTGTTGGTACAGCTGGTACTGACCAAAGTTGGACGGGTCTTGGAGAACAGCTAGGTATTTGATTAATGCTGCCGCTGATCCCATCGCTAACTTAAGATCAGTCTGCGGGAGAAGAGTTGCGGATCTCTCATCTTTCAGTAATCGGGCGAGGTCCTGCTCGATATCTTTCGTTCCGAAATCGCCAGCTGGTCTTTCAGCTATAGCAACTCCGCAGCTGTCGATAATCTGTTTAAGCTTGGCTAATTCGGGGTCTTTGTCCTTCTCGGCCTTGTCTATCTGGATGAGACACTCCTTGACGCCAAGTTGGATTAGAAGAGCCTCGAAATTTGAGTATAAGTCGTTGTCAAGAAACTCGCTGACTCCGAGTTCTCGAACGCTGGCATCAGCAAAGCAGACGCCAACACTCCTGGCTTCGGTGGCCTTGGTTGAGATCTTAACAGCTAATATCATAGGGGCAGACTCAAACTGGCCACCAAGCTCCTCTTCTACATCCTGCAGGTTTCCCGGCGATGCTTGCTTAACAACTTTCCAGTTCATTCGGCCACCGCTGCTAGCATATATCTCGATACGCTTTCCTAGCTTGAACAGGGCTTCCCGAAGAAACTGTCCGAAAACGGTAACTGTCATAGTGACAGATGGAAGACCACTAGCATCGTTTCGCCCCAGTTGTCGTACAACTGAGGTAGTTTTATAAACGGTTCTCGCAATAAAGTTCGCATCTTCGCCGTGGGCGGTGTACCAATCACCTCGGTCGAATAGTCTGACGGTTTCCTCGCCTACAGACGGTAATGATTTAAAATATCGTATGAATCCGTGTTCATCGTCGACCTGTTAAGGTTTTTTTTTTTTTGTCAGTTATAAGTTACAATCAAATTTAGAGTCCATAAGATAGGCATATATAGAGAGAGGTAGGTACCTTTAACTCAGGTCGGGAAGACATGGTGATTTCAAGTATTAAATTCCCAGTTTAGTATACTAGACGTTAGGTAGGTAACTTCACTTTATGTAATAGGAATAAGAAGAGTACGATGGAGGGGATGAATCTATTAGGATTCTTATTACATTCATTATTTTGAAGTACGATAGTAATATTAAACCCGATTAACGTAGGGGGGAGGGAAAAGGTGTTGGCAACTTTTAGGGGTCCGAGTTCCAGTCGCGTCCCAAAAAAAAAACAAAAGACAATTAAAGCTTCTAAGACGCGACAAAGACGCGCTAAAATTTTGATAAGCTCTTGCCCCCCAACCAGCCCCAATCTGTTGCAGCTGCGCTACTGCATGAGCTAAAATAACCCGGCATTTGCGCCCAGACCATCCCCTAAGTTATTCCCCAAAGCTGCCCAAGGCTTTTCCCTAATAAGGTTGTTCCTTAAAGGCTCCTCTGCTAAGAATTTTACTATGTACACAATTTTACACCGCGGGGTCGTCGCATTTTGCTTCATCTCCAAATCCCATTTTTTGACACCCCACCACCACAAAGACTCGATATCTTTTATCTTTTCAAGACAACGAACAAAATGGCAGATACTACGGAAGTCGTCGAGGGTGTTGATAATTCCAATTCCAATTCAGAAGCCCAACCTCAGGAAAGCTTAGATGTCCCGACCGAAGCTCAATCATCTACTATTACTACCACGAATGGTCCTGAAAAGCGCGGAGTGAAGAGACCTTCCCCATATGATGGCATCGAAGAAGAAGGCGATCATGATAACGAATCGCCGAAGGAAGCGACTAATGAAACCGATGCGCCGAAATTATCTAAGAACCAGCAACGAAAGTTAAAACGTCAAAAAATGTGGGAGGAAAAGAAGCAAGAAAAGAAAATTCTGCGTAAAGAAAAGCGACACGAAAAGCAGGAAAAGAAGCGATTAGAGAGAGAGGCCGAGATTGCTGCCGCTGCCGCCGAGGGAAGAGAGCCCGTATTCCAGGAACCATCCAGGAGACAACCCAAGTCCTCGACCAGAGTGCCGATATCAGTCATATTTGATTGTCAATTTGAAAAATATATGATGGGAAAGGAGTTGCCATCTTTGTCAAATCAGATCACTAGATGTTACTCTGACAATAGGAATGCACAATACCCCGTTCACATGTTTATTAGCTCGTATGGCGGCCAGATGAAGGAAAGACACGAGACTATCCTTCAGAACCAGTTCAAGGGCTGGAAGAACGTCCACTTCGTCGAAGGTGATTTTATCGAGGCTGCTTCTAAGGCCAAGGAGATAATGGCTGGCCCTTCCGGTGGCACCGTAATCGACCTGCTCTCGCAAGGCAGTGGCCGCGATTCGATTTCCTTCTCTGGGGCTAATCAGGACTCGAAAAAGAAGCAGAAAGCTGCTCCGGTTGCAGAACCCGAGGCCGATGATGTAGACAAGTCCATTGTCTATCTGACTGCTGATTCGCCCTATACCCTCGATCGTCTGGAGCCCAACACTTGCTATGTTATCGGTGGTATAATTGATAAGAATCGAGAAAAGGGGTTATGCTACAAGATCGCACGAAGCAAAAACGTACGGACGGCGAAGCTGCCCATTGGTCAATACATGGTCATGCAGAGCCGTCATATTCTCGCTACAAACCACGTCATGGAAATCATACTCCAGTGGTTGGAGACGGGCGACTGGGGCACCGCCTTCATGAACGTCATTCCCATGCGAAAAGGAGGGAAGTTGAAGGAGGACGAAGATGTCGCAGATACAAGTCACAATGAACCAGAAAGTGCACCGAAAGAAAGCGAAGAACCCCAGGGCCCCGCCCAAGTAAAAGGAGACAACGCCGAAGACGGCCTCGAAAAGAATGCACTAAGTCAACGACAATGGTCAGCACCACCGATCGAACAGGAAGCACAGGCAGAGGCAGAAGCACCTATCGGGACCACTCTTAGCTGACCGAAATAATTCACTTCACTAACAGATTAACAGACAGAATGATACTGCCCTTTATAGATTATCACCACACTGATACCCGTTACCAGAGCCGCTGGGCAGGCCTTTGGACTCCCAATAATCCTAAGGTACTCAACGGCTGTTGCACCAAGACATACCTGAGACTCCAGGTCAACGCAACCTCCATCTTCTAAGTGCAAGTATACGAATAGAACTCTAAACAGCGACTTTGCATATGCAACAGCCAACTAGCGTTTTCATTTCGTAGACCACGAGATATCCCAAAGAGAAAGTATTTACAACTTGTCGAATATAACAGCCTGCAAAATGTCGACTCTTCAACTTGCCTGTCTATGCCTGCGTGCTTGAATCACTTGCCCACTGTATAAGGTATTATAAGTGAATCTGGCCAACCTGGATAATGACATCTCACATTAGATATCTGTCTTGGTTCTTGGCCCCTCGATATATAAGGTTTAGAGGTGACATCTCATCCAAGCGTCATCTTTATTCCATCTCACTTACACTCATATGCTCCTAAATTTGTATGTAAAATGCCATGAGCCATAGCCTTGACTCGGGATACGTTGAAGTAAACACGGCTTATCAGCGTCGCATACATCGATATTGCGATCTAAACACCTGCCACATTCCTCGTTTCTATTTGCGTTCGTCAAGACTTAATAGATTTACGTGGTATTGCTGAATTGAATTGAATAAATTAAATTAAATTAAATTAAATTTGTAAGTCTTATATCAAAATAAAGAAGAACATGTCATTTATCTTCAAACACTGCCTGTACATAGCCTCAGGTGTAAAAAACTGTACAAGAACAATGGATCCCTACATCTAAGGGTCTTTCTAGCCTATATATTCCTTTATCGCCCTTCTTATCCCAATGCGTCAAGTAAAACAGCCTGCTCAGGGGCGGCCTAGGTTCCGGGGGGTCTGGTCTTTTCTAGACTTCTTCTTCTTTTTTTTTCTTTTTTTTTACTCCAAGATCTTCGTGAGATAGGGGCTATACTTGCTCTTGCCGGCCTTGACGTCGGCCATCCACTGGCTGAAGGAGTGGGTGGGCGCGGCGTCGGCGTGGGTCATGAGATCCTCCCGCTTGAGGCCCTTGAGGACCTGGGCGGCGGAGGCGCGTAGCGCCGGGTCGTAGATGGCCATGCCGCGCATGAACCGCAGGTCCTTGCTGCGGGAGGCGATGTCCAGCACGGCGCGGCGCACGTCCGTCTGCCGGTACAGGCGGCCCGTCTCGACCCGGTGCCGGAACATGTCCTCGTTGTGCACCCACAGCAGCGTCACGTACAGCGACCAGATGTCCGCGCGCGGCGTCTGCGCCTTCGTCCCGTCGTACACCTCGGGCGCCATGAAGACCATCGTGCCCGCCTGGCTGCGCGCGAGGTCCTGCAGCGCCGACAGCCCGAAGTCCGCGAGCTGGAAGATGTGCCGCTCGTCCCCGTCCGGCTTCGCCGTCACGTCGTACAGGATGTTGTCCGGCTTGATGTCCCGGTGGATCAGCTTGTGGGCCGCCAGGTAGTCGAGCGCCGACAGCAGCTGCACCAGCACGATCTTGCCGTACTTCTGCGAGGAGTCGTACGACGGGTATCGCCTTATGAGGCCGCAGAGCGTCCCCTTCTTCATCGGCATGAAGATCTCCACGAGTCCCGTATCCCAGCCTTGCGAGCCGAGGTACTCTACGATATGGCCGTGGTTGAGTTTCGAAAGTATAACTATTACATAGCGAGTTAGCAGCGTTTTTTTTTTTTTTTCCTTTTTGGGAATGACCTAGGTATTGTTAAGGGAACAAACAAAGACACGAATGAAAACAAAAGAAATGTGAGAGGGTGGGAGTGGATATATATGACTTACACATTTCTCGATCTCGAGCGGTTATCAACGTATCGATCCAACGAGGATCTTTCTGGTTCTTGGGCCTATGCAGCAGCTTGACGGCCATGACGCCGCCCGAGTACGCATCGGCCGTCTTCATAACCATTCCAAAGGCGCCCATCCCGAGTTCCACGAGAGGGACATGTCGAATCGGATTCGGAACGACTTTCCAGTGCGTCTGATCCGTAAACTCGTGGAGTTCCCTCCTTTGAGACTCGGAAGCTTCCGAAATCCGCTGTCGTACGATTTCCAGGATTTTGTCGGGATCCAGGTTCCAGAGGATCTCGAACCGTACTGGATTATCCCGGGACCCGAGAGAGAGCACGGTGTTGACACCCTCCATGATTATGGCGCGGGAGCGGGTGGCGCCGGACATGTTGGAGATATTCGATGGTCGGTTGTCTTGGTAAACGCGAGTCCTTCCGGAGGAGTCGTCCTAGTTGATGGTTAGCTTAGTCGAAACTATATGATAAATGATTGGATAATTAAGGGGAAGAACTCGGGGGGTATGAAGAACCCACGACTCTGGATAGGGGGGACTTACTTGAACGACTACAATACCCGTCTTATAGTTGATAAAGAAAATGCAATGTACATCTTCTATATCATTCCCACTTACGTAGGCATCAGCTTTGCTCCGACTACTGCCCATCGTCGCGATAGTCATAATTTTGTTGCTGTGCTTAGTCGGATCTAAACTTGCAAACGTGAAGCAACGCTCTCCATGAAATTTACTTGATGTAATATCTAAATTATACCTGTGATCTATGACCTTCTCCGCCCTAGAGTTAAGGGCTTTCAAGGAGAAGATCAAGATGTTTTTCTTACGATCGCGAAACATGGTTAACACGGAATGAGCGTGCTACGTACGATATAGGTTTGGAATTCGGTAATGATACCCCAAGTGAGCGTAGAAACGAGATCTATGAGTATAAAAATTTATCGCGATCGATATCGGTCACCCGAGAATATTCAGCAACGACAGTCACGTGGAAAATGAGATATATTTAATAATCATCTAAACGATGGAAACGAGAGCGCTGTAAGAAGCTGGCATAGAAACGGCCGAGCAGTACATAAAATATAATTGTAGCGGAAACAACCCGAAACAACCCCTATGTGTACCTAGACAACAACTACCGAGAAGCAATCGATACAAAGCGAAGGTTACCCATCGTTTTGGTTTTCACAATGGAATTGTATAACTGTTGTTGGATGTTTTTGTGTCTATATAAACACGACACGCCGCACTGCTATTCCAAACTTGAGCTCTACACTTCATCACGATAACTGTTATCACCTACAAGTTATTAAAGTATCCATCTCTTCGATCAAATCTCTCTTTTAATTTCCCTTAAAAGAAAACAATAATACAACAGATTACGTACAGTACTCTACGAAAGCCATGGCGCCCATTCAACTCCCATTCAAATCTTTCCCTCGCAAGCAATTCGACGACTCGGTGGCCGCCGAAGTCGAGCGCATCTTCCTCTCCGCGTGCAGGAAAGCCGTCGAGGCGGAGAAGGAGCACGGGCCCGCGGGCCCGTTCCCCGACGGCGAACAGGTCTACGACGAGGCCGTCGCGGAGGTGAAGCAGCAGTGGACCCAGCGGGGGATCTGGAAGGCGGAATGGGACGCGGCGAACCAGCCCAGGCTGACGGACCGGTGGACGCACGAAGGGCCGCTGCCGGAGGGCATCACGCCCGAGGAGGCGGCGCACCCCAGCGAGGACATCTCGCTTAAGAAGAGCGTGGTCCTGAGCCGCCACTACGCCTCGCGGCCCGCGAAGCAGTACGTCGAGCAGGTGACCCTCGAGAAGGAGAGGATCGAGGCCGAGCACGGCGTGTGCCCCCGGGGCCTGGCGGAGGACCTGGTGCGCGCGCGCTGGGTCACGCGGGGCATCTGGTCCGACGACTGGTTCCTGATCCCCGGCGACGCGTGGATGCACGAGGACGAGGAGCGCGGCGCGGATGTCCTGTCTGCTGGCGAGCAGGAAGAGGTGACGGAAGTAGTTCTGCTAACGCAGAGTCTGCTCAAGAAGTTGCAGCTGTTGACCGAAACAGACGAGCCGTCGTCGAAAGAGTAAATCATACGAATGGAAGCGGAAGCTGGGAGAGGGCATGTGTGTAAGTTTGGCTTTGCATGCCGTCCCAGTAGGCAGATTTCCCTCGTGGACCATATAAGCTACAATAGCCGTTGTGCCGTGGTGGGGACCAGCTCTGGCCGGCTTTGTAGCGTCTTTCCAAGAGGCGTTTCTGCTTAACCATACGTAAGATTTCCTTCTTTTATTCCTTTTTTTTCCCCTTTTCTCTACCAAACCTAAAATTGGGGGTTGGTAATTGTCTCTCCCAACAGGGGAAGAGATGCAAATATATTTTAATACTATTATCCATTGATACTAAGAAAGAAGTTACTACTAATATTCTGAGTGATGCTATTGAATATGTGAAATGATAGAAGCCTAAGGTTAAGTCGAAGTCGAGGACGGGCAACATTATAGGTAGGTAGTTAATAGGACTGGGCAGCTTTGAGTCGATGACACTCCCGTAAGTCAAAGAAATGCCCTCGTTGTATAGAAACCAGTTTTGACACCTCCCCTCAAAAAGGTATACGTGAGAAGTGCGTCCGATACGTACATATGATGGACGCATTTTTCAATTTAAGTAAATTATTCGCCACTACACAAGTTCCAGATCTTAGTATCCATTATACGCGAACAATTACCTCAGCCCCACGTTCTCGAGAACTCCTACCTTCGACATGGCAAGCTACCTCACGGGTTCTCTCACGAGAACTCGGAAACACATGTGACTGCCGGCGAGAAACAGGCGACGTGGAAGTAAACGTAAGACACCCTCCGCGCAACGGTAGAGCCGCATCCCGTTCTATGCCCTCCCATGTCACACGCGTAAGGAGGACCAAAAAGAGAGAGAGAAAAAAAAAAGGGCCATCACCCACGTCTCTTCCCTAGGACATAGGTACTATCCCTCCCTCACTTGCACGAACCTCCGAGCCGGAACTTTCCTACGGCAAAGAGAGCTTGGGTTAGCTCGGTTCGGAAAGCAAGGGGAAAACCCCCCGATTCGGAAGGACCCTTGAGGATCCCCTTTCTAGGCTATAGCTACGAGCTCCCGAGCCCGTCGGCTATGGGTTGCGGTAGGTAGCTGTCTTAGCTCTGCGGACCAAAGAACTGCTATATATGGTTCCTCTCTCTATATAGGTACATACATACCTCCTATATATGTATGATAGATAGGTATGCATGTATGTACGTGATATGTGCCTGGGTAGATTAGATAGGTTAGGTTAGGTATGTATGTTGGCCTTACTAGAAGCTATTTTAAGACACAGTACTATGCAAGTGCAATATATCTTATCTAGGGTAGGGTAGCGCTCTGCCCGTCTACTATACTTGTGCGTGCGCTATAGGTAGGAAGACATGTAATTAGGTAAGTTCGGCCAGGTTAAGTAGGGACCCGAACCCCGTTGCCTCGTGTTTACTCTCTGTCTTTCTCTCCGTCTTTCTATCCGTCTTTCTATCCGTCTCTGTCTCCTCTATTCCCCGCGGAATGGCGGATGGCGGGTAGCGGATATGGCGTGTCGCGGCAAGGATTTGGCGCACCGGCTAATTTGGAATACCTACATGCAGGGACATATCTCTGCATTCTCTCATTATCTGGTACCTATTTCCCGCCTTGCGATCCAATGGTTTCCCGGGAGAGAGCGAAAGAGCACGTTTCCCCCTCCCATACTTGCCTGTAGGTACATAACATGCATGCATGATTCTATTAAAACCGCACCGGTAAGCGGATCTCTCTCCTTCTCCTCTCCCATACCCGTTTTCCTCGCGACATGGAGCCACGTTTCCGGGATAAAAAGGAAAGGTTGGCGCGGTGAAGAAATTATAGGGACGGGGGAGAGACCGGGGAGAGAAAGAGAGAGAGGAGAGAGAGAAAGAGAAATGTCGCTATTTAAAGCCAGGACTGGGTCTCCTCGCTTACTCGGCAAGTAAATATATTGCAGTTACATAGAGATCATAGGGATAAAGAGTGCTATTTCTATGAATAGCATGGCGAGACCCGTCGGTTATGGGAAAGTGAATTAGCTTAGATATAGGTACCAGGTATCTAATAAGAAAACCATCGTCTGTTTTGCATCAGGTATCGACGGCGGAGCTCTGCGTCCGCACTTTGCCATGGTACTGAGCTCTCAAAAAAACATGGTTTGAATGAAGGACTTGCCCATTGCCGGTGCAGCTTCGAATGCAGGTGGACACGAGCTTAAACAAAGGAGAGGGGTTATTTATAAATTTCGGTCCAAGCGAACGGGAAACCCGAAAGTAGAGCTGTAGATATGTCCCTGTCGTTTATTTTGAAAACTCGGGATCGTTATGGCTACAGGTAACCGGGGCTTTCCCCAATATGTACCTACCTACTAAAGCGTGAAGCGAAGTTACGCAGTATAGAGTTGTAATATGTTAATACCGAGATGTCCATGCGGAGGAATGCGTTGCTGGGCTCGACATTGTAAGAATTTCATTAAAGCGTAGCTCCACCGTTAGATTTGGGATTATTTTTTTTAATTTTTTTTTTTAAACCAACTCTTGCGTGATACAGAACGAGGACAAGATTGCCTTTACTCGATTATCGGCGTTGGTCAGGGTTATTATTGAAGATTCCCCCGGATGACGGATCTGGATTAGTAGATCTCTGGATCTTAACGACAGGATCAGATCGTGGTACAGCGATTGGACCAACTATTGGCCGAAGCGATGGAACGCGGGTGAGAGAAATCATCTCTTGGGTCTTACCGCATCTGCTAGCTCAAATCCGCTAAGAAGATGCTGACAGAGTGAGAGCGAGCTGCCTCCTTTGCTTATAGGTCTGTAGGTGCTTAACACAAACACGTCGAGGTAGTATTACATATTACACACCTGGGCTTCTTCGCCTCGACCTGCGGACATGATTACGCGCGGGTACCTAGAAGAGCAAAGTAATCCGACTGGCTAAGTTCTTCCCACCTCTTTCGTCGCGCTTGCGTAGTGCCGTACCTATCCTGCTATCCCCTAAGCGATCAAGGACATGGACTGGCAATTAAAATAAGCCTTTCCGGAATTCCCAAGCCGTCCGCCGCCTCTCGTCATCCCTTTGGTCAAGGTAACTCCTCTTGTTCGCGAGTTACCCCTTGTCTTTCTCGGATCTAGGACCTAAGACCAAGGTAAAACGGTATGTAGGCTGAGACAGCACTTATAATAGCTCAAAATCGGTTTGCAGTTGCGTGAGGTGCGGTAAATAATGTGCTGCTAAACGGGTGTCGCGATTTTCGTGCTTATCGCGGTATTGGTTGTCGATCACTTGCGCTTTTAGGGGTTGCAATTCGGCTTGGCGGGCAGCCCAGGCAGCTCGGGGAAAGGGCAGTTTTTTTTTTCCTTCTTACCTCTACGATCGACATCATCTTTTTCCCTCTCCCTGTTTAGCTAGAGCAAGCTAGCGGGTCAAGCCACGTCTTTTCCTCGTTTCTGTCAACTAGAAGAGGGAAGCAAAATCTATACTTATTTGTCTCTAAAATCGGGTGCTCCGATACCTACCTCTATGGAATGAAGACTAGTAGAGAGGATGCAAAAGCGCTCTCTTCGTTGTGGCTTGACCTAGGTATGTCTCTATTTCTTACGAGATATTTGTATCGGCCGAGTCGCGGATTAGGTACCACTACTACCTAGCTTTCGAAATTCGTCATGGTATTGCGTACTAACAGGTATGTAGCTCTAACGCTATGACCGGCTTACCATGTAGGTTAGGAAGTACTAAGGTATGCTCTTGACTAGTGTACCTAAGGTTAGTTTCTTGAAAGGTAGGAATTAAGCGACTATCGTATCCTTTTTCTCTTTAGAAAAAAAAAAATATAGGACATACCTACCTGGTATCTATTAGATAGTATCGAGGTAGGTATACGGATAGCTTAGTTCTTCTTGCTTTAGCCTGGAAATAAAACTAGGTACGCATCTCTCGCATCTTGGGTAGGTAGTACATACCAAGCCATTACCATTAGCACCAGCCAGCTACGGTAGTGCCGGCCGGACATGCTAAAACAGACCACGTTCCTGGACCCAAGCCGCTGGAGCTTCTGGACCGGACTGTCTGTCCCCAAATATGACGGGACGGGTCGGAACGTTCTTATTTACTTCAGCTGGAATTCCAGAAGCTCACTAAAGCGGAGGAAGCCAACGTGCTGTAGACAATGAGGCGCAAACGCCAGGTTCGGTTTCCCATCCTCTAGGGATGGGACATCGTGTAAGTGGGTTGTCGGGTTAAACGCCATAGTCTTGTGATTCGACTGCAAAGTCGATAGATCCCATCAGCGAATGCCGTAAAGTTAGTGTGCTTATTTGCTTCTCTGACTTGGGCTGGATATGCAATATCTACATCTATACAACAGCTGAAAATTGATGATTGGCTACGTAAATACCCAAGTTGAAGAGCGTGTATACTTTCGGATCCTATGCCGGAAACTTTTAGGCCGAAGTTATTTTCAAGTCGGGTAATGTATTACCTGGATAGGTTACCTGGGAAAAGAATCCATCCGATGCAAACGAGTAGGTTGATGGTAGCTGTAACGCTGTCATCCTATGGTGATAGATTAGCCCCCATGGGGAGGATTGAGGGAGCATGAGTCGTGCTACCTGTAACTAGCGAACCCATCGTGACAATATCTATACTGTAAAAGAAACCCAAGAAAGAGGTCTCCTTTATTAGGTTTTATTATGCGCGATCTCCTCGCATCCTTGAATTTTGAACTATCTGCTCGCTTAGAGCTGATTTTAAGGAATACCTGTTGCAAAAATTTGCCGCTTTCATGCCGAACTAATCCGACTATAGAGAGGAGCGGGTAAGATCTAATGTTAGTTGGGTTTGTTGCTGCTGAACCAGCTGCTTCTACCTTAGAGGAGACCAATGGGCTGTTGAAACTACCTAGGTAGGTACCTACCTGAGAACCGCCCATACAGTATAGATACGATACGGTATAGCCACGATGATACGGTATAAGCTGTCTTGTTTTGTATTTTTTTTTAAGTCATAGGCCAATACCTACATAACAGCACATGTGTTTTTTGTTCGTAGTTATTGGCATCCCCGTTGGTCCGCTTGCGATGATTCGACAGAATTTCCCCGCAGCAGCATGGCAGCCATCCCATATGTACCTAATGCACGACGTATGCAGTATTGCACAATACTATGTATGATATGACCGTCTAATTCTGCTGAACGAACAAGGGCCGTTGCGGTTGTTACGGTCGTTGCGACATACTGCGAGCTTGCAAATTAATAACAGATCGTAAAGGCATGGTCGGATAGCGGAGAAGAGAGACAGAAATAGACGAAATAAAAATAGGGGATAATAGAAAGGAAAAAAAAAGGAAAAAGAAAAAAAGATAGAGGATCAACTTAGCCTGTAAAGGAAGTAAGTAGTACGGAGGTACCAAGGAGATAGTAGTAGCAGGGGTCCACACCAACTCCGTCAATAGTAGACCATGAATGACTTTTCCAGGTTGGATGAGGATGACCTTATGCCGTCACGCTCGTCCTTGCTTGGGAGATTTCCCTTAGAGAGGAGAGGAGAAGGAAGAAAGAAAGAAAGAAAGAAAGAAAAATAGAGAGAGAATAAGAGCTCTCTTTTGGCTTACACTCTCCGAAGCTTGCTTGCTTGCTTATTAGCCATACCCATCTTTTGCCCTTCTTTTTGTGTGTGTGTGTGTGTGTGTGTGGTATGTGCACTTACACGATAAAATAGTCCCCATTCTATCCACCAGTCTTTGTTGCCAGGATTTCTGCGAAGACGCCCACCTATATTATGTAGGGTATGAATTGAAGCATTCCCTCTCTCTCTGATTTTCATTATTGTAACCTCGCAAAGCTAGCCTAGCCAGGCAGCCCCAAAAAAAGAGGTGTACCCGAATTCCGCCCGTGCACCCTGTCCATTCAATTCAGTCTTCAGTCTTTAGACATTTCCCTGTTCGGGTCAGCTCGTCATAGTTTTTTTTTATTATTTTTTTATTCATATCGAGTCGTGGAAACCCTTCCCGCCAATTGAGTGACACAACTTAAACTCCATAGGCGGACACCGTCCTTGGTTTTTTTTTTGTGTTTTTTGTTTTTTTTTTGTTCAGCACCAGACGAAGACACTAATAATTAGCTACCTCTTCTGCTGCATCGTCCTTGGCATCATCTATCGCCGGAGTCTCAACACCCGCGGAACAGGCGACTGACTGCGAAGGGTCGGCTATTGTTATCGTATCGATTGCGTGTCTGTACGGTACTTGGAGATACAGATATAACAGGCAGCGCATACCAACACAACCGCCTACAGCTCGACACAACCCCAGACGGGACAAATCCAGTCACGAACACGAAACGAGTACGTAAAGTGTAGAGTAGCTGTCGCCCAAGGTCAAGTTGCACGATCGTCAACCCCGTCCTTGCCGTGCCACCAACCGAGCTTCTTCCCAACCTTCATACGAGAGACGATCGATTTTAACGCGCGCCCGGCGATATAATTGACCCGTCGAGGAAGGCATCGTTATCATTAGGCTTTAGGCTTCAGGCTTCAGGCCAATCGCCCAACATGCCGGAAGCCGATATAGTTGCCGTAGCGCAGGGCGCAGGCAACAACTCAAGTGACTTTGTGAGTTTGACTATCATGATCTTATATTCTAGTTTGTGTTATTGTGAACTGTCGCATGTACAAACCGCTAACATACCTTACTCCAGGTTCGCAAGCTATATAAGTAATTCGCGACTTTTCCTAGTTGTCGACCGGCTTTGTCTCTGCTAGTTTATACATACTGACTATATTCGTTTTTCATTGTAGGATGTTGGAGGATCCGGCCTACAGCGAGGTAGTACGGTGGGGCAATGAAGGCGACAGCTTTGTCGTCCTCGAGGTAAATACGCGAGCTCTGCTTCTGTCTCATTTGACGTTGGTATTAATTTTTCGCTTGCAGAATGAGAAATTTACCAAGACCATACTACCAAAACATTTTAAACATAGTAACTTCGCGAGTTTTGTTCGGCAACTTAATAAATACGACTTCCACAAAGTACGGCATAATGAAGAGAATGGACAATCTCCATATGGCGCATCTGTAATACTTACCCTCCTGTGCGGTTATGTTGGCTCGGAAGATACTAATGCCGCATACAGGCATGGGAATTCAAACACCCCGAGTTTCGAGCTGATAGGAAAGATAACCTTGACAATATCCGACGAAAAGCCCCAGCACCTAGGAAGGCTCAGGCCGCGGAGGAACAGTTCGGGGTTTCTAACCAACAGGTTCTCGTTCTTAGCGAAACCCTCGCTGCTACACAACAGCAGGTCCAACAACTCCAAGAATCATATCACGAGATCGTGAATGCGAACAAGATCTTCGTAGACGAAATACTCCATCTACAGAAGCTGGTTCGCGCACAAAACCAGGTACACAACGAGCTTATCAACCACTTAAACAAGGCCGAACAGGAAAGGAAAGACAGTCGGAACCAAGGTCACTCAACCGGATACACCTCTAACACTTCGAATCTCTTGTCAGATGGCTCCGAGTCGCCTCTCGAGCTGCGCCGCGCCCGTGACATTCTAAACAGCCTCCAGGTAGATCATGTTGCAGACCGGGATTTAAACCGCATGTCTGTTCAACTACACCAAGTAGGTGGCTCTCCCGAATCTGCTGGCTCTTCGGGGATGATGGGACCGCCTGGTGTGGGTGGCGTAAATCCATTCCTGCATGACCCTTTGAATGACATGCGACACCTTGTGTACCCTGTTGGACAAACGGTAGGCATAGATCCCTTCGCTGCTGAGCACATCAACAACCTTCCGTATAACCGGCCTGTCCAGGAGAATGCGATGGGTCCTAGCCACGAATTTAATGGCCCTTCCATGCATTCGCAAACCCCGCCGGGAGCTGCATCGCAAAATGGTTCGCCTTGGGGGTCGAAAAAGCCAGTCGTCCTCCTCGTGGAAGATGATAGAACGTGCTCTCGAATTGGCTCTAAATTCCTTGCCCAGTATGACTGTGGTGTAGAGATTGCAGTACGTAGTTGTAATTATCGGCCTGTATACCAGCTTGTTTGACTAACTGTTCGATGTAGCGCGACGGTCTCGAAGCTGTGAATAAAGTCAATGCGAAACAGCATTACTACGACTTGATTTTCATGGATATCATCATGCCGCAGTTGGATGGTGTCTCAGCAACTGCTATGATTCGCGAAGTGCAACCTAATACGCCAATTATCGCCATGACTTCCAACATCAACCAGCAAGACCTCGAGACATACTTCCATTGGGGTAAGTGGAATTCTTCTCGATTTCACGTTTCGTTGCTGGGATGCTGACTTTTACACCTAGGAATGCGAGACGTCCTTGCTAAACCATTTACCAAGGAGGGCATGATTGGGAAGTTGAGGAAGCACCTTGCCAACTTCCTACGGAATCCTCCACAGGAGAGTATGATGGATTCAATGTATCCAAATGGTGGCCAGGGCCAACCACCGACGCCTGGACCATATTCGAACCAGGGTATGGGCATGGCGCCGTTGTCTGCAACGTCATCTGGTGCTGTCGGGAAATTTGACACCACTCCGATACAGTCGCCAGCGACAAGTGCTTCGTGGCATTCTCCGGGTCAGATGCCGCATGCTTCGCCAACGATGGGCCAGGACCAAGGGTACCTAGGTGCTGGTAGCGGTTCACAAATGGTACTAACGCCAGGTGGAACTCAGAAACCGCAGTACGCAAATACGATGATACCCCAGATGGGCGTGCCCCCTCAGCAAAGGATGCCTGACGGCATGCAACGCTCGGAAGGACCGCCGGAGAAGCGACAGCGATTATATACGTCACAGGGGAATTATAACCAATGACGGCTTCCTCGGTAATCTCGCATCGATATCTTGATTCCAACTTGTATATATCCTAGCACATGTTTGGTTATTTTGCTATTTGCTATAAGGCCGGCTCAAATACGGAATACGGTCGTTGGTGTGGCAAGGAAACGAGGTGCCATTGGCGTCGGTGTCATCGCATATCTTATGCATGGGAAGCATCTGACTGGTTGCTGTGTCGGAAAGTCTGTTTATCGCAATCGGAGCGGAATAGAGCTCAGTGATAGATCATGGAATACCCCTTTAATGTTTCTAGAACGAGGTCGCATATGTATCAGTAGCGGTGGGCCTGTAAGTGGTCGCTGAACGAGAGGGAGGGGAATGCTGGAGAGAGGTCTGGTTGAGGTTAGATTGGATATGTTCAGGGTTTCCATGATACTTGGATCACACGAGCCCATGTCTTTTTTTCCCTTGTACCGAAGGCATGATGGATATGTTATATTTGTCATGTTCAACATATCGGGTTTGCTTGATCGCAGGACCTAAAAGCATGGAGAACATGATTCGCTGAATTGGGGTAACTCCTTATCTGGACGAGTGAGGATTATAGCTGAGAGTTTCGAGTTTCTCTCTTGAATGACTCAAGGATGAAGCACATAAGAATAATGACATATCCTTTGACTGGCGGACATTTGTATCGGTAGTGTTTTTTTTTTTTTTCCGAGTAGAGTACCAAGGTTTGAGGTAGGTATGTTTTCTTGGGAGATGTGATGTTGAAGGAATTAAAAAAAGGAAAAGAAAAAGACATGCTCAAAAGGGTTGAGCAAATGAATAAGATAGCGCAAACTCAATATGTCCATGAAAATACACTGACCTTAGAGAGAAAAAAGTCATTTGCACCTGCCTGGCCTTTTTCAGACCGAAAGTACTTTCCTTTCATGTTTGGAGTTTTGTGCTTGTAGTGGTGGCACTTGCCGTTTGCTGACAGTGTTATATCGTGCATGGCTTTTTTTCGATCCATCCGATGGCAGGAACCCGCGAACAAGACCGGAGGGGCGGCACTCGCATATTTTTAATGGAAAGAACGACACTTGAGAGGAAATAATGTAATTTCTCATCTGTCTTACACTGGTTAAGACGAGAGAAATGAAGTAAAAAATACCTATTTTACATGGTAGGGAAACATGTGTTTTATACTCAGGATAAGGAAACCAACACAATCCAGACTTTGCGAAATTTAATATTAAATACGAAAAGCAAACCCAAACTGTCGAGTCATCCCGGGCTTCCGCTACCATTAACGTTTTATGTAAACTCATATGTGATAACATCTTAGGTGAGCTTTTAGCATATCTGTTATGAGTGTACGCGTACAAACTTCATTAATTTGTGACAGCAAACAATAGAACGTTGCAAGGGGGCAAAAAGGAATATTTAAAAAATAAAAAATAAAGAGCATGGCTGATCCCCTAACGAATATATTATTATGGACGAAGCCTGGCTCAGCCTAGAATGCGATCGAACTTGCGTAGTGTCTGTAAGGATTTACCGTCCAATCCACTTAGTTGCAGAATGGCCCCGTCCCTATTCCCCTGCACGTGGTGACATGATCTGCGAAATCTAGACACCCGACTTTACCCCTATGGACCTATGAACTAGTTAATAGGAAATTCTTGATTGACGATCCTCTTATGGCCTAGCCTTCCAGAAGTATGGGGGAAGAGCCCCAGGAAGTATTAAAGCTTTGGTACAGGTCGACTCCCCTGGACCTTGTTCCTTATGTGTTTGCGTTACAACTTCCCCGGATTATCATCTACCCCTTGCTCTAGATAGTCGACAACGACGAGTTTCAACGGTTGGTGTTACTACCTAACACTACCATGATGAAATAAGCGGTCCAAAATAAATCACATATACAAAATATGAATCGTAGATACGACCCAATACCTGACCTACACATAAGCGGTTAGTAGTATAAATGTACCTTGCTTTTAGACCTAACCGGGTTTCTGTAAAAGAGCATAGGGCTGATGAAGAAATACCATGTACTCACCTACCTTAGGTAGACATCATGTATATATGTATGTATGTAGGTGCCCAGGGCTCCGGGGAAGCACTACATTGTGACACGTACAGGTCGTTCGTTCGTTGAATGTGAGAAGGATAAGAGCGAATCCCAAGCCACCTACCTAACCCAAGTAGCTTAGCTACATCTCGACTTATCTGAGCTACATCGAAGATCTACAATATTGAGGCCTTAATCGAGACCTCGAAGCATGCCAGTACCCTACGTACATCGTACCTACATACATATGTGTACGGCACATGTCACATGCGCCTACATATGTAGGTAGGTAGGTATGTATGTATGCAAGCCGCGTAAAAGTAACGGTCGACGTGCGTCTGCGGCCCGGGGGGGCTTTGGCTGACGGAGTTTGGTTTGAGGTCTGGATTTCTGGAATTCCAGCCTAGACCGTAGTCCGTTGCACGGCAGTCATTCCACCTTGGCCCACTCTTACCGTTGGTCCCCTGCGTCGCCTGGCCTAGACCGTCCCTGATCCATGGTGGAATACCAGACTACATGCTTGGACACTACCTAGGTACACATACGGTATCTCGCTGATCGGCAACGTGCGTACATATCTACATAGGTATAGGTGGTGTCTGGCGACGTGTTTTATCGTGTAGTTTCGTATCCTAATTCAGCGGTTGGCTATTTGGATGGTAGATCCTGTCTCAATATTAGATTAGGTATGCCATATTAAAATGCAAACTTTAAGATTCATAAAAAGGCAGGAGTTTAGTAATTGAACCAACAGTAAGTAAATATAAATAAGAAGCTTCAAATTCAGATCGCTTTGATATGTATGCTCTTTAGCTAATCCCGGAGAATGTCTTTAGGTAACGGCTGATTTAGACGCCACGGCTCTGTAAGTATTTATTGAAGGTTGCTAAAGTCAAACGGGATTGGAACAAACCAACCTGCCAAGGTCCATGATTACCTAACCTAGCATAATCTGAAGTCCCTTAGGTAATTATAGGTACTACTACGTATCCGCATAAATGAATTGACTGCACCCATTAATGCCATATTTTGCGGAATATCATATTAAGCCACATATTCACTACTGCCCCTCCATCAACTTTTGACTCATTCCCAAGTCCCAAAATCTAAGCTCAACCATCACAATATCGCCTACAATAAATAGTGCGAAAATAGTGCGAATTGGACCGCCATGTCGCAAAATAAACCCGCACGAGGCGGCGCTGCGGCTAAAGGCAAAAAATCAAATAAGTCAGGAACTGAGGACAAGAGGGAAGACGTTCTTCAAGCTGTGGTGTGTATTTTTTCCAAGCATCGCGGGGCATTGGCGGGAGAGCTATCGATCGTATGGCTAACGCGGTATATGTGCTTCTGTCTATCTAGCTCATAGCAGATTCGTTCCAGACTCGTTTTCTCCCGTTCTCCCTAGAGAAGCCAAGAGTACGTCCAACCTACCAACCTTTCGTTTGTCTCTGATTGCTAACCAAAAACTCGCAGTGTCTTCTCCCACTTGCGAATACACCTCTTATCGAATACACGCTCGAGTTTCTTGCCATGAATGGCGTACAGGAAGTCTTCATATACTGTGGCGCCCATCATGATCAAATCGAGCGATACGTCCACGACTCGCGATGGTCCCCTAACTCGAAGTCGTGTCCCTTCTCTAGCCTTGAATTTATCCGTGTTGCCGATGCTAGGTCCATAGGCGATTTTCTTCGAGATCTAGACAAGCGCAACATCATCGGAGGAGACTTCGTACTAGTACATGGGGACCTGGTTTCCAATATCTCCCTTGATGCGGCTTTGGCGGCGCACAGGGCTCGTCGAGAAGCGAATCGAGACTCGTGTATGACGCTGGTGCTGCGGGAGGCTGGCGAAGGGGATCACAACACCAAAACCAAGGGAATAACACCGGCATTTATAATCGATCCTAACGCCAAGAGATGCCTACACTACGAAGAGATACATCCGTTACAGACCGATCATTATCTTACCCTTGACCCAAGCATACTCGAGAATCGCGAAGCGGAGGCGCGCACAGACCTGATCGATGCCGAGATTGATATATGCACGCCGGATGTTCTCGCCTTATGGTCCGAAAGCTTTGACTACGAGCTCCCCCGAGCCAATTTCCTCCACGGTGTGCTGAAGGACTGGGAGCTGAACGGGAAGATGATTCACACAGAAATTGTGAATGAAGGCTACAGCGCGCGAGTTAGGAATCTTCAGATGTACGATGCGATTAGCCAGGATGTATTGAGTGGCTGGACATATCCATTCACGCCTGAATGCAATCTCTTACCGGGACAGTCCTATCAAACTCAAAGCGACAACGTGTACCAGGAGGACGACGTTGAAATCGAGTCTAAAAGCGAAGTATTTAACTCAATTATCGGAAAGGATACTCATATTGGGCCAGGAAGTATCGTACAAAATAGTATTATTGGTCGGAATTGCAAGATCGGCAGCAACGTTCGAATTAACAACAGCTTCATATGGGGTGATACTACGGTCCACGACGAGGCCGTAGTGGAGCACGCCATCATAGCCGAGAAGGCAGTATTGGGTAAAAAGGCTGTAGTCCATGAAGGCGCGCTTGTATCGTTTGGAGTTCAATTGGGTGACGAGACAGATGTCAAATCTGCTACGATGTTATCCCTTCTTTCTCATAATGGACAGCTCGCATCACCACAGCCTGAATTCGTTGGTTCTGGTGGCAAGGGGGCGCTGCTTGAGGATCTCGAGGATGACGAAACGGATGTTGATGACCCGTCGAGACTGCAAAAATCACTTATATACTCTCTGGAAGATCTTGACCTTTCCGATTCTTCTGTCTCGACTCTTGCGGACGACGACGATTTGTCTGACGACGAGTCAGGTCCGGTATCACCCAATGCCAGCCAGCCTACTTCGAGATCTCGGCTCTCTTCTTTTGCTTCCGATGATTCAGGGGCACCGACGTTTTCCTCTTTTCATTCTGACGCCGTCCATGGGTTACTGGATGTTCTCCGCGGGACATCGGGTAACTTTGAATCTGAGAAGCTCGAATTCATGTCATTACGGCTTGCTAATAACGCATCCGACGCCGCTATGAGGAAGGCAGTTGCGACGGCCTTTGTTCGGCGCGCGGTCGAGCTTATAACTTCGGAGAATGACGCATTGGAACCATCAAAGGCTGCTAAGCAAGTACTCACCTCACGGGCAGGCGCTACAGGTTTCGTCTCGGAGGTTGGAGTTGGTGATCATTCCGTATCGGAACAAGTCGAATTTGCGCTAGCAGTTCAGAAAGCATGCGTAAGCAGTTCCAGATTTGTTGAAGTTGCCAAAACTGGAAACCTCCTGGCTGCTATGCTGCAGCAGATGTACGATCTTGACATTCTGGAGGAAGAAGGTATCCTAGCCTGGTGGGAAGACGACAGGGGTAAGGAGGAAGGCTTGATGTTAGACGTACGGGAGAAATGCCAGCCACTAGTTGAGTGGCTTGAAAACGCCGACGAGGAAAGCGATGAGGAGGAGGATGACGACGATGATGATGAGTGATGCACATAATCATAACACCTTGCGAGACGAATTCGACCAAATGTTCATCCTTTTCATCTTCACGCAGAGATACCTTAATAGCGCTAACGGTATGCTATACTGAGCGACGAGGTTCTGATGCAAGAACTGCCCGCCGCCCTCACCACCATTAAATTGGCTTTGGATGTAATCACGAATCCTATGGGGACATATTCTGGGGCTCATCAGGAGCAATGCTACCTAGAAAGGGTTCATAAAAGATATAGGATTGTGTCAATGTACATGGGTAGAATGATTCGCAGCTAACTGCTATTAGCGAAGATAGTAAGGGGTTGGCATAGGGCTCTCTTCTATCATGTGCATAGATCGATCCATAGTGAATAGAATAGTAAAATTGCATCCGGGTGTCTCAGAATATAAACTTAGAAAAGTTGTATGGTGTTTTCAGGAGATTCTTCCATGTACCTAGGTACCTACAATACCTGGTACCTAATACCTATGAATGCCCCTGGACACTTACATAATACGCGTTTATGCGATTAACGCGACGACGCGTCTCGACGCGGTTACTTGTAGTATTTCAATTAAACTTGCCCCTCCATCCTTCAAGCCGTCCGCAACATACCTCATACAATACCTACCAACCTAGGTACCCTTCATAAGAGTGCCATTGGGTTAATTGTACTAAAATGCCTCATTCAATATCCCCCGAGACTGATAACCAAAATACAGGCACCGTCGAAGAGACCATGGCTGACGCCCCTGTTAACAACGACGACGGTCAAGACGTTGACAATGACGTTACCATGGAGGAGACAAATGCATTACCGGTTCCTATAAAAGGGGAGGATAAGATGGATGTTAAGCTGGAAGATATCTTTGATTCTGATAACTCGGACGACGAGTTCCCATCATGGGCGCCGTGAGATACCGAATCTACTTTGACTGGAAGACTACCTTTTTTAACAGACGATATAGTGACGGACATGTTCCCGCAACGGCTACGAACCCTGAGGTTATGCGCACGTTCTACCAGCGATTATTTCCTTGGCGGTATCTGTTTCAATGGCTGAACCATAGCCCGACTCCTACCAACGACTTTGGTCACCGCGAATTTGCCTTCACTTTACAGAACGACATCTATTCCCGATACAATTCCTTCCCCACCGCTGACCTGTAAGTTTTCTTACAACTTCACGCTTTCTTCTTTCTTCTCTGCTTGGAAGCACCACGGCTCATCATATCTGCTTGTTGCAGACTTCGAAAAGATGTACTGCGTTTACTACCGTCCCGTTTCGAAATCGGACCCATGTACACGACGAACCCGCGCGACCGCAAGACGCTGCGGAACTCGAGCGCGTTCAAGCCGCTGGCCAAGGAGCTGTGCTTCGATATCGACTTGACGGATTACGACGACATCCGGACGTGCTGCAACAAGGCGAACATCTGCAACCGCTGCTGGCAGTTCATCACCATGGCCATCAAAGTGGTAGACGTGGCCCTGCGCGAGGACTTCGGGTTCAAGCACATCATGTGGGTTTACTCCGGGCGAAGAGGTGCGCACGCTTGGGTCTGCGACAAGAAGGCGCGCACGATGGACGATCAGAAGCGCAGGTCTATTGCGGGATACCTCGAAGTGATCCGGGGCGGCGCGCAGAGCGGGAAGAAAGTTAACGTGTGGAGGCCGTTACATCCGCATCTAAGGTATGGCTACCCAGGTACTTTTTACAGCTGTGAAGAGGTCTATTCAAAGCAAAGTACATCTACTAACAAAGTTTCACACTACAGCCGGAGTTTAAAAATCCTAGCGCCGCATTTTCAAGAAGACGTTCTGGAAGTACAAGACCCGTGGTCCTCACCGGAGCGGGCAGAACATCTCCTCTCCCTCCTCCCGGACAAAGCCCTAAACGACAGCTTGCGCAAGAAATGGGATTCTTCGCCGGGCCGCGCGAGCACGTCGAAATGGGCCGACATCGATTCGCTCGCGCGCTCGGGGGGCGGCAGCAAGAACCTCGACACGAAAGCGCTGTTGGACGCCAAGCAAGACATCGTTCTCGAGTACACGTACCCGCGGCTCGATATCGAGGTCAGCAAGAAGCTGAACCATCTGCTCAAATCGCCCTTCGTCGTGCACCCGGGCACGGGGCGGGTGTGCGTGCCGATCGACACGCGGAAGCTGGAGGACTTCGACCCGCTCGGCGTGCCGACGGTGCAGGGGCTGCTAGAGGAGATCGATTCCTGGAGGCCTGATGGTAACAGCGATGGTGATGGTAATGGTAATGGTGGGGGGGAGGACGGCTCCGAAGATAAGGCCAAGAACCTCCAGGACTGGGAGAAGACGAGCTTACGCCCTTACGTCGAGTATTTCCGGAGCTTCGTGCTGGCGCTCATGAAGGACGAGCGGGATCCGAAAATTAAGCGCGAAAGGGAGGAGAGTCAAGCAATGGAGTTCTAATTGAGCCATGCATGGGGGATTACGGGGCACTCTCGAGGTTTGTCAGTCTTTTATGGCTGTAATGTTAGGTACCTGTATTCGGTGGAATGAATACCTCTCTCGGTATTACGGCATTATGCATGGAGTTTTAGGTATTCTAAGGTTGGGGACTATGTGAATCATACAGGTAGTAACTATGAAATAAAAGGTACCTTATCTTTTTTTTCTTTTCTTCTTTGACGCCTCTCTCTCTATCTCATTAATAGTAGCTTGTGCTTTTACGATGTTTCCTGGCTGAGGAGTTTCTGTTTTACAATAGCCACTAGGTCCTCGTCGTCCATACCGCTCTTGTCTCGCCGAAAGCAGGCGCTCGCGATGCTGATGGTTTTGTCCCGGTTCTTCATGCCGTGGGTGATTTGCAAGTCGGACTTGGCGACGCCTAGGATCTGGAGATGTTTGTTGTGTTAGATGAGCTCTTACCTTAGGTAGGTACATGATATGATATAATACTGAATTTCTGATTTTGATACTAGGAGACTTTATATTATATAGGTAGTGAGTGCATACCTCATATGATTGCCCCAAGGAAGGCTCATAAGCCAGGTACTTACTTACACTGAATATCTCTAGTTATATGGAAGTGAAATACACATATATCATCAAGTACCTAATGCAAGAACAATCTCGATACTACCTACTCACCTCGCTTAATATCTCGATGACGGCCTTGTTGGCCCTGCCGTCTTGCGGCGGAGCGGATACGCACAGCTCGACAGACTCGTCCGTCACGGCGGCAACTCCCTCCCGCACTTTGCTGGCGCCAGGGCGTATGTGGCACCGCAGCTGCAGGATCTCGGGGGAGGACGGCTTGGATTTCTGGATCAAGGTTATGGCGTTGCGGGCTGCCATTGTTTCTTTGTTCGTTCTTATCTCATCGCCGTCTCGGATGGAGCAACAGAGGTACCTAACCAGGTATCTTGTGAAACTTTGGGGGGTACCTCGCCTAGGTAGCTGATTTATTGTTTGGATGGAAAAGACCCACGTCGGGTGATGTTGTATCACATTGGAGTTTAAGAGTTGACTGTAATGTAAATATTGTGGTTGATTGGTTTGGGTCCTGTCACATGTGTATTTGAACAATCCTATTGTGACAAGTCTCGAGTACTCGGTACATAATCTTTTATACATTAGGAGCTTGGGCCACACTTTGCATACCATGCAAGGATGCAGGGTCTAAGATAGGAACCTAACTTAAGTATGCGATAAGATACAATGCTTGCAATTGTCTCTGTACATGCATAGAGGTACCTCGTAGTTACATACATGTATGGACCTTGACATAATTGCGACGGCTCAAACTCATATTATTTCCAGATTTCCAAGAAACAACAAACAATTTCGGTTGACTGCATCCAGATAACTCAAATCCTCCCAGTTCAAGATTTTCTCAGGATTTTCTTTCCAACTTCTGGTTTTTTATTTTCTCATAGGACTCGATATGCGATCCTTACTTTAATAGTTGTATGCCGCACAATATTCGCCTCATTACGCGCTTAACACAAAAGTCAATGATGGCGCTCGATCAGGCCAACAGCGCCAGCCATGGCTATACCCTCACAGCTCTTAACCGATGGTCGGTTGCAAACAAGAAGCTGCCTCGTACGTATCCGAGATAAGCCTCATGCATATATATATCCATCAGCAACGTTCCTCGCTAACAGTAAAACCTTAGCCGTTGGCAAAATTAATACCGTCCACGTTTACGACTTCGATAATACCTGTTCGCCTCCCCCGTATCTTTTTATTTCCATACACTTCCGCGACTAACCTTACCCACGAATTTAGTATTCCAAACTCCTCTACCTAACCCTAAGATATGGAACGCCTCGACTCTAGGTTTATTAGGCACCCCCTATGTCTTCATCAACGGCGGTTGGTGGCACGATTCGAGGATATTAGCTGCGACTGGCGAGGGTGTAGAACAAGAAGAGAAACGAGCGTGGAATGGCTGGTGGAACGAGAAGATTGTGGAGCTGGTTCGTCTGAGCATGAAGCAGGACGATGCACTCTGTGTTCTACTGACGGGACGGTCCGAGCACGGATTCTCCCAACTGATAAAACGAATCGTTGCGAGCAGAGGACTCGAATTCGACTTAATTGGTCTGAAGCCCTCTGTTGGTCCCAACAACGAGCGTTTTCCGAGTACCATGGTCTTCAAACAAGCCTTCCTCCGGGCCGTATTAGGAACCTACAAAACAGCATCGGAGATACGCGTTTACGAAGACCGCCCCAAGCATGTTGCTGGTTTTCGCGATTTCCTAGCCGACTACAATTCACAGCAAATCAGTATTGGACGATCTCCAATTACCGCTGAGGTCATTCCGGTCTCCGAATTGTCTACGACTCTCGACCCCGTCGTCGAAGTAGCAGAAGTACAACATCTGATCAACGTCCATAACGAATTGGTCAAGAAGAAAGGAAGCGATGCTCGAGGCGCGCCTCTGACTATTAAGAAGACGGTCTTTTTTACGAGTTACATGATCGCGCCAGACGATACAAAAAGGCTCATCAAACTTCTAAACTCCCAGGTGCCGGACGTTACGGATTTGAAGTACCTTGCTAATACCATACTCATCACTCCGCGTCCTTGCCCGAAGAACATTTTGGACAAGATAGGTGGTATGAACTCCAAGATGAAGTGGGAGGTCGTTGATATCGGCTCTCTTCAGGGCAATATCTGGGCGGCGCGCGTGAGGCCCGTACCGGCCAACGCCACTTACCATACAGACAACCCATCGCCTTCCGTCGTATTAGGCTTGAGAAGAGGTGCCCGCCCGCCGGACGTTAACAAAATCCGGAACTGGCAGCCGATCCCGCCCGATAAATCCTTCGTGTTCGAGACGACGGTGGGCGAGAAATACATGCTTCGCATCGAGCGGGAGGATCAGGACGGAGACCAGTACGAGAGCCAACACGAGAAATTCTCGCACAGGGGCTCGAAGCGCAAGTTCCCTGGCGACGACGACCGCCATTCCCGCCAGCACGGCGGGAACTTCGGCAATAATAACGCCCGCGATTACCATACTTCGACCCATCAGGGACACGGACGAAGCGGAGGAGGCGGTGATAATCGCGGCCGCGGCGGTTACAGAGGTGGCAACGCCTCGAGAGGGAACCGCGGCGGCGGTCGCGGAGGCTTCAAGGGCTCCGGAAGAGGCGGCAAAGGCGGAGCGCACGGATACCGGTCTCTCGACGACGTGGAAACGCGCGAGAATCCCCAGAGCGGATTCAACCCGTCCACGGTGTCGTACGACGACACTTTCCCCTCGCTACAGGGTGGTGGTGTTGGTGGTAGTGGTAGTAGTGGTCCGCCGCACCCCCAGCTCCAGCCCCCTCTGCCGATCGCTCCGCAGCAGTACGGCCAGCTGTTCCCCCAGCACGGTCAGTGGCCGGCTCCGGGGGGACCGCCTCCGCCGCCATCCGCGCAGTCTCGGCCCATAGGAGGTCCCGGACCGGATTTACAAAGTTTTTACTAAGATCGGGGTACCTAACCAGACCTAACTCAACCTACCTTAACCTAATATTCTCGAAGTTGAGTTATATAAAAACGTGCTTCGTGAAAACATGGTTCCAGACTACCTAACCGAGGTACCTATATTGAAGAAATATGTCAAAAAAGAGGTCCAAGTCCCGTTTACAGGAGTTAGTTTAGGTACCTCTAGGTAGTTGTCATGCGGGTTTCTCGAAATCTGGACAACGTTACGCGACGTAAAGTGGTTCGTTCTAGATGGTTGGTATTATTTTGCAGTAAAGCATAGGGGAACAGGGGTTTTTTGTTTTGTTTTGTTTTGTTTTGCGGTGTAGCTTGTGTACATATATAGAATGGCATACCAGGTACCTAGCCTTGCCCTGTTGTGGTTATGGTTATTCTACGAGGATAGGAACGCCGGGCTAGTTAGGTACGATTTAGGCGTTTTGTTGTTTGGCAGGGATTCCCAAAAAGTCGGGCATTGTGAACAAATGGCAAATAGGCATTGATTACAAAATTACTATGTTATGATACTTTTATATGCAAAATCATGAGAGAGAGAGAGAGAGAGAGAGCGAAAGACGTTGGTTGACGATCTAGAAGAAAAAAAAATGGATGCGTTAGTCTCGGTTTCGCGTAAAGGGTAGTGTAGGTAAGTTTCGAGTAACGAGGATCCCGCGCGCCAGACAGTAAATCAGGTAAGATAGAACAATGGTGTATTGGATGAATCATGCTCGTGAGACACGAGTCATAAACAGCCTCTTAAAGAGAAACTCATCATATATGAAAGGCGCGGGGTAAGAAAAGAGGGGGGGAATAAGGAGAAGATGAATTGACTTACCACAGAGTCAAGATATTGCGTCCTCGGCAAAGGCTAGGTTTTGTTTTTCTCATCATTGTGCCATAGCGCCCGTATAGAAGGCGAAGGAAGTGTGGTTAGAACACATGAGGATATGCGATTCTATATGTACAAGGTATCCTTCTTGTTTTTTCCGGCCTCTCTCTCGCGCTTATTATAGAACAGAGGCCGTATGATGATGATGGCTTGTCGCTTATATGATATAGGCGCGACTTGTCAGCAGTATTTCTTTTTTTTCTGTTCATGGGGAGCTACTCGAGTAGACAGTGCTCTTGCTCCCTGATGTACTGTAGTAGCCCTGTGAATTGTGGTTGCAGGATTTTTCATCTCTCTGCTTAATGCACGTCTGCCGAAACGGGGTTGATCTCAACGCCATACTTCTCCTTTAGGCGCTCCCGCCTGCGCTCCTCGTAGCCCGGAGGTTTAATACCTGCGAGGGTAATTCTCGTTAGTGTTTCTATTCGGCGATAATAACGCGAGGATTGTGTGATGTGGAATGCAATTGCAATAATGCGGTGTAAATACCTCTTCCCTCTCCAATATTGGAGATGGTTTCTGTGATGGGCCGCCGGCGGTTCTTTCGCAAATACTCCTTGCGCTCGTACTCGTCCATGTCTTGGAGCTCGGGGCGGGGCCCGCCGCGGAGGCTGCCACCCGTGAATTCGAAGGTGGACATGATGACGGAGAAGGCGGCGCCGAAGCCGAGGATCTGGGGAACTCGGCCGGCTGATTTTTTTTATGAGGAGTTAGCAGGTAATGAGGACACGTTGCGCATAAACATGGGGATTGATCAGGCGACGAAAAAAAAAGAGAGAAAAAAAAGACATACTCCTAAGGCCGATTGTAGCACCAGAGAGGAAAGAGGCAATCGTCACGTTCAGCGTGTCGTCCTTCTCTCTTAAATTTGCGGCGGCATCTTTGGAGAATGTGTATACGGCGCCGACGGCAGCTATGGAAATTTCCCCACGGTTAGCTTAGCTTCGCTTTCCCCGCCGCGGCGATAACAAGCTCCTCCCCTCGGGTCTCTCTTTCTACGACGTAGAGCTTCTGATTAGGTACTGATTAAACGTACTGAACATTCCAATGGTGCTACCAGTCCTGCTGAAGACGCCCCAGACGCCGACGTTGCGCTTGGCGAGGGAATTCTGCGCGGCGGAGAAGATGAAGCCTGCGGCTCCGCCGAGCAGAGCGCCTTTTATTCCAGACTTGATGGCATCGTGCTGGTGGAAGTGGTGCTCCTTCGGTTCGGCCTGGACGGAATGTTGATTCGCCATCTTGACTCAAGCCCGAAGGAGGCTGTTCTTTTTTTGAGGGGGGATGGTCTCGAGGGATGTGGGAATTAGTTGGTTAGTTGGTTGATTGATGTAATTTCGGTGGAAGGAGAAGTTGGTTAGTTAGAGATATATGTGAGGTCGTTTTAGCGGCTCCCGCTAAAGCTTTTGAGCTTGATAGGTAATCGGATCGTAACCGCAATTATTCCGGTCTTTTTCCTAAATGCGCCTCATGTGGCTGGTCGAGGCTTAGCACTCCCGATACTGTTAACGATGACTCGCTCCAATACACCAAACTTTAATTACCTCTTGTTAATTGTAGACTTCGTAATCTAGTAATAAAATTCGTAGCCTGTAGGTAATCTTCAGATACAAACTGCTTCGCCAAAAAGTGTATTTCTTGTTAGCACAGTTCCTATTACGATATATCTGACCCATGAGTATGGTACGATTCATAATAGAGTTGTATGTGGTGTTTCATGCCAGGTAAAGCACCTAGGTAGGTACCTATATTTAAGTTTACTGTCTGGGATTAGCAAAAAACACTCGCAGACATGAGTGAAGTGGCCATGCCGGATCTCCCCATATGTAATTTACATAAGACAAATATCCCTCTTATGACTACCTAGATTATCACCAACATAGCTCAAAGAAAACAAACGTCCAAATCACATCAAATTACACCAGGTCGTACTAAATCAAGTACGTCAGGAATCTGCAACACATATCTTAGTCGTACATTTCAAGCAGACTTTTATCGCCATCCTTATTCACCTGACTATTACTTATTTAGTCCCGATATATAGGAAATCCGAAAGGGAAAGTTTAGCTACATTACACTTCATCAGTTCTACTAGGTATTAGGCAGCTAGCTTGGTCTCCCAAACCAAAAGTTCGTATAAGGAAACTATTCGAAAACATACCCTCCTAGGTTATATTAGGTATTCAACAAGCGAACGTAATAAATTTGGCCGTACCACTCAACCTGTAACATGGCTATCAAAACTCGATTCCTCATACTTTCAGATACACATGGGGAAAATATACCCAATATACAGCATATACCCGCAGATATAGCCATCCACTGTGGTGACCTTACCGATGAATCCAAAATAGAGGAGTTTAAAACAACGATTAAACTTCTGAAAAGTATCGACGCGCCGTTGAAGCTAGTTATCGCAGGAAACCACGATTTTACTCTTGACGTACCACTATTCAAGAATAAGATTGCAGAAAACCCGGATTTACAGCCCGAAGATGTGGAAAAAATCTACGGGGGTTTCGGAGAGATACACCAGCTTTTTGAGGATGCGAGAAGTGCCGGGGTGGTCTTTCTGAAGGAAGGTATATACCACTTCGAATTAGCCAACGGAGCCAAGCTAAAAGTTTACGCCAGTCCCTTTACACCATCGTTAAGCAACTGGGGATTTCAATACAACCCTGAGGAGGGACATGACTTTGGTATCGACAAAGAGATAGGGGTTGACATAGTAGTAACACACGGCCCTCCTCACGGAATAATGGATTTTACCAACTCACGACAAAGGGTAGGATGCCCCCAACTTTTCGGTGCTATTGCTCAGGCTCGACCAAAGTTCCATTGCTTCGGCCATAACCACGAAGGATGGGGAGCAAAGCTGGTCACATGGAGAAAAGAGGTGAGCGAGGTCCCATCTCATTTCGCGGACATCGACAACGAACAATCGACAGTAATTCAGAAGCTATCTAATCTGAGCAAATCGAAATTCGACACGCCCGAGACGGCGGAGGAAAAATCAAAGAAGAGAGCTCGCCTTGGTCGTGAAGGATATATCAAAACGAGCCATTGCACTGGTGACCAGAACCACCTCCAAGCTGGTTCGCAGACTCTTTTTGTGAATGCGGCAATTGAAGGGGTCACCGAAGATTATCCAATGCAACTGCCTTGGTTGGTCGACCTCGAGATGCCAGAGTCATTTTGAATTTTGTATGAGCAATGAATGTAAGGGCAGATGGCGGGAGGGAGGAGGGGGTTAACACCGCCATTGGGCTTATAGGAGGAACTGAAAAAGGATGAGTCGAAATATGAGGTACCTAATAAAAATCAATACCATGATATTCAGACTAATTATTGTTATAATATAAAATGTTGTGAAGCGATGTATAAGTTAGTTTTGGCTGCAGAGCTATCCCTGGATAACGGGCAGTAATTAGGCTAGTGTACCAGATTTTAAGCACTAATAAGAAATTATTCCAACCCTTGCTACATGCTAAAAAGAGGAAAAGGAATAATAAAACTTTATGAAAGGTAGTTTACGTAGTTACGTACGAAGCAGACAGCACTACTATGTACCTAGGTAGTACCTAAGGTTGAGACATAGCACACGAACCAATTAGGTACCTAGGAAGCTTACGTGGGGCGGTGGACTAAGTGGCGGAACATTCTGGTATCCGAGATAAGCGATAAGCCCCAGTTTCTCCAAAGCCACCAACTAAAGGCGGCGCATGGTTAGTACCTTTTTGGCTTTTGGGGGGGGACCTTTTTTGCTAATCGTCAGAAAGCTTATTGATGATCATAGGAACTAGCGGATAACCTATACTCAGTTACCCTCTAAACTCGAGGACTACGCACGCATCCTTTTTCTTATGGAGAGACTCGTCAGTTTTTTATCTGAATAAAATCATCATAAAACCACGACCTCTCTCTTTCTCTCTCTTCCCCCCTCTCCCTCTCTTGTCTCTGTGTGTCTTGCTCTCTTGCACAGGTATTCTCGGTTAAAAGTTGCCTGGAGCATCATCGTTCACGTGCGTTGTTCGTCTTGCTTCTTACGTCGCATTTATTTCCTTGCCCTTTCTTATTTATTTATTTTTGCCCCGGGTTCTTTTTAGGCCCCTGTCACATTCGTTTGACCTAAGGTCATTAATCGAGTGCATCGGGATGCAACCGTGAGTTCATTTATGCATTTATTTATTTTATATTTTATCCTTCAGTCTTTCATCTAACACCGTCTTTATTATCAGTTAAGTCATACATACCAACCAGTTATGAGAACATCTCACATTTCCGTTAAAGGTACGGATATTCTCACTTCTCCCTCCGCATTTTTCAGTGTCGTGATAGAATAGATCCCGTGGGGGCATAGGAGAGTCCCCTTTCTTTTCCTCTCACTCTCAGTCACGGCTTTGTTGAATAATTTCAAGTCGGAGACTTTGGGTGTACTTTGGGTGCACTTTGGCCGGGATGGCTTTTATTTATGGTGGCAACGACCACCTGCAGCTTAGCGTTGTGCTTTTCCATGCTCGGGCTTCTAGGTGCCCTTATTACGGCTACCTAGCAAGTCTGACTGTATCACGAGTCCACGCTGGTCTGCTGAGATGGTTAAACGGGCTGGTACTACCTACCCGGGTTCTATGGTCGGACTTTGAACTGTCCTTAACAAATGTTATGAATTAGTGATGAGCTGAGTTTGAACCATTATGAAAGGAAATAGAAGACTTGGATTTCACGGAGATTACTGCTGGGTAGGGATATAAAACAACTCTACATGTACCTTGAGCATACAAGCATATGCTTGAAAAGGGGGAAAGCACTTGAAGAAGCCTCCCTTTACTTCTTTTTTTCTTTCTTTTTTTTTGTTACTTTCATCTATCATCATAGCCGCTTGAGATTTGCTAAATCATGTTCTAGGGACCGTGATCAGCCCAACTTACACCCAAATCTAAACCGACCGTCTCCCTTGGGATTCCATACTCCACAGAGCTCGACTAACAGAATGGCCTCTATGGATGTGCTAGATGATACGGCAGAGCTCCGCCGGCTCCAGTCAATAGCAAGGCGTGATCTACAACACCTACCAGATCCTCAGCGTGAGTCTTTATATATACGTCCATGGGGCTAACATATTTTAATAGACAACAGCTAACAATTGTCAAAGCCCTCACATCTCCTCGCTTATTCCGTCAGTTTCTTAGTTCTCAGCTACTAGAATTTGACTTCGACTTTCATTGTACAAGCCATGAAATGCAATTAGTTGCGACCCAATCATACCGAGACAACAATATCTGTTTTGTTTCAATTGTTTGTGGTCGGTGTCGCTACCATTTCCATATACGGAGCAACTTCCATCCTGTTCGGCCCTATAATGATGAGCATCGCCATCATATGCTCGCCCGCTGTTGCAAAAAGCCTACAGAGAGCCACAAGGAAACCCCAGAAATCTACGATGACACAGTTGGCTATGCCCGGTACATCTGCGTGGCTGATAAGTGCCTATTCAACGTGGAAATATCCGTACTGCCTTCTAGGATTCCACTGGAAGATGCGGCCAAGTTCTATGATCAAGATAGAGTTGCACGCAATCTGATATCCGTAAAAAAGAACGATCCAGAACGGTACTTGGACATGAACGACACATCGAACCTAAATTCGGCAGGTATACTTCGCAGATACCTGATAGACTCACTCCAGCACGCTAGCGAGCAACCGTTGAAGATTAATAAACGCAACAAGAAATTCTCGGTATGTATGGGTAATGATTTCGATAGCTTGTTGAAATTTCTAGGATTTCGCGAAGGAGAAGATGTCGAGGGTGGTGAGCCATGTTGGCTCATTCCTACTCCTGAAAAGGAACAGAACCCGACCCCTGTCCGAACGTTACGAGCTAGGGTGGAAGACGCTCAGGTGGAACTTGATATACTGAATGGCGAAACAACAATCCCTGCCTGGGATAAACTGCTACAAGTATTCCAAGGGGACTTTCCGAATGGACCTGTCGACGCGAATATCTCGAGCGTCACGGAATCGGACTTGGCTCTGCTGGGCTGTCTAGCAATGTATCCGCCTCAATACTTCAGCTGGGCCGCCATTCTCCTAGCCGGGTTACGCCCTAGATATCGCGATGAATATCTAGATGCCGCTCTACGCTGCATCCAGAATCGCAGCGATGATGCATCGACTGAGATCATCATGTACAGGTCGAGATTCGATGAGACATCCCCTGTCGACATAAGGGTGCAGGAAGCCTTTGCTTTTTTCAATGTCTCTCTGCAAGATAACCTAACGCCGGACTGGTTCTTGACCAAGTACTACGATATGGCTAAATATGACGGAACTGACGAGTTCAAGGCTCAAGCTCAGCAGCACCTTGAGGCCATCAGCAGTTATCTAGGAACGGATATCGTGAGCGGGATCGACCCTACAGCTTCGAAGGCAACAGAAGAGCCAGGACTCATGACGTCGATTCCTAATGGGTCTGGGAGAAGAATGAGCATCTCTTCGGCCGCAAAATTCCTGGGTGTCGAGCTCAATTGGACAGTAGAGCTTATTAGGGACTTTGTCCAACAGCTGGTACAGGTAAGTTGGGCATGTTTTGATATTTATTTACCTAGGCATACATGGTGCTCTTCTGACAATCGCTATAGGATGAGAGTACGAACAAGACTCAAGTCGTCGAAGCTATCGACGTGCTCTCTGAACTTAAGCGGCAACAAGATAAGCCTGAAGAGGCTGCAGAACTACAGCAGATTGCTGAGTTTGTTAAATTGACGGGATATGCACCAATGCTAGCATCTCAACCTCATTCGTCACCAATACCGGGAAGCTGTACTAGTACACCTCCCGGCCTGAAGAACATCGGCAACACGTGCTACCTGAACAGCCTCTTACAGTACTTCTATAACGTGAAGGTTATACGCGATATAGTATTGAATTTCGACCTGGTCAAACTTGACCTCGACGAGGAGGCGGTTGGACAACGTCGTACCGGGGGGAACGGTACTAGCGTTAATCTCGAAGAAGCTATCGTTGCTAGACAATGTGAACGACCTCTAATTTCATATTTTTGTTGACAGCTGCTGACTCGTGAACAGTCATAGAGATGCTTCAGGGTTTATTTAGCGACTTACAAACAACTACTGAAGCCGCCGCGCAACCTTCGCAAAAGCTTGCCAACACGGCACTATCATCAGCCAGAGATATCCTTGACCAACGACCCCAGAATATGCCTCCGCCTCCGCCGCTGCCAGCACGCCCGTCACCAGCACCGCCAGTGTTGTCTAAAGATAACCCCAATGCAGCGAATGGAGCGGCTAACGATGCTGTGAGCATTACAGTAGAGTCCGTAAATGATAAGCTTGAGATGGCCAGTTCCCGGAGTTCTCAAACGCTAGTTGACGAAGACGTGCCAATGTCATACGTCCAAATAGACACCCCAGATGACAAGGCCCCCGTTGTGATAGAGGCTCAAGAAGATGTCAAGATGCAAGATTCGATTGAATCTTGGTCCCTTGACGATAAAATAGCAGAGGTATCGCGCCAGCTAGAGCGCTCCGATAGGTCAGGGACCGAGCAGCAGGACGTGGGAGAAATTATCGGCAATATACTAGAACATTTTATGCGGGCAATTCGCCCGGACGGCCCCATGCCGGAGAAGCCAGATTTGCAAGCAGACAAGATTACCGAGACATTCTTCACTACGATAGTGAATTATACCGTCAAGACCAGGAAAGGACACGCGGCTGGCGATCTGGCTTCCGACCAAGAAGAAAATACGCTAAACGTCGAGATTGTTCCAGAGAGATGGATTACGGCGTATCCCGAGGAGGCCATCCAAGCACCGGCGGGGGCAAACGGTACTACAGGCGAAACAAATAACGCGCGATGCACGTTGCTCGCCGCCTTGGATCGGTACTTTGCTTATGAATCCATCGACGGTGGGGATCGCGCACGATATAGTAGCATTAGATCCCTTCCTCCTATCTTGCATATCTGCATCCAAAGAAGCACACCGAAGGGCAAGAATAAGAATCCTGTTATCATACCGGAGATTCTATGTCTCGATCGTTATATGGAGGCTGATAAAGGGTCTTCCGTGTGGCTCAGCCGCAAGAAATCGTGGGCTCTTAAGGAGCGCCTAAAGGATCTTGAGGCGAAGCCCTTGTGGGATATTCCAGATGGCGCTGGACAGTCGCAACAGTTTGCTGTTAGTGATGATCCCAACGCCTGGCCGAAGCTTAACGGTGACGCTGGAACGGAAAGGGAATTTAATGACGCAGATATGGAAGATATGACAGCTATGGCAGCGTCGGCCGTCGAAAATGCCACAGAGGACGCACACGTGCAAGAAGCCTTCTTCAACGACTTGGGGCTGAAGCATAGATTATCCGAACCGCTGGAACATAAGCTGTCAAAGAGGATAGCTACTACAGAGTCAACAACCGGGTATTCATTCGGCGATAAGTTCGCTGACCTTTCCTGGGAGGCTACTGAACCCCTTGGTGAGATGATTAAAGAAGAACTTGCCGACCTTCGTCAGAAGGAGGAGACGATTTTCGATGGAATGGAGAAGGAAAAATACAATATCCACGCGGTGATTTGCCACCGTGGTGGTACGTCGGCGGGACATTACTGGGTCTGGATTCGGGACTTCAAACGCAATGTCTGGTACCGATACAATGACGAGACGGTGACGGAGGATAATCGCGGTACGGAGGCCGTGCTAAACGACCTGAACGAGACGGGCGACCCCTATTACGTTGCATACGTCCGAGACGAGATAAAAGACGAGCTGGTGGATGTGCCCCAGCGCCGCAAGCCCGAGGCTAATAATAGCGGCGGCCAGAGCGCGAGTCAGGATTTTGAGATGATTGAGGGTGTAGCGTTCGACCCGGACAATGTGTTTCCTGCCGAGGAGGGGCAAGCTTCGCATTAGGAACCGACAGGGGATAGGTGGTGAGTGGCCTACTAGATAATCCTGTTATACCCCGATTTCTTGCGTCGTGGATTATGAGAGCACTGAGTAACGTGGTTGCATTGGCGGGGAGTTTTGTTGCGAAATATATGCGCGGGTGTTTTACTACGACACGATACCTCTAAGTAGAAACTAGGAAAATCTAGGACCTAGGTAGGCCCGGCAAAAGGCACATCTGCTAGACGAGCGCACAATAGTTTTTTTTTTTTTACGGTTGGCTTGGGCAGATACGACTTGTATTGTACATGCAGTGATTATTATCGTTGTCTTTATATTAGTACCTGTGTACAGGTAAGTAGGTGCCTAGAAGTAGGTGTAGGTAGGTATAGATGAAGGGGTACGCGTAACGTTAGGTTAGGTACCTATCTATAGGGGCTTTATGCCTCTCGACCCAAATAGGGAATTATTTTCACGACTACCACATAATTATAATTCTAATCATGATTAATTCCTATAGCGAAGGATAAATGGAACGGCACGGGGACAACTGCTTCGCGCTCACCCTCGGACCACTAGGTACTGCTGCCGCTACCGCCGGGCGTAACCGCCGTTCCGATCAGGAGTAGCAACATCAACATCATCAGCAGCATTACTAGTGCTAGCGAGCAGCCGGCCCAAATCGGGCAACACGGCAGCGCGCGACTTGTCGAGCAAGACGGGCAGAGACGCAGCAGCAGCAGCAGTAGTAGTAGGAGTAGCGGCGGCGCGGTTCCCGTTACCGTTGTTATGGCCCTGGTCCTGGTCCTGGTTCCCGTCCTCTTGCTCCTTGTAGTAGAACCTGTCGTTCCGGAGGTCGACCCACAGGAACCGGACGGGGGACCCGAGCATGGGCAGCCCGACGGCGTCGGAGAACACGGGGACGAAGGCGTCGAGGACCGCGCGGCGCGACTCCCGGCACGTGTGGCATAGGAGGCGGGCGGCGGGCTGGCGGTGCGCGAGGTAGGTCGCGCGCCAGTGGGTGGAGGTGGAGGTGGTGGTGGTGGCCCAGGGTTCGGGGAAGGGGCTGGCGACGAGAAACGGGGGGTGGGGGAGGCGGGTGATGTGCCATGTGTAGGATAGTGGGGTGGAAGGGGAGGGAGATGGGATGGGAGTGGTTAGCACGAGATGCCAGATGTATCGCCGCAGAGAGGGCGGGAGACGGTTTAGGCCCCATCCCGATCCGGAGTACTGCGGCTGAGGCTGGGCGGCGGCAGCAGCGACGGCGTCGACGCCTTCTTCTGGGGGACTGCTGTCCCGCGGGACTAGGGTTGAGTCCTCTGATACTTGACCTGGACTGGCATCGTCTGTTGTGGACTGGTCTTTATTGTTGTTGTTTCCTGCGTGTGATGATTAGTTAATTTATTTTATTTACTCTTTCCTGATATATACCCCTTATGTATGGCCCCGGTATAAGGTATGTGTACCTACCAGGTAGGTAGGTAGATATGAGGGGATTTAGACCATCAAAAAAAGGGATGGGAAGGGAAAAGGGGGTAAAAAGGGGTAAGGGGATTGGTTACCTTTTTTAGGACGGCCAGAGCGCGGTGGGATGGCGGAGGACTTGGCGCGGATGGCGGTGCGGATCTGGCTGATGGAGTAGCCGGTTACCTCCTCGATGCGCTTCTTGCTCATGGAGGCGTCGTAGTAGAGGGTCCGGACGCGGAAGCGCTCTCGCTCCGTGAGGTGTTTGGTGTGGATCTCTTTGGGTCGAGTTCCTGGCCGCATCTTTTTTGTCTTTTTTGTCTTTTTTTTCTCCTCTTCTCTTTCTGTTTAGTTATTTATTTCTTATTCCTTATTTGATGTATAATTTCATTCGGTGTGTAACTTGGCTTACACGATTTCTGATACCTAGTTGGGAGCTGAGAGCTGATGATGATGACTGAGGTGAGGTCTCGGTGAGCGCGGGATTTGGGGGAAGAAATGGAGTTGGAACGAAAGTTTTCCCGCAACGGCTAGTTCCAAGGTTGCTGATCGGCAAGCTCTAGGCGGTTATACCACACAATAGCGCTCCCCAATGTCCGTACGAGGTACCCCAAGGAGTATAGCGTATCTCGGCGATACTTGCCAGGGGTGTAAAACTTTCTGCTCGTTATTGCGATATTGACTTAACCAGCTTCGAATTTGGGTTAAGGAATATTTATCATTTCAGTACGTTTTATTCCTAATTACGACGTAGTTATACCATATACCATGATATATTCTAAACCATATCTCAATAAAACACAACACCATCGTACGATAACAAGTTCCTAAATTTCAACAGCCCACAGAGTCATTGACTAGCACAGGAAACAGTAAGACGAGCTACCAGTAATTACCTCATATGTGAGTTATGAGGCTCGGCGGCTCAGCCCGCCTAAGTTGGGTTGCATTACATAATGTCATCGGAAGGCAGTAGAAATTCATTGTGTATAAATCTTTTATATTAAATGATGGGCTAAGTCTTTGTATAGAGTCGACCACAGGTTGGACCCGTCCATCTACATTATCCTATGAACAATTCAACCCAGCAGGAGGACGAACCATTCATGGATAGAGATGAACTCGGATGTGAGCGTCTTAGTACATAGTGACCGATGCCTGTGGTGTTGAGTGAAACAAATCTATTTTATGTAATACTTCTGTACGTCTACTTCTTACACTCCATCACAAATTTCTCGTCATACACAATAGAGAATTGTGTGGCAGGATATCGTCAAGAAGATTATATTATGCAGAAAACAATACCGTAATGGACAACTTCCAAGGCTTTTAAGATTGTAACTTAACGTCGACAGTTTAAACAAGTACAATCTCACTAGAATTATGTTAATTATTTAAAATGATATAAAGAATTCCTATGTCTCTCAGTCCGCTCTCCTAGAATTATCATGAGATTATTTTGACATGGCTTTTCGCAACCCCCTTAAGGGGCATCGTTCTAATTAAGAAGACGTAGATCACCACACATAGTCCAGCCATTACAACTTAAAATGTTATTCCGAGATCCTCACAGTGCTATCGTGAATTGAAGATTTGCACGAAAGCTTCTTTCTGATCAAATAGTGCCATTATTACCTAGCTCCTTATAAGGTAATCTCCGTAATACATGGGTAATAATATCCCGAGCCAGTCACTGATAAGTCAGGCACACATTCACGCACATCAAGCACAAATCCACCTGGGTGGCTTGTTGCGACCATTAATAGACACTGATAATCTACACGTGCAAAAAGGAAGTTCATTCCTGTTCTCTTACTACATACATTCATTTGTGCACATTCGGCAATATCAAAATCCCGTCCCACGACATAATATAAACTCGGGTTGAATAGTAACGGTCTAAGCCTCGTATAATTCGTTTGACGAGGCTCTATTCTTCACACCTTATTCATCACCAACTCAGCCTTTACACAAAACAGCTGCCTACCTGAAAAAAAAAGTATTTGCCAACCCTTTCTTTATTCTTTTCTTAACCAACTTGTTCTCAGACCCGACTACACCACAAAGACTAACATTTCCTCAGTCCCTATCGATATTTACCTGGGTAGCTTGCAGACTCTCGTTGATACAAGTATAGGTTTTTATAAAAGACAAAGTCGAAGCAAAATGGACTCTAATTTCAAAATGCCCGCAACCTCTTTCGTCAAGTCCCTCTCTGACGAGTCTCGACCGCAAACAAATGAGAAGGCATATACCTGGTTTCCTACCATGAACTTCAGCAACGTGTGGCCGTTGGATCACTGTGACTTGGCTGCCTTCAACGCTTGTGCGTAGTGATTTATGAATTTCTAACCCGTGTTAAGAATATTACCTTAGGTACTAACACTCATTACCACAGTGCTCCTCTCTGACGGAGCCTGGCAGACCACTCCCCGACTTACCATAGCAACTAACCTGTACCGCATCTTCGCCACGTGCGAACAGTTGTATCCCAAGTTCAAAGAGGGCCCGCTCAAGAAGATCGAAGTCCGAGACTTTTTCTCCCTCGTCTATGCTCATCTCAGTGACCACTGTCTCACCCACGACTACTTGGAGGAGAACGGCCCCAGACGTTTAGCCAACCTCGTGGGGTTCTTCGTAGAGGCATCTAGGGATTACAATCCGAAGGAATATGTCATGGATTTGGATCTGGTCCCGCTGAACGAGATGATACGTCGTTTCACTTTGACGTCAAGTCTTCCTGAACGTACGTGGTATCACTGATGAATTCACATGATGTGACGGGTTGGGACTACCTTAAGGTTTTTTTCCCAGGATAAGTCCAGTCACTGATTATCACTCAGCTGAATGCTCGCTATCTCAGCATAAGGGGGGGGAGTTGAGGATGGAATAGCTTTACTGAAATGAAAAGGAGAGCGCATAGTCAGCCCCTTATAATTGGGAGATCACATTGAGATGCCTAAGGCACCTTATGTAGATATTCTCTAAGATAATAGCTTCGCATACTCACGAATGCTTTCAAAACGTTTAATTTACCATGGACCTTCTAAACAGACTTTGCGAATAATAACTAATCTATATGTGAGGTGCTAAAGGAGGTAAGAGAAAGAAAACAATTAGATATCGGTAGGCCAGGGACGGCAATATAAAAAGTACCTGGAAAGAATAGGCGGAAAGAAGACACCGAGGTGGCTGTATCATATGATTCTTTGGATAAACATATGGTACATACCTCTAGGTAGGTAATGTAGGTAAATATGATGTGTTTTCCGTAAGAATCTTGTTGTGACTCTACCCCTGAAGGTATGTATCGGTGTTATCCTAGCTGCAACGTCCTGGTTTTAACCATACTTTTTTTTTTTTTTTTTTTTTTTTTTACCGCTCCTCCTTAGTTCTCTTACCATTTCTTCCCCTTTACTTAAGGTAGGTACCTAGGTAGGAGGTAGATATACATCCTAAGCTGGGTTGGGGGAACTATCAACTAATATCACGTCTTTCCAATCCGTAAAAAGCTTGACATCTGAGAATACTTGTCTGTTATGAATTTATTTCCCCCTATTAAAAATGTGAAGTTACGAATAACCAAGTCTTCATTCAAGTCGTGTTCTCCTTTTTCTAATCACGAATGACAAAAATTAACGGATACTAAGTTGAGGATAGCAAATCTGTCCCTTCAAAGTAAACTTAACCACAATTATTAAAACTTGCCAACTACGTAGCCACCAGAAAGTTGGAGCAATTCTCTTTCATTTCTATGAACCTTCTAAAGAAATACTGAACACCCATCGACGGCCGACGAAAATGCGTCCAAAGGCCGTCGAGGTCTATGGTATTATACATATCGGAATCTCGACACCAGGGAGAAAGAATAGAAAAAAAGAAAAAAACACCTTGACAGCAAAAAAATAAAAAGTTGGTAGTCAGACGAATCGAAAAGAAAACAGCAGGCTCGTCAGATTCATGCAGTTTATGCAATGGTGGTATCATGTCTTTCTGTACAAACACAATAATATGCTTTGTAGCAAACAAAGGGAAAAAAGGGGGGAAGGAACGCTCTCCCGTGCTCAATAAAACCAGTCCATCAAATAGGGTGGACTTTTGCCAATAGGTATAGGTATTCTTTTTCTTCGACTGTGATAGTAGCATGAAATGACCGGCTCCGGTTCTCAGCTCTCTCAGCTCTCCGTCTATAGTCCATCACTTCAACAGGGGCTAGCGATGGTTGCCCGGCTCATTCGTATTCCTCCTTTAATTCAGGCCCCTTGTCTTCGATATGGACCCAAACTTGGATTTCTCATTAGGCCCCGAGCTCTTCTCTCAATATTACTTTGCTTCTGTTCCTCGATATTCATGCTTTCAGTAAATGTGGTTAGTAATCCTTTTGGCACCCAACACCAAAACGCCAGCATCCCCAGTTTTCGTCGACGTCTCAGACCCTCACCTTGGAACTGGTGGCAAGGTCTTTCTAAGGCTTTCGCGACTGATCTTACTCCTCAAAAACCTAAATCCACTACTGCCGCCTCTTTTCTGCTCCTCTTCGTATCCGTGGCCTACTTCTAGGTAACTAGTCTTTGGCGGTGTTGGTGGGCCCCTACCACCAATACCATGAGGGCCCAAGGTAGTGAACCCGTCCTGCCTCTCTGTTATCGATGGCGTGTAAGGTCGGGACCCGCTAGCACTATCTCCTTGACTCCTCCCACCGACTGAGCCTGCTTCCGTCGTCTCCTCAACAACTGGGAGAACAGCATGCGAGCTGGATCTCGCTCCTGGTGATATAGCCGTCGTAATCTTGCGTTCCGGGACTTGTTCCTCTTTAGCAAGGTCCTTCTCTTTCTTGGCAGCCTTCTTTAGGGCTTTTTCTACAACGGGATTTGGTTCGGGCGAATTCGGGCTTCTCATACCTGGGGGTGCCGGAGGCAAATACGACGGTGCAGGCGGTGCACTACTTGACCCGGGCGCCTGTAAGGCTTCTTGTTTGGTGCGCTCCATTTCAGCTGCAGCATGCGCAGCGGCGGCCTCACGATCAAGCTCCTCCTTTGCAGCCTCTTCCGGAGACATCGTAATGCCGGACATAAATTTAATGAATCGCTCGCCGTACTCCTCAGGCGGGAGGGCAGAGATTTGACTGCGATCACTAGACAGACCCTTCCAAAAATGCTCTATCTTTTTGATCATTCCGTACTATCATCACAGTTAGTTGCCAACATACACACACAAAAAAAAAAAAAAAAAAAGAAAAAAGGGCTTCAACTTACATGGGTCAGACAGTCGATGACGCCAAGGTAATAAACTTCTTCGCCCGGGGTGTTGTCTTCGTGAGTTGCCCGTAAACCACCATCATCGCTGTAAAACATTCCACCTCGGGTATGACCTTCAGCTAGCTCGTCCGGCATTTTACTGCTGGTTTGGCCGACAGGGACAGGCCGCTCAGCCTTGATCATTTCTCTTAACTCCCTCGCCTTGCGTGCATTTTCTAGCTTTGACGGTGTCCTCATCAGGACAGAGCTGGGATCTTCCTCCGAAGGACTATCTCCCCCAGGGTTGAATACCTGTAGAGTCTTGCCCCTGAGGTTTTCCTCATTTCCTTTTCGCAAGTCGTGGATGCCTATCAAAAGCGAGTAGTCCATTATCTTCAACTTTTGCAGCAGTCGAACATCACGCTCCAACTGCTGCAAGAAGAGCTGCTTCTTCTGTATTCCAAGTTCAAGGTGCCGTTTTCGTCGAAGCCAGTTGAGATCCTTCAACGTAGCTCTGGGATTCTTCTCAAGTTCTTCTTCCCGATAATCTCGTCCTACCGTCGAACCCTTCAGGTCAAACGTGGTGTGAATGTCTCGATGAGGAGGGAAGAGATTGTTCATGACGACAAAGTGAATCTTCTTCCCATACGGCATTTTGACGCGGTGAAGGCCATAGAACTGGGATAGCAGAGTGTTCGGATTTTCTGTAACATGGTCGTAATAATCTTTCAGGACCTTCCGGAGGAATTTATGTTCACCATGGTGAATGGTCTTGATGATGTACTTGTAGTCTCTCGAGAAATAGAAGAAACTACCACTCTTTCCCGGAGAACCGAGTTCGGATAGAATATATTTGCCTGTAAGCGACATTAGATAATCGGCAGGATCCAACCTAAAGAGCGCACGAAGATGTCGGAAGACCCAGGGCGCATAATCCTTAAATTTAAAGTCGTATTTCGCCGAGGGAACCAACTCATTACCCGCACTAGTCAAGTTAGTATATGGAACATATTTATAACCTCGGCGAAGACATACATGTCGAACGTTGATTTCTGCTTAGTTTCAAAGTCGGCGTCGGTCAGGGGACGGTCGAGTTTGGCGTTCGTACGCGAGACTGATACCCGGATACCAGTCAACATATTGTATGCTGTTGTCCAATTTGCGTGGTTCTCGTCAACTTTCGTTCCAACCAGAACCCTATCATCATCCTCTTCTTGCTTCTTTTTCTTTGCCCGCTTCTGCCGGTATGCTTCAGCCCACCTCAACGCGTCGTCATCGGGCTGTACTTCATCACGAGGCACATCCGAATGCAGGGAGCGCGTATTTCGTCTTCCTAAATTTAGAGAGCCTCGACGCTGCGATGTTCCGGCGCCAGTGGGAGAAAATCTGCCACTGGCATATACCGTGTCGTTACTATCCCTTGAACCTCGGCTTGGCTGAGCCCTGGGCACCTCCAGCGTGTGTCGATGTTTTAGACCAGTCGCAGGTGGTGGTAGTGCCGAGGTCGACGCGGAAGCACCGGTCGGGGGATAATGCGGAGGGGAGGAAAATCTCTGGGGAGACGGAGAACTGCGCTGAGCTGGATCGAGGTTAGAATTTGAAGGATTTGGTTGTAAGTAGTTGGAAGCTGAATTGTCTGGCGATATGGAACCCGAACTGTTGCCGTAGGCGTTATCCGTGTGTTGAGAATCGCCATTGTTTGACGATCTTCGCGGCAGTTGTTCGATAGTATATTGTGCAGATGTGCGAGACTCTACCGAGGACCGCTTTATCTGGGATTCGGTCATGCTTTTACGCTGGTTTTCGGGAGGCGGCAATACGCCATTAGTGGTAGGCTGGGGCTCCAACGAGCTTCTTCCAGACAAAGAACCTTTCATATTTGAATAATAGTTAGAGTCTTGACCCGCCGAAGCCACACCGTTCATCTCTCTACCCGATCTGCCATTGGGCAGGGGAGTCATGCTGGAAGGGGGTAGCCCATCCGCGTTCATTCGTACCCGTGGGCCAGAGCTATGCGATGAATGCGAAGATGAATTGTCGTCGAAGCTCTCATTCGTGTCAATTGCCGTGGATAATGGCCTTGAAAGAAATGCTTCCTTGGTATCAGTAAGCTTCTGGAAATCTGGTTCGTGATTATTTCTGAGATGGACCACGCTGGGGTTTTGATAATAGATGGGCGAGTTTTCGTCGTTTATAAAAGTAGGCATATTTTGCCTCCGCAAATTCGGTGTCGTTCGAGTGGGATTTCGAACGAGCGCACCTGAAACCCTCACCCAGGACCTGTTGTCTCAAGGAAAAAAATAAGACGACGGTTATTGCTGGTCGGGCGAGGGGACAATGCGGAGGGGGAGATGCAAAAAAAAGAAAAGAAGAAAAGAAAAAAAAAAGAAATCAGAAGAGATATGATTTGTCGGGGTTCCTCTGGTTGACGTCGTCGTCGTCGCTGGTGTAATTGGTATTGTTGACACCTGAGGATAAGGGGGTGGGTTGAGAGATGCGAGGTGCAAAGGTGCAAGGTGCAAGGTGCAAGATTGTGTTTGTCGTGTAAACCGACAAAGTTGGCAGCTGAGTGGCAGAATGGGTGGATACAGTGGTTGGGCACCATGTGGCCCTATAATTGGTTGATTTCAACGTGGATAACGGCTAGCGGGTACGTCCTTAATTGCATCGAACTCAGCCACGACCCCCCTGGAGCTATCAATATTCTAATAAAAGTTGTTTTTTTTCTCTCTCGTTTTGTCTCGCATAAGTTACTTAAGTCGATGGGGGGATTGAGGGAGAACACAAATTACCTTAATACGGTTTAGCGTCGGTCAGAAATGATGTATGCAGGTACCTACGAAGAAAAGTTATTGATAGAATGCGGCATCTAAACTGAAGGTAAGGAAGTACATTAGGTAATTGGACCGTAATAAAATCTGAGTTATTATTGAGCTGTTGCTTTATATAAAACTAACATACATTCAGACATTATGCTTTCACAGTATCTATTTTCAATTACCCCGATGAATACTACCTAATAGAGTTAGTTCACATGAGAACCCGCGAGATGACCCGCGAGATGTAACCTGCACTGCTGAGCATGCAGACGTGTCTTGCATTGGCAGAGTGGCTCATAGTAATATTAGATAGGTACCTTGGTCCCTTAGCTGTCCCGCATAATTAGGCTAGTGGATCCTGATCCGAAAAGGAGAACGGATGGAAGCTACGATTCGGGAATCATAGTGATAATCGTAGCGATTTTTATCCATTTCTGTTATACAACATTATGTCATATCCAGACGAACTAACGCCCGTCTCGACGATTTTTTGCAGTTTGCAGTTTGCAGTTTGCATAAACATCATTACTGATGTCAGTCGTTTCTTCTGTGGTTGGGAAGTTTATGTAACCTTTCTCTCGATCAAATAAATATTTACCTAAGGTACCAAGGATTTATTAGCTTTGCCGACATGCCGACCGGACCCTGCTTAGAAAGATTAAGACAATCAGTCTAATGCGGCTCCAGCCACGATTTCTAAGGATTTTAATCAAATATTCAGCTTGGCCAGGTGTAACCCGGCTCCCCTGCTCCTCCGGCCTGGCCTTTTCACCAATTGCTTTGCCGACTCTCCGAGACAGCTCATCAACTTTTCTCCAACGATCCTCAAACCTTGACGCATCGCATCGTCAAAGAGAGATAAGACATATATACATGTGTTGCTTACTTCCTATAAAAATCATTGAAACATTCATATGATAAATACCTGGTATAGGTATATAAGCACGCGTATAAGCCACTCGCGTACGACGATAAGAAGATCAACACTGCCACCTGTGTTGTCAGTTGAGATGCCGCTTTATCCTATAAAGCTAACCAATCCATCGAACCAGCGTCGATAGTCCATCATGCTAGTCCTACGTAACAGAAAATACCATTACATGATGGCTCCGTTGCCGTTACCCTGAACCCCCGTACTAGGTAATACTGGATAATCAACGTAGCCCAAAACCAAGGAGCCCGAAGTCACGAGAAAAGAAAATCCACAAGATGCCAATCAAAGCCCCGAAACTACTTACACAGTGGTACAATAGTGTATATAATATATAGGTACCTAGGTAAGGTAGTAGGCAAGTGTCCCTAAATCACCTGTCCATCTAAACTTCAAGTTCTTTGGTTGATTCCCGTCTCGGAATGTAACGCATGCGCATGCTCCCACGATCCATCATGGTCCGTGACAAGGCAAATCTTAAAACGAAAATTTGTAGAGATGCTAATGGTCCCACCGAGCCACAACACTTCTTCGGCGGCCTCGCGCGCCAAAAAAAAAGGACGAGGGTTGACTGCGACGACCATGGCTCTGGACTATACTAGAGGTAGGGAGCTAGTCAGGTTAGAGGTAGATATGAATATAAATCCATTAGAAGGGAGAATACCGATTTACATCATATATATACCATACCTAATATATATATGCCTAGGTGAGGTAGGTATATATCTTTTCCCTAAGCCATAACTCCTCCTAATGCTTGCTGGATTATGTACAAGATATTACAAGATAAAGGCTGGAATCGCGTTATACTTTCGTAGATACTGGAGCACCGCCTTCGACTGCCATCTTATCCGCGCCCTCTTTTTGTAGTCGTTCGAGCGTCTTTTTCTTTTGGTAATCAGCAACTCGATATCGCTTGAAGTAAGTTACCTGTAAAATACGCACGGGGCGTATATTGGAAGTCAGCTATGATCTAAGATAACTACCTGAGGTACCTAACGTATTATTTCGATCCGCCAATAAAGAGATTAAAAAGTACCTAACCTAAGGTAGGTAGCCATGATAGAGAGGAAGAGGTAGAGAGGAACATACCCAAGCGCTAGCACAATTTTGTTCGAAGCTCTTATTCTCCGCCGCGCACTGCTTCTCGGCGATCTTCTTGCCGTCTCCGTTCAGCGAGTCGATAACGTCGTGCTTGTCGAGGCACTTATAGAATGCGTCGCGCGCATCCCAGCATTGCTGGCGCTCTGTCCTGTCCGGCGCCCGGGCGCCAGTGCGCACTTCCTCCTTGCGCTTCTCTTCGGCGGAATTGAACAAACCGAATAGGCCCATGGTAGATAGGTTTGTTAGGTACTAGGTAGGTACCTGTCAATGCCGAGAAATAGAGGGAGTTCGGTACGGGGTTGGGATGTTTGTCAGTTAATAGGGAACTAGCTCAGCTCCCCGAGGTTTTATGAGAATGACGTCGTCTCTTGAATTTGTGAAATAAAGTTCTGCGGGACGGAGCTCGACAACTTATCAACTATCACTATCATTATCACTATCGTGGTATTGAAGCCGATAGCTGAAGCCCTTAATTATGTAATACACTACACCTACGAAGTACGAAGTACACCTCTATATGCAAGGTACCTTGGTACAAATTACCTACCCACCAACGCTTCAACCGGCTCAGAATTTAAAGTTACCTTAGGTACTATGTACCTGTAATTGAGCCCCTGCGTCACCCTTTTTCCCCGTCCAAGCCCGTTGTATGGAATCGGTATAGAACAGCGCCTGACTAGCCTTAGGTTAGGTAATAATACCTAGACAACCTTGGACATCCAACTTTTTTTTAGCATAACGCATTTCGCGCTTTACTTTTTAGCGTTTTAATACTTCTTTTAGGGTGTAGGAGGTTTACCTTACCGGCATTACTGAACAAAATACTTCTACGTGTACAATACAATAATACAAATACAATAGGTCGAATTTGTAATGGTGGTATTATAGCGCGAAGGCAAAGGCGAAAACGAAATATTACGGGACTTTCCGACTTCCTTTCCATCCGCTCATTTATTCATTCATTCATATACTTTTTTTTGGAGGGAGAGGAGAGCAGAGGAGAAGATCAGCATTAGACGAACAAACACATCGCGCACCGATTTTTATTCTCTCCTTTTCTTCCGGGTTTTCTAATATACGATAAACCTCGAAAAGGAAAGAAAGGAAAGAAAGAAAGAAAATGGCCAGGCGGAGGAGACCCCCGCGGGCCGGCGCCGCAAACGAGCTCCCACCCCTCCGGATCCTCGGCCAGATTGCCGCGCTGCAGAGCATATACTACGCGGCCGCCCTCGTCCTGATGCTCTTCACGTCCCTGGTCGCCGGTACCCGGTTTAGCCTCGATTTGGTTTTCGGCTGGGCCGAACTGCGCGGCGACACGACGCAAGGGTGGCTGATGGGGTTTGTCTGGCTATGTTGCGCTGGCGCTGCGTTAGTATTCCCCCCTCTCCTCGTCCCCTTCGTTCCCCTCTAGGATCTATGCAGGCCGTCTGCTAACACGAAGATTGATGACGATGTAGTGTCGTAGCGATGGTGGCTTTCGTAGGCCGCTCGAAACTCGTACTCGACTTCGCGCTTACCCTCCATTTCATCCACCTCGTTATCGTGACGTTCTACACGGGCTTCTTACCGCGAAATGTTGCCTGGTGGGCTACGGCTATAGTGTCGAGCGCGGTGACGGTCGTGGGGGGAACTTACGGCTGCCAGTGGAGGGAATTACAGCCCATTAGTTTTGGAGGCAACGCGAAGGATAATACCATAGAGGGTGGCGCCGCGGGCGCAGCGCAGAACGGGGCTGCGGGAAGTCAAGGCGACGAGGAGATGGGCTTCGGCAGGGGCCGCGGAAGGGGTAGAGGGAGAGACGGAGCTGGAGAGTATGAAATGGTTGGCATGAATGGCGACAGGAATCGGTAATGCCTTTTTCTTTTTTTAACCTTTCTTGCGGGATTAATGGTCCATAATCAGCAGGACTTGTATGAATATTGCACGCACGGCGTTGGTTCTTTGAAAGAATAAATGAGAGCCTCGAGACCTGGGGCTGTTGATGCTCTATGGCATGATATTGTACCTGGTTATGTTGGATACCTAATATTATAGACGAAGGCATGAGACGTATATCGCCGGTGAACCATCCAGGGATTCAAGATTACAAATAGAACAGAGTCTGAAAACTCATCTTGTGTGCGTGGATTTGGTATGAATCTAGACTCAGGGGTCTCAGATGTTGTTACCTCTAAGTGCCGACTTGTTGTCCGAGCCATTTCCCATTCATTCGAATTTCTGGATATCGCGATTCAAATTAGACCAACAAAAATACCCAAATAAACAAATTTTCCCCTTTTTAATTTAATTGATCAATTAGATAAATCCCGCTCTCAAAAGGTACCTAACCTAAGGGGAAGCAATCAAGTTTCTATGAGTCGAGAATCCCGTCACGCTAAAAGCATCCAACTTTCACCAGGTTATAAACGACAGGAAAACCGGAGCTCCGGCTATAACCGACGGTCCTCCAACATCTACTTCCTCTGACCTAGACATCTCTGTTGTCCTAGTCAAAGTCTGAGTATAGGTCTGTTCTTGTTACATAACACCTCCGGTATACTCCTGTTAGCTCCTGTCAACCGTGATGCCTATGATGCCTACCCCTATTGCCGTTGAAAGCATAGGTACGCCATTGGTTTTGGCCCCACCATCCCTCCATGAAAACTGAATCATCATCATCATCATCGCGAGGAGTATAAATACTTGAGATGTGAAGTGCTTTCAGATGGCTTCGTTTGTTAGTTGTTGTTTGTCTCTGTTCGCGCCCTTCATTCTGTCCTATTCCTCTTAAAGAAATCTTGCCCATTATGGCTACGATCGTGTTAGGTGTTCAATGGGGAGAGTAAGAATTACACGATTTCAAATCTACCTAAGCATATCATTTCTTACTAATCTATTTTATTTGATGTAGTGAAGGAAAAGGTGAGTCGCTTGCTACCTGCCACTAACTTGCTTCGCGAAGCGTCGTCTATCTAACAATTCGACTTTTGTCGTGCCCGTCTCTCAAGGTAAGCTTTGCGATATCCTCAGTTCTGAAGTTCAGATTTGCGCCAGAGCCACCGGTGGGAGAAACTGCGGTCATAGTAAGGAAATCCCTTATTCGTCTTCTTTCTTAAAGATGGATTTACATGGGATTGATGCTTATGCGATATTCCTATAGCTGTCGTTGCCGGGGGAGTATCCTATGACTTGTATGTAACGCAATTCCCCTTAATATCTAATAATACCACACTAACGACTTCTAGCCATATGCTACCATCGGGACTACTTCACCCATCAACAATAAGTATTATCGGACCTGGTGTAGTCCTGCACGTACCTACCTTCTTCTCCGAGCTCGCCAGCATAGAGGCCAAAGGAGTCGTAAATGCCCAACAGAGGCTCAAGGTCTCGACGCGCTGCGCGCTCAACCTAGATCTCCACGCCACCGTGGATCGTCTCCGCGAAGGGCAGCTAGGCGGAAAGAACATCGGCACCACAGGCAAAGGTATCGGGCCAGCTTACACCACCAAGGCCGAGAGAAGCACCGTGCTCCTCGGCGAGCTTCTCGACGACGAGGACTTCGGAGACCGCATCAGAGCCATGGAGCGAGATTATAAACTAAGATACGGCGGCGACCTGGACGGATATGACGTCGAAGCCGAGATTAGAGAGCTTGAGGTAAATATACCAGCCATCCCTAAGACTAAATATATATATCTGTGTGTTAGGTATTCTTCTAACCCACCCTAACCCAGAACTTCCGCGAGAAACTCCGCCCCTTTTCCATCGACGACGTCTTGTTCCTCGAGCAAGCGCAATCCAAAGGGCAGAAGATCCTCGTCGAGGGCGCGCAGTCGGCCCTGCTGGACAACACGTACGGGACCTGGCCGTACGTGACGTCGACGTCGACGACGCTGGGCGGCGTGCTGGCGGGGCTGACCCTGGACCACCGGAAGATCGAGCGGGTCGTCGGCGTGCTGAAGGCGTACAGCACGCGCGTGGGCTCCGGGCCTTTCCCCACAGAGGACTCCGGCGCCGCGGGCCGCGCGCTGCAGGATCTGGGCCGGGAGGTGGGCGTGACGACGGGGCGGGCGCGGCGCTGCGGCTGGCTGGACCTGGCGGCGGCGCGGTACTCGGGGGGCGTGAACCACTACGACGCGCTGAACCTGACGAAACTCGACGTGCTGGACGCGTTCGCGGAGATCCGCGTGGGGGTCGCGTACAAGCACCCCGACACGGGGGCGCCTGTCAACGGGTTCCCGGCCAGCGCGAAGCTGCTGTCCCGCGTCGAGGTCGTGTATAAGACGATGAAGGGCTGGAACACGAAGACGACGGGGACGAGGAGGTTCGAGGATTTACCCCGGGAAGCGCAGGATTACGTTACGTTCATCGAAGAGTTCCTGGGCGTTAGGATCAAGTGGATTGGGTGCGGACCCGGGCGAGAAGACGTCATAACTCGTTGATTCTCTTAGCAGCAGTCCCCCCCTTTTCTTTTCCTGACCCTTTTTGGGGGGTGGGCTTAATTCCCAACTTCGACCCAGATTTCTTCGCCTACCTACCTAACACGCAGGTTCGTACAGAAAAAAAAGAAGAAGAAGAAGAAGACATGAGATTCCAAAAATGATTCACCATTAAGATTTACTATGAAATGGGATCATGAAGAACTTGTTACTTTAGATTGATCCTGACAATGAATTAATAGATAAAGGGGGAATAGGTATGGTAGGAATAGCCTATGGAATGAGCACCACCTTATGGTTCAATCATAGTGATTCCAAATGTTTATTATCTTAAAAAGAACGATTAAATTATTTAAGTCGTAGAAGCATATCGCCTGACGCCTTAACCTATTCTAATTGTTCGAAAGTTGGATGCGGGTAATCGTATATTAGGTATAGGAGGTTACGTAGAAAATTAAGGACTTATGCAGACTTAATCAAAACTAGAAGATTCGTTAAAGACTTTTAGTAGTAGAATGAGATTCATTTAAGCTTTTAATTGCTCAGTATATCATATCATTCTACTCTATTTAGGTAGCATAAAACCAGGGATGCCTATAAGTCCACCAAAGCAAAGCACAGGGTCCACCACTGATTCAATATTGTCCTTAATTCCCGCCCTTCTCTCTATCCCCATTAGTATCTTGTCTTTCCCTGGTGTCATCCCGCAATGTTCGAACAGCTTCCTTCAATCAGCACTGCAACCTCATCCTCCTCCAGCTTTTGTACAGTCTCATCCTTATCTTGTCTCGCCACCATCAATGGCTGTGGAAGGCTATCTCGGCTACTCCTCCTGGTCGTGAGGCAATCGGGAGGACAGAAAGGTTCAGAGTCCCCAGGTTCACCCTGAGATTCCGACTAGGTATCTGGGTGACAAGAATCCGGTTCCGTCCCTTGGTCTGAGTGACTTGTTGCTACCACATAGTCAATTTTAGCTTCCATGGCAGGGGTACCACCTTTCATGTTAGCAATAGGGTCTGACTGGATGCCACAGGTTTCTCTCGAAGTAACTGATACTGTTAGGTCAGAGGAAATAGCTGGTATCATAAAGGTAAATTCAAGTCCAAGGGACACATCTGGTAGTGAAGGCTCGTCGGTAGTCCTAGACATTTCGAGAGGTTCGTAAGAACGAGCCGTTCCACTGACTGATGAGACACTAGCCGTGATGATATCTTCTATATCCAAATGTATAGAACCTGGGAGCTGCGACGAAGTACCTAGTTCTCTCTTCAGATCAACTGAGAGGATGTGGGGCTCAGGAGGCTCAAAGCTGGGAAATTGTTCTTGGGAATATCCTGAACTATTTCCGACACCTACATTAGCCTCATCTTGTCCGGTGCGGTTAATAATTAACGGCTTAGGGTATAGATCCTCGTCTCCTAGCCTTGATACACCCGAACATTCTGGTAGAGTTTCAATAGGGTTATCTGGAAGTGAAAGACTGTCGTTAAGTTCCTCCACAGACTCTGCTAACGACGCAATCTCATCTGGTGTCGTGACTTCAGATAATCGACTGCGTTGCGTTTTTCGTCGTTGTCCACGCCGTTGTGGTGATTTAGATACCGGGCTTATCGTTCCAGAATGTGGAACTGATGACGAAGGTGTATTGAATGGTACAGCTGGAGGCATATCGAGGACTGTGGACACCGATGCAGACATTTCATTGTTAGGAGTTGTGATATCCTTATCGCACGACGTATGTGAGCCACGGGAACTTTGTGAAATACCCACTGACGATCCAGATACTCCAGACGCCTGGTCGAGACTCATCCTTGATGAGAGCCTATCGAGTTCCGCCGTAGCAATCATCATACTGGCCATAGCCAATGGGTCGATGTGACTCCCGGTTCCCGAAGTACGTTTGACGTTGGGAGCATCGGACTCAGGAGTATTAAATACTGGGCTTTCCTCGCCAGATGATGGCCAAATATCCACAGAGTCACGAGCCAGAAGCCGACGTACCTTGCGATTCAAAGGAGGGGGAAACTCGGATCGAATGGAGAATGTAGAAGAGCCCGAGCGTTTAATCCTTCGTCTAAGAGATCGGAAGCGTTCTAAGATAATGTCACGAACACGTAAATGATACCAATATCGACTCTTGTCAACTTCGGGCCTTGGCTTATCAACTCGCTTAGGAATATCTTGGATCTAGATATGAGACTGGTCAGTAAGGAGGGCTGACTACCATTGGGCGCGTTTACCTCTCGTCTTGATGGTAGCTCTTTGAAATCGCCTAATATTTGACAAAGTTCCGGACATGAGCTGACGCCGTGTCTTTGGATAATATGGAATTGAGCGTCGTGTTGCGAAATATACGGACACGGCTTCTCACTAATGACGTTATCATTACCACTGCTACAATCATTGTCCTTACCGTTGGTATTAGCCGCTAGAGATGGATCAACTAGTCGTATATGATGAGGGGTTCTAAGAATGGATAATCCTGATACATCGTGTTCTCGACGAGGCTTTCTTTTTCCCTAACTTTTCTCTCGGTCTATGGATCCAGATGTATCAGAGTTGAGCTTCTGAGAGGCGCCAGATAGAGTTGCACTTCGGCTGGACTCTTCCAAGTCACTAAGCCCATCTCGGGGCATTTTTGGAAGCTTGTCACCTTCGGAACTGAGTGGTCCATCCAGTCCAGTTCTGGGTTGCGCGGTGGGAGGCTGTAGTACGATACCTGGGCAAGTAAAACTTGAGACTGAGACCGCCTCTACTTTGCCCCTTAAATGCGGTCCGTCTGAAAAAGTACCTGATGTACTTTGCTCGGCTAGATTAATCTCTTCATTTAAACGGTTAGAATAACCAACACCGAATAACCAGTTTGAGATCAACTCGTCTTCAGCGTCATTTTCTCCTCGATAATTAAGATCCTCCGAACCAACCGAATTTGGGGTGACTGGTGTAAGAGGATGATTTCTGCACGCTTGGCAAGGAGAAGAGGCACCAGAGATTGTTGGGGATAGAAGTTGTAGTTTAGAAGAGAAGAGCCAGTGTCCATCTTTAAATTCTCGACTGTCTTCATCTATATGTTGTTCGGCGGGAGCCGATTTGCAGCTATGAGAGCGGCATCTATGAGAATGACATTGACCGTGGTGGGAATGTCCTGTTGAGCTGCGGGATAATAGATGTTGCTCTGGTGTGAGCAGTAGATACCCATAATCTATAGCTTGCATAACGAGGATATCATGATTCTTCCGGGTTGTGCCTGACGAAGTAGGAGCTGATATACTTGGTGAAGGAAGACAGGCGATGGCGAACACGGAACCAAAAGGCTTTAACAATGGATCGCCACTTGGTGAGATCAAAGCTCATGATTCTAGGTCTAAGTGTAAGTCTACCTAGGTGGGTAGGTATAGGTATCGAATCGTTTAGGTAAGCTTGTATAGGTAAGGAACAGAACAGTGACAAAGAAGTTAGAAATGATTAGGTAGGAATTATATTGTATGAGTGAAAGCGTACGAAGAGGTAGATGATGAGATTATAGGTACCTAGGTACGTAATAGAGTTGATAATACCTAATATCTACCTATCACATAGTCGTTTCCAAAGCATTAATAAATGATGAAAGTTATGCTACTTGCCTGTTTCAGTGTTTTATTAAGATATAGAAGGTTCTACTACATGTATTTGTAGGTGTGTATTGTACCTGCTAACTCTACCTTAGGTACAAGTTAGGAACTTGAAGTTGGTGGTTTCCCTGCTTTCTTTAATCTCAGCTTGGTAACCTTAGGTAATTCACAGGTACCTAGCGTAAAAGAATAAGCCATCCGCTATTAGCCGACGCTACCTACCTGGTACTACCGAATACCTAATTCCCACCGCTCTGGAAATGCCGAGGCCGCTGAACGGGACGTCATTCCACTATTTTTTGTTTGGTCAGGTCTCGTCTATTTTCGAGCACGGCCCCGCAACCGCCTCCATTACCTCCTCCGTCGCCGCCATGGATGATGATTTTACATAGGAATTTCATTGCGTCTGCGCTCATCTCGGTTCGTCCCAATTAAGAGTGCAGTCATGTTTCGCCCTGCATTATCGCGCGTTTCGAGGCAATTTGCCGTGCATACAAGGCATTTGCAAGCTTTTAGAAGCTATGCCTCGACACCCAAGTCTTCGTTTACTTGGGAAGATCCATTGGCGAGTAATAACTTGCTTACCGAGGAGGAATTGGCCATCTCCGACACCGCGGAACGATACTGCCAGGAGCAATTACAGCCACGGGTGCTACGTAAGCTCTTCCAGCGCCGATTTGCGTCAATATAACTTCATAATTGACTTGCTAATTGCACCGCATAGAGGCGTATCGAGACGAGCACTATGATCCCGCTATCTTGCGTGAGATGGGTGAACTTGGTCTCCTCGGAGCGAATCTTCACGGCTACGGTTGCGCTGGTGTATCGACCGTCGCATCGGGCCTAATTACTCGGGCCGTCGAACGAGTCGATAGCGGTTACCGATCTGGCATGTCGGTACAATCCTCGCTGGTTATGGGTGGGATCTACGAATTTGGGTCCAAGGAGCTGAAAGACAAATATTTACCGGATATGGCTAAGGGTAAACTACTTGGGGCGTTTGGGCTCACAGAGCCCAACCACGGGAGTGACCCGGGGTCAATGGAGTCGACGGCGCGACCGCATCCAACGAAAAAAGGGTACTTTCTTATAAGTGGTTCGAAAACTTGGATCACTAACTCGCCTATTGCCGATGTCTTTCTCGTATGGGCCAAGTTACAAGAGACTGGCAAGATCAGGGGATTTGTTATAGATAGGAGGGATTGCCCGCCTGGCACTCTGGAAACCCCGGCTATCAAAAATAAAACCGGGCTTAGGGCTAGTATTACGGGCATGATTCATATGGACGATTGCCCGGTGCCGGAAGAGCATATGTTCCCCGATGTCGAGGGCTTGACTGGCCCCTTCACGTGCTTAAATAGCGCTCGGTATGGTATTTCCTTTGGCACCATGGGCGCCTTGGAGGACTGTATTGCTAGGGCGCGGGAATATGCCTTGGGCCGAAAACAATTCAAGAATAATCCCCTTGCCAAGTACCAACTGGTTCAGAAGAAGCTGGCGGATGCTGTGACGGATGCTGCATATGGGGTACTCGCATCGATACAAGTTGGCAGGCTTAAGGATGAAGGAAAAGTTACACCGGAGATGATCAGCATGGTGAAGAGACAAAATTGTGACCGTGCGCTTGTAAACGCGAGGGCGTTGCAAGAAATCTTCGGGGGTAACGGGGTTAGCGACGAGTACGGGATCGGAAGACACGTAGCCAACTTGTTTGTAACCCAAACTTATGAAGGGCAGAGCGATATTCATAGTGAGTTAATACCCCTTAGAAACAATGATGTCATGCCATCTGCTAACGCGGTCTAGGTCTCATTCTCGGGAGGGCCATAACTGGGCTCCAAGCTTTCGTATAAACGAGGTACCTAACGCAACCTACCTCCGACATGTGCATGATAGCTAATATTTGGGATGCTTGAATTCGGGTACTTTTTAGTTCTTAGATAGGTATACATCGAGGGATCAAGGAAGGTCTGTTGATCTTAACAGACATAAAAATAGAAGCTCACATATCTTAATTAGTGTTCGCCCGTGATATATAAGTTAAGTAGGTTAGGTAGGAGGGAGGTAGCTAAACCCCTAACTTAAGTTAAAACTAACTTGTAACGCGGGACCATTCTATTGCTCCAGTCGTTCGAAATTTGGCGGCAAACCAAAATGATGTTATTGAGCATGAATAATGAATAATGTGAAGCATGACAATTGCTGACAGCTGAGGCGAAAAACAAGCTGTAAGTGGTGAGAGATAGGGAGGTGCAGGCGCGATTAGCAGGGCCTGACCAGCTAGGCTTGGCTGATTGGTCAGTATCGCACCAATACACATAGTCAGTAGGTACAGTCAGTACAGTGGCGGTGTGGGGTTTCTGTATCCTGTATGCTAATGTTCCGTGTAACCAGTGTAACCAAACCAACCAGACGGGCCAAGCAAGCCCAAGGCTCTGTCACTTCGGGCTCAAAAGGGGGCAGTCAAGGCACCTTCCAATTGGCTCAAACAGGGTTCGACTTGCCGGTTTCGTGTGATCTTTGTCAGACTCATTTATCATTTATCAATGTACATTCAGGCATACATTCAGGTACAACTGCACAATGTACGCAACAATTTGAATACCTAAGTTTAGACTAAGCCACCCCTCAGCCACTTATTTTTAAAAGGGGGGGAGGGAAACTGCAGACAGACTGGAAGACCACTGGTAGGCCACTGTGAGGGCCTAGTGAGACCACTGCACGGGCTGAGAAAAAAAAAAAAAAACAGTGCTAGCGCCTACCCGTCCTTTTTTAGGACTGGTCTGTGCTGGCTTGATTACCCACTTCCATTTCCATTCATTCCGTCACCTGAAAGACTTCCATGCCTACCTAACCTAACTTTCCCTTTCCCCCCGCTACCAAACTTTCGTATCTACAGTCAACCCATCAAACAACCCATCCCCCGACGACGATAATAATAATAACAATAACAACACCACATCTCCGACCTCATTCATATCCTCAAGAACTAATCGTAGTCAACCAGGCTTGGAACCCTTGGTAAGTTTATATTCGCCTACTTTCTTTGTTATAAATTTCTACTTAAAAGATTAAAAACTTTCACTCTTTTTTTTTTATTAACTACTCCATCCATTTCTGCCGCATTCCATACTGACCGCAAGTACAAGTAGTTGATCTCCTTAGAGACGACGCTTCCGACAAGAAGGCAAAACAAAAACAAAACCCATAATCTACCATTCTCCACAACATGGCGTTGAAGCGCATCAACAAGGAACTCACAGACTTGGGCCGGTATGTTGGTTATTATTATTTTTTCTCCCGTCCTCCCTTTGATCGTGGTAGATGTTTGTCTGGCGATGGTACTCGGCCTACTGTTATCCTGAACGAGCCCAAGGTGGGGCTGCCGTAGGAAGGCAGGGCGGGGATTCGAACACAATACAGCCTCACCAAGGAAAACTTCGCATCCCCGTCTACGATCGATTTGGGTGGTTTTTATCTTGGGAGGATAATAATCTTGTATCATTCTGCTAATACTTGTCTAAGTGACCCTCCCTCATCATGCTCTGCCGGTCCTGTCGGTGAAGATTTGGTAAGCATCATCATCTCCTCCCACCAAAGATTTGCCGAGGGTCGATGGTATCTATCCGCTTCGTGACTCAGTTGGGCATGAGCGATAATGCCACGGGACCTCTTTCAGGCAAGAAGCATCATATCATTGAAAGGTCCACTAATATCTTTTACAGTTCCACTGGCAAGCGACGATTATGGGACCTGTAAGCCACACCTCTCTAACTTCTTCGTCTTTCCTGTTCATTGGCGCGCATATACCTATACTACTATGCACACACTATAAGTCGATATCATAACTGTTAAACCAGTCCCGACCGTTTCAACCGAATTAAATTATATATTGGATATCAGTTCCCGGTGCTAATCTGTCATTACAGGGTGATTCGCCGTACTCTGGAGGTGTCTTCTTCCTTGCTATCCACTTCCCGACAGACTACCCGTTCAAGCCTCCTAAGGTCAACTTCACAACCCGCATCTACCATCCCAATATCAACTCTAACGGCAGCATCTGTTTGGACATCCTAAGGGACCAATGGAGCCCGGCTTTGACCATTTCTAAGGGTATGTCTCTTTATCTTTACCTGCTAAAAAAAAGAGTCGTTATTCTAATATTTTGCAGTGCTCCTGTCGATCTGCTCTATGCTTACCGACCCCAACCCCGATGACCCTCTCGTCCCGGAAATCGCTCACGTATACAAGACTGACCGGGCAAGATATGAGGCCACGGCCCGCGAGTGGACCCGCAAGTATGCCATCTAGCATAATGACTAAGAAGAATTCGCTGGCGAAGAATGATGTTTGGCATCGGAGGCAGTGAGCATAGCACTTATTGGTAATGATACTTCGGAAGGGATATGGATTTCTCCTTCCAACCTAGGCAATACGATCTGCATTCACCAGTGTTTGTCCATTCGTCGTTATGGCTCAGTGTGCCTCTTCGATGAATATTAGAGCACATGATTTCAGGAGTGGAATGAAGAATGATTTAGTAACGAGGATAAAGCTCTACGAAAGACATGATATGTTGGAGTGATCTGGAGGAACTCTCTGGCTTTACATTTTATCCCTCCCTGACATTCACCGCAGATTTGTTTTTAATGCATGCATCTTCCCTTCTCCCCCTTGCGTATACTTCTCGTGAAGTCTATAAATAAAGCCCCAGAGCTTGTTACGACCCTAAATCTAGATCGTCTCAAGGACTTCTTGGTATTGTTATGGATACCGTAGTAAACTCTTACTCCCCCCGACTGCCTGTCCATATGATCGTGGGTGATCGTTGATGCTAAATTTTCTAAAGGATTATTAGGGTTCGTTATTGTGACTCAAGATACCTACAATGTTAACGTAAAATCGTCCAATCCAAGACATGAGGATCAAGCCAACCTTCCTAGGACCCCTTTTCGCTGCGTAGTAAAGATGTTTTAGAATACGGAGTTTCGACTAAAGAATATAGGCGCATGTGATAACTAGAGGAGCTGAGATCTATGGAAACGTGGCGTATGCATTTACGTATATTCATACATGCACCACCCCCTTGTTTTAGCCGCCGAGTCTCGGGCACGTACCAAACCGTATATACACCTATATGGCCTTATATCCAACTTACGTTTTCGCAGCCGGTCATACGGGAATGGTGTGGTCGTCAAAACAGTAAGACACTTGTTTAGGTAGATATACTAGCTACCTACCTCAGATCCTACCACAGGTGAAGAGAAAATACCAAATATAGACTCTGAGGGGATACGTCGATGTCCGGATTGGGATGGTCCCGGATTGCAGGATCCGGAGGGATTCGCTAGACTAACTCGAATTCGCGTGGTGTCAGGTCACGGGAACATGAACGTAGAGGCGGGTAGAGTAGAGTTGGAAGGTGGACAATATTGAGGATATAGAAAGAATCATTCTTATACTGTTTGATGAATGAGATCTACTCCGGGATTGACCGCATTATGTGACGGCATACATTAGGTACATATATGTAATACCATAATGCGTTGGTTTACGGTAAAAGATCCATGTGAATGAACAGGCAACATACATAGTAACATACATGCACCAGCGTTGGATCAAATCATCGTCAGGTTGGTGATATGATCATTAATTGGGCTGCCTGTTTTGCTGCTAGTTAGAGAACGAAACTGATGGTTAGGTACATTTTTATGTTTTTTTCACCTGCGCCGCCAGAGGCTTTTGCCTATGTGGCTCGATCAAATGCTAGCGTCAGACGGGCTGACGAGACTAAGCCTAGATTTTATTTTATTTTTTAACATATTCAGGCTTATTAGCTAATGTATAATGTTGTCAAAATCGTACAATAGTGTCTGTCTCCTTGGTATCCTAATCGATATTTCAAATAGTCACCTACCTTTAAGGTAAGAAGTAAACATGTGGGAGCTTCATGAAAAAACCATCTTGGAGTGAGTGGTTTACTATAAACCGTGCCTTATTAGTCGATTGAGATCAAATCCTGATAACTTGATTACCTGGTACTACTTTGACGACCAACATAGAAAGACCCCAAAGAAGTAAAAGTGAAGCCTCGAATGAATTCATTCGCATCTTTAGGTAACTAAGGTAAGTTTAACCTAATGTTCTCCTGGGGACCCTTGATAAATTCGAGTCTCGAATGTTGTCTAAGAACCCCTGACGAAACAATCTGAGGCACAGGCGCCGGGGCATATTACGAGCACTGACCAATGAGCCGTTGGACATCCTATTTGTCTTCTCCACATTCCAAACCGAGTCAAAGCTGGATCCCCCTCATAGGTTTTTTTCTCTTTTTTTTTCTTTTCTTCTTTTTCTTCCCATAGTGATTCTCATGTAGGTAACCAACGAAGACCCTCTTCCAAGACCACGAAGCGACCAGCCCAGCTTCGATAATTCTATGTAACTTGGCTGAGGATTGCGCGCGGGCCTTTGTGTATTCTTCTTCTGTCTTGTACATAGTATCGAGGCGTGTCGCCGCGATGGAAGTGGTGCCATAACCCACCTCCCTATTCTGGACCTGGGCGAGGATCTGAACATCAGACAGTCTTAGCCCGGCAGAGCAGAACGGAGTGTACCTATGTCATGGTCTAAGATTATTTGCTGAATACCTTCGCTACCGACAGCCATTGCTTGTTGCATTCGGCTAAGTACCTGATATGTTTTGATAATATCAAACTTTCCTTTCTATTTGCTTGGAGCTATTATTTCTATCACGACCACCGGCATCGCGAAGATGCAAATTACTCGCAACTCGTACCCAAAATTCGCTAGTACGATTCAACCTAGAAACGTGGACGTCGTGAGCCTCATTCGTACTTTAATTGCCTCGAATCCGTTTGTGGTAAGGCTGTAACCGCTTGTCACTCGTCGGCCAGATCGAAGGATCCATCTGTCCTAGAACCCCTGATAAATGTTACGTGTACCTGGCCGCTTATGCTTGGATATACCACCATCGCATGTTACCGATACACAAGTTTCATGCTCTTTTCCCCTTATCGTCTCTCTTTAAAGTGAACCCCCCAGGATCACATCATTCATAATATATTCTCTTCTCCCCCTGCAAATTGTGAGGCCTTGTCGTAGGTACCTAAGCTTTGCAGTGAATTTTTATGTGTCTACTAATCCGTAGATGGAGCTATAACAGAGTTTACGTTAAGCAAATCTCGTTGCGGCGTTGTACCCAGGTATGATCTACGAGAATGGCCTGATGTTTCCTTATTCTTGGCGGTCTCCCATAATATCCACTGCCTTCCCGTCTTCTTGCATGAGATCTTCGGAACCCTTCTCTCTTTCCCCTTCGTTTACACACAAACGCTTTCCCCTCCCTTCCTCCTTTTCGTAGGTGCGCTATTTCGATTCTTGAGTTGGCTGACAGGCAAGCTGCTACAGCAGGCTCTCAGGCCGACATAACCTTCTTTTGGCTGTAATTTTCGTCCGTTACCTTTTACCGAATCTCTCGTTCTATGGCTTCTTGCCCATTCAGCAGGCTCTGAATTAGTATTACCTGTTTTTTCCCCACGTGCCTAGGGACGCGATTCCGACTGTAATAAGAAAGAAAAACTAATAGAGAAGAGGAGGTATTGGTGGTTGTCGGGTTGGTGACTGTGCATTTGGAGATACAAGCGGACTTGGAGGACTGGACATCGTCCGAAAAGCGACTTTACAAGTACGAACGCGAAGTAATTAATTCGTCCGAAGCGCAATTTCGTTCAAGATGCAGTACTACGATATGGGCGAGAAGCCCTCGGAGAGGTCAAGATGGACGCCGTTAACAAGAATGTTGCTGTCGGGAGAGATGACGCAGGAACGGCAAAGAGAGCTGACGATGCGAGAAAAATTCGATAAGTGGATGATCAACGAGGGTTACCGAAGATTGTTCGTGTCAACCGTGAGTTTCTTTCGTGCGATACTTTTTACTAACCATACCCTAGTTTCGTCTTCGTCTTCATGATTCTCCATGCCCTTGTCTTCGCTTTCGGTTTCGTCAACTACGCCGTCAAGGACAATCTGCAAGTAGCGAGAGATACCTTTGGACCGACTTATATGATTGCGAGATCTTCGGCCTTGGTTCTCCACGTGGATGTGGCCATGATTCTGCTGCCGGTCTGCAGGACATTCATCTCGATGGCACGACAGACGCCTCTTAACGGTATTATCCAATTCGATAAGAACATCACGTTCCATATCACTACCGCCTGGTCCATCTTCTTCTTCTCCTGGGTCCACACGATCGCCCATTGGAACAACCTGGCGCAGATCGCTGCCAAGAACAACCTGGGATTCTACGGGTTCTTGGTCGCCAATTTGGTGTCAGGTCCGGGTTGGACAGGTTATATTATGTTAGTAGCGCTCACTGGTATGGTTATGACCTCGTACGAGAAGCCGCGACGAGCAAACTACGAACGTTTCTGGTACACTCACCACATGTTCATCATTTTCTTCTTCTTCTGGTCCTTCCACGGTGCCTTCTGCATGATTCAGCCTGATTTCGCGCCGTTCTGTATCTCGATCGGTACCTCGGCCATCGGTGTCTTCTGGCAGTACTGGATGGTCGGAGGATTTGTCTACCTAGCCGAACGAGTTGCTCGTGAATTGCGTGGCCGCCACAAGACCTATATCTCGAAGGTTATTCAGCACCCGAGTAACGTGTGCGAAATTCAAATCAAGAAGGAAAACACGAAGACCCAGGCTGGACAGTATATCTTCTTCTGCTGCCCTGAAGTCTCCCTATGGCAATACCACCCGTTCACTTTGACAAGTGCTCCCGAGGAGGATTATATTTCTATCCACGTCCGTATGGTGGGCGACTTCACGAAATCGTTAGCTAAGGCTCTCGGATGCGACTTTGACCGCAAAGATAAGGATGCGTCAACGGTTGTAGGTGTCAACGGCCAGGGTAACGAGGTGGATCCCGCCTTGAAGAGAGTCCTACCCCGAGTTTATGTCGATGGGCCGTTTGGTTCGGCTTCAGAAGATGTGTTCAAGTACGAGGTCTCAATGCTCGTCGGCGCTGGTATCGGTGTTACTCCTTTCGCCTCTATCCTCAAGTCGATCTGGTACCGAATGAACTACCCCCAGAAGAAGACCCGTCTCGCCAAGGTGTACTTCTTCTGGATCTGCAGAGATTTCGGTTCTTTCGAATGGTTCCGTTCGCTGCTGATGGCTATCGAGGCTCAGGATGTTGACAACAGGATCGAGATTCACACCTATCTCACCGCTAAGATCAAGGCCGACGATGCTACAAACATTATGATCAACGATGCCAACGCTGACAAGGATACCATTACCGGATTGCGCAGTCCGACGAACTTCGGACGTCCCAACTGGGATATGATCTTCCGAGGTATCAGGAAACTGCATGCGCCGGCCGAGGCGGGTGTGTTCTTCTGTGGACCTAAGGGTCTAGGTAGTTCACTCCACGTCTTCTGTAATAAGTACAGCGAACCTGGGTAAGTGACTATGACATTTCATGATAGTCTCGTTAGATGGTTGACTAACTTTATGTGATAGATTCTCCTTCGTCTGGGGTAAAGAAAATTTCTAAAAAAAAGAAAGTTTGTATATACAAGATTTGGCCGACATTTGTGCCAATACAATCCAAAGCATCACCCTATCACCGGCGCCGGACGCAGATGGCCACTGTATTTACCTAATGTATCGATCGGAGGCAAAATATTCTGGTTTTCCTTCGCTTGGGATAGAGTGCGCGTTCATTGCTGGACTTGGTCACCGTAGACATGTTGGGATGTGGCCAGGACTCCCCCTTAATTAGCTCAACAAGCAAAAACCATACTCTATGAACACCTGGCCGGACCAAACCATGACGAGATAAAAATTAATATATTAGGTACCTAACCTGACCTACCTTAAAAACTCTTGGGGGCTCGGTTGATACCTCTCAGATTCTTGGTTGCCGGCGATGTGCCCTTACGATATACGGAGACGAAATTGGAAACTCGGAGCTTACAAGTAGATGTTGATACCATATATATACCTACCCCTACCCTTGTATCTAGTTTTTACCTAAACTTGCAATATCTTTTTTACAGTTACGAAGTACATTTATACTCTTACTTTACGTCATTTTATTGATTATGATTCCTTAATTGCCGATGCCATTAGTATGTAAATACGTCGTCCTATACTCTACTAACGTTATAGAAACATTTCACAGTATAGTAAGCAGGTTTGGGCAGATAATCCCGGCATCTGGGACCGAACCCCTGAAGAGCCGGGTGGGTCCGACATGATAGAGTAGTAGAGTGGTAGAGTAATAGAGCAGACGCGCTTGCGGTGAAACTCGCGTGGTCTGGATGTCGTTTCGGGCCTGTGGGATTACTTATAAAGGCATACGTAAGCTGTTATTTCTTGCCTTTTCTTATTGTTGCTTGTTGTTTCTATTATTTTTTGGCTTTAGATGGGTTTTTATTAATTGATATCTGCTAAGCTACGACTCTGCGACTTTACCTTTTTGCTTTCTTAATAGTTCGGTGATGAGGCGGATGTGAGTAGATTAGGAGGTAGGTATCCAGGTAGGTAGACTACCTAGAGGTAGTTAATTATTAATATACCAAGCCCGGTACGTAAAACACTAAAATCGTACTATTTCCAAAGATACAAAATCTAAAGACACATCCTATTTGATAGCTTGCTTCATCAAACCTCTTTCGCCCCCCTCTAGCCTCTCCAGACCATCTCTCACTGGAATTTCATAGATGTAGCCTCACATCTTGCTAGACTACCAAGGTAGCTTTCAAGGAAACACGTAATAAAAGCATCTGTAATTCTCAGTACCAAACGCCAAACTTTAATAACCCCCATGCCAAATGCCATGACGCGTACTATGATCCTCCCGACGACGCAAGCCCCACATCCCCCGAACTAGACTTCCCTCGCGGTGGAGCCCGAGCGTCATCGTTCCCCGTTATCCGTACCCTCGGGCGCCCAACGACGCCTTTGGAAAGAGAGGGTAACCCACCATCCAATCAATTACACATTATATACTAATATACTAATATGTACGGAACTTTCTTCCCCCCCTTTTCCTCTTCCTCTTCCTTTTCCCTTTCCTCTCCCTCTTCTTGTTTCTTTTCCCCTTTTCCTCTTCCCCCCCCCCCCCCCCCCCCTTCTTCTAGTAGCACCATTATTAATTTGTTCCTCGTTGTCTGATGAGTTGACTTGTTGACATTCTCGCTATCTATCACTGCTCATGTTGCTGCTCCCGGCGGCTTTGCAGAGCTCGCACCTGTCGGAACGTAACACCCCGCCAAAGAAATCCTGCTTGCTCGTGAGCGGGAGCATGTCGACCGAGGCGCATGGCATGCGGTCGTTTCGACGGATGCGTATTCCGGTAACCTTGCTGCGGCTGTCTTTTGCTCGCAGCGTGGATTTCTCGCAATATAGGAGGGGCAATGGAGGCGTGACATTGACGTCCTCGTGTAGACAGGCCCAGAAAACACGTCTTCGCCAACACATCGGGTGGATGGGTTATACGAGACGAAGACGAGACGTCACGATGATGAAATGCAAGTAGGTAGGTACCGGGTAGGTATGAATGAAGGGTGTAATATAAGATAGTCGTGGTCGTCTATTAGTTGTTTGAGCAATAGAGGGATAAGTGATATGCGATATGCTATAGAAATGGCAGTATCAACGAGATCTCGAACTATTACTCGTAGGGTTGAAGGATTATTGTCGATGCTATAGTTTCTTGACGTTAAGGTGTATTAACTCTGGCGAAGTAATGGAATGTCAATCTTTGCACAATTTTATCTCTCCGAGAAATGGTTTACACGTATTGTCATTCCAGGTGCACTATATATTGTTCGTTATTGCTCGTGCGTTTGATACTTTGCTAGTTCTAGACTTTATTCTGTGGCACTGACCCCTACGTGACGAGTACGTGCTGTTTGGATTTCTTAGCTCGGGTTTGCACGTATTCAAAACCATCTGTCAAGATCATCAGGTATATTATATTATTAGCGTACTCCGTTCATTGCCTACCTCCTACCTAGGTACCTCTGGGCACCCCACTTGATTTTCCCCCGAGAGATATTTGCCACATTTCTCGAGAGGCTGCACTACTCACCTAAGCATTTCTCGCCTTAGATCCTTGGGCGGAGTGATACGGCACCCATCGAGACACCATCTGACTGCCCCCTCAATAACTTTACTATTTCACTGTCGGGCAGCAGCAGCGTCATACCCATACTCCTACATCTCACCGAGCCCGGGACGCTGGTACGCCTGACGAAACTCTTGTTCTTCAAGAAGTTGGCCAAAGCATAGCTCTAAGAGGACTATACCCAGTAGCTCTAATTCTCGGTATATCTATTTGACTTCATTGGTGATGATTGGGGTTTGTTGAAAGTTCTGTTAGTGAGCAGTAGTAATGAGTTCGCATTCGAGATAGGGGTTGTCCAAAATGACGCCGGAGTCCCCGTCACCGACACCGAGAAATGTGATACTCGACTTTTTCCATGTCTTGGGAAGCCATGGCGTGTCATGTTATTGAACGAAGGAAGGCTGCCGTCGGTTAGGGATTAGTGATGACCCTCCACGCAGGATTTGGTCTATAGTCTTACGTTCGAGATTACCTTCTCGGCTTGGTGTTTCCTTATATACCTACCTAACGTAATAAACGCCCTGTACACTCTGAATATAACCATAGCATCTACCATTCCCGTTACTAAGCGAGGCACATATACAGGAAATCAGGCTAGGATATCTGGCATCCTGTTAGATCATACAATAAAATTAAGTACCTAAAGTGATAACATACTGTTGTCTTGCTCTAATTTTGGTTTGTATGATTGGAGTCTCTTGAAACTGCTCGGACGAAGGCGGCTGTTTAACGAAAATCATTTTGAAATCGTTTTTGCAACACTCTTTCCATACCGACGAAATTGCCTTGAAGAACTTATCTGCAGTTACCCAGAACTTATCTATGTCCGACCTACTGGCTAGTAACTGTTCATGGTCCATTTCGGAGTCCAGGCCGTCAAACAATCCTCCTAGCCGAGTATTGAGCTGTTCGAGCTCCTCGAATAGTTCAGTTCGGGAAGCTTTTCTGTTGCAAAAGCTGACTGTGTATATTTGCGAATTGATCCCCACTCCTTAGATAAACGTGGGAATATCGAAACGTTCTCATGATAGTTATTAGCAACGATACTTGGTGGAGGGATCCTATGACAAACCAAGTTTGTAAGATAATCATGTAATAAGGTTGTGTCTGATTTAAGTAACCCCTTGAGGGCTTCCATGGTATCGTGTTACCTTTGAATACGGCGTGCCAGAGGTTCGACTTCAAATAAGTGACTACCTCGATGAATTTCTTCAAGCTATTTCCGAACGTACGTAAATCATGTTTATCCTTGCCAACAAAAACACATACCCCTTTAGTGACAATCAAACTGGATAATCAGCCTGTCTAAGATGAACTGACTTTCGGAAACTTACACCGCGAGATAGATCCCGCTGCTTCTAACAATTCACCGTATGATGATATTCAGACCGTCCTGTAGGTCATGTCTCTATGTATTCCGTCTCTTTTCAGAATGAGCATTCTAATTCAAAAAGGAACAGCCGAGTCCTACCGGGACTTTCAGCATTGGGACGCCAACCAGGCGTTTCTTGACACGGAACGTGCAAAGAAGCACATTGAATTTCCACTGGAGATGTGTAAGGGTAAAGTGTAACTGCGATCGTGGAGTAGTAGTTCATTCATTCAACTATGATACTTCTTGTTTAGAATGTGGGCATGGGAGGTTCGATAGTTGCAAGACCTGGGCGTCGTCCGGAGGGAAGGTGCTTAGGAGGAATTGGACCTAATCGGCGGGCTGGTCCCTGCGGGGGTTGGCGGGGTTAGGAGACATCCCACGCGCGTTGCTCTTTCCGTGTGTGGCCGAACAAATCAAACGCCGTAGTCGTGCCGAAGTTGACCGATATGGCCGTAACAGGTGCCTACCTAAAGTATAAAGTTACATGCTGAAGTAAGGCTATTAGTAACTACCTGAGGTAGGCTAGTAGTAATTCAGAGGTATGTTTGCATAATACCTGTACTACATCCGTACCTTAGGAGGTAGGTATGCATAATAAACGCCATCCGGGTCCTCCGAGTTCTTCTTCTTTTTTTCCCTTGACCGCGGCAGTAACCGTAAACCTCGGGAGACACAATGGGACAAACTGTCGTTTTTCTACTCACTTTTTTTTACTCTTACTCACACCACTTTTACCCCTCCGCCTAGCAATATAACCGCATGCATTGCGCTGAGTACGAAGGGTACGAAGGATACGAAGGCGGGATAAGTATACCCGATGTCTTGAATCTAAGTGGTCTGGCGTTAGTTAAACTGTTACACTCGCCCGTAGATGCTATCATGACATCATCAAATCATTTATAGCGGCCTTTCACTTTTTGTCGGCGTTATCCACTTATACCCATCTTATCCCACCCTATCCCTTACTACCTTATCCCTTACCACCTTGCTCTTTACCACCTGACCCTTTACCACCTTATCCACTAACAGATTCGTAGACTACCTCCTCTTATTGGGTATTCTTACCTGTAAAATACATACCTTGAGTAGGTACCCAAGAGGTATATAAGAGTCTATACACCCTCCATGATTTTTCTACTTTCCTCTTGCTTCAATTCCTTCTCAACAATCCATTCTTTAAATCTCCTTAGCTTTCCGCTATAATACACTTCTCCTCTACCATCTAACCCTTCCACCTCCACCCCCACCCCCTACCAATTAATCATTTCACTTAGACTATAAACATGCCTCAGCCCATTCCTAAGACGGACAGCTTAATCGACCTGTTCAGCCTTAAGGGCAAGGTCATCGTTGTTACCGGCGCCTCTGGTCCTCGAGGAATGGGCATCGAGGCTGCTCGTGGCTGCGCGGAGATGGGTGCCGATGTTGCTATCACCTACTCCTCGCGCAAAGAGGGGGCCGAAAAGAATGTAGAGGAGTTAACTAAAGCCCACGGCGTCAAAGTCAAGGCTTACAAGTGCGACGTGTCTGATTTTACCAGCTGCGAGCAGCTCGTCAAGGACGTCGTCAAGGACTTTGGCCACATCGATGGTTTCATCGCTAACGCCGGCGCCACTGCTGACGGCGGCGTCCTCGACTCTACGAAGGAGGCCTGGGATAAGGTCATCCAGATAGACCTGAACGGCACCGCATACTGCGCCAAGGCTATCGGCCCTCACTTCAAGAAGCAGGGCCACGGCTCGTTCGTCATCACCGCTTCCATGTCCGGCCACGTCGCCAACTTCCCGCAGGAGCAGACGTCGTACAACGTTGCCAAGGCGGGATGCATCCACATGGCGCGCTCCCTGGCCAACGAGTGGCGCGACTTCGCCCGCGTCAACTCCATCTCCCCGGGGTACATCGACACTGGCCTGTCTGACTTCATCGACCAGAAGACCCAGGACCTGTGGTACTCCATGGTCCCCATGGGCCGCCCCGGCCTGGCCAAGGAGCTGAAGGCCGCGTACGTGTACTTGATCAGCGACGCGAGCACGTACACGACCGGCGCCGATATCGTTATCGACGGAGGGTACACGTGCCGGTAAAGGTGGCAAAGTCGTACATATTTGTATATAGATTGATAGATATCTTGAGAGAGCATAGATACGGCGTTCGGGAATGATGGATCCATACTATTTCATACAGCTTTTATAGAAATAGTACCCTTTTAAGTCGGCGAAATCTGTCATGTGTTTTCGTAACGGTATTTATTTCTGTGGACGTCTGGGTATAATAGGCTGCAGCATTGCACTTATAACAGTTGGTCTTATTCAATTGGATTAGGTAGGAAACCTACAGTTTGGAGATGTGATAATGGCATTGGTGGAGCTTCTCCCGTTGGCTCACTCTTATGAGTTCGCCTCTCTGGATCTCCGCAATATGATTGGTACCTAACCTACCTGGCTTCGGGAGAAAATGTATATCACGGAATCCATCGTATGGCTACCTAGTACCTTAGGTTAGGTACGTAGGTCTGGGTAGCTCGATAAATGACCCCTTCTCTTTTAGAAAGCAACGCGGTACTAATCGTCAGGTTGACTTCGACGAACCAAAGCGATGCTCCCGAGTGGCATATACTATTGTAGCCTCCGAAATGGTGGAATTGGTGTGAAATTCGAACCGGACGCTGATAGTCCATCTTATCCCTAAACTCTTCGCATCGCATTCCATAGGACAATTTGTAGGTATCCCCGATAATTGTCACACAGTCAAGTTACCACCTCATCTCGGTGCTTACCCGCTGGGTGTTCAGAATCCACAATTGCCAACAAGCTCCCTCCACGATGGTAGCTAAAGGTTGCGTGCTTGTTTCCGCTCATATACCAATAGAAGCCATGAAAATTGATTTTTTTTTTTGAAGTTGCGAAGACCTTCCCCCCCCCTTTTTTTGGGGGGGGATCTGTCTGAGGAGCCTAGTACCATTTGTCGACGACTTTGACGTCGTTCAAAGCGTTGATGAGATAGATCGGTCACATGGCATCGCTACCGGCTAGCGACGCATCGATACACCTGTTCATTCTTCGCCTCGACGAGCCCTGAATCGATATATTCTTCGAATACGCGACTCGAACGCGTTGAGAAACACGGCAGGTCCGCTTCGTCCCCCCGTACTCTCTCTGATCTCGAATATGAACTGGTGCGCGCACGATATTTTCTTGCCGGACTTGATTCCGTGATTCTCAGGCGATAAACGCCTGGTTTAAGTACCTACCCCAACGGGGTCCAAGCTTGAGTTTTGTCAGACGGCATCTTAATCGCGCCACGGTGCCAGCCCTACGAGGGGAGAGTCTTGCGGACTTAGCAGATATTTAAATTACCTACAGGGCGTTATCGCCGAGAAATTCGGCGATTGGGATAACCCCTGATAGAATAGTTCCTTCTGGCCCCTCCTCATCTTGCATCTGGCGAGACGTGCTCTAGACTCGTGAAAGCTTCTCGAGGGACGCTGTAGTTACTAGTACATAGTATTATCTAACAGTTGCTAGATTAGTTTAGCCAAGAAACTGTATCTGATCTTACCCGTACATCGTTTGCTACCTCCACTTATAAGGTACATAATAGTATTTGTTTTTGGGTCTCGGTGAAAGATATTGAGCTCTAGCTTCAGCATAGCACAACCAACCCCCACTCCTGACGTTTATCTTATCCGACCCTGGCCTCGACGCCCTGGTCTCCAGGTCCCATGTCCTCTTGGCGGAGATACATACGCTTTGCTCAAGGGTCTAACTAGGTACCTAAATCATCCTATCGGCTCGACCCGCTGGCCCGGACCACCACTTATGTCATAATCTACGAAGCCAACGTACCTATCTCGTCGTTCATTATCAATTGGATTTGATGAGTGATGCGTAGAAGTTGAGGAAAGAATTGACAGGAATAACGGCTTGATGTTCGTCAAACCAGAACCCCGGGTCTACGCGAGAGTTGAGGCCTTTGAATGGAACGCTCATTTCTAACATCACCCTTCCCCGACACCATGTGCAGCTGAGCTCGGGTTTGCTTACGTGCTTAATAATTTCGGATCGTCAGTTATCAGCAGGCTGGGATGTCTGGAGGTGCAGCTCAGCTGCTGGGCTGCTGGAGAATCTGCAAAAGTGATAGGGCCGAATCCAGGTTATCTATCTCGTTCGTTTCGTTTTTAAATATATAGCACGTATCTCACGTTGTTTCCTTTCGCGTTCTTCTGCTTCCATGATTCTTGTTTGCCTTAGGTACCTACGGTAGGTAGCTTTGTGGACTCGCCGTCGAATACTCACAAGTCAATGGCATGAGATAACGAAGGGATCTCGCTTATCTCTAGCTCAGGCGCGGTGGGTAAGACAAGATTCGACGTAAAACAACACTAACTCTCTCCATCTCTAGTTCGCAAGAAGCGATTCAGGGTGGAGCTTGAGCTTGGTCGGGTTTTTTTTCTTTTTTGGTATTAAAAATCATCTCGCCACATTTCGATCCGATATAGCTCCCCCTTCGAAGACTCACATCAATTTATCCGGCTTCTTTTCGGAACCGGACCGGCTTTGGTGTATTGTTACCCAAGCCATTTAAATTAAACTTGCGATCTTATTGAAACCCTCACTTCTTTGTCATCGCCCGATGGAAAACGACACTCCGAAGATGTCCAACTCGAATGTTAAGGTCCAGGACGGTCTGGCCGAAACCGCGATGGATCCGTCGTTCGGCGTAAATGAGAAGAAGCTCTTGCGCAAGCTTGATTTACACATTATACCTTTAGTTATGCTTCTTTGTGAGTAATAGAATGCCTTTATTGAAAAAAAAATGAAAAAAAAATACAACTTATTCTTAAAAGTTACAAATTATTATAAGTTGTCTTTGTGAAATTAGTAATAGCTAATGTGAGATTGTATAGACACGTTCAGCTTCTTAGACCGGTATTCGCTCCGCCAATCATTTACTTAGCTTGCGAATTGGCTTCTAACTGGCTGCAGTGTGAATATCGGCAACGCACGCCTTTACAAGATGGAGTCAGACCTTGGGTTGGTAGGGAACCAGTTCCAGGTCGCTGTCTCTATCTTCTTCGTCACATGTTAGTCATTCTTCTCCAAGCAACGGTTATGGTGTTCATTTCTGACTTGTCGAAACACATAGACCTTCTTTTTGAGGTGCCCTCAAATTTGGTGCTCAAACCCCTGACACCTTCTCGATATATCGCCTTCATTGCTTTCGGTTGGGGGGTTGTCGCAATGTGTACGGGTTTTGTTCACAGCTATGGCGCACTCATCGCTATACGTGTGATTCTCGGTGTTGTTGAGGCTGGACTCTTCCCGGGACTGAACGTTTATTTGACATTCTTCTATACGAAGCAGGAGCTTGCTCTTCGCGTCGGCTACCTCTTCGTCAGCGCCGCTATCGCCGGTGCTCTGGGCGGTCTGCTGGCTTACGGTATCGGCCACATGGAAGGAATTGCTGGGTACAACGGCTGGAGGTGGATCTTCATCATCGAGGGACTGCCAAGTATCGTGCTAGGAGTTGTTGCCCTCTTTCTCCTCCCCAACGATATCGATCACGCGTACTTTTTGAGTTCCGAGGAGAAGAAACTTGCCAACGAGCGTCACTTCCGCCACTACGGGTTCACCGAGAGCGCGGCGAAGTTCAGCAAGGACGACATGTTGGCTGCGTTCAAGGACTGGAAGGTTTGGATGTTTTGTGTCGCCCAGTTCGGTGTAGACACTTTATTATATGGTGAGCCTTTTGGTCTTGGGATGTTTAATTAGAATATGCTAACACATGCCATTCAGGATACTCTACATTCTTACCGACGATTATTCGTGGGTTAGGACAGTGGTCGACTGCGGAAATCCAGTTGCTCACTATTCCATGTTACTTCGTTGGCGCTGTGACTTACATGGGAATCGCATTCCTCTCGGATCGAATGCAGATGCGCGGCCTCTTCACTGTGGCTTTTGGTGTGATCAGCATCGTTGGATACGGCGTGCTCCTTTCGGACTCGTCAGCCGGCGTTCACTATTTTGGGTATGGCTTGTTATCGATTTAGTACTGGAGGTAAAGCTAATGATCTTTAAGTTGCTTTTTAGTAGCTACCGGGCTTTACGTCACCGTTGGCTTACCGCTGGCTTGGGTTAGTCTTCCATATCGATTCGAATCATAGTTTCGTCTTTCTAACAAGTTGAATTTAGCTACCGAGTAATACTCCCCGGTACGGCAAACGAACAACAGCCAACGGTATGCAACTTACTTGTGGTAATGCCGCGGGTATCATGTCATCATTTATATAGTAAGTCTACCTATTACCCTAAAGCATATCGGCGTTACTCAATAGGTATCTAACCTAATAATCCTTTTAGTCCTAGCGCCGATGGACCGCGTTATATCGTAGGCAACGCCGTATCTTTGTCTCTGGTCGGCATGGCTGCATGTCTTTACAGCATTTTGTGGTTTTGGTTTGCGAGAGAAAATAAGAAGCGTGAGGAGGGACCCTTGAAGCCGGAGCACGAGAACTTGTCAGAAGATGAGCTGGCGGAGCTTGGAGATGAGAGTCCGAGATATAAGTATACTATTTGAGATGTCTTAATTTAAATATATAGTTTGGTTTACTTGTCTTGAAATGAGATATTTTTCATAGGTGGCTTGCCTGTAGCTCAATCTTTGACCTTTGAATGTTCATTGGTAAGGATGGTTTCTTGGGGATAGCTTATTTTCTAAATAGGATAGGTTAATCTTCCAGTTGACTTCATTTCATTAAATCTTCGACCATTTTCATAGAGTTATGAAGTGATTTATACAAAGTTTAGTCACCAAATTTGGGCGTGAAGAAGGTAAACGCCGGCTTATCGCTTATCATATACCCACTTTTCGCGTTGGGAAGGCGCGTCAACCTTCAGTTAATTGAATTTTAGGGCGCGTCGGTTTCGCATTTCTCGTGACATCACCCACTATAATCTTCTAATCTTCTTACCACTTTTTTTATTTAACTTTACAACTTCATCCACTTCCACCCATGAAAAATTACCTAGCGATATACCCTTATTTCTTAATTCTCAGTTCTTTCTCACTACTGGTTCTCTAGGGTTCGCTTTCGAAAAACTTTAATCATGGGTATTAAAGGCCTGTTCCCCATCATTAAAGATGAGGCTCCTGCCGCCATCAAAGAGGGTGACATCAAAAGTCAGTTCGGTCGCAAAGTTGCTATAGTAAGTTTTTCATGAGATACCAATCATCTACTTAATCGCAGACTAACTTTAAGACTATAGGATGCGTACGTGCAGTGCACCCTTATTTCCATTCGAAACAGACAGCAGAAACTAATTCACATATAGTTCTATGAGTATCTACAGCTTCCTGATCGCCGTCCGCTCCGATGGTCAGCAACTGATGAACGAATCTGGCGATACCACTTCCCATCTCATGGGCATGTTCTATCGCACTTTACGAATGGTCGATAACGGTATCAAACCTCTCTACGTGTTCGACGGTGCACCTCCGAAACTAAAGTCCGGTGAACTTGCTCGCCGTTTCCAGCGCAAGGCCGAAGCCAAGGAGGGACTCGAAGAGGCTAAAGAAACTGGTACGGCCGAAGATGTCGAAAAGTTCTCCCGCCGAACCGTCCGAGTCACCAAGGAGCACAACGCCGAGTGCCAGCAGCTGCTGAAGTTGATGGGTATACCCTATATTATTGCGCCAACCGAAGCTGAAGCACAGTGCGCCGCTCTCGCCAGAGCTGGAAAGGTGTACGCCACAGCCAGTGAAGATATGGACACGCTATGTTTCGACAGCCCAGTCTTACTACGCCATTTGACCTTTAGTGAGCAGAGAAAGGAGCCGATTCAGGAAATCCATGTCGATAAGGTCCTCGAGGGGTTAAATATGGATCGCAAACAAGTTAGTCAAATGTTACTTAAACATTATTCTACATGCCCCGGCAAATGCTAATTAGAATAGTTCGTCGATCTCTGCATTTTACTTGGATGTGATTACGTCGATCCCATCCCCAAAGTAGGGCCTAGCACTGCTTTAAAGCTGATACGTCAATATGGCACACTCGAGAAGGTGGTTGAATACATCAAGAGCGATTCCAAGTACACATTGCCTGAAGATTGGCCCTTTGAAGACGCACGAGCGTTGTTCTTCGAGCCAGATGTTCGCCAGGCAGATGATCCACTTTGCGACTTTAAATGGGAGAAGCCGGATATTGAAGGATTGGTCAAGTTCTTGGTGACTGACAAAGGTTTCAACGAGGACAGAGTCCGCGCCGGTGGTGCAAGGCTGGAAAAGGCCACCAAGAGTTCGCAACAGGCTCGGTTAGAAGGCTTCTTCAAGGTGATCCCCAAAACAGATGAGGAAAAGGCCGCGCATAAGCGAAAGCTCGAGGAACAGAACGAAGCGAAAAAGAAGAAGCTCAAGGAGGATAAGAAAGAGAAGGCTAAGGCCAAGGCGAAGCCCCGTGGTGCCGTGTAGTGATCTTGACACATTTGAAATACGATTGACGCACTTTGTTTGGGACCAACTCAACCCGCGAATATGCGTTTTATCATATGGACGGAGACTCTGCTTAAGACTGGCGTTATGGGCTGTGAAGGATCTGATTGAAACCCGGAGTTTACGGTAATGGATGGGCAAGTTGATACCAAAAGGTATGAAAATACTGGTGCTTCTGGAAATGGCTCATGAGGAATATCCTTAGCTACTAGCATCTTTTTGAAGCTAGATGAATGTATCAATGCTATCAATTGACACTATTGTCTTTACAATTGTCGAAATAATCTATTTCGGAAGAGAATTTGTACCTAAGTGCAACGTGGATAGATGTGGATTCCCCTCGGACCCGGAAGAGAAAAGTGGCGCCCCGCGTCCGGGACGGAATTGTAATGCCGATTTTGTGCAATTAATCGGAGGAACATAATCTGTAGATCGATCTTGCGACCCAGTCTTTTCAGGGGTTTAGGTTGAGTCCATCACCGACCAATAACGCATGCAGTAATTAGATGAGTTCATCGATTATATGCCGATTTACTGAGACACGCCCAAAAAAATGAGAACATCTAACTCGACTTACCTCACTTATTTGGAATGATTAAAATACTTTGACTTGATAGACGTATAATACACATAGTTTAGCATTTAGAGATTTCAAGCGCACGATTGCGGTACCGCATAAAGAGAATACATGAGAATGGCAGATAAAGAAGAAAAGACAATAGTATTCGTTGAATAAATTCGAAATGTGTTACATAAACCCTTAGGTACCTAGGTACCTAGGTAGGTAGAAGGTACTTAAACCCTCTACTCCAAGAACTTGAGGTAAATACGCGTATTACTTACTTTGACTTATAGGATATAACACCAATAGCAAGGTGCCTTACCCCTAATTGAACTTATTACCTCTATGTAAACTATTGGCTGCAAAAGGTTGGTCTGTGGCTTGATGCAAACAGTAGAGCTAGCAGCGTTTGGACCCACCTGATTGGCTAGCTCTCTCGTTTTTTGTACCTCTTCTTCCTCTCTTTCAAGTCTTCGTCACACGCATTCTCAATTCCTTTGAAAGCGGCAAGATACCTGAGATAGCTCCATTCCAGTGAGCCACTCTAAGCCTAGCTGCCTTGACTCAGTTTCTTAATTCTCATAATTTTTGATCTACTTCACACGTTGTGCTTATTTTCATAAGTTGAACCCGCAGCTCTTGCCAAGAATTACTTATTCTAAGCTCTTGAGGTTTAACGTTGCTTGCCCAACAGCAAACATATAGCAGATATCTTATAGAATACCTAAACTTATCTCATATCATATATGAGCCCTCTTTTATTAGGCCTATGAAGTGTTTGCTTGGTATCTATGTACAGCGGTTACTAGGATCCTTTGGTTATTATTCTTTCTCTATATTTCACCACAATTCCATACAACCGCCCCCCGCTTTGCTTTTCCACCTTTAATACTTTTGTTCTCTCTTTCTCTCTTTATCATAATTCCATCCGCATTAGCATCCAGTATAATAACATTGTAGATGGGTCTCTTTCGAGTTTCAATCTCACTCGTTATGCTTTTACGGTACGTCGATAAATTTGTAGGAGGTAGACTATATGGTTGGGATAAGAATGGATATAGACCAGGAAGATATTCTCACTTATCAGCGTCTCCCGGTTGCTGAAAAGACCGTTGGTTGCGTGCCAACACCCGACTTATACTTTGACCAAACATTATCCGAGTCTGAAGCTTCACATTCGCACCATGAAATTATCGCAAGCATCGAGGAGAATGAGCTATATAGCTTAGAGGACGACGCATATAAAACACGCGATCATGCATACAGACCAAGTAGGACCGATAAAAATTATCCGTACGAACGATCGAGGACTAGTAGCACAAGTTCGGATACTTCCTGGAGCAGACCAGAGACACGTCCTTACGAAGGCCGTGAGATAGCTCCAGATTTGCCCATTGAAAACGCACCGCGGGAGAGACCTATTATTGTAGAAATCCCCCAATCTACTCTGACTCAACCTAAATCTATTTTCAGAGGTGCTACGCCGTCTTCCACGGAAATTAATGAAGTGGATGCTCTCTCAACCTTACTTGAAACATCAAAAATCAACGAATCTTTAGAATACATGGAATTTGATCTTCAAGACTTCTCTATATACCTCGACTCCGAACTCTACCCTTGCGAACTAAGGCCTTTACAACATCTCGCTACCCGGCAATCTTCCGATGTTTTCTATTTTGACGGTACCCTCGTTTATGATGAACAGAACTTTTTTCTTAAGAAGATACCCTTTCGGGAGCTCCCTATTGGAAATTATGCTAGCGAGGAACACACTGTTGGCGATCAGATCTGGATACGCTCGCGATTAAATGAGCAGCGGGGCCACGAAATTTATTATAAACTGAAGACCCCTTCAACAGAGTACATAAGATTTTATGAAGCGTTCCGCTGGATTGCCGACTTTACCAAGCATGTGCTCGATTATTGCGACTACTTAAAGGAGGTTGGCCGCAAGGCGGTTCTTTATGATTTCAAATCGGAGTTTAGTACATGGATCCTGCAGAAACATACGAAATCGGCTGCATTTAAACGATGGCACCTTGCCCACGGGAATAACGACTTTCGAGGGGCTCTCATTGCCAACATTGACTTTATCTGGAAAGAAGCTCACGGGTTGGATGATACAATTGTTTCATGGCATACATTTTGGTCGGAGATTAAAACATTCAACCGATATAAGCCTAATCTCGAGATAAACACGGCAACATCCGACCAAGACAGTGACGTAGATAGGGGACGTAGGAAGCGTTCGAAGTTACGAAGAAATGCCACAGTTGTGCCGACAATTGTGACGCCTTACGTTCACGATCTGTTCTCCCATATGATATTTGGAAATATTCTCAAACCAGTAACCCCATCGGCTTCAGTAGAGAGAAAACGAGTAGATTTCATCCGAACTAGTCGTCCAACTGAGAAGACCAGTCCACGGGCGATCAAGAGGGACGCCTATGATAGTGAATCATTCATCAATTCAATTAAGGAGGGAGATGTCATATCTACAAGGCCAGATGACGATAACACTGATACAGAGTGGAAACAGCAAAAGTCAAAGCATTACGAAGGAGAACACTTATGGTTTGGTCTCGTACAGAAGATTCATCGATTGCCCAGAGGGAGGTATTCCTTCGACGTTATATGGCTCTATCAACCGATCGATACGCCCTGTGGTATCATGAAATATCCCTGGAGTAACGAGCTCTTCTTATCTAACAATTGCACCTGCCATCACGGAACTGCGCGGGTAAAATCAGATCAGATCCTCTCGACGCATGAGGTAGAGTGGTTTGGGAACCCTTCCACCTCAGCAGAGTTCTTCGTTCGCCAAACCTATCTATCTGATGATTGTAAATGGACTACTTTACAAAAGGAACACCTTACGTGTGAAGAGGACAGGTTTCACGAGAAGGCATCTTACAATATTGGAGACACAGTTCTCGTTGAAACCAATCCGAAAGCACTACAGTTGGAGACCTTTATTGTGGAATCATTAGTTGATGAAGGAAAGAGACGCCACGTTAAGTTGAGAAAGCTCCTGCGGAGAAAGGAGGTCGATAAATACGCGTCTAATTCACCTCCTAACGAAGTGGTTTATACAGATCAAATTGTTGAGATTTCTTCGCACAAGATATTTCGGCACTGCTTGGTTAGAGCGTTTCCACCCGAAGAAACTGTATCTAGCCCTTACGATTTGAATGGTACCGGCGACCTATTCTTTATGACACATCAGGAGATTGAGACTGGAGAAGGCCAGTTGGCTTACATCCCCCTGAACATGGAATTAGTGCAAAGATTACGGCTAGGATTCGACCCCTCTCAGAACTATCGGTCACAGAAACTACAAGGTCTTGATCTGTTCTGCGGCGGCGGAAATCTTGGACGAGGTCTGGAAGATGGTGGTGGCATTGAGATGCTCTGGGTTAACGACATCTGTAGTGAGGCTATTCACACGTATATGGCTAACTGCGAGCCAGACACACCCATAACCCCCTTTTTGGGTTCAGTTGATGACCTGCTGCTTCGGGCCATGTGGGGGACCGACATCAAAGTGCCTCGACCTGGCGATGTCCAATTCATCTCCGCCGGCTCACCTTGTCCGGGGTTTTCCTTGTTAACTCCTGATCGGACCACAAATGACCAACGGAAGAACCAGTCGCTTATTGCTTCGTTTGCAGCTTATGTCGACCTGTACCGACCTTACTACGGAATACTCGAGAATGTGCAGCAAATAGTAAACACGAAGAACCTCCGCGACACATGCGTTTTCTCTCAGTTAGTGTGCGCGCTTGTCGGTCTAGGCTACCAGGTCCAGGTTATGTTTCTAGACGCGTGGTCATTTGGTGCGCCACAGACTCGTAGCCGAGTATTCCTCGTCTTTAGCGCTCCGGGCTTCCGGATGCCCAAGGCCCCAGTGCCATCGCATTCTCACCCACCTGGCACCCAGTTGACGAAGCTTGGCGAGATGTCTTGCGGGCGCCCTTTTGACAGTAGGCAACTCCTATCAACTCCCTTTAGATACGTGACCGCGCAGGAGTCTATAGGGGATTTACCCGACATCCAAGACGGCAAACCGGATTTCTGCGTCGGCTTCCCTGACCATCGACTAGCTAAAGGATTCACACCCCCGATAAGAAAGCAATTATCCGCTATCCCCATCCACCCCTGGGGCATGAGCTTTAGTAAACTTTGGCACGGCCGACCGGGACTGCCTCCTGTGATGGGCGAGTTAGATCGGTATCATCTGTTCCCCCCCGAAACTGCCGAGAGAACCATGAAGCCGTCTAAAGGCTGGGGTCGCATCCACCCACACAGCTTGCTTGGTACCGTCGCCACGAGGTGCTCCCCGACGGACGCCCGCATGGGAACGATCAACCACTGGCAGCAGAACCGCCCGCTGACCGTCCTGGAGATCAGGCGTGCGCAGGGCTTTCGCGACGAGGAACTGATCCTTGGCACGCCGGCTGCGCAATGGCGCATCATCGGCAACAGCGTTTCCCGGCAGGTATCCGTGGCTCTCGGCCTGGCCGTTCGGGAGGCGTGGTACGGAACCCTCTTCGACGAACCGCATTTGCCGCAGACTGGACTGGCCGCTTCGGTTCCGGATGCGTTGGCATCTATACCTACACTTGAGGAAACGACAGCCCCTGACTTATCGGTCACAACACTTGACAGCTTAGCAGAAACCAGGGGAGCCATTACACGCTCTCCGAGCACCAGTATGGCTTTCGAAGGCTTGTTCGTGACGCCGACCTCTCCTCGGAATTCCCCCTCGCCCACCGCCACCCCTATCACGACCGACTCGGTGGTGGACTTCTCTGATGGCGAGGGGGTAAGTCGGAAGAGAGTGTCGCTGTACGTCGAGACGCTGACTAGGAGGCGGAAGCTCAGCTCGGGGTATGAGGAGATCACTGAGAAGTCTATTGCCATTGAGCGTTCGGAATAACTCGATTTAAAGATGCTGTTCTGCGGTTTGCCTACTCGCATATATGAGTGCATTTGTCGGTATTAATATAAGAGGCGTCACTAGGAAAGATCGGGACGGAAATTTAGTCACATATACCTGATTCAATCTCAAAAACTTCGGTCGTGGATATACTACTTAAACGGTTCAAAATAGAATGAGGTTGGATCCAATCCACAATTCGCTGGTCTTGAATAGAGTCCCTTTTTGCATTTATCAATGAAGCTCGACGGTCCGAGTCAAGAATGACAAAGGGGAATAGGCTCATATTTAATATTATAGGTAGACGTGTACCTAGTGATTAAATAATATTGTAAGAAAATGTCCAAATCTGTAAGTAGTACATGGAGGTGTTTAGCCATCTGAGTAGCTGACTATCTGACCAAGTCTGGTGCGTTTCCGATAAGATGTTATGGTTATAATAGCATTGGCCGACATTGGTAGTTTTAGGCATTACTCCCCCGGTAACAATGAACTAGGAAGTAGTGGCGCTGTTAATGGTAAGGCAGAGGGTATTAGGGCTCATATGGCGGCGGTGCGTGGTCTTTCGGAACCGGTGGTTCGAGTCCACGGCGCTGCAAATTCCACAGAAACCAGTTCTTGATGCTATTCATGGTAGGATCGTAGTCGCCGCCGGGCCTGGTCGTGTAAATATAATCTGAAAGCTGGGGTAACTGGAAGAGCACAGGCCATAATACCCTGTAACGATACGCTGATCCGTGATGGAAGAAGAAATGCAGATGGTTGATGTATTGCAGCTGCGAACTCCTGTCCAGCGCCAGGAAATGCGCATGTCGGCTCAGACACCGACTTAGCTCCTGTCGTATGTCTCCCACCGGCTCATTACACTCTATCATACCGCGCAGCTGGTCTCGCTGCGCGGACTTGCTCTTCTCGGCGAAGCGTGGGAACTGGATAAGCAAGCCATAGAGGTACTCCTCGGCGATAGTTGTGGGTACTGGAGTAGAAGCCATCTTATTCTCGTGGATGGTATGTACCTAATGTATGGATTGAGACGCTGCTGCAGTCGACGTCAGGTCGGTTGGTTGATACCTGAGAGTTTCGTCCGATGAGGCTGTGGGAAACAGGATGTAGATTAGAGAGCGGCAAACAACGATCTTCAGAAAGTCTTTAACGCTTTATAAATACATCTTAGGCAGGGTTTTAGAAGCTGGAATTGTTTCTTAATCCTTGTGCTACGCGATTTATTCAATGTTAACTTTGAATCAGTGTAGTCGAAAGGCGCCTACTGGATTATCATCATACAAATCTTCAGTGACTGGCGACAGAGTACCTATCGTAGTAAATCTGTGCGTCTATAAGAGCGTAATCATCCAGCTAGGCAGTGACTTACGTATAATCCAAGACCTAATGAGCTTGGCCTTCTCGGAGATCCAAGAAAGAATTTCAATTAGAATATATACGTAAAAGAAACCAAATATTGATTTAAACCACAGGCTGCTATAATTCATCCAGCCTACTGCGGAGTGAATTACATCCCTTCTAATACTGGGATATGACATCAAAATCGGGCTTAACTCGCAGGCTATAGGTATTAAGTCACGAACTACTTGGAAACAATGAGAATGCTATATAGGCTTCAAGGAAGATGGTACAATAATCCCTTAAAAGAAAAAAGGCAACGTTTTATTCACGAAGTACCTAACCAGACCCTGGCATGTACACAGAAGGTAAGCATCCTCTTTAGTTGAATAACTCATTGTAGATTAAGTTATCCCTTCATAACTATGACCCCTGGCGGGTCACCACCATGACCATAGTCTCATAGTAGCTCCTTATTAAGAAGATAGAAAGCCAAGTGTTACTAGATAATGCATGTACGACCCTGACGCTCACTCCGTATAGGCATGACATCTATCAAGGGCATGAAACTATACCTAAAATTTACATAAGGTAAATATCGTATTGTTGTTAAAAGTATATAAATGGGGAAGACCAGATACGCTAAAGGTACCAGAACGGTGCCTAGCGTGGGACTCAATTGTCCAGCACTTCAGGCTCAAAGAGGATGAATAATCTTACATGCTTCCATTACCAATACTCTCGGCTTCTATGATTGCCTTCCCTCTCGCTCCGGTGACTCCTGTCGTAGTGACTTTCCAAATAGCGGCTATCTTCCATCTATTGCTATATCAAGTGCCAATATTCACGGTTCTACAAGGGTAGGAGCTCCTACGATGGCAGTGGTAACTGACCATATTGTTGGTATTCACGCATGTGTTCCCGTACACTTTGGTCCCCAGCATTCCCAGGTTCCAGGTTAATTTCTGTATTGTCACGATGATTCTGACGCCACTCGAACCAGTTACCATGTTTTCTCTGTTTGTACAAGCCTGAACGGACCGTGCGGATATACTGAGCGACGAAGGGCGCCAGAAACAACCCCTGCCGAAAATGATGACCCTGACGACTCCTGGCATGGTCGCAAAGCTGCTCAACGTAGTGGAGCTGTTCATCCTGATTCATCGTCAGGAAAAGTTGGTGAGCTTCAAGGACTCGTTCTCTCCTTTCTTTTAGTTTATCCCCTGTCATTATGTGGTCTAACGTTGCTAAATGCGCTTGCAGGTGCCAAAGCTGCTGATTTTTATCTACCTGGCTGAACGCTCTTAAGTCTGCGAGCAACTGGTCAAGCTCTGCTCGATATGCGAGTATAGAAGGCCTTGCTAAGCGACGTGTCGCCATTATTGAGAAAAGTCTAGGGTGATTTTCCGGTTCTTATTGTGTAAGGAGGTGGCGAATACGAAAAACCTGCTATGCCGTAGCCTGTAAGTGGTATCGGAATTATAATTGGGGATGGGTGTTGAGATTGGGATTGGAAGACGAGGAAACCAATGCTTTATATACGAGTTTTAGCCTAAGGAGTTGTATTGACCACTTTAGTAGAGCAAGCTGTCACCCACTCATTGTTCCAGTCGAAACCAGTAATCACGATATGATACGGAACTGAATAATAGACCATGAGCAGATTGCTATTGTGCTAATATTATTTGAGCGTTCATTAGTAGTTACTCACTTTAAATCTCCCCCTAGGTACTTGCGCTAACAGTATTATACCTACAGCTCAGAACCTTGCCGATGTGATTTTCTCTAGCGATAAAAGTTCCATCCTATACCATTCAATAACACGTGCTGATATATATCCTCTGTCATCAAGAGTGCTCCTATACAGCATGAAATGTGCTATTGCAGGAGCTGATATGTCACACATCGATCACGTGTGTCATACGTACCTTACCTAAGGTAAAGTGTGATTCACTTATACATCAGGTGCAATCATTCGTACAAGTCTAGATATTCCTGCTATGGCCAGTATTGGACTTATACGTGTAGATTAAGGGATACATCTGGATACCTGCCTCTAACATATTCAGTCATATTTTTTAGGGAAGTGTCTCGTCATCTCTCAATTTAGACGGTGGAGAAGTTCTTCTGCAAGCCACCGCTCCAAGTGCTCGGCTGCTTTTGTGTATCAGATGTGCATAACTGTCCCTAACATTCGATTGGTCACAAAAGTCTATTAGCGCCTCGAATGCGAACCGTATGTGGAGCTTTCTATAACGCCTCGTCCCACTTCCCCAACTGTCTGGTTAGCTTTCTCCAATCTGGGGCCCCGCTCCCCTGCATAGGTAATGCCCCACATGCCCCACACCAAGCTCCCGATCCGGGCTACCGCCGCACTAACACGCCCGAGACTAAGGTTCGCGAGCTAGGACTGCCAGCTTTTAGCTGGGGTCTTGCATTATGAACCTTCAGATTGGGAAGCTGTTCAAGTAGTTGTCCTAAGAACAGCGTGCGCTCCCGCATTTATGAGATGATAGATTAAAAATTTAGTTATTATAGTTGGAAAATATACCAGCCAGTTATAGTGTTCCTTCGGAGAGCGCGTCACCTTTTTCAAGCTATTCTTCTGTCTGCCTACCTGGTACCACCTAGGTATGTCCTTGTGTAGCCCTTTTCTACTATTCTTATCATGCCCCCCCCCCACCCCTCCCCCCAACACACACACACACACACACACACACATAAAAAAAAGATTGTGACACTCTCAACGCTATTGCCCCAAATAGCTCTTACTAAAATTGCAATATATAAAGATAAGTTACAGAAAAAAAGAAGAAAATATATAGAACTTGGGGTTCATAATAATTATTTATTTACTTTATTACTATTGAACCGTAATGGCGCTTGTATATGTTGGTAGTAATTACGCCGCCAGCTTTTTTGACGACTTTCTCGAACCAGCGTTCTGGAACCAGTGGGGAGAAGGACTTTATGGGTCACGGGCTGGATCTGATTGGTGATGACCATGACTTGTAAACCTCCTGCAGGATTCCAAACACGGGTCAGTGACCGAATGTAGCTGACAAAAATCGGCTGCCACTTCCCGCTGGTACAATACCGTGATTTAGTTTTATGGAATGGTGTAAGCGCTACTGCAATTGGACCCATGTATAATAATGTTGAGCCTCAACTTTATCTTGGAACCAATCGAAAGGTTACAAAGGTGTGTCTGCGCCTGTAAGAGGTAGGCTATGACCTATCGTATCGCATCGCTTCCGCCGTAGATCTTTTTATTAGAATATGCCTACTTCCTACGCCTGTGGGAAATGGTCTAACTCAACCTAGAATATGCTACAAGCATCTACTAATACTTGAAAAAGCTACTTGAAAATATTTCTTGTAGAATATTTCTACTTTGCTTTATTGAGTTAGCCGTTAGAAATTTTATCCTGGGTAATCCATACCTTTTCAAAGTATTTATTATCTAGGAACACCGCATGTGCTGGTTGACTTCTTATTCGCTGATCTCAAATCTCGCAGCAATATGATCACTATATCAGCCGTGACGCCATGCTCAGGTGGAATATAAGTTGCCTAGGAGCTCCCATCTCCTTATTCCCCCTTTTCATATTAGCTATCCCTGGTCAACATTTTCATATATAGTGTACTTGAAGTGAAAGGCCCGTCGGCAAGAAACCAAGACCTATATTATACCCAGTCCAACCCCATCCAAGTATCTTTGAGTTCACGCAAGCTTTCTAGTGTCAGCACTGTCAAGCAATATAGCGAACGGCCAAGTAAATAGAGCAACTCGGGGACCGGCCGGGTAAGTGCTGCCGCACCCCTGAGACTATTTCTTTGTTATTAAGGAAGAATTCCCTATACTGTGTCATGAGTCTGACGCTACCCAAGGTCGACTGATGTGCCAGTCAATATCTCCTTGGTCTCGCTGTCCTCGCAGATCAATGCATCGAACCAGAGAGACCACTCGGGCGTTATCTCTGCGGTAGACAATGCTTTCGCCAGACAAGGGCAAGCCATCGAGCAACCACAAACGGGAGCTCCTGTTAACAACACCCGAGGAAGGCCGTCTTCCATCGACAACATGCTCCGAGGCACGGGAGCTCAGTTTGATGACTCCCAGACGACATGGCCGGCGCAGAAGTAGAGGCTATCCTGCTGATAGCCACACGTACTTCTGGAACACCCTTCCATCGACGCTATACTTGCTACCTATGTCCTCAGGTATGAGGGATATTAGTTGTTAGGAGTCTCACTTGAGACTCCTTGGAACAAAGGAGTTATTTTGTATATAGCTTTGGCTTCAAAGCAACTGTAGTCAACGTTCCTTGCGGAACAGCGAAGTTGTTTTACCTACTGCATGCTCTGCGACGTGACATTAGTGCCCTTACCTTAGGTAAGTTTTCAATGAAGACTTGGTTAATATAGATATGCACTGCGATGGCACCTCTCTCATGCCTCAGGACATACGGGTATATCATATATCCTTGACTGCCCCGTCATGCAAGATTTCCTACTCTTAATTACTTACTTATCACCCTTCTTCTTCCCCAAGTGCCTTTTGCTTTTCATTCGATGCTTTTCTCGGGAGGATACCTCTGAGATACAGACCTATCTGAATACTGTTAACTCGAGCATTTCTTCTTCTTTTTTTTTGTTTATTAAATCGGTATATCGGGATCGAGCTTTAGGAGGAATACCTACATGTCATGATGTTTCTGCAGGCAATACTTGATCCGTAAATGTTTGATCCTGTTGAGAAATGAAAGTGTTGGCGAGGCCTTTTATAATTTGCCATGATATCGGATGGGGTTTACTGGTGACGGTCGGCTACGGTATGGAAAATGTTATGATTTCCTTTAGAGTTATGTTTTCGACGCTCTGATGCGGTGATGCTGTTGTGAGGCTCTGCGGGGTATGTTAAACACGTATACGTTACGGCACCTGGGGTTAAGATAGCTGGAGATACTAGAGATTAGGTACCTCGTAGTATAATATGCCTCAAATATTTCTAACTTACATATATGACTTGTGAAATCCACCTCTTATCTATTACCTATCAGCTACCTGGTTTTCATAAATGAAGACCTGCTCTCGAAGCGAAATAGTCGAAACAATAGTTTATGTTAAATAATGCACGTCGAGAAGAATGTAAAATAAGGCACGTTTAAAATGCAAAATAAGACACGTCTCGAATGTTAAATAGTGACGTTAGGATTGCCAACCCTGTTAGACGAGTTGGAGTAGAGTTACCTACCGTCGTACCAATGCCAGCGAAGCAAAGGCAATATCCGAAACTCCATAATGGAAATCCATTCAGCGTTCTGATTGGATATTTATATTGTAACAACAAGTACGGCGTGTCTTCGCCACATCCAAACTGCTAATTATCAACACGGAAAGGTTTTCAACATGCTAAAATTGGAAGCAAGCCATTTCACAGAGAGCGCAAAGAGCGCAGACCTATTTAATGAAAAGTAATTATCAGGATCTGTACTTTGTCGTGTATGCAGAGTCTAGACACCTTGAAAGTTCCATTAATAGGTACCTACCTTGAGAGGTAGGTTAGGTACCTGTCATATTTTCATTTAATTTTGGACGTTCTTACCTGCAGCGTGAGTAATTCACATGAATCCTAGGTGCCTGTCTCTCGAAAATATATATAACGCAATAAATTCATTTCGGATGGCTGAACCAAACTTTTACAATCTTGGATGAAGTTTCATGTCTATGAACCGACTGGAACCGGCGAAGTCGTTCACCTAGTTCCATCCAGGGAAATCAGACGGAGAGAAGAATTTTTACCGCGGAGATGAAGCTGGTCTCTTTGCTGGGCCTCCTGACGGTTTCAGTGTGCTGTGTTCCTGTCCATTCGGAGAATTCTCCAGCTAGCATGGCGGTTTTCTCATTTGCAGCCTTCTCGTTTAAACTTGCCTACTATCATTTTCTGCCGCGAAAGGTGCGGTGTGAAGACGTCCACCGGCACATCAACACATCCCCATTTCCATTCCCGTATCAATACATGCTCATTGACACACGTCATAGAGTAGCTTCGCCTTCTCCTTGGCAGGTGCAGCTATCAGGCACGGATGAGCCGGGATCACTAGGTATTAAATGAAACAAGTAATCATCTGGAACGAGCGGCCCGCAGAGGGCCTAACCTGCAGATAATCATAGGCCGAATGCGCCATCTTTCCTTTTCCGTATTTTTATCGTCACAGTAACACGATCGCGAAGTAGTTTGGCATCCAGAAGAGGCCACTTCGTGACCTATGTACTGACACGCCCTCGGGCTCAGTGCCAGCTTCAGCCTTATCGCGAGATCGTGAGGAAGTGCTTCAAAGTCCCTTATTCCCACTCTTCAACCGAGAATATTTAATTTATGTACCATCTTGCCTGTCTCAGCAAATAATTCCCACGATTTGTATCTAATAAGTTTATTTGGATTCGTTAGAGATATGTTGTGTATCCGGAGCTTGACACTTCGCTAATTGGTCTATTGCAACTCAATCCCGTGACCACTTAGCCCTAAGATCATGCCGATCACAGAAACAGGGTTCCTCATTCCTGAGGATTCTTCCAGCATGGATTGAACATGCTTAGGGTTTATATCGAAATGATACCAGGCCGAAGTTATGATACCAGGCAAGCCGATGTTGCCAGTGAAACAAGGGCATAAATATTGGGACGCAAATGGCAAATTACCTTAGGATGTAGGTAATGAAAGTTTCCAAAGCTAATGCCAAATACTCTGCAGGCTCTGCTATTTCTGGACATAGATATGAGCCTAACTGGAACTTGATCCATGATATGAGGTACATGTCCGGTTCTCAATACGCGAAAGCGAAGTTGGCAAATGTCTAAGCTTCTGTTCCTCGAACCGGGTAAAATAGCACCAGGTAAGCCAGCAAGGCTGTGAACCAGTATTTCTCTTCTGACGAGTCAACATGGCAAGCAGACCTTGGGGTTTGGGTTCTAGATTCAAGGCTGAGATTAAATATTTAGCCCCCAGTAAGTAGAGGACTCATCTTTCAGAAGCGAGATGTCACTGACTCGTCAGCCCAAGGAAGGATGCTAGTAATACAGGTATACCTACCTAGACACTTATATACTTAGGTACCTAGGTAGTAGTGTGAGTCCGTCAAGACAAGTTCGAGAATCGCAAAATGGTACGAGTGATCTACGTGGGTAACAGCGGAGCTTGCGGGAGAGCTCGCTAGCGATACAGGCGCGCCCCAGGGAATCGGCGTCAGAACACACTGACGAATATTCTGGAGAGGAAAAGGCGGCGCAGTCTTTTCATGTTTGAAGCTTCCCACCACGATGTTAAACCTTAATGGTGAGATATGAGCTTGATGACTTTCATCTCATCATCGCGCTTTAGGATAATTCTCTTATTTAATAAACACACTTGATAAGAAACAATATAGCTTCTGTCTGAAATATAATAAGTTAGTTTATCTGTAAATCTTGGTAAGTTAGCAACGAACAGATCGTAGCAGACGGGTACCTATGTAGGTACGTATCAATGTATCGCACAATAACCCCATAGACGTAACATCGTAATCATCAACATATCCCACAATTGCAAAATATCTACATATCCCTTTAACTTGCGTTCGACTACGACCCCCTTGCCATTGCGTACAGTGAACAATGCTCAACATTAGTCATTAATATCGTAACAGTGCCTAGGTATGTTTTGCAATCTATCTATAAATCTCTAAATAGAAGATATGATTGGTTTATCCAAGATGCCGCAAGATGCCGTAGGATTCCGCACGCACCATCCACGTCAAGGAGATAATATTTGTTGGTTGACCTCAAGGGCAAAATCTATCCTTGTCAGACAGCCCGGGTCCCAACCCCCACCTTTCTTGTGTAATAACTAGATGTATAACGTACCTGTTATTTGGAAATCATGGTAATTCCATGTCTAGGGGCATGAAAAAGGTAAAGGTTACTACTAAACATAGTCCACTAGTGGGAGAAATATAAATACATTATATCATATAATAAGTCCCTGTTAAAGTGTAAAGAATTGTGGGCTCGTTTTTACTATGTACCTAAGTACCTAGGGTAAAGATCCATGGAAACTTACTGCATGTAAACTGATAAATCCCTGTCGGTGTGTGTATTGATCATCTTGATGTTGTATTACTTGTCTCTTAAACCTTTTATGTATATCAAAAATAAAGCTTCTTTTATTCCACAATAAAATAACATTATCGAATACTCGAATACGTTTTTAAGTATAAATTAGGCACAACACTTTTTTTCGTTTAAATTTAATTAATTACTTTTTTTTTAAAAAAAAATCTCTACTCCTGCAATATCTCAATCTTTCGGCTCGTCGATGCAACTACTTACTAGAGTATGGGTTAGATAGATTGCAATAGCAATTGTGCACTGGTATTGCCGAGTTTGGCTAGTGCGCATCGGGGTGACAAGGGAGGGCTCTATCATAACTGTCATGGGTCGCGGAAACGGGTTGACGGCTCAACAAGGTCAATGAGATCAATAAGCCAACCTGGTGTTGGCCGCGCTATTAACCTGTTGCACGCCTATGCATGTATAGGTACTTCATGTGGGACCTATCATTTACAGGTGCGGATGCGACTCAAAGGCGTTGCACGTTGTAGCCTGCTGTACCTACTTCCATGGCCTTCTTCTTTTTCTTTTCTTCTTTTTTTTAACCCATTTTGGTTGTGGAGAGGAACAGGGTATGCATGTATTGTATGAGTCTACTCATGCTTGGTGCAACGGTGATGCCTCAAACCTCCATTATCCTACATATGATATATACGTAGGTCCTTCAGAGACATCCAAATCTGCATCAGCCGAGAAGCTATTCAGAATACGTGACCTAGTGCGTCTATCCCCTTGACAGGCAATTAACTGCCCCGCCCTTGCAATTATGCGTAGTACTCAAGGCTCAGTGTGGCTCATCTGTCTTCGAGCGAGTCTTTTGTACTATATACCATATTGCAACGAGGAGTAGTTTACTCAAGTCGAGAGGGTATAATACTTGTACAAGTCTATATATTTACCTGAATGAGTTAGCATTTGGATATAAGATCAAGATGTTGATTTACATCCTGGACTAGGTAGCTTTCCGGAGTGGGCACCCCCCCCCTCGATATCACGGCGCGCGTATGGCCTCTATGGCACATACCATAGTATGTGCCTATAGGAGGTACCTAGGTAGGCCAATTACCTCTCCCAAGACAACCCTCTTCTTTCTTTCCCGCTCACTTCATTAGTGGTTTAGGTCTTTATCATGTCTTCTTGACAAGTTCTAATCAAACCCCTATTTTGCTTATATCTTCTATTACCCGTTTTGTCCTACCGCATCAAAGACTACATGTATCTATTGGTTCTTCATCTGCTCATCTTAAGTCTTGCCAGAATGGGACTATTGTCATTGCTTGGCCGCTATGTCATGTCTGCAATTATGGGGTATAAGTAGTCCGGTTGTTTCTCCCTCTAATTTCCTCCGTTCCAAGCCAACTATCCCAAGTCAATGTTCCATATATAGTTTACTCGAAAAAATCGTCTTTGAAGAGCAGACCGAGATCTGTATCATCCCGAGCCCGGGTCCATTCTATTCTACCATTTCAGACACCTCCAGACTCTCTAAATTCAACACTTTGAAACATGGCGAAGGATCAGATTAACGAAGACACGCAGCAACCGGCCGAGTAAGTACCTACTACTACCTAAAGCGCCCACCAAAATTTGCCCCTAAGAATACTGCTTAGCTTCGAGAGGTTGATACTCTACCTAGGTATATAACTAATTTGAATTTGCCTTAGGTCTACGCCTATCCCGGACCCTACCATACCTGTTAATGCCCGCATGGCCTCGATGCCCCCCTCTCAAGCCGGTGTATCGAACGAAAGAAACTACTCCCAGGTCATCTCGGCCATCTCCTTGATAGACGATAAATTTTCCAGACAGAATCAAGATGATATTCCGACACCAGCAGAACCTCCTGTTGGAGATACGTCGAGACATGGTCCTGTCGAATCCTTAGTCCGATTCGCAGGTTCTCAATTTTAAGATTCCCCGTAAACACGACCGGCGCAAGAACGAGAGGCCATTTTCATGAATACCTGTTAAACAGGTTTCCGAAGGATCACGACATCGTCTAGATTGAACGAATTACACTCGCAACATGTCCTAATTAAGATTTGAAAGGGACAGGAGCACCTTTTAGTCCCTGAAAAGACTTAAGATAAACCACACCAAAAAAGACACAAGAAACCTGATTCATTGGGTTTCAATGCACGATGCACCACCGTATCTCCTTTACGCCTAAGAACTTACAACTACCCTTATGTCCGGTTACACAAGCTTTCCAGCCATTTATTTACCTACCTTTCGCATTATCTACGTATTGTCGTTTCAGGTCTCTTTTACTTTTCATTTCAGCCATATGTTGATCCTTCCACATTACCGCAATATTACCGCAATACCGGGTACCGCCCAACCTTTTTTTTCTTTTTCCTTCTTACCAGATGGCTCCGTCGGGGTTAAAAACGACAGCAATCATAATACTTTGGTAATATTTTGTTAGTAATTTTCTATGTTGGGGGATGGATGGGATATTTTACTAAGGGTCCTTAAAAAAACACACACACAAAAAAAAAAAAAAAACAAAAACGGCAAACCTCTGGAAGAATTTTGCCGTTACATTCGTTTAAAGTTCAATGAGGCTCTGTTGTATTACATAAGCTAGCTTAGGTACCTGGTACCTGGTACATTTTAACTTGGTACCTCTTTCTGGATCAGCTCTTCTTTTTCGAGCATCTTTTTATCACTTTAACAGGTATTGAAGCCATCTGTGAATGTGCCGCTCATGAGCCACGTCCTCATGAGCCACGGACGTGGCTCCCTTGCTCTTCTTGAGTGATGAGTGATTGTTTGTAAAAAAAAAGAAAATCATTTTCTTTACGTACCTAGGTACCTCCTAAGGTAGACAAAAACCACTTACGACTAGAATAACTATGAAACATACAGTATCGGCGTCGGCGGTATATGATACCTTAAGAGGTAATTATATTTACAATAATACAATATCGCAGACACTCTAGGTAATCAAGCAAGATATTTCACGCTTCGAATATACTAGGCAACTCGATGTTGAAAGCGTACACCATACATACATACAGCCAAAGACTCTCGATACCCAGTCCAGGTACTCGGTTACTTTACCCCACGTTAAGCGTCTTACATGGAATACCTAGCTTGTTGTGGTTGGCGGATCTTCGCCTCTCAATTTGCGGGGAAAAGGGAAAGACACGACTCCACGGCTTCGTGTATAAATAAACCGAAACCGTTGCAAATTTGAAGCACCAAGCCAATTCTCCATAAATAAGATCTACTGACCCCATACTCCCCAGTTTTAGCCTAAAGACAATGTCTTGTTCATTAACCAGGCTCTTGGGGGACGGGGTTCGTCATCTCCACAGGCGAGGTTCCATCGTGCTGGGTAAACGCCATGTATAAACACAAGGGCCCCGATGTCTCATCTCAGGTGTAGATCTATGCATGCGCACATATTTGCTCAAATGGACCAGGCCAAGTAAAAAGTAAAATGCGCGGACTCTTACTCCTTGCTGCTCTTAGCCTCGCGGCTGCAGAGGACGGGCTCGACGCGTGGTTGCGATATGCTCAATTGCCGCAGGACGTCATCAAACAGGCTACTGTTCCTTCCGGTATTGTCGCTCTTAACTCCACGGAAACAAGCCCGGTTTATGTCGCCGGTAAGGAACTACAGAAAGGCATTAAGGGTATTCTCGATAAGTCGCTCAACATAACTCATGAGGCCAACAGAAGCCCTTCCGTGGTCGTAGGGACCATCGCTGCCTTCAACGACTCCGGCATCTCGATTGAAACTCCTGAGCTGGAGGAAGACGGCTTCTGGCTCAGCATCAAAGGCGAAAAAGTCGAAATTGTAGGTCAGAATGAACGCGGTGCGCTTTATGGTGCGTTCGAGTACTTGTCTATGCTAGCCCAAGCGAACTTTACCGAGGTCGCCTATGCGACAAATCCCAGCGCAGTGATCCGATGGATTAATCAATGGGACAATATGGACGGCACTATCGAGCGTGGCTACGCTGGCCCGTCTATCTTCTTCAAGAACAATGCCCTGGTATCCAATGTGACGCGGGTCGCTCAGTATGCTCGCCTACTAGCTTCAATACGTGTCAATGGAATTGTTATTAATAATGTCAATGCGAATGCTCAGATCCTGAGCGACGCCAATATGGCGGGACTAGCTAAAATTGCTGACGCGATGAGACCATGGGGCGTCAAAGTCGGTATCTCGCTCAACTTTGCGTCGCCTCAGACTTTGGGTGGCTTAAATACCTTCGATCCCTTGGACAAATCCGTCATTGCCTGGTGGACTAAAATCACGGACAAGCTTTACGATCACGTACCTGACCTGGCAGGTTTCTTAGTTAAAGCTAATTCCGAAGGCCAGCCTGGCCCGCTCACATACGGCCGCACACTCTCCGACGGTGCTAATCTGTTCGCGAAGGCCGTCAAGCCGCACGGTGGTATTGTTATGTTCCGCGCCTTCGTTTACGATAACCAGCATCTTAACGAGAAAAGCTGGAAAGATGATCGAGCAAACGCGGCCGTCGAGTTTTTCCAAGGCCTTGACGACAAATTTGATGACAATGTTGTGGTCCAAATCAAGTACGGCCCGATCGACTTCCAGGTCCGGGAACCACCGTCGCCACTCTTCGCGCACTTGAAGCAGACAGCTTCTGCTATCGAGCTTCAGGTTACGCAAGAATATCTCGGCCAGCAGTGCCATCTGGTCTATCTACCACCTCTTTGGAAGACGATCCTCGACTTCGATCTCCGTGTTGACGGTGAGAAATCCGTCATCGGCACCGATATTCTCTCTGGGAAGCGGTTTAATAAGAAGGGCCTTACTGGTTACGCGGCAGTCGTAAACGTCGGCCAGAATGTCACGTGGCTTGGTTCGCATCTCGCCATGTCTAACTTATACGGCTATGGTCGGCTGGCTTGGGACCCGACAGTTAACGAGGTCGAAATCCTGGAAGACTGGACACGGCTCACCTTTGGCCTGGATGATACCGTTCGCGAGACTATCACCCGCATGTCAATGGAGTCTTGGCCGGCGTATGAGAATTATACCGGCAATTTGGGTATTCAGACCCTGACGGATATCACAGGACCACATTATGGACCGAATCCACAATCAATGGATAACAATGCGTGGGGACAGTGGACTCGAGCCGACGCCTTCAGCATCGGGATGGATCGCACGGTTAAGAACGGCACGGGATTTGCGGGCCAGTATCCGGCTGAGGTCGCCGCTGTATTTGAGGACATCGAAACGACACCGGATGACTTACTCCTGTGGTTTCACCACGTCCCCTACACGCATGTGCTGAAGAACGGCAAGACGGTTATTCAACATTTTTACGACGCGCGTGAGTGACTCTATCCTAAATCATTCTCCGCCTCTCATTTTATCGTCCCATGGAATTGTGAGTGGTATTACCACTCATGGTCAGATAGACTGCAATAGCAATTGTGCTATTAAGAAATACACTTTTGGCTCAGCGGCGTGTCTTTGACAGGAACCTACCTAGAATTATACCTTAAGAAAAAAAAATGAAATGAAAAAAGAGGGGTGAAAAAAGCAACCGCTAACCTTGCCTCTTAGACTACGCAGGCGCCGAAACAGTCGCCACCTTCCCCGCGCAATGGGCCCAGCTCGACGGCCTAATCGACCAGCAGCGCTTCGACGAGACGGCCTTCCGGCTGACGTACCAGGCCGGGCACGCGATCGTCTGGCGTGACGCCATCAACGACTTCTACCACAGCCTCTCGGGGATCGCCGACGCGCGCGCCCGCGTCGGCAAGCACCCCTGGCGCATCGAGGCCGAGTCCATGGCCCTCCGCGGGTACCGCGTCACGTCCGTGACCCCGTTCGAAGCGGCCTCGGGGCGGCGCGTCGTGCAAAGCGACAGCGTCAGCGGCACCACATCCGCGTCCGCGTCCGTTAAGCTCACTTTCGCCGCCGGGAGGTACGACGTAGCCGTGGCGTACTACGACATGTACGAGGGCAGGGCGTCGTACGAGCTCTATCTGAACGACGCGAAGGTCGGCTCGTGGGTCGGGGATAACGAGGACAGGCTCGGGTACACGGTTACGCGGGCGGTTGACGGACATTCGGCGACGAGGGCCACGTTTAGGGGCGTGGATGTTGGGGAGGGCGATGTGTTGCGCGTGGAGGGTAGGGCTGATGGGCGCGAGATGGCGCCGCTGGATTATGTCGCTGTGCTCCCGCCGGGCGTGGTGGATTGATTTGGGTACCTAATTTATCTTAACGGTGAGTCGTAATTTTGGGTATGGATTAACAATTTTCGTATCTACTGCTATTGCAATCGGCCTCTTTATATTTATTGAGACTAAATACGCCCATACTGAACTTTTTTAAGTATCAATCTGCTTCTGATCTGGGTTCTGTGCGTGATTGTGAAAGGAGTGAGAATTGATACAAGACAATAGCAAGTAGCATTATAAGCTGTCACTAACAACACAAGGTATTCAGTCCGGAACGAATTATAAGGGCTCATGAGAGTCTGAGCTGAATTTATTGATTTTCAGAACTCAATATATCTTAATTACCATTGCCAGAACGGCCTAAATCGCGTCTCACTCGCCAGACTTTCGAGCCGACGCCACGTTTCTGGTTTCCATGCAACACCTCTACCCACGGCACCGAAGTTGCATCCGTGGACCCTGCCAAACCGTTATTTTCAGCCTCAGAGATACCACCAGGAGTATCTTCAGTATCCATCGTCTCGTCCGCATCTGTGCCGTCGTCTACCTCTTCATGAGCCCGGTAATATAGCTCCTCGGTATAAGCCCAGCTCGGCGTGTCAAATTTGCCACTGACAAGCACGATTTCGCACCCTCTCGATGTAACCTCTTCTATCCTCTCAGCTCCCAAAGGCGTCAAAATCTGGAGCAAGCCATTTTCGACATCGATTCCACGAACAAGGGCTAGGCCAAGAGAGTGGGAAAATTTCGGGTCAAGGGTGATTCCGTTTGTAGTGTCTATAAACGGAATACCCTCGGGAGTCCTAATGATGGTATTTTTTTCCAAGCTTGAAAAAGACGGTGACATGGATTTCTGGGGCCCTTCATCGGCCTCATCTATATCCATTGTATCGGAAGTAATATCGCCAGGCAGTGTAGCATTCTCTTCGGAATGCCTGAAAGCTTGTACACTTTCGACTGCTACAATTGCAACGATTGTTCCATTGATGGCATCAGCTAGCAGATCTACCGGGGTTTGGTAATCATAACACATGATCCCGAATATTCCTCGGTCATGGCTTCTATAACTGATTTGCCAAGGAGGTACACTTGTCAATGGCTTGTTATTCCACCGCATCCAGCATCCATCAACAGCAGAACTCTGTTGCTCGGCGTGGAAGTATGACATAGTTTGCATTGAACGGAGATGTGCTGACGTTCTCGAGCTGATTTTAGAGGCCTGGGAAGGGAGCGTAGTAAAAGTAGTAGTTTTGCAAAATTCCTGTAGCGTCTCTACTACTTCGGCTGGGCCGGACTCGGACATATACAACACTTCCGTAGGCCGTGAATTTGTGATGAGTGATGTGAGAAGGTCAAGCCCGGTCCCTTGGATCCACCCCGGAGTATTTATGATGAGGGGATAACGTCCTAAAACATTCCGATAATGTGTCATAAGATCCATTGCAGCTTCGAGATATAGTTCCGGATCTGAGGCTGGAGATATGGATGCTAATGTATGCGATCGAATGATTTGGATTTCTGGACAAGGAAGAGGACGACAGAATGAGGGACTAAACACAGGTTCAGTTAGGAGTACAAGAGCGACTTGGCCGGCGACGCAATATTCAGGTTGCCCCGGATCAAGATCTAGCACGGCTACTCCCCGGTGAAGTCTGCGTTTAGTGGTATTCAACTGATCTGTAACAAGTCGGTTGGCAAGCAGCTTGCCAAATGTGGATTTTCCAGAAGACTTTGGTCCTGTTATCATAAAGGAGCAGGGTTTCGAGCTAGATAGATTGACTAATTTTGCAATCTCCCTATTCCATTCCGGCGGAGATACTAGATTTTGTAGCATTGTCTTCTTTGGACCATCCGCTGAGGTGTATAGCTAGGGGTACCGTCAGCTTTATGGCTCCTTCGAAGACATTGGAGCATACTTACTATTGTGAATGTTGGGTCGGGCGACCTGGTTTTCTTATTTGATAACGCATCAGGCTCATTCCAAAGCTTCCGGAACTGAGGAGCAAGCCTCCCTAAGCCTCCCAGGCCAGCGGCGACGGGATGGGGGAGTAATTCCAAGCTGGCATTATCCGGACACCTAAGAACAGGTAGCGCATGGCAATGCGGTGCATCCACCCAGTGCACCCTTTCCGAATTCCTTAACGTGGCACCATTAAGAGTTATTTCACCAGATGTCACTCGTATGCCATAGCTACCGAGAATCACCAAACGCTGCTATACGTGAGCCTAAATTACTGGAATAGTGAGCAAGGGAAACATACATCACCATCAGATAGCTTTAGTAATATCCTTCCATCTCTTCGTTTTTGGTAGTTGCTCTTAGATGGTTTGAAGGTGGAGAGATGGATTGGTAACGAATTAGTCGGCTTTACCAATATCTCATCACCGTCTATAGAGGGTGACGGACTTCTAGATGAACCACCAGGATGACCAGAGATAATAGAGGTATCTTTTAGTGGAGATGAAATTTCCGGTAATATGACTTTCACATTAGTGCTAGGCTCATTATCAGTACTCGACTGTTGTTGAGTTTTTAGACTTCTTCTAGTCTTTCTGAGGCTTCGAGGAGTGCCATTTTCTGAAGTACCTGAAGTACCTGATGTTGATGGGGCTTCGGGAGTTGATGTAGTCTCATTGGTTGTGTCTATATTGGGTGGTGAATTGGCGATTTGCTGGTTGAGTAATCTTTTGCGAAGAGCAAAGGCGCTCATAACTATTAAGATACATACCTAGGTAAGCAAGCATTCATCTACCTCTTATAGATAGAACTGTATTCCATAGTAACATGATGTCAGACATACCTTGTGGAGGTTCAGATACGTTTAGTTTTCTTTTCTTACTTGTAGCCATGACAACTTTTAGCTATGAAGGTTTATAAAAATATTTTAAAAAAGGCGAGGCTTCGGTATTAGTTAATCTAAAGGAAATAAAGTAAAAGATGAAGTTCTTACCAAGTGAATGAAAAGATTCATCTAATACTTCGGAACTGTGGGGCTTATGCAGGTAGTACGCCTGCTTGCACATACATAATGCTGTGCATTAGGATGTATTGGCCTATTACAGGTTAGGTTAGGTACTCGGCATGCCCCTTGCCTCAGATAAAGTTTCAGCGAAAAAAAAAGTCCCGGACCTATGATATTCCGTCACCCGTCAACGCCCGGGCGTCACCTGGCAACCTCAGCTCTGTAAAGAGGTACACCTAGATACCTACAATGCACTCCGGTACAGGTATCCGTACCGTAACTACCCCCACATCAAGGTCCCCGCGACTGCCCAGATTAGGTAAGTAAGGAAGCGCGCCGCGTCTAGGATCAAGAGAGCTCTCCAAAAAATTTCAAATGCTGGGAGGGCGTGAAGATTAGTTCATTCATTACTTTTTACTCCTTCACCTTTTTAATATTCCCAACCTCACCACCTCTCTAATTTGCACTTCTCTAGCAAAAATTCTTTTGATAGGGCTTCTGATAAATATTGGCAGAATTGAAACCTTTTCTATCATTTTGCATGCAAAATAATATTTTGAATTGCAATTGTCTATTGCATCCTACGCTTAACCTCATTTTCACTCACAGCTTCTGGCCATAGCCTGGCAACTATAATCACAATGACAAAGAACCGCCCTCGTATCCCAATGGGATCGCTCAGTGATATGGCTTCAACTGTTCGCGACAAGAAAACCGCATCCAAAGCTAACCCCCTGGGATCTACTCAGCTACAAAAGAACCAAAAGTTAGCTAAAGACACCAGTAGTGATGATGAGAGTGGCAGCAGCAGCAGCAGCTCTGATGATAGCGACCGAAGTGGAAGCGACAGCGATACTGATCTCGAGGCCGCGAAGAGCAAGTACGCTGCTAAGCAGGCAACCAAGCGCAAGACTCCTCAACCAAAAGCGAACGCTACCAAAGCGGAACCTGTTAAAACTATTCCGAATGCAGGCGCATCATCTTCTAGGACGCCCGTAAAGACAGCAGCTTCTACCAGCCCTGACGATTCCGAGTCTTCTGAGTCTGATTCCGAGACTTCGGATTCTAGCCAAAGCCCGGCCAGGAATGGGGTTGTAAAAGAGGAGAGCAAGGATAAAGACGAGGAAGAGAGCACATCGGAAAGCGAGAGTGAAGATGAAGAACCCAAGAAACAACAGGCTGCCGAGGCCGAATCTTCTAGTGACGAGGCTAGCGACAGCAGTTCTGATGACGACAGTGAGGATGCAAATGCTATGGAGATAGATAGCGCCGAGGCGGCCGTCTCTAAAGCTAACGGCGTGACTTCTTCTCAAGTGTGAGTACTATAGGGCTGCAGCGTTCATCCTGGAAGAGTATAAGCTGATGCGTCTATCCTAGTTCTCGGCCTGGATGGCTTAACAACTCCAACTTCGTGCTTCGCAAAGCTTCATCTGATAACCCTGCCAAAGAGGTTACAGAGTTTTTCAGTAAGGCTAACTTGGAGGGGAAGCAAGTGTGGTATTTCACAGCACCAGCATCACTACCGATTACTGTGCTTAAAGACATGGAGATTGACCTGTCTAAGGCAACTACTGGCGAAGCACTGCTGAAACACAACGGCGATGAATACGGCCTAGATCTCGAGTCTCATGCTACTACCACACAGATCCAGTTGCTTATCCCCTCTCAAGGTGGGGATAACTATACTTCTTGTAAGTCACGCCGTATAATTGTTCGATTTTAGACAGTAATTAACAACTACAAGTGAATCGTGGAATCGATTCAACTGTACACCTCCGTCGCGTAGCCAAATTCGGACCTGGTGGCACTGTTAGCGCCACTGCCACTGAGGATTACGCACCGATACCGAAGGCCATTCGAGAACAGCCACAGGGTCTAAGACCACGTTTCACCCCAATTGGCGTCCCCAGCTCTACTCCAACTCCTCAAGCACAGCCCTCTAAATCTCGTCCTGCAGCCGCAACACGGGCTGCTTCTTCATCCGACTCTGAAAGCGACTCGGAGAGCGCCTCGGAAGATGAGACTCCGACGGCGTTGCCTGCCCCAACCGATTCAAAGAAATCTAAGAAGTCAAATGCTGCCAATGTGAAGCTCAAGCGAAAGGAGCCCGAGGCGGAAGCTAAATCGACTCCAGTTCAGAGCTCTCAATCCCAGGAAAAGCCCGCAAAGAAATCGAGAACCTCCAGGTCCGCTTCTTCCAAAACCCCGATCCCCAAGGAAACGCCTGTCCCGTCCCAGGCCACACCGCAGATAGGCTCGACGCCGAACGGTACCCCTAGCAACAAAAAGGCAAAGAGGGATAAGGCGAAGTACTCGGTACAACCGATGAAGCAGACTCCGGTCCCCGTACCCAAAGTTTTTAGCATGAACCGCTAAGTTGGGATGTACTGGATGGATTTGCATAGCCTGCAATTTTTTTTTTTTGGGGGGGGGGGGGGGGGGTCGGGGCGGCTTTCCATTTGGACATGTTTTTTTCATGCCGTTAAGCTTCTATGCCTAATCGTGCTAAATAGTGGACTCGGGTGCAGGACTTGGCCCGTGGCCTTGTTACCTTGCACATTTCGCCTGCGCACGAAAGAGATAGATGGGTCTAGTACTATCAGAGATTAGGAGGAATCTGAAAAGTTGGGTTTAGCTCCTCAAACCGGAAGACTCATGTACGTTTTATACACGGGAAAATTAGGTACCTAGTTACATACGGCGTCGACGAAACGCAAGTTATGATAATGTGTGTGTGTGGTCTTCTCCCGCTCATTTTTATTTTTCTCGAGATACCATAGGTGGTTTTGATCTTATATAGCCTTGATCTTATCTCCAAGCACGCACTCTGTGAAAAAGAGTGCGGCTGGACAGGCTAAATAGGTGCCAAAAGTACTAGGTACGGAAAAATTCAGTGGAATTGATGCGTTTTCGTTGCATCGTCGCACACGCTGTGATTTATGGTGTGAACAGGTATTTATTTACCTTAGGTACCTACCTACCTGGTACATAATCGAGATAGTCTGAGGTACAGCATCTTAAACTTAATGCATTTCAATATACGCCTTTCTTTACCTACTGCCTATAGTGGGACCTTTCCCAGAGCACAGAGCAGGGTTATCTCATAGCAAGATGAGGTTATCCGCTAGGAGGGCTAACAGGTAAGTACGTGTTGAACTTTGTCACATTCCATGTCTGCCTTATTAGGTACCTGCCCCCATTTACTTATACCGGGGGTGTTAACAATTCATAAAAACGTGCCTGCTCATGGCGATACGCAACTCAAGAAATCATGATTCATTTCTTCTCATTTCATACGTTTTCTTGGTAATCCATCCTTCCATCATACATGCAACTGGGTCTTATATTGTTATGCTGAACAGGATATGGAATCATGGCAATGGACCTAAATGTATTCCATTAGCTTATTGCCTATTAGACACTGCGGATCGTAGAGACAAGTTCAAAAAAGTAAGCTGCACTAGATAGGATATTTATGCATCAATGAAGAACTCAGCCCCGTCTTGAAACATTAGGTAGGTATTTTTGACATAGGTATCATTATAACAGCAAAACAAAAGGTGAAGTTAAAGGAGATTTTGCAACATACCGAAAATCATGACTGTAGTTAATCAGGAGGCGATTGCACTACATAGAGACTCCCAGCCACTACTACTCCAAGGCGCTACAAAGATTGCCGTTTGTGCATCGGCAACCTTGCCAGTTCCTGCATATGCCTCGGCAAGATCCACAGCCCCTAGTTCTCCCCTCGGCGGTATAGCCTTCAGTGCCACATTCAAAGCCATATCCGCTGGGTATTCTTCCCCAGTAACCTTAGCTAATCTGGACCATCCATGAGGGAGGTACGGGTATAACATGACATCGTTTTGGAGCTGAGTAAGGACGTCGTTCTCCGTGCTGTTCTCCGACAATGCGGCTACGGCGCGGAAAACTTCCCCAATTTGGGAGTGCTCTGCATCAGTAACTTTATCACTGGTACGGAGCGTTTGAAGCTCTGAGACAACGGCTTCCAAGGACTCCTCGTCTTCATCAAGTAGTGCTATGATGCCTAGAAGAAGTACCGACTGCACGTGGCTTGAATCTTTCTCAATCACGTCAAATAAAATAGTGCGAGCTCTTTCTCGGGCTTCATCCGTACCGGTAGCCCACAGCATTTGAGCCAAGACACAAACTGCATCTGGGTTACCGTTGGATTCGCTGAGTGCCGTTTCAAAATATGCCACAGCTGCTTTAATGTTCTTAGAGAAATATTGCGCCAAACCGACCGTCAAATGTGCTGATAATCTGGCTTTTCTGCGTTGCTCGGCTGTTAGTTCATTTGCGGACTCGTCGCTGCTTAATTGTAACGCCATTTCTCCACAATCGACAGCCTCTGCATATCGAGCAACCGAGAGATATGATCGAGCCAGATCCGTTTTAGCTAAGGCAAAACGCGCAAGTGATTCCGCGGACTCAGTAGCTTCATAGCTCGCTTCTAGTTGCTCACATGCCTCTTCGAGAGTATCTATTGCTCTAAGGCTATCATCGGTCCGTTCTTGATATAGCGTTGAAAGGTGCTGACTAGTAAGATCTTGAGGATTGAGACGACGCAGTTGAGCGAGCGCAAATAGCGGCTGTATGAGAGACGAAATATTTAGATCTGATGGACTCGTGAGTATATAATCGAATAGAGACGTTGGGTATTGGCGCCTGGTCAATAAAGAGGATGATTCTGAGATATCCATCGCGTGGGTAAACAGGCCTCGAGCTTCTTTAGAATCCCCATAGAGAAGTGCGACAAAGCCTTGACCCAGCCAAGCGTGGGCATAATCGGGATCATTTGACTGGGCTCGCGTGAAGGCTTCATTAGCAAGTTGAATGTCATTCTGTAGAAGGGCCAGAGCACCAAGGTTTGACCATGTATGTGCGCTCCTTTCATTGAGAAACAAGCTTCGGACAAATGCATGCTGCGCCACAGATGGGTTTATTTCGCTTGTAACAACACCTAGCGAGTTCCAAAATTCTGGATTCCCAGCTTCCAGTTCTATGGCCCGCTTGAAGCATCGCACGGCGGCTTTCTGGTATCTACTAGACTGAAGCCGGAGTTGTGAAGGAAGGCAAAGGTGGGCGCGGTTTTCTGCCCAGCCTAAATTATAATATGCAACAGCCTGAGCGTGGATGTCGTTTGCCGACTCGTGGATTGCTCGCTTGTGGGCTAAGATAGTGGCATGTAAACATCGCGTGAGGTCTACTCCAAGTTGCTCGTCATCCGGAAAAATGCCTTCGGCAAAAATAAGGTCTTTGCCTACGCTGTCGACATCTTCCAGTATAGCATATGCGGACTTATCTCCCGTACCTAGGTCAAGTAGCTTCCGAAGGATGTCAGTTGGGAAATCCTGTAGACGACTCTGAACAGAAGAAAAAATGGAGCACGAATCGCCTATAGCCTTCCAAAAATTGAAAGTGCTAGCGATCTTTGTGGGCACTGTAAGCGCAAAAGACAGAGTATCTGTTGCCAACTCGATCGATTTGCCGAACACCCCTTTCTCCACGCAGTCTGACGCGTTTTCAACCATAGTCTGCATCATGGCTATGGCAACGCCTTCCTCATCCGGCCGAGCTGAAATAACCTCGTGGTACAGCGAGATAGCTTCATCAAATTCGCCAAGTTCCCGTTTGACGTTGGCCAGCATATACTTAGTAAACCAGGTATCGCCGATTTTGTTATTATCCATCTGTTCTTCCAGCTTTTGCGCAGCCTGAATTGCTTTTGTCGCGGCGATGTATCTTCCAGAATTATGATAACTTTCCCCTAGGCCGACCCACGAATGATAATCTTCGGGAGCTATCCGCAGAGCTTGCTGAAATGAAACAATGGCCTTGGCATAATCTTGCTTGCTCAATTCCGCCACTCCTAGTGCAGAAAGAGGCCAGCTAATTCCTTTCTTCTTGGATCCAGGAGGCGGTCTGACTCTACCCGAATCTACTACTCGTTGTGCCACTAATTCGACGCGGTCCCAGTCTCCATCGTCGGCAAACGACCGTGCCAACCTCTCGGCAGACTCGACTTCCGTCGAAGAAAGCTCAACAGCCTTAAGAAAGCATTTGCGAGCCCTCTTTTTATCCTTTGCGTAATCCGCATAGTAGATACCCAAGCTGCTGTACGCCGGAGCGTAATTGAAGTTATTCTTCAGTGCATCTAGGAAGTATGCGTACGCACCACTTCGACTCTTCCTGGCAGCCTTCGAGGGGTCAAGATTCCATATACAGCTGCCCAAACGATATTGCGTCTGGGCTAACAAATCTTTGGAAACTGAGGCGCGTATCATCTGTGGCAACAGTGATTCAAGTTCTGTTTTGCCGCGTGCATAATCGCCCTTCAATGAAAATAGCCATCCAACCTCTGCACGTACACGAAGATTGGTACTATCACCCTTCAGTGCTCGCTCTAAGAATTCAATCGCTCGATCGAATTCTTCCTCCTCTTCGTAGATGAGACCAACACCAATCATAGCAGAAGTCGACGTGGGATCTACTTCAAGTACCTTGTCAAAAAGAAACTTTGCCTCGCCATGATTTCTTGGAGACTGATAAAACACCAACGCAGTGCCTAAATAGAGCATGAATGACTGGTTGGCATTCGTAAAGACTTTTCCGGTCTTTTCCGTTTCCGCGACCATGATTTTCATAGCTTTCCGCATGAGCTCGACGTTACTTTCGTGTTCTTCCAAGTGCTGGTAGTATTCTCCTATCACTCTGTGAGCGAGCAAAGAATTCGTTGTTGAAATTCCCTCTGTCATCATCAAAAGTCTGTCTTCGCCAGTGTACGGGACCACCGATGTCGGCGCGCCGCCATCTTCATCATCTTCACTCTCATCATCCGTTCCAGGCGTAGCTACAGGTGCCGAAGTCTCTAGCTGCTTTTTCGGGAAAGGTGATATCTCGCTTGTCATGAACCCGGTCAAGACACGATAGAGGTCACTATTAGGAAAAAAGGAACAGTATTCGTTGAGCACGTTGACGTCCCAATCCTTGATCTCCTTATGGTCCTGCCACTCGATTGCAATATCCCAGGCAAGCTTGAAAGGGTGCTTAATGATAACCATATCATTTGCAAGCTTCTGCACAACCTGGAGCTCCGCGGCTTTGTTTGGAGCTGGAGTAACTAGAAGGCGATCATATCGAAATTGAAGTAACTTCTCTTCATATTGACGTCTGACATCATCGTCCTGAGTCCATAGGATGAGCTGCTCGTAAATTTCGCCCAGTTCGCTCTGGCATAGGACTTCACGGTTGACCTCGACCGTCACCTCGCTGATTTTCGCGCCTAATCTCGTGCGGCGTTCACCGATGAGTGTATTGATGCGCTTCTTCTCGTCGACCTCTAAAATCTGGGCTATCGTCTCGTAGGTTTTGGCGGGATGAGGAACCCGACCCTCGAGAGCGGGATAGATGGGACTATTAGGGAGTATTAGACGAAGGGCCTGGACCAGTTGGGCCCGATCACCACGTGTTCGTACAAAGTCGATGAACTTGTCAACGACATCTTGACATTTGTACATGTCATTAGCGTCTCTGAAGATTTCGGCAAGCTTAAGTGCAGCCTGCTGGTACTTTTGGATAGCCTTGGGCCCTTGCTTCTCGTAAATCTTGATTAGGCCTTGCCAGGCTTGAGCATCGGATTTTATACCAATAGCCGTCTTGTATGCCTCTTCAGCTAGGTCTTGTTGGTTCTTCTTATCCAAGGCGAACGCTTTGAACACATGACTAGTTTGGATGTCAGATTCTCCAAAATAAATGAATAGAATAAATGGTAGCTGAATGAAGAAGCTACGTACGCTTGGTAAGACTTTGCATCTCTGCTAATAACATCGTCGGCTTGCGATATAGCATCGTCCCATTTTTGTTGGCGTATGGCATCGTTAATAGCCTTCAGTGAGGCCTTGATGCTCGCCATCTTAGAGAGATTGTATCGGGAATGGTGAGTTTCATGTCTTGGGGTGGTGGGGGATATATGATTTAGGTAGGTACCTCAGGCATTTCATCATTGATTTTTTCAATTTCGATTTTTTTTATTTGGTATCAGTCCAAGGCCCAAGGCCGTTTTGTTTAATAGTAGAGGTAGTTTTAGTAAGTTGTGTTTCGCAGGTTTTCGGGCATTAGGTACGTATGATACTACCTAGCGGGGTGCGATGTGGGTCCCGGCGAAACTACGGGTCAATGAAATCTTACGTTGGCAGGTTAGGTGCTTATCGGCAGTAGTTCGGCAGGCAAAAAGTCAGGCTGAGCGGTAAAACATCGGGCTCTTACTTCTTTACCGCCTTCACTAGCAGACTAAGACTGCCCGGCAAAAAAGTTAAAGTTGGTACTAGGTAGTTGTTACTAGTTGTAGCACGTCACATTACCTCTTATTCGTCCCGTACTTGTCTAAATCCTTGTCTACTCCTCTCCAACCAACTCTTCATACAAAGTAGATCAGCAGTTGTTTTACCATCTTGATCTGAGGAGCCACTGAGTAGATGTATGTTTAATAGGTTGGAATCCAAATGCTCGTTGCTATTACAAAACCTTTCTGTTTCCTGACTTTTCCTTTCCGGTGATATTTCTCTCTTGTTCATACATTTCTTATCCCGTAACTTAGTCCCGATATATTCTGAATATTGCCTTATCCTTATCGAAATCCGTAAGGCTGTGGGATGTGTAGGTAGTTTTAGGTACTATTGGATTCGCTCATACACTCTCATACGTCTGTCGTCCGTCCGTCGTATCCGAAAGCTCCGAATTGTTTAATACCGAACCTTTACGCAGACGTCATCGGTATTTACTGGCTCCCTTCTATCCTCGACAACAAACCGTGTGGTCTTACCTATATTCCTCCGAAGCCTCGTCCAGACTTGCTTAGATATCCATTCCCGTCCCTCTCTTGATTCTTCTCTCTTTTCATGGCTTCTTCTCTGCGTCTGATTATCGAAGATGGTCAATTCCAAGATGCACACGGAAGACACGTCTTGTTGAGGGGCATCAATGTCGCAGGCGACGCCAAGCTCCCCAGCGAACCCGACGTACCTTCTCATGTTGTTCAAGACTTCTTCGACGGCGATAACGTGAAATTCCACAGTCGACCATTTCGAAAAGAAGACGCGCATATACATTTTTCACGACTCAAGCGTTTCGGCTATAACACCATTCGCTATGTATTCACATGGGAGGCTATCGAGGCAGCCGGTCCGGGAAAGTATGATGAGGTCTGGATTCAGCACACGATCGAGGTCCTACGGGCCGCTAAAGAATACGGTTTCTATATATTCATGGACCCTCACCAGGATGTGGTATGCCATTCAAACAAAATCTCTCTCGTACTTTAGGTGCCGAGATGCTGACTTGTGGAATTGATTAGTGGTCGAGGTATTGTGGCGGATCTGGTGCCCCCATGTGGACAGTATATGCCTGTGGATTGAATCCCCAAAGCTTCGCCGCTACCGAGGCCGCGTTGGTTCATAATACATATCCCGAGCCCGATAAATTTCCCAAGATGATCTGGTCCACCAACTATGTCCGACTTGCGGCAGCGACGATATTTACGCTTTTTTTCGCTGGTCGAGATTTTGCCCCTAAATGCATAATAGACGGCGTAAATATTCAAGATTATCTACAAGGCCATTTCATACGAGCTTGCGAACATCTTGCGCGACGCATACATGAGGCTGGAGATATTGAGAATGACATTGTCTTCGGATGGGAGAGTCTAAACGAACCGAATAGAGGATTGATTGGGCACGTTGACTTGAGTGTTATACCAAAGGAGCAGAATCTGAAAAAGGGCACGTGCCCAACAGTTTGGCAAGCTCTCTTGACCGGTTCTGGACGGGCATGTGAAGTTGATACGTGGGATATGGGAGGTCTTGGTCCCTACAAGGTCGGGCGTGCTCTAATCGATCCCCACGGCGAGATAGCTTGGTTACCAGAAGATTACGATGAGTCCCGATACGGTTGGAAACGGGATCCTGGCTGGAAACTAGGCGAATGTCTTTGGGCCCAGCACGGCGTATGGGATCCCTCTCAAGACCTACTGTTGCTGAAGAATTACTTTGAGAAGCACCCAACCAGCGGCGACAAGCTTGACTATCATACCTTTACTAACACGTACTTCATGGAGTTTTATCGGAAGTATCGGGATGCTATCCGAGCGATTCACAAGGACGCGATTATGCTATGTCAACCTCCGACCCTAGAATTACCACCAAGTATCAAAGGTACGGCGGATGACGACCCGAGAATGGTTTACGCACCGCACTACTACGACGGTATTACTCTCATGACTAAGAAATGGAATCGGACGTGGAATGTTGATGTCATGGGTATCCTCCGTGGTCGTTACTGGCACCCAGCTTTTGCTATCAAGGTTGGAGAGACAGCCATTCGAAATTGCTTCAAGGACCAATTGGCATCTATGAGGAAAGAAGGCTTGGACTACATGGGTAACCATCCATGCATTTTAACCGAGTTCGGTATTCCATATGACATGGATGATAAATATGCGTATAAGACTGGAGATTATTCGAGCCAGTCTGCAGCTATGGATGCGAACCACTTTGCCGTAGAGGGTGCAGCGATGGAAGGATATACACTATGGCTATACTGTGCTATTGTAAGGCCTTGGATATTTGAACATCCACTTTGACTTATTTTGCTAACATATTATTAGAACGACCACCAGCGCGGAGACCAGTGGAATGGAGAAGATTTATCTATTTTTTCTGTTGATGACCAGACCCTGCCAGTTTCCTCCGTACCTCGAACACCTGACTTTAACCAATCGACATCGAGTCTATTGAAATCGGTCACGGGCGGTAGTAGGAAAGAAGTTGAGGATGAGACTACTGTCACGCCTGGTAACTTGAAGCGTACCTTAACAAACCCGTCTATATCGTCATCTTCACCACCGAGTACAAACCCCGAATTGACCAATGCACCTGGCTACCGGGCTGCGGAGGCGTATGTTCGACCTGCACCGATAGCTACGAATGGACCCATAATAAACTACGGGTTTGACTTAAAGAATTGCGAGTTTGCGTTGAACATCGACGGAAAAGCTGCACCTTCTGATTTCCCTACAACAGTGTTTTTACCTGATTATCATTTTCCCAAAGAACAATGCACGGTAGTGGTTAGTTCAGGTAAATGGGAGATCAGCACTGATGATGACGAACGCTCCTGGATCCAAAAACTACGGTGGTGGCATGGCGAGGGAAAACAGAGTCTTAGAGTGACTGGTTTAATACGGCCACACAACGCTTTGGCTGGCACAGCCGAGGAGGCTGGATACCTGGAGCAATGTCAAGAATCCTATGGATTTGACGCCAAGTCTTGTAGCGTGATGTAATCAGCGCTGGAGGGGTTTTGAGGGTGTATATGCTTTAAGCTGCCTAATGTCCACCTGCTTCGTAAGTTTTGGTGTGCTTGGAGCCAAATACCTTGAGAAGGCTTGTTTTGGCCGTAAGAATACCGTGAGAATAGCGGCAAGGATGTTGAAGAGCGTAGGTTGCACGATCTATAATAACGGGCAGATAAGATGAGTATTATTAATCAAGATGCATTCGACTGCATGTCTCTGGACATTTCTAATTTGTACAACACCGATGATCCTGCAAGGCACATCAGGTACCTTTCATTTTATCAGCCAAGATTGGGTATTAAATCGGCCCCCAAGGGCACACTTTAGACATGGGTGGACAAGGGTGGACATGGGTATCATGTAGGCATGTGTAAAGGCGTGTGTATTTTGGGGGCCAACAGAAAAGAAAACTAGCAATAAGATATTTGATTGGTGATAGTAATAGAGAGAGGCTCATGCAAGGAAGACTGCTTCGAATTTTGACAACCTATCGTTAACACCCACACGCGCACTTACACGCACCCACATACAATCCCGTGCAAGGCAATTCTGTTTTAGTGTGACTTTTTCAGAAACAAATATTTCAACGATGTTTTAATGACGACCTAACCCATGGCTAGAATGGCGAAATGAAAAAAGTGACTAGTTGACATCTTGAAACTTGAACGTCATGTCTTTACAATAGAATTCACTATGTATTCCAATGCCTTCATTAAACAAAATTATTAAGGAGGAGGAGAGCGTAGAAATGAATATCACAAAACAGTATACCTATTATCAAATATCAAGTATTGTACCTAGGTACATTTGTCCGCGCAAGCTGTCAGGTATTAACGCACAATACGACAGCTTATCGTCACATCAGCTGCGAAGTTGTGCTGCAGGTGGTTGGATTGGACCAACGAAAGGTGGACAAATGCAATGCACACCCAGCACCCAGCACCCAGCACCCAGCACATCAAAGCAAATGGAATGATGCGCATTGCATCTCGCGTGACGGGTTGCCAACTTCGAGCGGCTATACAATCCCGAAATTGCTTCTCGTAAACAATTTTTTCTCTCCTTACTTCTGAAGGGGTAACGCAATGATGCGCCCAAATTAAAGGATACCCTTTCGCACTGTGTTGGTCTGTATTAAACGAAACTAGACACATACCTTCTTCATAGTAGGCTAAAGCTGAAGCCGTAGCTGAATTGAGATACGCGTCTTTGGTGTTTTATTGCAAGCCCCCCAAAAGGGGCGGGGGGAATTAGGTAAGTTAGGTAAATACTGAGATTTATTGGAGAGGGGATGAAATGGAGAGAGGTTTTTTAACCTTAGGTTGTTTCCGTAAATTTAATGCACGGAATATCGGAAGACGGAAACCTTGCAGCGCCAAGAAATTTATACAAGTTAGGTGGTTTGGTTGGGTAGAAAGTTGGCAATTGGTAAAACAATCTACTCTTGCGTTTTCAATTGTGAAACTATTTCATCCTCTGGAAATATTGATTAATTTCATATGTACTAGCTTAGGTAGGTACCTGTATATATACCTACCTGCTACGTAATTGTTATAACAAATACCGTCAATTGACTAATTTATTGAACTACTTAGGTAAGTACCTTATTTAGCGTAATGCTAATACGGCAGTACGGGTGTCGCAAACTGAAGAATCAGAACTGATACCTATGGGCTACGTTTCATCGGGATATGTTCTATGCAGCTAAGTGGAACTAAACCTGAATTAGCCACGCACTAGTCCCCACCTTCATCGTCGGTAAGCGCGTAGCCGCCGACTTTTCACACGCTACTGTACGAAGGTACGACGTGGAGTCCATGCGGAGACAGGTACGTACTAACGGCCCAGAACTTACCTGGAACTTGAAAATAATCCCAAAGTAAAACAACCCTGACCTGCTACCTGACACCAAACGACCTGACCCAACATTCGTTTCCAACGCTAAGGACCCTAAGGACCCAAGAACCTAGGAACCTAAGAACTGACAGCAACGACAATTTTACAACGTCAACTTCAACTCCAACCCGGCTTTAAACGTTTATACGTCGAACGTCAGCGACGACGAGAATACACGATCAATCGATACTTTAATAATCTCGAATCTAATTAAGTACCTACCTAACCTGACCTACTCGAAAGCGCAATCTCAATTCCGATATCATGAAAACTGAATTCCGAGCCTAGCCCACGATGCTGGCTGTCGTCGATACCGCTATCTTACCCAAATCGTGACTGGGGTTTCTTGCAGAACTCTCCCCTGTTCTTACCTATTGGGTCTTTTACTTACAGAAGTTCATTAATAAATAAATTAGTTTGTTGGTCGGGATATCTCTCGGTCGATTTAGCATTTCGAAGGCGAGTCCTATCGAGTGCGAATGTTGAACTACACACCGAACAATATTATCCCATAGCCGCCCCCCCATTGTCACATCAGCCTCCTGTTTGTCTTGGCGTCGCTGTCTCTTAGTTAAAATTCCCTTTGAACTTTCAATACAAAATATACCCCTCGAAATCTACGACCGTGAACCGCAACTTACGATTACCAATACGAACTCGCCGCCGCTTTTTTGCGGCCATACGCCTAATTAAGGCGACTTATGCCGTTCTCTTCTGTCTCGCACACTCACCATGTATCAAAACACACAGCAGAACCAGGCGCGGCCATTCCAGGTCCCCCCGCCGCCGCCTATGTCGCCTCCCGTTGCTGGCCAACCTGGACAACTAAATAATATGTTAAATATCCCCCCTCCGCCGCCCAGGTACCCGAGTGCACCGACGACGGCTGGTGGCGTTGTGCTTCCACCACCTCCCGGCCCTCCGCCCAATAGCGCCCTAGGACCTCAACCACCATGGCAAGCTAGTTGGGGACGCGCATACAATGGGCAACCTGGCTTCGCGATTCCACCTCCGCCCGTTGGTGGTCCCGTGCCGGCCTATAACCCGCAACTCCATTCCCAGGCTTCGAATGGAACCTTGTCGATTCCCCCTCCCCCGCCAGCGCCGGTCGAACTTATGTCCAACACGTATAGAGCCGGAAATGATAATACCGAAGCGATGGTATCTGCGACGTATATTCCTGGTGGGGATACGTACGGAGAAGGTGTTGGTATACCTGGTTTCTTCCCTGAGGACATGGGGACGCAATCGACGACTACACAAAGCTCGTGGCCCACAACCAGCCAGACAAGTAATACCAATACTTTGAGTACTACTATGACCGACGACACCAATCGCGGATTACTCTACGCTAATGCATTCCATAACCGGATGACATCCACTACTTCGAACGCGACCGCCAGCCACTCAGAACTCTCTCCTGAGCTTATAGCTAAATGGCCATTAGACCATGTACTGTTATGGCTGGCTGCCAATCACTTTTCTCGAGAATGGCAGGAGACTTTCAGGAATCTTAATATCCACGGAGCGCAGTTTCTCGAGCTTGGTAGTCAGAAAGGTGGTCGAGGAAATTTCGGAATGATGCACCAGCTTGTGTACCCGAGATTAGCACAAGAGTGTGTCCATAATAATACGGCGTGGGATCAGCCTCGAGAAAGGGAAGAGGGAAAACGGATGCGCCGCCTTATACGGAGCATAGTTACTGGGAAACCAGTTGACAGCGCGAAATCTTTACCTTCTCACGCCAGCAAGGAATCCCTTGCTGGCACTTACGCCCAGAGTGCTGGTACAGATGTAGATTCTCCAAATACCCCTATTCGGTTAGGCTCTAGTACTAGAGGATTTTCGCAAACGCGATCTACGACTATGCCGACTCTCAACAACACAATGAGTTCGGATTCAAACCATCGTTCTATACTGAAGAATATTGATATTGAAAGTAGCCGGAAGTTAAGTCCCGGCCTAAGCGAGCACGGAGATGGAAACTATCGGGCATCTCTACGGAGCGATAGCCCCGGATCAAGCCCCAAACTATCAAGCTCATTTGCACAGCAGCCTTCATCGGGGAGCCTATCGCCGTCGGCCAGATTTCATCACAGGTCCCGAAACAGTACCGATTCTCTTTCTTCGAATGCAGCGAGATATGGTTCCGGTGTGTCTCCCGAGGTCGGTCACATGTGGCGGAATGGTATGAGTGGAATTGAGGATATGATTCACGCCAGTCGCAATGATCGACGTCACAATGCTGATGGGAAACATGCAGAATCTGGTGACAGGCCTGCTTCAGCCGAACCATCTTCAGCAAAGGATAATAAGAGCTTTTTAGGTTTCTTGAAGCGAAGAAATAAGCCAAAGGAAGACGGCTCTTTTCCGTCGCCGGACGATGTAGAATCGCCTACGAGTCCACATCTGCTAAGGTCGAGGTTCGGAACTCCTCCACCTGAAGCAGTTCAAGATTCTGCACCGACGTTCAGACGCAATAAAAATGGGCCAAGGGTATTTATACTTCTTACGCTGGATAGGTGGAATTACCGCCTGTGCGACGTTACCGATTGTGACACCGCTGCCGATTTGCGTGCCAGTATTTGTATGAGCCTTGGGCTTTCAGATCCTAAGGGATTCAAAATTTATTTAACAGAACTAGGACGAGAAACACATGACGAAGCACTGGAAGACCAAAGTCTATGGATTCATAAGCGCAATAAGGGCGATGCGAACGGCTCCCTCAAGTTTTTCATAAAGCTCAATACAGCCGGGGAAGGTAACGGTAATATTCCAGAGGTGGTTCCATCGATTCAAATGACGTCCGATTCGAACATTAACGAAGACGCTTACGCTCATCTCAATGGCCGTACGAGATCCATTTCATCACCCCCCTCGTCGAGAACCAACACAATGTCTACTGGTTCCAAGCCAGCCGATCCAGAGTTAGCCGCCAAGGCTGTCGAATACCGTGCCGAAGTCGAAAAGCAGCAAGCCGCATATCTTGCTAAACGAAGGCAAGTTCTGAAGGAAACGTCACCCCAAGAGAACTCTCCCCAAACAGGAATTATCGGTAGGAATGTGGACTTTGACCATCCGCGCGTCTCGCCGTTTGAGGAGAAAAAGCCAGACCTCTTCCCGCAAAGGAAAGCACCGGCGCCACCAGGCGTGGAGACGGCCACACTAATAAAGGCAAATTCGTTAAGCAGGAAATCCGGCCACAACATGCGAACGTCGCAAGGTAGTTCAGATGGATTCCCTAGTCCGAGGCGGCCTACTACTTCGAAGAGCGAAACGAATACGGAACAGTCCCAAAGACCGTCGACCGGAGGACCTCCTTCCCCGGGCCCCCCTTCCCCCCCGGCAGGATCAGCTCTCGGTGCCTTGATTAACATGGGAAGCGCCTGGGGCCGACTGGCTCGACCGTCCACAATACCACTACAACAGCGCCCGGTTTCACCCCCTCGGAATACTTCTGCACCTGCAGCTGGGACGGACTTGGTAGAACAAAGAGGTAAGGGAGCAATGGCAAGCGTTGATTTTGGCATGAGCGGCTCAGGTCGCAGTAACTCTCGGACGAGGTCTGGTTCGCCCGGCTCCTTAACATGGAGCCGTGGTGATATACCGTTCGTCGTCCCGGATTACTCACCTGGCGGCACCCCACTCCTTGGCAACCGGAGCAAATCTCAGCTTGATCCGATTACTAAAATGCGTGACATAGCACAACGAGCTCCATCCCCCGGTGACCTAAGCCCGAGTACGGCCCATCCCGCTCCAGGAGCCACCCCCGCGCCAGGAAGTACCACGACCAACCGACCCAAATCCTACGGACCCAATGTGGACTTTACCGATACGGACGTACAGTTTTCGGCCCCCTCCGTGTCTACCAAGCCGTTGGATGATGATTCAGGTGATGACTCCGATGATGGTCTGTTTGCCATTCCGATGAGAGGAAGGCAACCTTCGAAGAAAGCAGTGCGCAAGCAGCCGAGCCGTAATGAAACAAGCGTACTTGATAGTGATTCTGAGTCGAGTGATAGCAAGAAGCCAAACTTGAGGGTTAAGACTTCGAGGTCTAAGAAGAGTCTTTCGGTATCGTTTAATTCGCCAGGTACTTCTAACACGCCTGATCTAGAAGATGATGAGGGTAGCATTCGAAGCGGGCGGGACTCCCATCGCCGTACGCCCGCTACGCCCGGTTCGGAGCAATGGCAATCTGACGACAATAAGCTCAACCGCCGAAAATCATTCGTCGATCGCGGTGTCTGGGCCAATCGTCCACCCCCTGAGGCTTTGCTCAGCAACCTTGACGCTTTCTTCCCCGAGCTTGACCTCGATCAACCCGTACTCGACGAGAACGAACTTCCTGTAGCGTCTATACCCGAGCACGAGGAATTTCCTGGCGGGGTTAGTAAAGCTGGTACTTCCACGTTGGACGTAGACCCTCTTACACCTGCTGCTGGAACCGGTACTACAAAATCATCGGTATATAACGAGAGTGATACTTTAGGCTCCGACGAATCCACATTAAAGGCACTCGAGCGACCTCCTTCAATTGCTTCGGTTGCAACCCGCAATATGCAACGCTCCAGCGGGCTTGGCCGAATGAAGTCTATTCGAGAGGTGGCGCGCGGTGCCCATGAAGCGAATAAGCGTTATACAACAACTTCATCCGGCGCTGGTGCCGGAGCATCTTCTATGATTCAGCGACGCAAGAGTACAAAAATGTTTGGCGCTAACGTTGTGCAAATCCGTCCTGAACGCGGCTCGATGATTGTACCACAGATCCCTCAAGACGTCCTCCCGAAGCGGCAGACTACTTTCCGATGGTTCAAGGGTGAACTGATTGGTAAAGGAACGTATGGACGTGTATATCTGGGTATGAACGCGACGACTGGTGAATTCTTGGCTGTCAAAGAGGTTGAAGTCAACCCAAAAGCTGCGGGTGGAGATAAAAACAAGATGAAAGAGCTACTGAAGGCCTTGGACCAGGAAATTGACACGATGCAGAACTTGGACCATGTGAATATTGTACAATATCTTGGATGCGAGAGGAAAGAAACGAGCATCAGCATCTTCTTGGAGTATATTTCTGGTGGTAGCATTGGATCCTGTCTGCGCAAGCACGGGAAGTTCGAGGAGCCAGTAGTGAGCTCCTTAACGCGGCAGGCACTTTCAGGTCTGGCATATCTACATCGAGAAGGTATCCTACACCGGGATCTGAAGGCGGACAACATTCTACTGGATGTGGATGGAACATGCAAGATTTCCGATTTCGGAATCAGCAAGAAGACGGACAATATCTACGGTAACGATAAGACCAACTCGATGCAAGGGTCTGTGTTCTGGATGGCACCCGAAGTGATCCGATCCCAAGGTGAAGGATATAGTGCCAAGGTCGATATTTGGAGCTTGGGTTGTGTGGTACTGGAAATGTTTGCTGGCAGAAGACCCTGGAGCAAGGAAGAGGCCGTGGGTGCGATTTACAAGATTGCAAATGGCGAAATACCGCCAATTGCGGATGATGTGCGCGAAGCGATTAGTCCCTATGCCCTGGGATTCATGTTGGACTGTTTTACAGTGTATGTGCTTTTTTGTCTACGTGCTTCCCCCGACGTGGTATGCTAACAAGGATACAGTGATCCCAGGGACCGGCCCACCGCAGAACGCCTTCTAAGACAACACGAATTCTGCGAGCTCGACGCGGACTACAATTTCTTCGACACGGAACTTTACGCCAAGATCAGGGGCACTTTCCAGTAGATGTGCCATGTGCATCCAACTTGGGCAAGGAACGTTTGTAACGTTGGAGAGAGACCATGACAGGACTATTCTACCTTAGGTAGACGATGGGTTGTTTTGAATAATGATTGTGTTACGACTTTTGAGCCGTCGTGATGAGTGAAGTGAGTGAGTGAGTGAGTACTTGAATAGAAGAATATCAGGCTGAACGGAACAAATTCACTGTTCGATCTATGTCGGCCTAACCTAACCTACCTGCGCAAGGGCCCAAAAATGTGGATGGATAGAATCGTGTTCTAGTACGTGATATAGAGAGGTCATGGGGGGGGGGGGGGGGGGGAAGGGGAATTACCTCTAACCCCTATTCTCTTTTTTGATAACCGCGCAATGCTCGCTACTCCGTTTTCGACCGCTGCCCTTTCCATGCGGTATTTCTTCATCAGCCTCAGGCCTGTACATCTCAGGCTGGAAATTCATATTGTTATAGTGAGCCACATTGAAGTGGCTGTTTTTGAAAGTGTTTGTGGTGAAAGCGGGCTCGTGAAAGGTGTTCGTCTCCACTAAATCAGGGAAGTTGTACTTGCTAAAGCGCAAAGGGTGCACCGTCATCGGAGTTGCTGGCTGCTGTTGCGGAGGACTTGGCTGCGGAGGTGGAGGCCCGCTAGCCATACCATCTGGAAATGGCTGTGGCATCCATGGCGACTGTGGAGAAGGAACATAGGGATCTGTCATAGGAGATGGTGCCGCTGGAGACCCCAAGGGAGACATGTCAGGAACGCCGAACCCAGGTATCATAGCCAAGGCACTCATGTCCACCCGAAAATCTTGCAAAGGCATGTCTGTGTTTTCGATCTCTTGGTGCGTGAAGGGCGTGACCCGATTGATCGATAGTGTGGTTGGTGCGGGCGGCAAAGGTGCAGGCTGGACAATAGAATCGCGATATAGGATATCATAATGGCCCGGTCGATACAGCAGATAGATTATTGGCCCCAGCGTGGTTGGGTCTTGGCCGTTTGCTTCTTCAGGCATTCGGTGGATATTCACTTCTACGCCGTCGCTTCGGTCCAAGTAGGCAATCTCGAGTACGATATTCGCTGGTTTGAGTAGGACGTCGTGAAGTAGCACAACGCCTACGTGGTCGATCTCCCGATCAATAGGCAGGAGGGTGTCTTGAACGTAGCTCTCGGCTCCGCCTGTTATCCAAGGCTCATATTGGGCGTAACGACCTTTCAACCACGACGATGCGAGTAAGCGTTGGTGGTAAACGATGGACTGCGACGTCTCAGGATTGTTGAATCTATCCATCACGACCAACATACCATCCTGGCCATTAGACATGGCTGCGATGATGTCGTTGAGTAAGTCGAACGTGGCTGAAACCATATCCTCGAACAACCAAACACTATGCCCGCCAACAGCCTCAATGAACTCGTTCAAGCTTGTTAACCGAGCCAATTCGCCTTGGGCTTGACTTATATCGCCGCATCGTACTAACGTCTCGAAGTAACCGAACGCGATAGCTATAAGGACATAACAGAGTTAACTTAGCACATAAAAAAAGTGTGACGAGTAGGCAATGCGATGGAACGGAGGAAGAGTTGTCTCCACTGCATCGCCTTATCTTCGTGGTGGTAGATCATCGATCGATCGAAAGATATTCCAGATAAAAGATCCAGATCCTGAAAATTGACTTGGCTAGGTACGCATGGACTGCGGGGTATGCGTACGTGATGTGATGCAGGAGGGTCCTCAAGATAGATTTGAAGTAGGAAATATGACAGAACTCACCTCGCCAACCGCAATTGCCGTCGCCTTGGATGGGACGGTAGTGGGAATATGTCTGCGGCAATGCCTACCATGTCACAACGTGTCAATTGGAGGAATTCGACTGTCGGAGCTCAGGTTCGGACAGATTGACTAACCATAGTTTTGGCCACATAAATGGGATCTGCTTTCGCATATTCCTCCGTAATTACCGTGCTTGGTCTTCTTTCGCCGACTAAAGGCCCCTAACATGCGGTTGAAATGTGAGTATTTAGATGCTTCTAGTCATGATAAGGAGGGGTAATATGTAAAGCGTAAAGTGCGACAGCAATGGAAGCTATTTATTAGCCATATAGTCATATCGCTAGCTACATGCGTGAACAAGATACAACAAAACAATATGAAGAGAAGGAAATCAAATCAAATCAAATCAAGTAAAACAAGATAAAGCACTGCTTACCGCTAGCTGAGGCTCGAAATCACGAGCTGCAGCTTCTTGCTGAGCGAGGTCTGCGGGGAGTTGAGGTTCCATCTTGATGTTGCGATGATGATGGTGGTGGTTGTGGCTGTGGGGTATCCTGTGGTTGTTGGTGTTGACGTTGATGCTGTTGTAAGGAATATTGCCGGGATTGCTTGCGGGAGGCGATATTAGAGGATTATGGCTGTTGTAAATGGGAGAGGTGAAGAAATCGACAGCTGCTGGCCTACCACCTGCGACTGCGCCAGCACCGCCAGCTTGCGCTGACCCGAATTGTCCCAAGGGAGTGGGTTGGAAAGCGTATTCGGGAACTTCTGCGTTGGTTATGTGGATTCCATAGGAAGCGTACGAGGAATATGGAGTGGGTTGAGGCTGGAACATGCCTGTGCCTGGGCTTGACGAGCCAGAGCTTGACCCCAAGCTTGGGAGCTTCGGGTCATGAAAGCTCTAAATAGGTAACCGGGGGGTTGGTCTTTGAAGTTTGGAGTGGGCTTCCTAGCTGCAGGTAGCTCGGAGCTCATAGATTATCTTAGGTAGGTGAGTTTCTAGGTAGGGTACCTAGGATAGGTCCCTCTGGATCCGCCTGGCTTTCACTTCTCTCGTGCACGGGGAATTATTAGAGTTTCTCTTCGGGCTGTAACCAGCAGCGACAGATAAAAGAGAAACGAGAGTGATTTGAAATAAAAAGAAGAAGGAAGTAGGAGAGAGAGAGAGAGAGTAGCAGGTTATAGGCGAAAGAGGGAAGAGGGAGAAGGAAGGAGGAAAAGAAGAAGGTAAGAGGAAGAAGAAGACAAGAGAGGATCCAGATAGTTGGTAACGGGCGGGTTTTTGTCTAAAAGGAAGATGAGCGCCGAGAAGAGATCAATCAAGTCACATCAAAAGTCGGGGTTACACCATCCAGCGGTAGTGGTACCGACCCCCCTGCAATACCTACCTAGTAGGTATGGGGTTTTGGCTTATGTGGTAAGTGCACCGTAGACCTGTAGACGTAGGGAAGCTACAATACAAAGTATTACATGCGTCGGATTTATGTACTTACATGTACTTACCTAGGTTATGTAGGTAGGTATTTTGAGAGGTAGGGTGTATACCTAGGTATCCAGTATCCCGTTTACACCTTTCAGATACACCTTTTATTATTCCAATATGTGATTAGGTAGCTATCCTTACATATACCTAATCTAATATCCGACAATATCCAGGTATAATACCTACAAGACAAACAGGGTACAATACTTATTTCTTCCCTTATAAAATTTAGGCGAACCTATCGCTTTTCTAACCGATGACCTGAAGCGGTTCTAAGGTGAAATCCATTTCACTCACAACCTTACCTTGGTACATTAATAAATACGGTCAACTGGTACTACGGAGATACCACGTACATACCTACCAGGTAGGTACATACCTAGTACAGGCTAGCATGCAATCAAGGTTTCGACGGGAACTTCCCGTTTACTACATGTATTTGACGGCCACTTCTCAGAGATTATGTACATCGTTAGAGGTAGGTAGAGTGCGATACCCCACTCGCGATATAGGACATTACATTACACTACCTAGTAGTGTATGTTTAGTATGTGCCTAATGTACGTGTTAGGGCTTTAGAAGGATTACACATTATCTATTGCATATACGCTTCGCTCCTTGCGTGGTTCCTAGAAACTCCTTACGAGGCCTTCTCTGCCTATAATAAAGGTCTGATATATATAATCGACGACCTATCCAATATATCTGTAATATGCGAGTATGTAAGAAGACAAAGTCCACGACTTACACGTGCAGGAGTACGCAGACCCCTGAGATGTTACCTAAAAAAAGTCCCCTGTACATAGTAAATTTGTAAATTGGGGAATACCTTAGGTACCTCCATGTCATACCTACCTAGGTACGTGGTAAAATAAGGTCCGTGCTCGAAGCTAGCGAGGCTTGACGTCGGCTAGCGATCACAAAAGATCAACAGGTAAAACGGTTAGGTACCGAGTAGCACAACGGTACCTAATGACACCTTAGCAAGGTACATCCCTACTTCCAGATTTATTTCTAGGTAATTGTACCTCCTCTCCTACCTTACCTACTTAGATACCTTTAATAATAAAACTCAGCGCCTAAGGCATATCGCCAACTTCTACCATTTAATGTCAACTAACCTTAGGTACTCTACCACCCAACGCTTGGAATGTGGGACTTACATGCATCATCAATTCATATACAGACCTATAGAGAGCTACAGACTCTACCTATCAAAAACTATAGTGCACCATTATATTCGAGCCAGGCAGAGCCAGTCAGTCAAAATCTGTGGCTTGTCTGACTGGGTCATTCATGGTAGTGGCTGGGCATCATGTATACCTGCAAATACCTCTAAATACCTGCAACTATTGTTGGCTAGACATAGTACTATGTTAGTGCTATGTAGGTGCTATGTGCTATAGCCGCTGACTTCTTATCTATCCAGAATGTCATGATCATATCATGGTACCTAGCTGCCCTCACTCAGCGCATCCCATCAGATCAGCTGCAACCGCTAACTAACACCAGAAATTTCATGATTATCATCGTGTCCACTTAATAAGTCGGACCAAATATATTCATCCATGAATATACGTACCTCATATAACATAGGTACCTAACCTAGGTTCTCGTATAGCAAATCCGACTTCGGGTTTAGCCGTACGTTGTTATGTTGTTATGGCTCATCTCATACCATGCCCCATACCGTGACCCAAGAGTTCGAGAGTCTACTATTTTCGACATATCACTTCCAAGAAATGATTGTGCATACCTAGTATACTACCTAGTATACTACGGCTGTACTGCGGTTTGTCTACGTATGGCCGAAGTAGATGTTAAAGTAGAATCCTTCACGCTATCAAACCCGAGCGAACGATTACCCAGATCTTTCCTTACCCCAGACTGGTGCTTACGATGGATGCGGCGCCATGCTCTGATGGGTAAGGTATATCGACGGCCAAGACTGTTACGTACCTTTTCTCATGGATACCGGAGAATCGCGAAGCATGATCGTTGCGCGATATCGTCAACTTCATACGGTATCCGGGACATGGGAAGCTGAGCAGTGCGTCTTCTAATCCACATTCGTCGCTGGCTTCTCGGTTGGATCATTTGATTGAATTTTACAACGAAACCGGCGAGAAAGCATAGGCAAAGCATAGGCAATATTAGACTAGTTCGCCCGGTCAGCCCAAGAATCAGGATTATCCGGTGCCAAAAAGGAAATCTCTCCAGCGGCTGAAGCACTACAGAATTACAAAAATTTCTAGAGGCCGGCCCGGACAGCGTGAAAAGCAAATACCATAAAAAAAAGCAAATCTTAGCGGCGGGGAAAACGTCACTTGGTGGCAATTATACCCAAACAATACATACTTACTTCCTAAGTTAGGCGATATACCACCCAAGGTATGTGAAATATTTAGGTATACCATCGGTTTATGAACTCGACTAGTGTAAACTTCATGCGCATGGCTGGCATGGGTCGGGATATGCGTTGGTGGCACGAGGTAAACCAGCACACAAGAACAACAACAACAACAACAAAAGCCACTGTAACACGACATCATAAGCGAGGACCATCATCCTGTCGTTCCTAACGATACCGAACTAGACCCAACGGCCCACCAATCCGCGTCGCTCTTTGCGTGACAAGCTTTTTTGAAGGACGTTATTAAAACTGGTGCTCAGGTGAGCCTCATGATGGCGCGAGATGGATGCGCCGAACAACAGGCACCCAGAAGGTAAGTGGCCCTCCATTGAGAAATCCATTATTCCCGACTACATAGGTACGGACCTGCGAGGGGGGAGGGCCACGTAGGATCCATGGGTCTTTTCTTTCTTGCCTTGCCTCGTCCTTAAGAGGATTCGATTAATACCCACGGAACCTCCTAGGGCTGAAAAGACGGTGTGAGATGAAATCATGTTTTATCATGTCTAGATGCTAGGTTTCCTCAAACAATACAGCGACGATCATCCAATACCCGGAAACGGTAGGTTGGGATTGGTAATAAGAGCGGATATATTTACTTGGGAACTTTGACGCAATCTATCTTATTTTAAGTCAAGCTAAAGCCCGGGCTTAAACATACCTAGGTACCTATCTGATATCCACCCGTTGAAGGATCGTGGGTGAACTCCAACGGTCCCATGCCAAGTGCTACCTATTACTACGTACATCATCGTATGTATTGTACATACCTAGCATACCAGCTATAACCCCGCCTTCCCACCGCCACCGCAACACGGTACTGGATCAATCTAAGACCTATGGCGATAAACCAGCACCGATATGTACGTCAAGAGTTAACAAGGCCGGTGGGTTGGGAAGTCCTCGAAAAACTATAGTTTTGCCGTTAAGCGAGAGCTTTACACGCCTCCTCGAGCTCTGAAAATATTCAGTGGCACCGAGTCGCCCTAAACATGTATTGATATGTTCCGCAAAACTAATGGAAGACGTCGGCAACTAGTCTCCCTATTGGCGTCATCTATCGAACATCCAAGATTCCTTCCAGAACACCTTAGCTGCATGCACGTCTTACAGCCAGCCAGCTTGTTCATGTCTCCGCAAACCAGTCTTTGGTTAGGTACCTACTTTCTCCAAATCAACAAGCTTTAAATCTTTATGATACTAAGCTCGGAGACAGTGGACCAAGGAATGCCTCATTTGCTACAGTGGAGTGGATCAACGATTACAATACTGGAATACCATTTTTTTAACTTGCGTGGAGATCGCCTACCCTCGGCTTATAGTAACACCCTTAAGACACCGCGATATGTAACTCCTAGATGGGATTACGGCCGCTGCCCCTGTGATTCGTTGGTTGTCATTCCATCTAGACTACACGGCTGCTACACTTCAGCTCCTAGTCAAAGGCACGGAGGACTGAAGCCGCTCTCGGCAACCATATGGCACCCTCGGAATCCTCGGAACAGCAGCGAGTATCGCTTTAACACGTGTCATAACTTCCAACGAATCTCAGGGTCCAGAAAATAAGTAGCTAATTCGGAAGCTGTAATTATATATCTTACTTCAGTCGTTATGGCTTTTACTATCTAATCTCCCTCACACATTTATTAGACTACAGTTGTCAACTGGGTACACTCTCGGTATGCATTACATGAAGCTCGAGATCGAGCTAAAGCATGGAATCGAAGAGATCGATATCTAGTCGATGCCGTGGAGTTGGGACAGCATAGCGGGTATCCGGCCTGCTCATTGGATAGGAGATAACAATTCGAGGCTTACATTTCTAGGCCGTTGAAACACATGGGATTTTAGCTCATACTTCTGGAGAAGCATAAGTGCATAGATACGCGGCTTTAGCGCTCCCGTGTGTGAAGCTAGAATCATACAACCAACGGTGTTCTGTCAATTTGCCCTGCCGTACGCCCTGTCACGTACACCTCCCCGCATAGCATCAGATAGCTTTGTATTATCCAATTACATAGCAGGTAAGATGTATAGGGAGTATGTAAGGCGTTTCCACAAGAATTAAGTTAGTCTCTGGCTAAATGTAACTTGGGAACCAGAGTTACTTACAACTAAACTAGTATAATACATCATCTTTCCGTATACGCTACAGGTACCTAGGTAGTTTAGGTTCATGCGTAAAAAGGGGCATCTGAGACGAAGGGCATCTCAGCTAGAACGATGTCCCTCAAGACCTAGGCCCCAATAGACCTATTGAGCTTGATTCATCCGTGTATCAGAATCCGAGCTTGTTCTAACAATTGCTAACGGGCCTTCAGGAGAAGCACAGTTATGCTGTAAGCAAGGCCAAGCCAACCAACGGGAGCGTGCAGAAAAATCGCGATATGTGTTACGCCAAGCCGGCGAAATACCAACTTGGTAGCGCGGACGCCCATGACGCAAACCGCCGGCCGCTGCTGAGGTTTTGGCTGCAAATGAAGGAACATCGAACGTCCACCCGCTGCTTGTCTTACCTCCCGCAACCGGACACGAGAGGGAGAAGCAACGTTCAAAGCAAATATGTCCTTAGTTCCATTACGTCTAGACGACATAACACAGCCTTTCGAAAAGCCTCGTTGCGACCTGTCACGTAGTTCAAGATGGGTGAGGAAATGGGATCTCCCGATAGTTCCCTTCCCATCTATAATCCGCATTATGCCGGTGTCCACACGGCATACCTCATTCGTCAGTCTGGGCTACCCTGCAGTATTCCTGCAGAAAGCGACGTACTTTGGACGTTATTTCTTTTCTATTAGCTAGTCTTTTTTTTTATATTGCCAATTCTTGTTTCCCCATCCTTTTTCACCCTATTTCACTTTTTCCGTGGAAGCAAGTGAAGTAAGTCTTCCTCCATCTCCGTGATATGATAGCGACAGGTAGCCCCTAGTCACGGTTAGAAACGCCGTTCAGATTCCAGTCTGGTAATTCCCGAAAGCAAGGTTACGTATACCCTGGACTTTGATTAGCACAAGGGGACGTTACACTCGCTTCCGGGCCGTTCTGCTCCCCCCGCAGCCGTTTCGACAGCCGCGCTCGCTGATCCTTCTGGGTCGCCGACCGGGATGGGGATGGGGATCACGGTTCTAGACGAGACCCCGAACATTACCTTCAAGCCCCCATTTTCCCCTTCCACCCATGCCAATCTGCGACTTCCGCGCATCGCATAGGCATCCTACCTACTTTCTCTCTTATCAGCTTGAATAATACGTATAATAAAATATGCATCCAGCTTGTTTAAATGGAAAGGGGTTCAATCATGTCGTAGCCATGGGACCCCCGATCTAGAGGATATTAGGACGGTAGGGAAGGAAGAGGATAGGCTAGTTTCCAAGACACGCATCGCGTGCGTCTAGCCACCAGGCTGCGCGCCGGCCCAGTCACAATCACATCCTTTTTGATGAAGGATATTGTGATTTTCCCATTCCCCATCTCGCTCTGCCCAGAATCATAGGTACCTAGACCTGTGCAAAGTCTTTCTCCCGCCCAACCAGAGCGAGACGGGTAGATAAGAGAGAGGGTGCTTGACGGGGTCATATATTACTTGCCGCGGGTGTTACCTACGGCTGCCCATGTTGCCCTCGTCGACCCCGATCCCGCCGCGGGGTGCGTGCTTTGGAATACGACGGTGACGCCGTGAGCCCCGCTGTAAACTACCTACCTTAACCTACATGTTTCCATAGGTAGATAGCCTAGCCGTCTAGATGCTACGCGCTTCCCTACTCGCACAAAGCTACGGCCCCTATCTGTTTTTGTTTCTTTTTCTATAATTGCCCATTGCTACCTACCTCCTTGAATATATATATATCATATCACCCGCTGCTACCTAGGTAGTATAGCATTTCTTTTTTTTTTTTTTTTTTTTTTTTTTGCCTTCCTCCTAGAGGCTAAGGGGTCGGGGAGGAACGTAAGGCCCTACGGTAAGTGGCGTAGTGAAAGGAATCCTGCAGTTGCTAGGACCCCCGGTGCTATTTCCTATTCGCGGGCTCGTCGTATATTACCTCGTTACACGGGGACACGACGTGCGTACCGTACCTCTAGGCTAGGTACCTACCTACCTACCTAGGTTAACAAGCAAGCAAGCAAGCAAGCAATCAAAGCAACTTGGAAGCATGCCATATTGCCTACCTACACAAGATAAGGTAGCCCAGGTACCTACCTACCTAACTTAGTCTCGAAATGCTGTCAGCCGCACCCGCGGCCGCGGGCTACTAGGTTAGGCTATCTGAGGAAAAGTCGTACTTACCTATGAAATGAATGTCAACCGGCCAATAGCCCAGGTTCCCGGTCCTTTCTCTTGGGTAAGCCCCCCCTTCCCCCCCTTCCTCTTTGGCACTTCGTTCCTGGGCTTGGGAGGGGGGATATTACCTTAGGTAGGTAGATATTAGATATCACATCTGAGGGGATCGACATAATACCTACCTAGTAATAATAATAATAATAATAATAATAATTGTTATTGGTATTGTCGTTATTAGTATCGGTATCAACTGATTACCTGTTATTACAAACCACTATTGGGCATATACGTTTCCGGAGAGGGTGCTAGGTACGCTTTGTGTCCAGTGTCCAGTGCGGCAAGCCAGTTGCGCCGACTACCCGAGCGAGCGAGTATTTTTCTCTTTTTTAGCGGCGAGAGAACGAAAAGAATTAGGTTAGTTAAGTTAAGTTAAGTTAGGTATGCGCACGCGCATCCCGCCGGCGGGAATCGTTCTATCTACATGGTATCTAGATATCTACGCCCTATCCTAATCCCGTTCCTCGATACACACTTCGAAATCTAAATCGACTCGGCTTGCGGCACTGGGTACCTACTTACCCGGCACCCCGCTGGGCTGAGACATCATGCTACTGGGGCCGGCGGGATAGACGGTCTCACTAGATTTTTTCTGCGTGCTGTCTCGTCTTGTCTCGCCCTCTCGCCAGGAGTTACTTACTGGACTTGTCTTGTCTTGCCTTGCCTAGCTTTGCTTTGCTTTGCCTACCTACCTTCTTACCCAGTCCTCATACTTACCTAGGTACCTAAGGTAGGTAGGTATAGGAAAGCCAGAGAAATTAGGGGAAGAGGTAGGGGAAGGGGAAGTAATGGAAATGAAACGAAAGGAAACGGGAGGAAAGAGAAGGACAGGGGGAAAAATAATAATGGGAGGCGTTCCCCGGACAATCGGCGACTTCTGATGGCGCCGCCGTGGCGTCGTCGATGGCTTTTGGGGGGGACGTGCGCGGGTTGGGTTCCCCAACGAGAGAGATAAAACAGAAACAGAAACAGACAAATAACGGGATCCGCTCTGGCGTTTGGTTGGCGTTGGCGCTGGCGCTTGCGCTTGGTGATGGGCCTGTTTTTGCCTAGAACGGCAGGCCGAGATTTGGCTGTTGGTGGCTGAGAGAGGGGAGAGCTGATTTGATGCGTGCGTGTTGTTTTTCCTTGGGTATGACGTAGAGAAGAGGTGGTAAGGTAGTATGGGTAATGGGTAATGGGCTTGTGGCTTGGGAACGGATAAAATCAAGATTGGGGTCGGGGTCGGGGAGGATAGGGGATTTGAAGGTTCGGGCATGGGAAATGTCTTGTCTCGAGGGGAATTTGGAAGTCACCTAGATGTGTGCGTGGGATTTATTGTACAGCTGAAGATTTGCATTACTCGGCGGAGGGGGTTCTCATGTATGTAAGAGACGTGCTGTAGGTAGGTGTTCGTCTGACTCCAGCCCCTTTCCCCTCCCCCCTTTTCTTTTATTCACGACGGGTTCTTATAGGTGCTTCGGATAGGGGGACCCAATGTACCTAAAGTATAGATGGTCGATTCGGAAGACGGACTAGAATATATTAATAATGTTATTTAATATGACTGGCGAACCAATTGGCTGATAAGTTTGATCGAATCATGGTAACGGAACTACGTCTTAGGTATACTCAATCCCCCTGAGTCTCCTTACGCCTATGAACCACCGGGGGGACGTGGGTAAATATTTATAGTTCCTATAACAACACGAGGCATCATTAAAGTGTCTCTCACTTCTTTCTTGAAAGCGCCTAAGACGGATTTCGGTGTTATGCGGTTGCGCAGCAAGGGACTACCTAAGCTGGTTTAAATCTATTAGACCCCTATTTTCCTGAGACAAATATATATCTCTTATCTAAGCCAGCTGTTTTCAAGATTATCAATCTTTGACAGCCGACTTCTGAGACATAAATGAACTTTGTCTCTCACGTGTTTTAAGTTCCGTTTCTATTCTCACCCCCTTTTAGTGAATACCCTTAGAGCTCTTAGCGGAGGCGTTTTATACTCTCTCAATACTTTGGTACTGGGTGGGTAGGTAGGTTGGTACCTCATTGAGGACTTATTAGTACATCTTCCACGAAGACTAGAGGTATCTTAGGTACCAATATGGTCCATCTTCACATTTCAACCTGACGTTATGCCCATATAAATTTCCAGTAAACTTATTTCCGCTAGGGGATATGTATGTCATATCTATGGACTATATAATGCTTCTTCTAAACCAGAGAAAAACACAAAACATACATACTAGTATGTGGGACCTCTATCGACGATTTGTTGCTATATCCCCATCCTCACTTAAATATTACTCTGCGCCATCTTCCTCGAAGACGACTAATACCGTGCCGGCTTTACACTTATCCTTTACATCAAGTTAGCAAATCGTAAGACTTAAGAACCTCGCGGTCAGATCGCGCAAACACTTACCCCTTCTTTGTGAGCGAGTCTCTTGATGACGCCATCCTGCGGTGATCGAATGACTGTCTCCATCTTCATGGATTCGATGCTAGGCGTGATGGTGAGTGAGCACACCGCTAAATCGTCTTATCGGAAATGGGAAAGGTAACTTACACAACGAGAGGAGCCCCCTTGGAAACCCTGTGACCTTCTTTAACTTCAACCTTGAGGATTTTGCAAGGCATCGGGGCCGCAACTGAGCCTATGACCTCTTTCAGTCCCAAGGCTTTCTTGTACCATGTAGGAGACACTAGTGCTAATTCCGTCTTCGTCCCGAGCTGGAATATCGTAATCTTGTTATCATTATTGGGATCTTGGACAACTGTCGTCTCTAACCGCGTATGGGGGAAGTAGGTAATCAGCCTAGTCTTCTCCGAGCTCGACACGGGCGAAGACACGAGATCTTCGAAGACTTGAGAATCCTCGTTCTTTCGCGAGACCCGAGCGTCGAATAAACTATTACCTTTTTGGGTTATGCTAACAGTCACTATTTCCCCTTCCTTCTGATCTAATACGTCAAGGGACTTGAAGGAGAATATCCGTTCGCTGCTGTTCGAGCCAAAGCCGAGGGCTTCTCCATGAGGTTGAACAGTTTCCGCTGGCCGAGAGGCGAATGCACTAAGCGCTGCTTGCACGTATACTTCGGGTTTGATAACCACAGGATCGAGAAGCTCCTCTTTCCATTTTTCGATAAAGCCTGTCTCAACATCTCCTTCTATGAACGCCGGAGACCTGCACAAACGCTTCAAGAACTCGATGTTGGTGCTCAAACCGACGACTTCATAGTCGCGTAGAGCAAGCTCCATCTTCCTGATAGCAGTTTCGCGGTCCCTACCCCTGACAATGAGTTTTGCGATCATCCCATCGTAGGCTTCCGTAACGGTATCGCCCTCAATAAATCCAGCATCGATTCGGACGTCTTCATTAACTTTGGGAGTTTTTAAATGGACAAGCTGTCCGGAATCAGGTAAGAACCCCTTTTCGGGGCTCTCGGCGTATATCCTTGCTTCGATGGCTGCGCCTCTTTCGTGAATTCTATCCATAATTTCTTTCTGGGTCAACGGGAGCCTCTCCCCCGCAGCAATACGGAATTGCCATTCCACTAGATCCGTCCCCGTGATCATCTCGCTAACGGGATGTTCAACTTGGAGTCGCGTGTTCATTTCCATAAAATAAAAGTCGCCCGTATCTTTGTCGAAGATGAATTCTACTGTTCCCGCGCCGACGTAGCCTACTGCTAAAGCTGCCGTCTTGGCCTTTTCCCACAGATCTAGTCTTGTGACATCGTCTAAATCGGGCGCCGGCGACTCTTCTAATATCTTTTGGTGGCGGCGCTGTACGCTGCAGTCTCGTTCCCCGAGAGCGACACAGTTGCCGTGCTTGTCCGCGAAAACTTGGACTTCGACGTGCCTTGGCCGTACGATGTACTTCTCAACCAGCATAACCTCACCGCCCTCTCCGAACGAAGCCCTGGCCTCTGCTCTTGCACTTTTCAGCTGTTGGATAAACTCGCTTTCTTCCATTACAATCCTCATGCCTTTACCTCCGCCTCCCTTTACGCTCTTTAGCAAGACGGGAAACTCGATCTCCTTCGCATACTGCAGCAGTTCTGTTTCGCCCTGCTCACTGCCATGATACCCAGGAACGCATGGTATGCCAGCTTTAGTCATAATCTCCTTACTTCGGGCTTTGTCTCCCATGTCGGCCATAGCCTGAGCAGGTGGACCAACAAACACGATCCCCTCTTGCTCACACCTCTGGGCAAAAGCGGAGTTCTCGGATAAGAAGCCATAACCGGGATGCAGAGCCTGGATACCGTGCTGCTTCGCCAATCTCACTATCCTCTCTCCATCAAGATACCCATTAGCGGCACCGAGGCTGATGGAATGTGGCGAGCACGAGGCATGTTGTGCGGAGGCGTCAAGATCAGTATATAATGTAGTAGTCTTTATACCGAGGCGTTCGGCTGTTTTATGTATTCTCAACGCAATCTCACCGCGATTCGCGATTAATAGCGATGTTATGGGAGTTATATGAGGTTGTAATGAAGAACTAGCTGAAGAGAGGTAACGAGGGAAAGGACCTCGGCGGAGATGTCTTGGCTTAATTGACCGCATCCTTCAATATGAGTTTAGAATAACTAGAAAGTAACAAGGGGTAACTACCTAGGTAACTAGTAGTGTCTTTTGGCTTATAATTCATGAGGCAATTATGAAAAAGTGAAAGGTTTATTGAGATATGGAAGAACTATATGGACATATGTTAAGATGAAGGATAAGAAGGAAAGAGGTCAACAACCCCCAAGGTCTTCGTCGATTCCATCTTTGCTGTTGTTCGAGGTAAGATGAAATGAAAGCCGTAAGTAAGCGGGCCCACCCCCGCGAAAAGCCGCGGGTTCTAAAAGGCAAACCCTGGGGTCGGTTAGTCTACTAAGTACCTAGGTACCTCTTATGTACATTGGCCCAAGCTTTTTTTTTACAGCTCCAGCCTCAGTGGGTTAGTAATTTCCAGGGGTTCAGCCCCGACTCCAACGTCATCATGAGAGATCTGATAGGGATCTGATAGGGATCTGATAGGATCGATAAGCGTCGGTTGCTGATACGATCATAATTTTGAACCCCTCCATCGTCAAACCACTTTCACGCGACCAAGATCTCCATATCCCACATTTACCGACGCGATGGATCAGATATCTCTTAACCACGAGGCATCCGCTGGCGACACCCATAAACAATTGGTTACGTCGCTTCCCCCGGAAGTTGTCCAATGCCTCGAAAATGCCCGCTTTGTAGGTCCCCCTTGCCAATCCCCTTTCCCAATGATGTTTTTGGACCCTCCCCCGGCCGCTAACTCTCGAACCCCCGGTAAAGCTTCACCTGGCGACATGTACCGACAACCAACCGCACGTGTCGCTAATGAACTACACGTACATCCCCTCGTCGCAATACTCCTCCGCGCCGGTCATCGTCATGACAACGAACCCGTCGTCCAAGAAGACCAATAACCTAGTGGTCAACCCCAACGTCTCCCTATTAGTTCACGACTGTAAGCCGGTTCCTGCTCCGCTACACCACGCTTACCCTATAATCATCGTCGAGGAATTCGCATCAGCGTCAGCATCAGCATCATTATCTATTATCATTATAGGAATAAACAAAGCAACTAGTAACTGACAACTTAACAACCCGCAGGGGTATCGCATAGACCGCCGACCCAAGGCCGGCGAATGTCCGGCGGCTCGCCGGGCCCGGAGAGCCGATCGAGCCTGGCGTCGCTGCTGCTGAACCTGAACACGAGCGCGATATCGAGCATCAGCGCGACGATCAACGGGACGGCGGAGCTGGTGGCGCCGGGCTCGGCGGAGGAGGAGTTCTACCGTGGGCAGCACCTCGAGAACAACACGTTCGACTCCGAAGGGGGGAGTGGCGGCGGCGGTGGTGGTTTTGCTGCTGCGTTCAACGGGGGTTTAACGCGGGAGGCGAGGGAAGACGGCGGGAGGGAGTGCTTCGTCGCGGGCGAGGAGGTCCGCGTTATACTGGTGCATATCAAGGATATACGGACGAGCGATTGGAAGGGCAGCGTGAAGGACTGGGTCTTGGTTCCGGATGAGAACCCGGCGCCGACCGTCAATGGTGTGGGAGCTGGTCGGTGAGTACTGTTAGGTAGGTAAGTACCTAGGTACCATCTATTCCGTAGAGCCGAATGTTTTTTTTTTAAGCGGGAATTATCTTGTAAAATTGTTGTATCTATTGAGGTTCTTGGAGTTTTTAGTGGTTGAGTACCGGTCCTCACGTAAATAGGATCGATCTATGTCTCACAACGTGCAAACATCTAACCTGGTTCCTGTCGATCAAGACTGAAATCGAGGGATGGCAGATAGGTTCTTCCTATTAGCACACTCTGGGTTGATGACCGCGTTTTGAATCAGGTAGGTATGCAGACAAATGTAAACGTACTACAATATACCTGTAATGAAATCCATATTTTTCCACGTCGAGCAAGACAACCTGAGTACCAAGCCACTTGCCCTCCTATCTTCGCAATTGAATGTTATAACGAACTGGAAGCCGAGGAAGTGGATTATTCGCACATACAACGTCTTATACCTAACGTCTTGTCATGACTAACCTTATAAAAATTCAGTCCGGGAAGAGATGTACTTAGTTCATAGTTTTTGTTATTTTATACTAATATTTGGTAGGCATAATGCCCGAGATGGTGATAGTCATGCAGTCTTCGAAGACTTATCGAAGCGTGAGCCCTCCTGCTTCCTAATATATACATGCTAGGTCGGGCAGCCGTTTCGGCAGACATATCCTGAATCTAAGAGCCTGACCTTGTTTGTTAATTAAACAACGCGAGGTCGTATCATTCGGCGCTAGATGCTTCCTGCACTTATCGACGCTTTAATGTGATATGAAGTTTCAAGAGCGCAAACTGCTCTATAATACGGTCTAGTTCGTTGCATCTTGAGGCTTTGAACCGTCTTGAAGCTCTTTCGGCATGGGAGGTGGAGTCCGAGGCTCGGTATTTCGGTACTTTGGTTCAATTATACCCAGCTAAAGAGTGGTTAGCATACAATTTATGCGCCTGCATCCTAGTGAAGGGGAAGTACGAATCGAAGGAAAATAAAAATTGTCTCGTACCATTGATAATAACCTCCAAACGGTCTCTGTCGGTTGCGCACCAACACCGATCCAGTATTTAGCTCTTAATGTGTCCAGTTTGATGTCTTTGTGCAATTTTCCCGAATCGTCATATGGGTCGGGCTTGGGAATTGGGTCATATGTGCCAATGACCTCGAGCGGCCTGCTATTTCGTGCCGTTCTATTTCGATGATGGAGTTGATTAGCTCTATATTCGACCGAGAACAAATTCATAGTAAAATATAAAAATGAAACCAACCTAGCATGTGCGACGACTATGTTGTAGAAAGGAGCGTTCCTGCGCCCGAAACGCGCAAGTCGAATCTTTACCACCATCCTTGTCGCAAGGTCGATTGGTAATACCCTCAGGTCGATAACAATTAATATGCCCCGAACTACCTACTTTATTGAATTTATGGTTGTTCGCGCCCGTTGGAATTGAAGGTGGATTTCGGGCACTTGATGATTTTGACGGATATGGAGCCTGTTTTCTCCGCCGTGACCAATCGGAGTAAGGTACATGATTACCTAAGTCAGTCAATCGTATGGCTGGGCACTTACACCAGTTGAAAGCCAATTAAGATGGCAGCTACCCGTTCCCCCGTCCCCCAGTGATGTCAGCCAGGTCAGTCGATCAACTAAATTCCTAAATTCTAATCTTGGAAAGTCGTACTTCTTTGAATAGCTTTCCGAATTTCCTCCTCCTTCTCCTCAAATTATTTTTCTCAAGTTTATCTCTTTAAGTCAATCTCTCATCACCTTTCCCATTCATCCAAACATTAATATCTAATAGGTAACCATGGCATTCAAGGTAAGCTTAGCCTATTACATGTACGTAATTATCCCGTTATTTCTACGGATTGACTTACACGATCATAGACCTTATCGGCGAAAGCTGCTGCTGCTCTGGATAAAGAGCTTATGAGCACCGGAGCTTTTTCAATTGATCAGCTTATGGAGCTGGCCGGCTTATCAGTTTCGCAAGTCGGTACGCGGTTTAAGCAAAGCCTGCTACTTGCCGTTGGCTAGCTAATAGCCTTTCCTCAGTGTATCGAGTGCATCCTCTAAGTAAAGGCAACAGGGTGCTCGTAGCTTGTGGTCCTGGTAACAATGGTAAGTACCTAACCTAGGTCCCACGTAATCCTGTAAAGCCACCTTCCGTAATGCAATGTTCTAATGCGTCAAAGGTGGTGATGGTCTTGTTGCAGCTCGTCATCTTCGTCATTACGGGTATCAGCCAGCTATCTACTATCCAAAAAGAAGCAAAAATGAACTCTACCAGGTATGCTAGATATCGTATACTATCTTGAAACCGCTTTCTAGTACCACAGTACCACCCCGCAGTTGATTATTTACTACCTTCTATTTCCCCTGACTCGTCTTTTTCTATACCACAATCGCCCTCCCTTATCCTCCTTTCTCTCCTCTCTATTTCATTATTGCCCATACAACCTTTGGCCATGAGCCACTGCGTTGGTATCCTTATCTATCGCTCTGCTAAGAAGAGTTAACCCAATGGTTGAAACGCTAATCTTCACATCATCCCAGCGACTTGCCAAACAGTTGGAAGATCTTGAGGTACCGTTCGTGGAGGATTTTCCAGCGGCTATTAAGTCGACGGATCACATTGTAGATGCAGTTTTCGGTAAGTATAATGGTCGTGATTCGGATATGTTGGACTCATCCATGAGCAAGGTTTCAGCTTCTCGGGCGAAATTCGTGAACCCTTTCCAGCGGTGATTCGAGCTTTAGAGGAAACCAAGCTTCCCGTGACCTCTGTCGACGTACCGTCATCCTGGGATGTCGAAACTGGGCCACCGGAATCTGGCTTGGGGAGCAAATTCAACCCTGATTTCTTGATCAGTCTAACAGCTCCCAAGCCATTGGTTAAATACTTCAAGGGACGACATTTTATAGGCGGCCGGCAAGTATTCTCTTGTGCCATGGAAAAAGAAAGGGTCGTGTGGCTGACTTACTCGCAGCTTTGTTTCCCCAGCAATTGCCAAGAAATATGATTTCGAAGTTCCAGAGTATCAAGGAATTGACCAAATTGTTGAGGTCGGTACCGGAGGAGAAAGGCTCTGATTGCCGAGATTTGATCCAGAGTGCTTTTCCAAGCTGGAACCGTCGGCTTGTCGAAAAAGCACATCCAGTGTGTCAACTGACATTGCAACCGCCCGTGCGACTGTAAGGACAAACTGGACTGGGGCATCTTCCTTCTTGCATATCTTCGTTCTCTTCGGCTATTCCCCTAGGGCACCGTAACAATGGAGGATGATAGTCTTTGCAAAACTCGACATATACAAGATATTGTTTCCCGCAGACAGGGCACTCCGCGGTGTGCTCAGTGCACATTAAAATTAAAGGCTGGGTCTTTGCCCCGAATCGCAAAGAACACGGGAATATGGAGCGTCCCTGGAAGGACGACTGTCTCGACGACAACTGTTGATTTGGCATACCATCCGTATAAACGTGGCTAATTAGTATCTGGTGTGGCTTTCGAGTACAGAAATAGGACACAAACGCCTATAAGAGTATTATTGTAATACGACGTCTGGTATCGCCACCACCGAACCAGAAAAGTACATTTGACCACTGATGAGCTACTGATGAAACCCCTGTGGCAATTGCAGGTCATGGGGATACGTAACTGGCAACCCCTAGAATTGTACAAGAAGGGGAATTGTCATTTCTGTTTATTCAAGCAGTTCATGTTAACTGCCTGCCTTAGGTACCCTTCTTAATTTTTCGTGCTTGTCTAATCCAACAGACAGCTAAACCGGGGCATGCTAACTGCTCAGTAGTGAGCCCGGAGCAAATGCTCCGTGTCGCATGTGATTGGTCAATACGGAGCTGCGACGCTTACCTTGTTAGTGGTCCCAGCGAACAGCACACATTTTCTCCTCGGGCTTCGACCGCAGTCAGGTGATTGCTTGCGGATTCTAGATTAGTTCGACCGATATACCGTTTTTACATGGATGAGCTTGATAATTCCTACAAGGAAATTTTAAGGTTAACATTAAAGCTCCTAACTGCTGATTCCCGTCAAGCGGGAGCACCGCCTCGGGGGGGAGGGGGCCTTAGTGTAAGTTCGTGATGCTTACACTATTTGCTATAGGTAGTACAAAGGATTTAGCGACGATCGGCAGAAGGATGCGTGTATGGCCTTACTGGCCCGTCACCGTTAATTAGAAGCTCTCTTTAGGCCACGGGCACTAAGCTACAAGCTTGATAGCGTTCCCGGATAGGCGAAGGGGTCAAAGTCAATACCCTGCATCTCTCGCAAGACATTCTATTCGATATTCCAGTACCGACACTGTGGCGCCTGTGATACACATTAGCTTGCCGCAGTATTGATCTGAGAACCCCCCCTTCGCCTAGGATATACACAGTAGGGAAAGAAAGGGGAACGCAACGTTTCGAGAATGATCAAATCCCCCACTTTCGCATCTATGCATCTTGGCCTCTCGGGACGTTCCCACACGATCTCCACGATCCGCATTAGAAACATACATGTGTACTCTACAGTGCACTCTGCATGTGTGTAATTAACGCTATCCCCACCCTAGATGTTCTTTTCCAGTGTCCAGTGTATAGCTGTCAACTCGACCCAAACCGAAGGAGTGAGCTTAATGCCCAACCGTCCCGCTGAGTGCAACTGTAGAGACTTGTATCCCCGCTGCGTTTTACACGAACCGCCGGGGCTACTACTAATCAAATAGCGGCTTTAAAGCGGTCGGAATGAATGCCAAGCTAGGGGCGTTTCACCCGCTCGCTAGGTAGGTAACAACAAATATCGAAATCCTGTCCACTCTAGGTTCTCGTTACCCAACCCTCTCTAGAAGCTCCAATTTCTTCATTTCCATGAATACCACCAACGTCGAGCTCGTCAAAATAACACGCTGTTTGTTGATCCTGATCTCATCAGTACGCGATTCCTCGCCAGTCATCGAGATTTGCTTTTATCTCAATATGACATCGTATGCGTCGCGGCCTTCTACCTTTTGACCAGTATTAGCTACATCTTTCGTCATTATACTTTGCCATTCCTCCTGCCTCCTACTAAGTGGGCTCGGTTAATAAGGTAGATATTCTACGTATGGTCGCGTCGAGCAGGTGGACCAGCTCTTAGACCCCTGGTCGGTGAGAAGGTGTGGAGAGTCCCACATCTTAAGGCGTTAGGGCTCAGATGGGACTCCTTGATAGACCATTGGCGCTCGATGGCGCGTGGGATCTGGGATCGACTTACGCTCTAAGGGTTTTAGAAGATTCCCAAGCTGCGAACCCTGAGCAGCCGAGCTAGAGCTAATATCAAGCTGGGGAGCTATGACTAGCCTAACCAAAAGTTTGCGATCATGGGAAAGGGCCGAATTAGCCTCTCTCACCAGGCCTTGGAACAACAAAAATTATCTCCTTTCGCCACAGCGGCTCTTAGACACGGATGGTATTCTCTACGGCCTGATTACAGCGAAATGCTATACTAATGTCGAGCTATAGCTGTTCTAAGGAGCGGCGTCGTATGCCGTATGTCGCATGTCGCATGTTGCACGTCACATATTGCATTGCGTTCGTCAATCACATGGCAATACACTAGCAAGATTTAAACATCAACGACAATCGCACCCCCTTTACGGATTTACATGTACGTTGAGTAATTAGGCGATCCCGAGCTGACGGTAGCCTTTAGTGTCAGGGTGTTCCTGACAGTAGGCTAGTTTCCGCTCGGAATAGGCCAGAGCTCGAGAGGATTTGTTCGGGAACATTCGCCACTCTTCTCGCGCCCACCAACGAATCCCTGTTTCTTCAAGATGGGGGCTTACGCTAAAGCGGCTATGCACCGCCCGGATCGTCAGGTCTTATTAAGCCATGATGTGGCTGAAGGACACTTGCATTGTCACATGACCCCGCTAGTCGGCTCAATCCCAACTTCATCCTTGGTTTTTTTTGGCTTTTTTTGTCAATCTCGGCGTCTCCCCCCCCCCCTTTCTTTTTGCCACTCTTCAACAACAGCTTTACGAGGCCGAACGCGAACATACTGGATCTTGGTGGAGGCATTTAGAAATATCATACGGAATTCGCCCACCAGGAGGCAATTTGAATACGAGCTCTCCTCTTTTTTTTCTTTTTTTTCTTTTCTTTTTTTTAACATACTCTCAGCCACCTTTCCTGTACGACGTACGTACGTATACCGCATCCATCATCATTCATTATCCAAAAAACAAAAGTCGTGATAGCTCGGCACTCCGGAATATTAATGACATAACCGCTAGGTTAGGTAGTCTATCTCCCTGTCTCCCATCCACCTTGCCGGACGCCGACGCGCTACTTGTTTCGCAATAACATCTATCTCACCTAGTGTACCTTATCTATACACCACTTACTACTTACCTACAATTAGACCCAGCCCTATCTAAGCCTGATTAAGAGGTACGTAACCTAATATCCTGACAGCTGCCTAATGCTACATAGGGGGATGGGGGTGCAAACAAGGCAATTCGGGATGAGACGTTAGCAGGTCCCTAGGCACCTACGGCACACGTGTTATATTCGCCTCTTTTTTCTCCTCCTCTACCTATTTTGAGACATACATATTTTTTCCTGTGGCGTAACCGGCAACTTATTCCGTCTAGACGTACTTCTGCACATAATAGCGTATGGTTGTTCCTGTGGCAAAGTCGTTAGTTATGTACCTAACGCCGCGATATGTCAGTCTCGTTTTGAAGCTCATTTTCAAGCTTACTCGGCTAAGTCGGGGAGAAATCGCCTAATACACTATAGAAGAAACAAGACAGGTTGCGATGATCTCTTCCCATACTAGGCTACTAGCTAAGACGCCATCTATTGTAGAAGAGCTTCCTCATCTATGACGGTTTGACTTGTGATAGCTTAATAATATCTTCAACTGAAGCTGCATAACAGTTACTAGTATGGTAAGATCTGTAAATAAGCAGGCAAATCGAGAGAACATGCAGACGTCTCTCTTTTTTCCCCTTCTTTTTTTCTTCTCCCACACCTAGGTATCCGAGCGATAACTAGGTAGTTCTACAAAACAATACGGATACCGAGTACTAACCACACTCGGTGCGTCGAAATGGCCTCATTCTAACGGTCACCCTCTCCACTTGGGCAACTCTCTTATCTCGTTTTGCCTGAGTCTCTTGCCCGTCTCTTCTTCAGCAGTGTATCTAGCATTAAGCATGTAGTAGAGACAACTACGCCCGGAGCAAATCTTCCATCTGCCTTGACTCCTTTTCAGTAGGTAGTCTGGGCACGGTAACAGCAACTGAATCGAGACTCAGAAAACCCCTGCGTGGGATCAGCTGAGACTCCACAACATCCCACGAAAAATGCCTTAGTGGCCGATGAGCTGCAGAGAATGCGATGGTATATCATTTTGCGGTAGCGAGAAGATGTATAGAGACATCGACGACTTCCACCGGAGGTAAAACTCCAGAGTCTAGACTGGACCTTCAACTTGTGTACCAGATGTGCCAATCTGGCCTTTTCTCCTTTGTTATGCGCTGAGGGAGAAGGAATACCGTTAGGAAGATGTATTTGGCAAAGCTTTACTTCCTGTACTGCTGCTGAGCGCGTCTCGGTAGGATAGTGTTGGCACTCGGATTTGGTGATGCACCGGCATCTGTTCTGACTTTTGCTCCAACTTTGGCGCCGGGACAGGAGCCAGCTCAGACTTTGGCATAGGCTGGAACTGGAGCTGTTGTCTTGATTTTCGCTTTGGTTTGGAGTTTGGCTTAGACTTTGATTCTGGCTTCGATTCTGGCTTTGGTTCTGGCTTTGGCTCTGGCTCTGGCTTTGGCTTTGATTTTGGCTGAGATTCTTCTGACAGGGGCTTCAGCTTTGCTCCTTGCTCTAATCTTGGCAGTTGCTTTTCCTCCTGCCTTCTCTTTTTTGCTTCTTTCAATCTTTGCTTCCGGCTCTTCTTATTCTTCTTTGGAGGTGAGTCCTTTGATTCCTCTGACGTGGAATTCCTGTCATTCTGCTCTTCCTGACCCTCGATCTGACCAACAGAAGGACGTTGTGGGTGAGTAGTAGTAATAGCCTGGGGTAAAGAATCGTCAGTGGCTGGTTTCTTTGGTTCAGGATATTGATCACTCACAGTCTTCTTCTCTTGCTCATTCTCATCGGACCCAATGTTAGATGGCAGCGAGAAAGTCATTGAACCGAAAACTATAACAGGATGATTCACATCATCGGGTTCAACTTTAGGAATTCTAACAACAATGGGACCGTCTAGAGTGGAAGGTATCGGGAAAAGACCTTCGTTTTGCTCATCGGCATCTTGCATAGCATCACTTGGGGTCACGTCGTTACCCTGCCCCCACGAGGAATGCAGTACTCCTTCCGATGATAAACGGGATGAAATTGACCAAGGTGATGATGATACTTCCTGGTCGCTCTGTACATCCCGACGAGCTTTTCTATTTTGCCGATGACGAATTCTTCTGTTAGCTCTGCCCCTGAATTGATCGTTGACAGGAAATGGGCTTGGGATCTGTGTAGGAAACTGGAGATATGGCTGATTTGTCATATCCACTAGGTTTGCCGGCTGGTGGCTGGTTGCGTTAATTGGAAACCGCTCAGATGAGGTGACGTGAAACGAAGGTACGATCTGGGGGGGAGACAAATAACGTGTAAAGTGGTCTCTAGTTGACTGGCTGGTTAGGGCTGGGTGCTGTGAATCAAAAGGGTGGATTGTTGTCGGGCCATGGAAACCCATCAGCCAACTGCTGAATACGGAAAGGGCGACATCGTCCCGGTCGGTTCTTGCCGAAACCCTGATCATCCCCTCTAGACTCGCAAGACTCTCCAGGAACTCTGGAGTCCTTGAAAGCAGGGGGGAACCGCGATGATCCACATTAGCGCAGAAGTAGCAGTAACGGGATGCGATATGTCTTTCGCAACGTGTGGAAGCTGGGCAGGCAGGTGCTCCAGGAGGCACATCATTACAAAAGAAGTTAATCGCGACGTAGGCATCCTCACATACACAACAAAGCCAGCGCTCCAGTTGACACATTTTGGTTGTCGGTAAAAAGAATGTAGTTAAAATATGTCTGGGGTTGTGTTCAAGATCTTTATCCTGTCGGGTTGTTACGTGAACAATTTCAAGGATCTTTCTTTTCAGGGGTGAGGATACTTGGATATCATATATGGTATATCGAATGCCGAATGAAGATATTGATAAAGGTACAAAGCTCAGGAGAAGAAGAAGAAGAAGAAGAAGAAGAAGAAGAAGGAAAGGGGGAGGGGGGGGGAGGGGAAAGAAATTAAATAATGATTGGTCCAGTGGGAATGTAGGAAAACAGTTACATTATCTCGCGACTGCCTACACACGAGGAAGCGACGCTTATTCACGTTCTTGCACTTTGTTCTACCATACTCGAGCTGTTTGGCAACTCATAGTTTGTTTGGTACTTGGAATGGGTACCTCAAAAGGGGCTATCGCGTAGCTGTGTACCTACCTTAGGTAGGTAGCTATAGCTGTGTAGCGCCATGCAGGCACGACTTATTAGGCTAAGCGAGTGACTAAAATGGATATTGACTTAATATTTCCAACGTTTTGAGCTGATATTCAAGAAGTTACGGAGAGGTGATAGGCAAGACCGAAAGTAGGTAACCTCCAGTTACTCTACCTCATACCTACTACTTCTGACTCCTTCTGACTCCCTCTGAATCCCTCTAACTTAGGTAGGTACCTACCTGGATACCTCTTGACTTCCTCTCGATATGGGATCCCTTATGTACCTACCTTATGTTAGGTTAGGTTAGGTTAGGTAGATATCAGACTCGAAATCTGGGGCATATAATAAAACACACCCCAAGATCTAAGGATTATTTCTATCTACAATATCCAAAATAACAAATTCTTAATCCTATAACAATATGAACTTTCGAAATCTTTGTTCTTCTACTGAGAAGTACTTCTCCATCGTGATATATATATATATATATATATATAATGATAATCACTTTCCTTCTGCGTGGAATACAAATACCTTAGGTGCCTACATAAAACTATCTAGCTATAACTGTCACTGCTTCAACACTCAGATGAAGTGGCTGATTCGCGGACAAGAGAATCGAATATGTTTCGACGTGGAGGCTTTACCGCGCTTGTCGTGTTCATCATCACACTAAAAGCAAAATTAAGGGAAAGGAAAAGAAAACCCACAGATAGAGATCATGCGGATAGGATTTCGTCTTGAGCGGATACACACCTCACATAATCTTGGGAGTCTCATGTAGATGTAGACGAAACAAGTACCTAGAACTCTCTTGCCATTGAAAAAACACTGCCTTAGGTACCTATACACCTAGCAAAATTTTGAGACGCTATAGACCCGAGAGACATATAACCATACGTCAAACATGTTCACTGCAATACTCTACCTTAGATAAAAATTAATTCTTAAAAGGAGATAGGTTAAAAAAGGAAGACTCCGAATCGGGGAATCGAACCCCGGGCTTGACGGATCGGATCATAAGCTAGTATGATGAGAGCGTCAAATGTTAGCCACTACACCAATTCGGATTGTCTGAGATGAGTTGATGAAGTTTTTGTTGTGCTAATGGAAACTATATAGTCAATTTGCGTGCTGTGCCCCTAATCTTGTTAGCGTCCACGATAGATAGGCTAAGTCTACCTTAGCTACTGAATGTGGGCCATACAACCGGAAATATACCTTGATAGGTACCTAATTTAGGTTAAGAATGAATGGATACCGAGTAGGTAATGGATTGATCTACTATTCAGTTCCGCAAAATTTATTCACTTGGGGTATCTGGTGCGTGGATGACAGATGTGGTTGAACAATCTTTTCTGTCTCTTCTTAGCGACTCAAGTGAATAGAGATTTTTACCTAGGTGTTGTTTTCAACTGTTATCCTCTAATCTTAGTAAAGAATAATAATATTTAATTTATATTGAAGTAAGTTTCAATTCATGATTGTAACGTGTCTTGACTTTTGCGTTCCAAGTCTTCTCTATTGATGATTAAGGAGTTCCACGGTTTCTTACCTACCTCAGTGTCTATTGCGGGACTATAGTACAGCTTGGTAAGAAAGTGTTTGCAAGAAATACGGTATTTCACTTTAAGAAGTAGCCGATTATATCTAGACTGAGCGTTTAGAGATATAGGTATAGAATACACGGAAACTCCAAGTTACCCAAGCTACGAAACTCCGTAAGCGCGCGTATTGAATGCACCGTTCGTCATGAATGAGACATCTATAACCTAGTGCATAAGACTTCTCGTAACACGCCAGAGGAAACGGAAACAGCCTCTTGCTGGAAACAATATTACTCATAGACTGACTCTCTTGTAAGACTCTCTCAAGAACAAGCACCCAACGCGGCTATCTACTCATGGAGACGTGGACATTTTAGATTGGATGTAAACAACAAGTAATTGCCTAGTATAGTTGTACACTCGAATCATTCACTAGTATGGATAACGTCATGGTTGATCTCCGCCAGCGAAGGTAGGTCGTTTGAGGACTGCAAATTTGAGTTGAAAGTTTGCTCCGTGACAACATAAGAAGTAGCCAAGACAATAAATAGGATTAATAACGAAGGGGGCGGTGTCTTTCGAGAGCCGAACATTACTTACCTACAGAGAAGGAAATATAGGATAATAATCGATGGAAATATATGAGGTAGGTATAGGAAATTGGCATGACTACCTAGGTAGTTAATAGCTCATTCACATTGGTAATATTCCAACGACAAGGCTAATAATAGGTATGATGAAAAATCACACCAACTTTCTCACTGCATCTTGGAGGATTATGAGTTACCTAGGTACGAAGCCTCTATCAGTCCGTATTGAAGCAAAGGCGTAAACCCGATGCCAAAGGCCGACACCATACATAGTTGCCCGCAAGTTTTATCTTTTTTTTTCCCTGGCAATATTATCTATTGGGTGATATACGTGTTGTAATGTACGCAAGACTTTGACATAAGACTTCCCTCGTCGATAATGAGACTATTTGCATTAGCGCATAATTATACTATGCCCGTCGAATATTTCCCCAAAACGTTATCATCAAAAATAAAACTGTCAATCCCGAATTATGGGAGGTGGGATTCTACACGTAAGACTAATTAACTAAGTTGGATCATGACATCCCAATCCTAAGACTATACCAGCTATAGAAACAACATCGAGCTGAGCAAAAGACCTAACCTACGTAGTTTTGGGCTTTCCTAGGTTCAAATCTTGGATTAGGTATACCATAGCTGATTTTATTCGAGACTACATTGCCTATTCACTCGATAACTCGCAGTATGACTTCGATAGGCCATGGCTATGCAGAGAACAGAAATAGGTTATATTAGTAGAGAAGATAAGAAGCCTCTCTCTCCGGGGTGGTGGGCACGGGAGTCATACATAGTATAGCCCGAATGCAGAACGATGCTACCCCGAATCTCTTGGCGCCATAATAGTACTATATATGTAGTTGACATCTCCACCGCCCGCGCGTTTATGTATTATCAATCAAAAACGTCACTGTCGATTGACCCGGGGAGGGGAAATCGGACATCTTGCGACGGATAAGCTTGATAGGTGGTGCATAGCGCTAACGTAGTGCGATGATGGTTTGCGTTACCCCGGATGGGTGTAGTAGGCTATTGTATTTCCCCGCCGGTTGAGGGCATGTTAACTCTATCTGCCTCAGGATGAACTTTGTATTATTGTTCACGATCACCCATTTTATCCTTCGTAAATCTACTATTGCTGCTACTATTGCTGCTACTTGGTATTGTTGAATGATTGTTTAGCCTTACTTTGATATTAGCCGATATGGAGCTTCCCTTGAGAAAAGACTTGCGGCCAAAAGCTGGCGAGCCCGAAGACTCGGCGTGGATATGGGGAAGCGATGATGAGGTTAGTCTACTCCCACCTCGTATGAAAAAAAAGGTTGCTAACGCTATCTTAAGCTGGGCAGACTAAACCTGCAAACGCCAGAAAGAGTGAAGAAGGCACTGGAGACCATCTCTTCTGGGGAAGTCATCCCGCTCAAGTCAGTAACACATCCATATAAGATCCCAGGCAATGGTTAGCCTAGGGTATATAGACTTGTTCACTAATTCGTATATAGTCTCCCGTTCGACCAAGTCGCACCCCCCTGTTATGGGCGACAGGCTTTTAAACATTCAATCCATCCTCTGGGACAAGTTGGATTCGACGATGTTTATGATATAAACCCTCAAAGTACTTCTCAATGGGATGGATTCCGTCATGTAAGTTCGAACCAGGTATCCGGTGGGTTTCATGAGCACCATAACTAATCCAGCCCAGTTCTGTCACGTTCCCACAAGGCTATTTTATAACGGTGTAAGTATATTTACCACAACCACTTTACGTGTCACGTTAACCTAAACCTTGCCCATCCAGACTACTGCCGAGGATATTCAGGGCGCAAAAGCCTCAACTAAATGCGGAATGCAAGCGTTGGCGAAACGTGGCATCGCAGGCAGAGGCATACTGCTAGACTATGGCCGCTGGGCCGAGGCTAACAACATACAGCCGGTATACTACGATAACTTCAAAATTACCCATAGCGATCTTGTCAACGTGGCGCGGTCTCAGGGGATCGATCTGAGACCGGTCGCCCAAGGAGGCGATATCCAGATCGGAGACATCCTGGTGGTTAGATCTGGGTTTATAAAGAATGCAAACTCGCTCACGTATGAGAAGAGGGCTTCCCAACACCTGCGGAAGAATATATTCGGACCTGATGACGGACAGCGCTATATAGGCGTGGAACAGAGCGAGGAGATCCTCGACTTGCTGCACGATTCCTACATCTCGGCCGTAGCTAGCGACCATCCGGCATTTGAAGCGTGGCCATCCGAGAAAGGTACGTTGATATTGACGCCGTATAGAGATGGATAAGGGTGAGGATTACTGATACACCTCAATGTGTAATAGATTATTATCTTCACGAGAAGCTCTTGGCGCTCTGGGGGATTCCAATCGGTGAGCTTTGGGACCTCGACAGACTTGCAGAGAAGTTGGCCGAGAAGAAGCAGTGGACATTCTTCCTATCGAGTGCGCCTAACCACGTAAATGGTCTGTATTATCCTAAAGGCTTGGTCAAAACTGAAGGTTGGTTATTTACTAATGCGGGCTTATAGGTGGTATATCAAGCACCGCAAACGCTGTGGCTATCGTATGAGGTGGATAGGTGGATAGATTCTGTAGTGATACTGTCGCAAATAGTTTGAATAAATGTGAGAGAAAGCCTGAAAAGGGTTTCTTGATCAAATTATGCCCTGGCAGAATCGCGTCAAAAAAGATGCCCCCCAAGCTAGTACATAATATTCCAAAACATACTCTTATTTTCATTGCTAATAACGCTTTAGCAACATAACATATTAATTTAATATATTGTATACCCGCAGAATAATACTAAAGCTATCTTATAATGATTTTTTATATTAAATTGACCTAGAATTGACTTTTTTACATTTAAATGAAGTTGTAGTGGTATAATTGTATTTGGGTTTGGGATGGGGCATCTTTTTTGACGCCATTCTGCCTGGTAGTTCATCGTCTTATTAGTGAGATTTGAATATGTTTAATATAGACATGACGGATAAATAAATATAATAATATCGCGGCAAGATCAAGTCCGAGTCTTTATCTACATGTGACCCCCCCTCTTATCAAGCTGACCAAGCTCAACGCTCGGACCAATTTGATTCAAGGTGCAAGGCAGCGCGAGCTTTCGTCGCCTCGCAGCCGCCTGAAGGCTTAAGCTTCCCTCCATCATCAATCATCATCATCGCTCTAATATTCCACCAACGAACTACTCTTCACACATAACCCGCCAAAAGTCCCACTTTCACATATTGACCTGGACCTACAAATTATTGACGCTTTTCTCCCATTATATCACAAGTTAGAAAAAAAGTCCAGGAATTATGGCGGACGCAGCTCTGAAGCCCGAGAAGGACTTTAGTAAGGAAGCTGATGTACAAATCAGCGAAGCAGAGAAGCTTGCTCAGGTGCACATGTCTCAACTACAAACCTTGTGAGAGATATATTTAACTAATACTTCATTATAGAATGATGTCCAAGCAGCTATCGAGAAACTCACCATCTTCGAGAAGCAAACCCGACAGGTGAGTTATTCACTTAATCCCCTCTTATCGCCCAACATGACTAAATAATTATTGTTCTACAGGCTTCCGATCTCGCCTCCACATCCCGGACCTTAATTGCGATATGTACAATCTGCAAAAATGCAGGAAACTGGAGTTTACTCAACGACCAGGTCTTGGTCCTCTCCAAGAAGCATGGCCAGCTCAAACAAGCCATCACCAAGATGGTTCAGACCGTTATGGGTTTCCTCGACGACACCCCGAACCTGGAAACTAAGCTATCAGTAATCGAGACCCTACGCACCGTAACAGAGGGCAAGATATTCGTCGAGGTTGAGCGAGCTCGCGTGACCAAGATTCTGTCGGACATCAAGAAGCAGCAGGGAGATCTGAAGTCCGCTATGGACATTCTCTGCGAATTGCAAGTTGAGACCTTCGGTTCAATGGCGAGGCGGGAAAAAACAGAGTTTATACTTGCCCAAGTCGCTTTATGTATTGAGAATGGCGACTGGACACAGGCTGGCATTCTTAGTCGCAAGATCAGCACCAGATATCTGTCTCGTAAGCCGAAGAAGACGGCGGAGCAGCTGGAGAAGGAGAAGAAGGCTCGCGAAGAGAAGCTGAAGCGTGGAGAGGAGGTCCCCCCGGAAGAGGAGGATGACACCACAGACCTAAAACTCGCCTATTACGAACAGCAGATCACCCTTGCAAAGCACGACGACAAGTACCTCGATGTCTGCAAACATTACAGACAAGTGCTGGATACCGAAGCTGTGGAGGAGGACCCCTCAAAACTACAACCCGTACGTTGACCCGGTGTATCCAAGAGAGCGAGTATTACTAATGCCAATCAGGTCCTGCAACGTATCATCTATTTCGTTATACTTGCTCCTCATGACAATGAGCAGCATGATCTTCTTCACCGCATCTACCGCGATAGCCGAAACGCTCAGGTTCCCGTCGATGCGTCGCTTCTCAAATTATTTACAGTGCACGAACTTATGCGATGGCCCGAAGTTGCGAAGCAATACGGCCCCCATTTATGCGCGACCGACATCTTTGACGAACGTCCCAACCAGTCAGGCGACGAGAAGGCCTACCAGCGATGGCAGGACCTTCGCAAACGTGTTATCGAGCACAACGTTAGAGTTATCGCAAAATACTACACTCGTATCGGCATGAAGCGCCTAACTCAGCTACTGGACTTGACCGAGGATGAGACAGAGAAGTATATCAGCGAGCTCGTGTGCTCCAAGACCGTGTTCGCCCGTATTGATCGGCCCGCACGTATAGTTAGCTTCGCCAAACCTAGAGACGTCGATGACATCCTTAATGAGTGGAGCCATAATATGAAGAGCCTGCTCGGCCTGTTGGAGCGTGTGGATCATCTCATTACCAAAGAAGAGATGATGGCGAGGATCCAGCCCGGCGCAAAGGAGGGTAAGGAGAAGAAGGGTAAGAAAAAGGCATGATAGACGGCTTTATGAAAACTTCTGTTTTTGTTTTTCGGGGGAGTAATTCTTTCGGATCCGAAGAGTGACTTGGTTTCGAGAGAAGCCGCACCGCGCGGTACAGTACAGTACAGCACAGCACAGGTTCGCATCAAAAGCATGCGAATGTACAATACTTAGATTAGGAGGTACATAATGCCCGTAAAGAACTGGTTTTGCCTTCTATGTTGCCTTGAATCTACTATGCGTGTAGTTATGCGTGTAACGTCTCCTGATCTAGTTCTAATTCTAAGCCTTAGGTAGTCCTCGCGTACGACACCCCCCTTCCCCTTTTCTCCCTCTTTGATTCTTAATTGACACACACACACACACATATGCATATATATATATATATTTCAACACCAACGTGGGATCCCCCTTAGGCACCTACTCACAGCAACTGCTTACCCGCCGCCTCCGGTTCATCATACCGCTGCCTCAACCAGCCGACCAGGGCCATGGCCCAGTCCCTAGCGACAGGCACGTAGTGTCCGCCCGGGTGCACGACGACGGCCGGGTCCTTGCACCGCTCCACGAGCCCCCGGCTCCGGCTCTCCTCCACCACCGTGTCCAGGCTGCCGAGGAAGTGCAGCGTCGGCGTCGCGATCGGCGGCGCGTACAGCCACGCTAGCGACGCCGGCGGCGCGTAGAACCCCGAGTACACCACGCAGAAGCGCAGCGGCTTGTTGGCGTTGGCTGCGCGGAGCGCGGATACCCAGGACCAGTCGGCTGCTTCTTCTGCTTCTGAGGATGGGGATGGGGATGGGGACGCGGATGGCGGATCCCGGTATGGGTGTTCCAGCGCTGCGGCTACGAGCGCGGCTACCGCGCCGCCTTGGCTGAACCCGCACACGCCGTCGACGCCGCCCGCGTCGGCGATCGCTTTGGCGATGGCGTGCATGCCGGCCTCGAAGCCGCGGTAGGAGCCGGTGGCGTCGTCCTTGCGGAACCAAGCCCAGCTGTCGGATTCTTCGTCGGCTGCTTCGGCTCCCGCTTCGGCTCCCTCCGGGGGCACGTAGCCGGGGATATCGGAGGGGCGAAGGCGGTGCGGGGCAGTGGGGAAGAGGAAGGACGGGTGCAGGTTGTAGGGGGCCGGGGAGAGGGCCTTGGCGAGGAGCTTGGCGAGGGCTTTGGTCTTGGAGGAGAAGGATGCGCCGGACTGCGTGTACCCGTGCAGCATGAGGATCCTGAGCTCCGCTTTGCCCTTGGGGGTTGGGGAGGATGCAGCGGCGGGTGCGGACATGGTGGTGAGAGACCGGCGGGCTATCCGGAGGGGAGTGGAAATGTGAGATGGGGGTTGTAGGTGTGGTTGTAGTAGTTGTAGTAGTAGTGTGAACTGGATGGTGGTGCGCGGGTTGGGCGGGATGAAAAGTTTCATGGGAAATGGTGTTGTAGGATTTTGTTATGTGACTATGAGGTACCTATACCTGATGTGAATTATAAGCGCTCTTAAGTTTAGGTATAGGTTGGGTCGTTGTTATCTGATGGGGATGAGGTGAGTGAATCGACGAATGAGTACCACTTAAACATGCGAGACCATGCGAGATGGGAATTTTTAGTTAGTAGTAAGCATACTATAGTACAGGTAGATAGTAAGAGTCTAATAAGAGAGGGTCTTCGGCAGGTCTAGAATTAGCCAAATAGAGGTACCTATGGGCTAGTTGTATTTGACTTTACCATGATGCCACTTTATTTATTATCATTTGAGTACGGAATCGAATGTTCATGCATTATCGTTTAATTATAGAATAATTATGGAATTGCTATTTGTATGAATTATAAAGCAATTCTGACAGTCGTTTCCCCCTGTGCGTTGCTTATTTCATTTTATTTTTATGTAAATAATCTCCGTGTAAATCGTGTATGTAATCTGGCCGAACCGTAAACGTTTGAAATATCATTGCAAGATACCTAGCCTTCTTACAAACTGAATCTTGCCTATCTTTCCTACTGAAATAAAAGATAGGATGTGGTTGACAATTAGAGCCCAGAGACCTATTTCCCGTGATTTAATTCCTCTGTCTGAATAAACAGAGGCAAAAGTGGTAAACTCCCAAGAGGCCGGATATAAATCAAGGTCGATAAATAGTTCTCGGGAGGATTTAACAGTACATTTACAACGCCGAATACAGAACTGACACGGGATTTAACGTAGTGAATCTATTTGAGCTGTTAAAATGTCCACTGTTCAGGCACGTTTGAAGATGTAACAGATCCAACTCGCAGAACGCATCCCCGGGTGGACACAGCCCTCAATTTAACGCAAGCTCATATTCTCTATAGTACAGTCCTGCTTGAATCATCTGGTGGAGTGATTTGATCTATGATAATGCTCGCTCGGGATATTTGGCTGCGTTTTGCAAGTCTACCATCTCCATTCTAATGTCCCCCAGACTTCGCGTACGGGTTGCGCGGGTCGTTCTTCCACTCATCGGCTATTGAGAAACAGTTAGCTATCTTTCTTTCTTGCTCTCCCACTTGCCGGAAGTTATGATAAAACACGTACACTTCATCATGGCATTTTGCGCCGCGTTAACACCGTAGAGGATGATTAAGCCTGTTCGTATGTTAGGTATTTACTCCTGCGCTGCAAATTATTGCATGTTATCATATCGGTTCATCATACCGGCAACGTAGAAGGGAGCATAGGGCTTGACTATGGAGATGTTAGTTAATAACTGTTGCGAATTATTTAATTCTAATCGGCGGCGCGGGGATCAATTGACGTACGGACGGGCGTCGGGAATTTCTTAAGGGGGTAAGCACCGAACCAAGATAACTTAGACATCTTGAATACGTTATTCGAAGGATCTGAGTAGTAGTAGAAGGCGTCGAGATTGGAGATGCTTGAGGTTGAGGTCGAGGTTTGTTAGAAAAGCGAGTGGTTTTCTTCTGCAGCTAAGCCGGAACTTGGCGATTGATTTGTTGCCTTATCGAGTTGGGTTGTTATGTAATGTAATGTGCATGCCTGAGGCATAAATCTACTAGTATTTGTGCCCTAGTGCTTATCTTAGTCATGATCCTTAGGTAAGGATCATGACCTCAGGACCTCAATGCGGGCTACCATTGTCGGTCACGGTCAATGATTTTACCGACAGATTGAGTGACATCACCTTCGAACGGTGAGGTTGTACCTAGGTACCCGATAGCTCCGAAGATCATCTCCACATTTGTTAAGGAAACCGGCATCGAAAAGCTGGGGAAGTTACTCTGGGACGAGCTTACCTACATAGTACCTAGGTAGGTAGGTACAACTTTAAGAGCTTCAACCCCCCTTCTAAATCAGATGCGGGGGAGTTACAAGGAACCAATTAATTTATAAACGTCTCAAGGTTGTTCCCTACCTGCCGCTTGCTACCCTCCACCACCACATCGACCATGCTTCTATCTCTTCTGACCAGTTGTGCTTTGACTTGACTTTTTAATACCTACCGTATCTCTCTACTTAAGGTATTTAACAAAACTGCCACGCGGAATCTCCAATACCAATACAATAACTGCCTGTTGTTACCTAAAGGGACCGATTCATTGCAACTTACTTCCCCTGAAACGAAAAAAAAGCCACTATACCCGTACGAGGATGATTCTCGTACAATAGATGAACCATTCCCTCATCTCACAAGACGATATCATACCATCCAATACCATCTTCGGTATTCCCCAGCACTTTCACTTTTTTTTTTTTTTCTTAACGATTTGCGTCAAAATCGACGCTGTTACCAAGCTCCTCTTCCCCTTCCTTTTTAGTCCCCATCCCTAAAAATCCATCATCCATCATCCATCATCCATCCCTCTTTGTTCCTTTCACGCACTCTATCACAATGTTTTCCCGACGTATCGCGCGAGTAGCAGCTGGTGCAGCTCCGCGCTCACTCCGAGCGTTTGGCTCCACCGCTGCTAATCAGCGCACGCCGTCTCTGACCGACATTAGACCTGAGGACGTCGAATCGTTCAACTCGAAGCAAAAGGCATTCCGCGAGCAGTTAGTCAAAGCACAACAGGAGAGAGAAGCAAGTAGGTCCATCGGAGATTTTTCTTATCCTAACCATTCATTTGCTGCCCCCAAAACCTTACAGGGCTTAGGCTCATTAAGCACCCATGCAGGACAGCGAGCGGAGGCTTCGACTAAGGAACCCGATCGACCCGACAATCTTATATCTAGGGTTATTTACGGAACAAAGGAAGGGCGTGAGTTGGATGCTCAGCTCGAAGCGAGCTTCTCCGCGGTCTTAGCTCGTGGAAAGTACGTGCACTCGATCGTATTCCACGAGGTGCTGCCAGATAAGGTGGATGAATATGTTGAGCTCGTTGGCCAATGGTATCCGCGCATGGCTTCTTTGCAGGAGAATAAGGTTCACCTCGTCGGAAGCTGGCGAACCGAGGTGGGCGATTGTGACACATTCGGTAAGCTATCAACGGCTCGAGCCTTAATTCAAAGCTTGTTGCAACATGCTAATCTCATAAAATATTTTAAGTTCACATCTGGGAGTATCAGCGTTACCAAGGATATCATCAGTCGTTGAATTCTATCTCACGCCAACCCGGTTTCCCCGAATTCGACAGAAAGCTTAGAACGCTGATCAAATCAAAGAACACTTCAATCATGCAAGAGTTTTCGTTCTGGCCAACTACTGCACCCCGTCAGCTAGGTGGCCTATTCGAGTTACGTTCGTACACTCTTCACCCCGGAAACTTGCTAGAGTGGGAAACCCACTGGCGACGAGGCTTAAAGGCGCGAAGACAAGTGATGGAAGGTGTAGGTGCTTGGTTCGTTCAGATTGGCGATCTTAATACCGTCCACCATCTTTGGCAATTTGCCAACCTCGAAGAGCGTAAGGTCCGACGAGAGGAGAGCTGGAAGCAAGATGGCTGGGCCGAGACGGTTCACAAGACCGTTCCTCTTATCCAAACTATGAAGTCGAGGATCCTCGTCCCGCTACCATGGTCGCCCGTGGCATGATTTCCAGGGGAGTTGACAAGTGATTGTGTTGATATCAGCCGAATTCTTTTGACCAACCTAAGCATCTGATACGGGAGAATTGGAGTTTGGAGGCGATTGTTTCTTAATGTAGTCCATCCGCCGTATTGGCGCGAGAGCACCTGCGAAAGTAGCTGTACTTTTTACTACTGAGGCCCGGGATACTTTATGACGACCTGGAAGAGCTTGAAAAATATCACGCCCTGAAGACCATGGTTACGTTCCAATGGATGTCACTGATACCAATTACGAAGCCATTCGGGATTCTTTTTTTGAAGGGAAAGTCATAACCGAACTCGAACCGGAACTGAGTTTTCAAGTGTTTATCATGATTTTTTTTTTTTTTTTTTTTTTTTTTTTGTGATGATTCGTAAAACATCCCCAGCTAATGCCGGCTTTAATTATCACTACCTCTTATCATCCCGTAACTCCAATCGCTATTCCCATGACGTATTTAATTCAACCAACACTACATGTAGCAAGAAGCAATTAGGTTAGCAATTTGGTATCACTGCGACTCCCTTCGCGCAAGCTTCACTCTTCCAAACCCTGCCCCATCACCGCCGCTAAATTGCGCCTGGCCAACCCTAACGTATTACTCAAGGCGCTCAGTTTGGCGGACAGCGAGAGCAAGCTGGGATCCGCGCTCTCGACGCGCACCTTTTCGCGGACGTAGACCTCGACTTCTTTCCTCTTATCCCCTCCTTCGTTATTACCATCGCCAGTACTATTATCATTATTACTATTATTACCACTACTACTACGACTACTACTGGTATTATGAAGATGGAGATGAAGGTGGTGGTGGTCGGGAGACGCTCCGCTGTCGATCCGCGACTCGTCGCCGCACCGGTACAGAAACACCTTGTCGGCCTCGTCGTGCTCCAGACGCCGGGTGGTGCCGATGGCGAGCGCGAGCTTCGTGCCGAAGTTGACGGGGGCGTCGGCGGGCTCCAGGGCGCGCAGGTACAGCACCAGGCAGGCGTCCTGGACGGTCACGTACAGGGACAGGTTGCGGCTGAGCGGGGGGCAGAAGTGGGCTAGGGGTACGGAGCTCGTCGTCCAGGATGTGTCGAGGGGGAGTTTCTGCTGGTGCTGGTGGTCGGGCTGGTGCTGGTGCTGGTGCTGGTGGCTGCTGCTGCTAGCCGTCGAAGCGCTAGTCGATGGACGCGCGGGCAGTTGATCGTGATGAGGTGGGCCCTTGACGAGGGCCGCTGCTTCGGCGATGTGCAGCGCCAGCAGACGTAGCCGCGACGCGAGATGCGGCGCCGAAAGCGGCGGGGGCGCGGTCCGTTTCGTCTCCTCCTTCTTCTGGTTCTCGTGCTCGTGCTCGTGCTCTTCGAGTTCCCGGCACATCTCGAGGGAGCGGGAGAGGAGGGCGTCGAGGCGGACGAGGGCGGGGACGCGGATGGGGCGGGAGGAGTCGAGGGTCAGGGTCTGGGGCGGGAGCGTGCGCAGGCGCAGGTGCACCAGGCCGCGGACGAGGCGGGCGCCGACGCGCGTCGTGTGGCCCTTGACGGTCTCGTGGCGCGGCGTCGTGAGGGCCAGCGTGCTCCCGGCCGAGTCGGCGGGGGCGAGGAGCGCGCAGCAGTCCTCGAGGCCGCGCTTGATTTGGGCGAGGGTGGCGCACAGGGAGGTGAGGAGCCAGGATAGTTCGCGGGCCTGCTTTGGTGGTGAGTATACGGCGTTGGTGTTTAGGCTGAGGATGAACTTACCTGAGTGGCGTCTTCCTCGATTTTAAGCTCGGCCGGCGAGATGGGAGGCCAGATCTCAACGGACATTGTGGGCGGGGGACGGCATAGGCAACCGCATTTCAACGGGCCATTCGACAAGTTATTATCGCGAGAGATGGAGTTGAACGAGCGAGTGTGTTTAAAGTTGTAGCCTTGTTATTAGTGCGCGTATATGTGTGTGTAAGTGGGGAGCTTTGGGACTGATGGTGGTGATGCTAAAATAAACATGATGTTTTTGGATTGGATGACGGCGGGTAAGCTAAACCATAGCCGTGTGGGTCTACCATGTACAAGATCTTATCTTATCGTTATTCTTGCTGCAAGCCCAGAAGCCCCACGTCATTTTTTATGGTCTGCAGTTTTGGGGATAATTGAATAAATATCATGCATATGCCGTATAACTACTTCTAATATTATAATATCGTGGAAGCTTCATCTCCTTCTTTGACGTAGTAAATAATAGTATTTACAAATGTGATTATTATACTATCACCACAAGAATGGCTACAGGGCAGCCACCCGAGACCGGTTCGCAGGCGCCTACAGAAGCCACCAAGCCAACGAAACTTCCACCTATACCAAAGGGTCAGACCAGAACATGACACGTAGTCATATAATCTCTTTTCTCCCCATCGCTAACAGCTATCCTAGGGGCCACAATCCGAAAACGACCGATCCCCACACGCGCGCCCTCCACACGCGCCTCCCGCCGCATCTACGTAACCCCCAAGACGCCCTTCCGCTCCATCACCGCCCGCGTGCGCAAACAGCTCGACAAGAACCTGCGGGAAGCGTCCGCCTCTAAAAAGGCGTTCACGAACAGACTCGCCAGCAACAAGAACGCGTCGTTGGACGAGCGCATCCGCGCCATCCAGCGACAGTCCGCGTCCAGAGACAGCGGAAGTGGGATTGGGCTCGAGGACGCGGGCGAGGTGGTGGTGCTGGGGACGGGGAGGGCTATACAGAAGGTCGTCGAGGTCGCCATGTTCTTCCAGAAGCAGCAGGATTGCGTCGTGCGGCTGAAGAGCGGGAGTGTGGGTGCTGTGGATGATGTTGTTATGGAGGGGGAAGGAGAAGAAGAGGAGGAGGAGGAGGAGTGGGGCGGTGAAGGGGAGGAGAGGATTAGGATGATGAGTTCTCTTGAGGCCTCTATTAAGTTGAAGTGATGAAAAGGGACTGTTTGAGAAACGAAGAAGACGTTACTTGTGGGAGTGACGCTTTTTGGATGGCCGGTTTACGCGACCATCATTTTTTTTTCTACGGCGTCATCCATGTCGTAGTATGACCAGACCCGCGGAAATTGTTGGAAAAGACGTATTTCAAATACCGCGAGGACGGTAACGAAGTTCGGAAGCCAACATAATCCGTTATTAAGTTCCTTTATGATGGATGTGGCCCTCTCGTTCTGGTCTAGAACGAAAGTTTCCGTTGTATTGCTATCTCCCCCAACAGCGTAGGAGGTTTGCGCTACGACTTATGCTATGACTCCGACTTCATCTGTTGGAGGCCTTGTAAAGGCTTATTACATGGCTATTATCTGGTTACGGAGGAAAGGAAGTAAGGGGTTACCTTCGCGCAACAACGATGTGTGAGAAAAAAGCTAGGTATATCAGCCTATGAGCCGAACAGAAAGCTTATTCATGTCATGGGGCATCCAGTTTGAAACGAGAACATAGGACGGGTTGCGGAATTATGCGAGGATCGTCAGCTTTGGAGCTGTACCAATTCGAAAAAAAAAAAAAAAAAAAAAAAACAGTGCACGGCTAGCTTCTGCTGTCAGACAGCATATGTTTTAATATAGATACTAGACTGCGAGTGACTCGGCAGCCGAATGTTAAAACTATCATCCTTTAATAGGACATATGAACGGTTCGTTGTCTATTTCGAGTCGAATCCATGATATTTAGGGGCGTATGACAATGAGCAACATAATGTTTACAGTCCCAAACCTATTGGTTACTCCTACGCCACTGACGACCTGATGATCTTTCGGCCTTTTGGCAAAGCCTTTTCCTTCCTGATTTTGGCAGGGGGGGTCGAGATCTCGGCTCTACGATATCGGAGACGGACCGGCCGGTGCGGGATCATATTTTAGAACATACCTAAACTAAACGAGGGGAATATTAGTTTCATATCTTATTATTAGGTACCAATCCCCATTTTCTGGGCCGACATATAACTTCATAGTTGAATAGACCATACATAGGTAGGTAGGTACCTTGTTTAATACCATATAAAAACTATGACATCTTCCCAACACCCTCCTCCTACATAACCATAGCAGCCGGCGTCTTCGGGATCTCAACGGCGCTGTCACGCTCATTGACCGGGACGCTTACACGGCGGCCCGCCGGGTCGCCGCGTCCTAGGACCGGAACAAAGTCGTGCGCGCGGACCCGCCGTGGAGGAAGTACTACCGCGAGACGGGGATTTACTGGATCAGCCGGAGGGGGCGGCCCGCCGTAGGAGCTGGAGACCTTTACGAGGTTAGGACGACAGGGTAAGGATAGGGGTGAGGAGGATAAGAACGAGGATAGGGATGGGGAGGAAGGAGAAGATGATACGCGCGGTTCCGGTGGACGAGGCGAAGGGTTTGTACGGCGGGGTTTTCGACTAGGCGGATTACACGGGGGTGGAGCACGTGCTGGCTACAGAAACGAACGGGTGGGCGGATGCGAAGGGGGCGCTGAGGGCGGTTGGAAATGGGGTTAAGGTCGTTAGGGCTGAGATTGGGGAGTTGGTGTTCAGGGGGGAGGACGGGGCTTGTGTTAGGGTCGTTACGGACCGGGGGGAGAGGTACACGGCTACGCATGTTATGCTGTCGACGGGCGTTGTTACGCCCAAGTTGCTGGATAAAGTGGCTAATAGGAAAAGTCTCCTTCCCACACCGTCGAACGTCGTATACACAGTAATTGGTTCACAGGGGAGGTTCATTCCGACTCCCCGTTTTTCAGTCCTATGCTCTCGAACCAGAACCAACAACCAAGAGCCAAGAACAGAACCGTACCATCGAGAAGTACCTAGTCTTCGCATAGTAGATTAGGTTAGGTACCTAGGTAGGTAAATACCTGGGTAGGTAGATAGGGAGGTAAGTGGTCAGGCAGATAGACAGACTCACTCGTGAACGCTACGATGGCCAGGATGTGTGAATGGAACCTTTACCCCCTTTACCAATTGCAATATCCAAAATAGCCGCCCTTAACCATGAGCTCCCTCCTTGCCGCCGTGCAGGAGGCATTACATAGGTATGCTATGTATGCCCGACCAAGACACACACACGTGCCGTGCTCGCAGGCACCTGATCAACTTGGGCGCTGATGGAGGATCCACCAAAAGGCTTTCCGCATGTGAATATCGCCTTCTACATAGGTAGTATGGTAATGTAAATTCTGGGCGGCATACTGCGGCGTACCGGTATGTAACCAGCAGCTTCCTGGCATCTGGCAGCTAGCAACTAACGATCGATCTGCCTCTGAAACCCCGTGGCGCCAGGGTTCATCCCTTCTCCGAGCCACGCGGGTGCTTCGAAAGCGTCCCCGTCTGCCAGGGGCTTGCTGCGAGCTGCGGGCTGCGGGCTTTAGAAGGACCTTCCCGCGCGCCACCAAGTGCCGTCCGGACCGTGTCGACGACTAAAATGTGGCTGCGTGCTGGTAAATTCATAGGAAGCAGCGGCACGATATAGGACCTCCCAGTTTGATGACGGCTGGCTAGGGGGGGAGGGAAATGAGGGGAAAGATTTTTTTTTTCTTCCTCCTCTCCGGATGAGTTTTTGTTAATTTCGACTTGCCCAAAGTTCTGCGTCTTCTAAGATAATACCTACCTACCTACCTACCTACCTACATACCTTCTAGCCTACCGACTGTTTCTCGCCTATCACATCACCGTCCTTTACTACCTAGGAGAGTTCCCGTCCTATACGCGGCTGGGCTATGTAACAGGTGCGGGCCTCTCTTAATTAAATACGTAAGACGGTCAGCACTTTGAATATATTGTCGTCGTCGAAGCTTGGTACTGTGCAACTCGCCTGACCCAGGAGATTCGAGATGATCTGATTTCTCAAGCCACTCGCTTAGTGAGACGTGCATGTGATTAATCAATTGGTCGTAACAGAACATTGTCAGTGGAAGCCTAAGGGTTCTATAATTATGTACATACATTAGGTACCTAAACGTTATGCTGCGTTTCCCGGCTAAGGGTTCCTATCGATCTCCTAATGCCATCATCCCTATTCGATAGCCTAGAAGCGGCTTCTACGGAGTACCCCCTCGAACCTACACCGGACGAGAATCCTTCAAGGGGTAGTTTGGTATCTCGATAACGGGTTGGTCATTGGTTTTTGTAATATGGTGTCAGGCTTAGTTTCGTGTAGCTGTGTTACCAACTACGTGGTGCCAACGGAACAACTAGAGTGTTCCATCCAGATTGGTCTTAGGTCAGTTCAAGAGCCTCATGTTCTTCAGTAAATACTTTAGGAATAGTGTGCATCTGTGGTTGCACAGGACATCATAGAACATCATAGAGGTACCTAGTCGAGCTTCGTTTCTGTCTAGATATTTTTGGTGGTCGCATCTTCGCCTTACGCGGTGGCGTGGGAGAAATCCTTAACAATGTGTTCATACAATGCAGTCAGTATATTGCTTGCTAACCGAACAATAAATGCTAGGCTCACGGAATTTCACCGATAGTAACAGTAAGAGTGGGAGTATTCAGCAGTCTGTTTTAATACCGACATTGACAAATATAAGAGGTAATCTAGCAGTAAGGTACCGGAAGATGATCCGAAGTCACATCGCAACGACCCTCCACAGTAACCATGGTGGAGTTCTGTTTTTTTTTAAAAAAAAAATAATACCACGCTGATGTAGGTATTGTAGCATATGGCTAGTATATACAGCTAACATACGCTTAACCTTCACTTTGCTAGGAGCCGCCTGGTTCGTCTTCTTAGGATTTGCCTAGATGGCTGAAACAGCCGTACTACATAGCAGATCTCCCGAAGATGAAACTCGGCCGGTTTCCACTAATCTTAATAGCTACCTACCAACGCAATTTCAAAGCCGCATTGGTGGTTTGTATCGGGCCGGTATGATACAAATACAACCGCAGTGTACGGCGGTCGGGCGCGGCACCCGTGGGGCTACCTGCCCTTGTAGAGTAGGTAATTCATGTGCGGGTAGCTATGATGAGACATAAGGTCGCTTGGAAGCGCCCAATCAAAGCAGCCGTGAACAATATGTCTTCTGAAAAGGCCACCTCACGGGACAGAATATTGGCCCTTTCGTATCCGTGTTCTAATACTCGGTGCCAGTGATAGGAAGATTAGAACACCACCGGCATTCCCATCCCATCCCTTCTGCGTACTATGATTAGATACTGTGGTAAAAGTTGTGGAACCGCGACCGTCCACTCATTATGCCCTTAGATTACATGTAGGAAACCAGAAAAAGCAGGATCAGCCGCCAGGAAAACCATACGTGCAGCAACGGTACTTCTAGAGAGGTTTGTGGATAACAGCAACCTCTCATATTGGGTGGTGATGTTGGTAAAGAAGCGTATCAGAGCTCAGTAGTCTGCAGCTAACTCTAGTCAGTCCGTTTATCCGTTCAGTTCATGAACAATTCATGAGATAGGTATGTATATGCGTATGCGTGTGTGTATGTTTGTGTGTGTGCGTGTCTGCTTTCCAGGAACCAAATACCTGGGGGGAAGAAAGTCTATACCCTGGTAAAACGGACCAACAGGCTTGTCTCCTAGTTGTTATTAAAGAAGTCGGTTTGTCGGGCTTGCCCCCCTACTTGCAGCTATAAGACTGTGATAGAAGATGCACGTCGCTGAATCCGGAAGTAAAGCCCCTGGCTCTAATATCTATAAGCTCCCCCTTTGCACTACAGAGCTGGGTGTAATTTTAATCGACTCTATATACAGAGCTCTCTACGTTAGGAGGTAGTTATATGATCGGCGTTTTCGTCGCACCAAGGTGACGACAGATCTTGTCTAATAACCGAAACTCGTAAATCTGGAGCTAGACCACATGCCAGAAGCTGCGTAGCCTGCCACGTCTGTAAGCAGGCGGCTCACCCTCAGAAGGCTTTTCTTCGGCAGGGGGGGATTTAGGAAAAATTGCGCTTTAGGGCATAGATTGCCGACGTACCCATAATGTGGTGCGAGCAAGAAAGATTTGATAAAGTATGGAAGCAGGAAGATCGCTTTGCTATCTTGCCGCATCGAAAAGGTGAGCCAGGCAAACCTCATCAGAGCCTGCATTGCAAGGATGTTGTGAGTCCGGTTTCCTCCTCAATTATTATTATTTTGCTTTCCATTTCTTTCCGTCAGATGACGAAGATTCCCGCATTCTCCGAAGAGGTGGTGGTATCATCGTCATTTGTGACAGAAGCTGCCAGTGTGCTGCACCCTTTCATTCAACCCTCTCTTCCTGGCCTGTCTTCTCGTGTCGACGTCAAGCTACCCCGCCTCGGACATTATTATGATTATTACCTTACTGCTATAGTCTTATACGTACCTAAGTTAAGCCGGGGAAAAATAAAATATTCCCAAAGTGGGAATGCGGAACCTGGGAGCATTGAAGTTAACGGTGTGTAGGATGGTTGTAATATTCTCAACAAGCCGTATTGCGGCT